AAAAATGCAAGGGGTTAGCCTTCCTTTTTTAGTGAAATTTGTTCAAAAATAAACTTTTCTCCAAACAATACAGAAATTCCTTTGAAGCTTCCATCCATCCAGAAATCGAATTGGAATGTGTTCTAAGGTCAATTAATCATCTTTCCTAGTAGTTTGAAGCAATTTTATTTTTTGGCCAAATTTGGAAAAAATACAAGGGGTAAGCCTTACTTTTTTTTGTGAATTTTTTTCAAAATTTACTTTTCTCCAAACAATACAGAAATTCCTTTGAAATGTCCATCCATCCAGAAATCGAATTGGAATGTGATCTTAGGTTCGTTAGGCATTATTCCTGCAAGTTTGAAGCAATTTTATTTTTTTGGTCAAAATTCCAAAAAATGCAAGGGGTTAGCCTTCCTTTTTTAGTGAAATTTGTTCAAAAATAAACTTTTCTCCAAACAATACAGCAATTCCTTTGAAGTGTCCATCCATTCAGAAATCGAATTGGAATGTGTTCTAAGGTCAATTACTCATCTTTCCTAGTAGTTTGAAGCAATTTTATTTTTTGGCCAAATTTGGAAAAAAATACAAGGGGTAAGCCTTACTTTTTTAGTGAATTTTTTTCAAAAATTTACTTTTCTCCAAACAATACAGAAATTCCTTTGAAGTGTCCATCCATCCAGAAATCGAATCGGAATGTGCTCTGAGGTCCATTAGGCATCTTTCCTAGAAGTTTGAAGCAATTTTATTTTTTGGCCAAAATTCCACAAAATGCAAGGGGTTAGCCTTACTTTTTTAGTGAAATTTGTTCCAAAATTAACTTTTCTCCAAACAATACAGAAATTCCTTTTAAGTGTCCATCCAGCCAGAAATCGAATTGGAATATGTTCTAAGGTCCTTTAGGCATCTTTCCTAGAAGTTTGAAGCAATTATATTTTTTGGCCAAAATTGTAAAAAATGCAAGGGGTTAGCCTTCCTTTCTTAGTGAAATTTGTTCAAAAATAAACTTTTCTCCAAACAACACAGAAATTCCTTTGCAGTGTCCATCCATCCATCCAGAAATCGAATTGGAATGTGTTCTCAGGTCCAGTAGGCATCTTTCCTAGAAGTTTGAAGTAATTTTATTTTGGTGGCCAAAATTGGAAATAATGCAAGGGGTTAGCCTTACTTTTTTAGTGAAAAATGTTCAAATATTAACTTTTCTCCAAACAATGCAGAAATTACTTTGAAGTGCCCATCCATCCAGAAATCGAATTGGAATGTGTTTTACGGTCCATTAGGCATCTTTCCTAGAAGTTTGAAGCTATTTCAAGTTTTGGCCAAAATTTAAAAAAAATACAAGGGGTTAGCCTTACTTTTTTAGTGAAATTTGGTCAAAAATTGACTTTTTTCGAAACAATACAGCTATTCCTTTGAAGTGTCCATCCATCCAGAAATCGAATTGGAATGTGTTCTCAGGTTCATTAGGCATATTTGCTAGAAGTTTGAAGCAATTAAAATTTGTGGCCAAAATTGAAGAAAAAAAAGGAAAGGGGTTAGCCTCACTTTTTTAGTGAAACTTTGGTCAAAAGAACGTTATCAAAGCGAGGGTCGAAGGACAAATAGTCTGGTTACTTCGTGCACACAAATTATTATCATTCAGCACTGTTATTGGATACAGGGAACATGACTAAAATGGTGGCAGCATGATGAAGGTCTATAGGCCCATATCACTGATGACTGACTGATTCAATGGGTATAAATAACGTAAATTATAATAAATGTGTGCAATGCTCTCAGTCGGATGTCAAATAAAGTTGATTACTTTTAGAATAAACCATTTAGTGACAAAATTGCTCCAAAACTTTGTAATCATTAATCACAAATCCCATTATTTGAGTTCCGACAATAATTTTGTTCTCGCAGGTTAGTCTTGTTTCCGCCTCTGTATCGGAATCATTCATGCGGAGACCGGGAACCAGTCCATTCCCAATGCAGATATGTTAGTTAATTATGAAGCCCCTTTTCAGGGCGTTGCAGATGTCTAAAAAAAAAAGAAGGGAGGCAGTAGATTTCCCCCTTTCGAATATAACTTACTATTTTGTGAATTTGTTAGGTAAAAAAGGAGAATATTGTTCAAACGAATGAACAGTACATCTTTAACGTATATAGGCCCTATGGCCGTTTATAATAAGCGCGTCGATGTGGATTGTTGGAGTGCCAATTTTTCAGCTTAAAGAGACACTGCGTCCTGGAATGAGCCTAATTTGGCTACAAAACGCGTTTTGAACGAAATGCTGTTAAATCGGAAAGAACATTTAAAAGTAGGATAGAAACATCCACACAAGTATCCTTTTAAAATTTGGCGTTTTTCTTTTATTCTTGTGTTATGCGTGCCAGAACGTACGACTTTCGGGGTCCACTTTTGCAACCCCAAAAATTCGGGGTTATGCTAGTTGTGATTCCAGCCATAAAGTGTTCGCCTTTTGCGGACGTGTACAAACCACATTTGTGCATTGGTGCTGTGTGTAATTTTATGTGACATCATTTTATGTGACATAGTGTATCGTACGTGTATCGTAAATTGTCTGAAAGGACAGGATGAACGTTTGCATACTCCGTTGTGTCCGACTGGTAAACAACCAGGGTTTTTTTCGTCCTTTCTCGGGAACTGTAAGTCATTAAGTTGCTTTCCTTTCAATCAGATGTTTGAAATAGGATAAGTATATAAAACATCCAAAACATGCAAATTTCGTCGACTTCAGGACGCAGAACCTCAAACAGCCGTATACTATGCACGTGTCCTTATGAGAGACTTATGGGCCTGTTTTACCTGTAAACTAACAATGACAAAAAATGTACGCCACTTTGTGTAAAAAAAACCTGAGCGTTTGAAGTGAACGCTGAGTCCGAATTGTATAATAACATTGGTGTGAAATCGTGCGCAAGGCATCAACTTAAAAAAAAGTATTTGAAGGCCTGGTAAGAAAAGGCACATGGCGGTGATAGGGGGGATGGAGTTGAACGAGTATGAACCAAAAGGTTTCAACACTTGAGTGACAGAGAGCAATTGGCACTGCCCATGCCTCAACATCTCTCAGCTGTGCGAAGGGTCGAGGAAATCATGCCTCGAAGGTGCTTGTAACAGGGCAACGATTCACCGATGATGTTGCACGTGTGTGTCCTCGATTTAAGCTACACCATAAAAAAACGCATGTTTAAGTTACATACCTAGTGTGGACATTCTTTTGTTTTCGTGTAGTTAAGAAAAGCCTGTGAAAAAAACTCATTTTACTCACACTATTTTGCCACGGATAAACCTAACCCAAAAATGCCTCTAAACCTGTTTTCCAGAGAGGGGTATCATTGTGTGGACGTGGGCATGTCCACACAACGTCGCTGCTACCTGGTTTATGTGGACATCTTTTGTTCGGAAGTCCACGCATTGAATGTAATGCTTGCACACGTTTGTTATGATGTAAATCGAGGATTCTCTTTTGTTCCTCTTCCCTTTGCCTTTGTTTGTACCCTAACTTTTTCGCAACAGCTCTGATTGGTTATGTACACGTTTTCAAATCCAGGTCGTCCTCGATTTGGTTCCTGTCCTCGATTCACCAATGATTTTTTACGTGTGTGTCCTCGATTTACACCAAAAATAAACGCACACACACCCACACCTATTTGATTTTACGGAGGCCAAGTGTCCGTTGAAAAAAAAGTTTCTACATTTCAGCACGGAAGTGCCAAAAAAAGCCTTTTATTACTGAATCAAATCAAGTGCCCCTTTTTGGTGATGCAAACAAAGGTTAAAAACATACGTCCCTTCTCCTATAGTCAAAGATTTTCGCGCCCTTTCTCACAATTTTATTATTACAAATCACGAAAAGTGTCGTTTCAAGTGACTGAAGACGAGCATCTTGTCACTGTGCAGTAGCGGATCGACGGAGGTCTTAACCTCCTCTCTCCCGGGCCCGCGAAAATAGAAAAATCATGCAGAAAAGGGGAGCTCATGCGTGTTTAACGAGCCCCTTGACATCTCCCCCCCCCCCCCCCCCCCCCACCCGCCTCCCCATCCGAAGCTGGTCTCGCAACTGCTCTGAGGCTGCAGTTCCAATTACCTTAATGACGATATTGTTAACATGATTTCAGTTGCGTCACAATAGGACGTCTTTTCTAATTATCATTCCTGCCTACGCAATATCTAATTAGTCCAATAAGGATACCTATAGAGGGATATCTAATTAGTCCAATAACGAGACAAATAGAAGGAGTCGCAGCCTTGTGTAGACTCCCCATGCTTTAACGATTCAAATCGTACACGAGATTCAGATTAGAATTTAAGAATCATGTTTTTTCTTTCCTACAGTGTGTCTAAAAAATATTGCAAACAATATATAACGGAATGCCAAACAGGTGTAACCAACATCGATAATATAGGTTTGGTTTTAAAAATTACGCCTTTCCTCTTTAAAATGAGACATTAAACGTCAAAATCTGATAATTTTTTACAGAGTTATTAGTAATTTTCCAACACTTTAGAAAAGGTTGGTGTATGTTTTAGTCAATTTGTAAAACAATTATTTCATTGCTTTTTAATGTGTGTAATTGTGTGTGTGTTAATGTTATCAATCGAATTGTCTGCTAATGCCCATAACAGAGGTGCAAAGATCTGCCCTCCGGACGGCGCCCTGCACCCTTAAAACAACTAATAGTCAAATCTTTGACGGGTTTTCAGAGCTATCGAAAATTGACTAGGAAATAGTTAAACGTTCACAGTTTCATACTATGACTAGAACAAGAAGTTTGATTTAACTACAAATTTAGTTATTTGCATAACTATTTTTCAATCCTAGCTGGAAAAATCTAGTCAGATTGACTGATTTTCAATTGCACCCAGCTGACCCTGAATGGCTGATCAAATTTCACTGGTTTCTAGTCAAATCTGACTAATAGGTTTGTTTAGAGTGTGTATAACAGGTCTGTACAGTGGCTGAAATTCATCTCAACTAATTTCTTTTTGTTTTTGTTTTTCATTCCGTCAGCTCAGAGAATACAAATTAGCGAAGCCACTCGGGACCAGATTGTGAGCGAGAAAACCCACCCACACGGGAGACAATTTGTCATTGCGCCTCGGGGATCTACGGCGGTCAAAGTAGGTGGAAAACAAAATACATGCATGTGAGTATAAAAAACAACGAAACCGAAATGTCGGGACTACTTAGTGGAGTTCTGCATGTAGCACTGTCAAAATCTAGGATATGAAAGCCCAAATCAAAGGCTTTCTTTTAGTACAGGAATCATTCAAAACACTCATGTACTTTTGGAGTTACTTTTATAGACAACCACCGTTTAAAGTTCTGTCCACGGATTACCATACAAAAAAAACAAGGTGTGCGTTCTTTCAATACAATATACACACCCCTGCGCTACATGCAGAACATCACTCAAACAATGGTCCCGACCTTTGGGTTTCGGGTTTTTTTTTACTCACCCTGTATCAAAGGCATAGGCTATAGGATCATTCGCATTTATCCGCAAAAGAAACTTTTCCCGAACTGTTAAAAAAAACCTTAGAATCAAGATTGTACTGCTGCAGTGCGATCTTTAATTAATCTCAGTATACTGGTACTCGACAACCCGTGATATTATTCCATCTAGCTTGCTGTCATTTAGAAGCTAAAAGAATCAATATATTTTGAGTCAAAATGTGTGCCATTTCAAGGCAGACTCTTCACTGTAAAAAAAAAAAGTTGGAAGGAATCAGTGCTGGGCAATGCTATTTGCCTAACATTGGTTTAAACGTGTCACCGTTATTGTTGATTATGTCGGGTAACAAAAATGACCAACAGTATATTAGAGGATTTTTGCGGACCTCTACGCCATTTGTGATTGACATTGGTTTCTCTGTCAATACTGTACAGGGCAAGGGAATGATGCGGACGTATTGGCTGTGCGAGGAATTAACTACCAGGCGATTGATCGGGAGGCACACCGCTGGATTGGATTGAGCAATCACCGCCCACGAACGAAAAACGCTCGTGAAAAACAACTGGCTCTGATCATTCTGCGCTGTGTGATTTTTAACAACAAAAGATAGAAAATGTAATTCGGACTCTTGTTGACTGAGAACCAGTAATGATGCCTAATTGGGCCCTGTGCCACACTCGGAAATTAACATGCAACTTGTATCCCGGTAATCTCTAAGATATAAAAGACAGGAACGTTTTAGTTCCCTGTTATACAGTGTGTATCAAAAACTGAATGTGAACAAAATATAACGGAATGCCAGACATAGAATGTGTGACCATCATAGACAATATAGGTACGATTTCAAAGATACGCTTTTCCACTTTGCAATGAGACATCAAACGTCCAAATCTGATAATTTTCGACAGAGTTATGAGTAATTTTAACGAGAGAGGTCAAATTGACCATGGGACGAAGTTTCGTTTTAAGGCATTGGGATGAAGGTAGCATATATAATTGCCTCTGTGGTGTGGATATTTGCCTGGCCTACACAAATTAATGTGTTTAGCGAGTGAACACAATTCCATACACTTCTTGCTATTAGTTTGTAAACGTGTTTACATGCTAAACATTTTTAGCATGAGGTGATAACAAGAAAGTGTTGAGAATTGTGATTACTCGCTCAACACATTTTTTTTTTGTAGACCAGGCAAGTATCCACACAGAGGCAATTAGGCTACCTCTGTCCCAACGCCTAAAATTAAAAACTTAATCCCATGGTCAATTTGACCTCTCTTGGTAAATTACTCATAACCGTGTCAAAATATCAGAAGTTTTCGAAAGTGGAAGGTCATTTTTTTTTTTGGCACGACATTTCTCTTTCACGTCATGCGCTTTTTCAGTTTCCGTAAAATTCCGAGAGCGATTTCCTTAAGAAATCACTGTACCAAAACCAATTTCGAAAACTCTGACTTTTACACGTTAATTTGCATAACTTGTAAATAAAGTTTACACATCACTAATTGATAACTTACGTCCTCTCGAAATGTTTGTTACAAGTAAGATACAATGATCGTAGTAAATTATTCGCGTGAAGTGTTGTGCATGCCTTACTACTAAAGAAAACCATTTATTTCTGCAAAAATATATATATACCAGAAAAGCAAACTGACAAAAACCTCTTTAAATGGAATACATTTTGTATAGGTCTATGTGTTCAATTTACAGTGTATTACCAATCATTATTAATTTCAGTTTCGTTGCGGATCATACACAAATCCAGACATACTAAAATTTGTATCCTTAATTTGTGGAGTCATTTTTTTGTTCTCGTGTACTAAAGTTTTCGAGTTTACAAGTGTACTTTCAAAATGCTCCTATTTTAACCAGAATTAATTTCCTGGGCTGAAATTCGGACTTAATATCCCTCAGTACATAAAATACTTCAATTTGCGACGGATCAACACACCTTGGAAATTCCTAGTTTTTGAGTAAAATCCATAATATCTATTTCGTGATAACCTTGTGGAGACGTATTCACCTATAGAAATTGCTCTTTGGAGACTTTTGTTCCCTGTTGTGCACATGTCTCCGCAGGGTGCCGTGTACCAGACCTTTTAGGAATGCTGAAAACCTGCACCTCGTACAAATGTGGTGTGGCCGAAATGATCCAGAATCTCCACGAAGGTTAGGATGCTGCCGCCTAACCACAGGCCTAGGGCGCCCCCTAGATCACCTGGAGGAGAGAAGTGGGACAGAGAAAGGATGATGTCATTGATTTCTCACAGTTGGTCTTTAATTTGTAAATGTTGATCGTAAAAAAAAAACGCACGGGCAAAAAGAAGAGACCATTCGTTTATGTTTACTCTGTAGATTTGTAGAGTAGAAAAAAGCTGGGAACTAGTAAGCACTCAGAGAGCGCAACCCCCCGCCAAAGCTGGACAATTTCCAGCCATATTGTCAGTGCACCCAAAAGAAATACTCGCATACTCGCTCGTATTCTGAATTTATCGAAAAATAACAATGTTGACCGCTTTATATCGTGTAAGACAGTGTTAGTTATTCAATAAAACAAATCCTTAAACTCAAACATGCATGTACACTCCTGTGTCGGTGTACCTCTCCACTCCCCCTTGTGTAAAATGGTCTAGTCCATTGACCTGTGTGGTTCGATTTGGTGGGTGATAAGGCCTGAAAGTACGCCATGTTGTCTTTGAGCTTCCGGATACCTCCATGACCCTTCTATGTGCATTTTACACACTAGGGTTGCCCTTTCTCTTGCTTTCATTTTCGACGGAATTCTAATCGTCATCACCCCCTAGAAACGCTCATGTTGGAATTATATTTTCATAGAAAATAAAGATATGATTAGAAATCAGTTGCAGACACTAAAATAAAGTTTACCTACGACCTTTCACATGCATTTGCGTACTCAGGTCTCCTTGTTTGATAACATTTGATCGCGTTCAACGGCCATTTTAGATTTGTTTGTAAGTAAGAATGGGTCCTTCACATTTGTTTTTTTTTTAATCGGGTGTCAAAACTAAATGTTCATCTTTGTACGAGTACATTTTGTACACCGACTGTGTATTTTAGATTTTGAGGTCAATTTGTGGTACGATATTTCTCCTTCACGTCAGTCGATTGATGTCTCAGTTTCCATAAACTGAGATACTACTAACAATTTTACAAAAGCCTTTTTCGAGGGTGATTGGAAATCAATGGACCAAAAAAAATTGCAACTTTTATAATTAATGGCGTTAATTTTCCTATTCAGGGAATCCGGAAACGCGTCACTAGGGTGAACTTTCAGGTTCTGTTATGAACATATACTGACTAAAACAATATCAATTCTGCATACAACAGGACACTGTCACAATATTATTTACAAAACTAAAGTGTCCCATAAGTTATATGTTATATACGTACACAGCAATGCAAAGAACGTGTATGCTTCCTGCTGTTTAATGCTCTCAACACTCAGCTCCTCGTAGTAAATTTCAATCTTCAGCGTGTTTGAACTGTGGAAAAGATACTCATGAATTATGAATTAGGGCGATTCGCAATGCAGTGCGCCACCAAGAGTTTGCCACGGAGAGTTCGTTTTTCAAGTTTACGGTCGACACAACATGATCCATTTGAACGAGTGTCAGTAGAAAACTTGATCTAATTTGTTATAGATTGGGGCATAGCGTTCTGCCGCAATACAAAAAAACTCAATGTTCATACAAAGAAAAGTAAAGGCCAAACAGATACTCGATTCATACGCTTACGAACTTTCTGGCAGGAAAAACAAACAATTTCAAATGTCGACCCGCGCTTCAAATTTGTCGACCATCTCCCACAATGCACTGGGAAAAATGAACTCTCCGTGGCAAACTCTTGGTGGCGCACTGCATTATGAATCGCCCGAATTAAGGGTAGCAACTAGCACATGCCTCGGATGAAAATTCTCCCAAACGTCATTAGATTAACCCCCAAACTTTGAACAGAAAATGAAAGATGATGAAATAAGCTTTAATTTGATGCTTGTCTTGAACAGCTCATAGAGAGTTGTGATTATTTTTCAAATAATTTTTGTAAGTGCGCGTAATTACCACCATGTTCTATGGCAGTATATTTACTGGTCTGGACCCTTGAAGTCACTCACAGAAAACCTACGCAGCGTTTGCAGTGAACACCGCAAGGTCAGGAGGTCTTATCATATGGAGAAAAAAAATCACCAAATTCACCCCCGGAAATTGACCAGGAGAACAGAAAATATACTCAATGATCAAAAAAGGATGATATAACTCACCTAAAATAATCCGCTGTGGCGCCAGACTCACTGTACAGATCCACCAGCGTCTGGATGTAAAAATCTGAAGGGAACGTGGAGGCTGATAGACTGGTAGTGTAAGTGGTCTGGTAGCAGGGAATGGGACACTCGCACGTGCCTTCTCTGTTGAAACTGTCTGTGAAACGGACCAAAAACAGATCAAGTCTCTCAATTTGAACACAACCAAGTATATGTGGCCAATAAAGAGAAGTGGTTGATGACAATTTCCATGGTTGGTCATTTGGAAGGATAACAGTATTAGTAAGATGAACAAGGTCGGATTCAGAGCCGAATTATCGGGGGGGGGGACGCCGACCGGCCTGGAGAGCATGTGACGGTATAGGGGGCGCTTTCCTCACTGTTATCCTTCTTTCTGTTCATATTTCCCCAATCCATAAAGCAAAGGGGGATGAGTAGCATCCATTAACACCCTTCGTCTTTACCCTTCTTTCATTTCATTTCATTTCAAATTGGTTTATTATAAAACATCATGAGTCGCAGCCAAGGGTTGAATTGAACGTGATTTACATTTTTTTTTTAAATATAAAATTACAACAATTCTATAACAATTATGATGTACATGTTAACATGTTCCTGATAATACCTACAAAACACAATACAAGACGAGAACATTTAAATATAATTGAATGAACAGTGCCCCTAGTCTGTAACGACTATTGGTTAAAAAAACATTGAAGAGCTCCGGAACGGCTGTCTTGATCCAGGCGCCTTACACATAATTAATATAAAAAGGTTCCACCACCACCTCCCAACCCAATTTGAAAATGTACGTGAAATTCAAGAAAGTCGGGAAGAAACTTAGCCAAATTTCATCCAAAGTTGAAGTTACAGCGTTAACGTCTCAAACCACAAATCAATGTGTTTCGTTGTGGAGGCTAATCAGTCCTTCGGTTCGGTGCGCAGTAAACGCAAGCTTGCGCAACACCAGATTAACTGACTCAGGTGTTTCGGACAAATTCTGCGGAGATTTTTGCCTCTGGTCAGTTCAAATCACTTTTGTTCCCCCAATGCGGTGATAATGTCGTCACCGACACCACGAACTGACACCCGGTGGTCAGCGTTGCAGAAATACAAATCGGAGAAAAACGCTTTTAAAGGTTTGACACGAATTTATTCAGTAAAATATTCCATTTCTCTTAGAGGTTTAAGTATCACTCAAAGTAAAAATGCTTTCACTACTCAATTATAAACGTTATATTGTAAAAATCTGCTTAGTTAATTAGCAATTAAATGATTAAGATGGGTGTCAGTTCGTGAAAACCAAAATGTACGTGTTTTCGGAGAGTGCGCGCATGCAATAGCGTTAGTGAGTGTCAGTTCGTGAAAACCAAAATTGACGCGTTTTGGGAGAGTGCGCGCACACACTGCGCATGCGTGCGCGCACTCTCCCAAAACGCGTCAATTTTGGTTTTCACGAACTGACACTCACTAACGCTATTGCATGCGCGCACTCTCCGAAAACACGTACATTTTGGTTTTCACGAACTGACACCCTGTGTAGTGTCACTTCGTGGTAACCAAAAATACCAGAATTGACAAATTTCTTGAAAATTCATTAGTAAAATTCGCTTATTTTAGATGATTTCAGCAATTTTAACCTCGTCATGTTAAACTTCATGATACAAACTGCTAATATGTGCAAAAAAAGAAAATTTGAATTTTTAATTTTTTTTGTACACATGTGATGCAGAGGGTGTCAGTTCGTGGTGTCGGTGACGATGTGATTAGATTAAACGCCGCGGGCTAAGGTGGTTTGGTTTGCGCAGACGATGTGTTACATCAAATCACCATGCTCTCCGGAGAACTCCTTTTGAAAAGAGAGTTGATGAAATGCAGCGAGTGAGAACTCTAATCCTGTTAAAACTTCAAACATAAACCTCGTTTTGGGGGAGACTGAAAAGAAAACAATGGATTCGAATGTAAAATGGGAGAGGGGTCTTCCTTGCTGCGGCCTTACGTCCCAAATAGTTATTGGGTAAAAATGATAAGCAATGGACGCACAGTACATGTATTCTTCGAGGTTATCACCGTGGGCGTTGCCAGGATTTGTTCTAGAGGGGGGCAAAACATATTTTTGCCAAAAAATGTCTGTATTTCTCAACACATTCTCGATTTATCAGTTTTAGAGGGGGAAGGGACATTTTGCCCCCCCCCCCCGAACCCATTAAATTTACACCACTATGACTTTGCGCCTCTTTTTCTTTTCTTTTCTCTCTCTCTTTTTTTCTTTTCTTTTCCGGCCTTTGCCCCCCCCCCCCCTGCGACGCCCATGGTTACCACATTATCCTACCTATTCGTGTTTCTCAATGCCTTTTGTCGTGATCAAGTCACAAAGAAACATCTTTGTCTCGTTTCATATTTGTTTTCATTTTGCAATTTTTGCAATTAAATGTACTTATATGTCAACCTACCTGTTGCCACAAAAACGCATGAAAATACTTTGGCGGGGTTGCAGACGGGCAAATCACCAGAGACTGGAGGGAGGATACAAAATTTAAAAAAAAACGAACTGTTAAATTCATGAAAAGGCCCAAAGCGGACCTCGTTCTTTTGGATAATCATTTCAACAGCTGTTCTCATTTACTGTTCGAAAATGTGCGTGTTCACCGAATACGGCTAGTGTCGTAAAAATATTTTGAAGTCATTCTTAATGATACATGAATAGCAAATTGCAAAGTACCAAGGTCACGAACAGGAATAATGTCACACTTCGACCCTAAATTTCTCGAATGACCCACATAGCAGTCGCCTTCAAGCAAAACTGGACAGCTAAGCTGTTTGTTCAAGTCTTAACACTTACCATCCATGTATGGCTCCACGCAACCGCACGCCTCAAGTACATAATCGATCAGGCATTCCTGGCGACAGGTGTTCTTCGTGTAGGAACTGAAATATTTCAGTTCTTTGGAGCCGCATTCACCATAAGGAGGTTCTAGATTTATAGCCTGATAAAAGCAAACAAGTTCGAGTGCATAATAAGCTCTGGCCGTGTTGCAAAAGGTCTTGCGTGAAAGTCTTGCATGAAATCGATCAAAATGATCCCTGCCAGAGCTGAAAAATGTGACGCTGAAAAATGTGCCGCAGATGGCACGTATGGAACACCATACTTTTGGTCAATTTTCGGGACAGACAGAGCAATCGACCACCAAGTGACATGTAAAGCTCCTGCAAGAGCTTGAATATGTTTGAGAACGATTTTCCTATCTCAAGTACCAATTGACAAAGTGTTTTTACACGTTTGTTTATGGTGTAAATCGAGGACACACACGTGCAACATCATCGGTGAATCGAGGTCAGAAACCAAATCGAGGACTCCTCGGTTGTACAAACAAAGGAAAACTGATTAAAGGGAATATACATCATTTGCTTTTGCTGTAATTTTCAGAAATGGATGGAATTGGGGGGTTGGAAATATATAGCAAATATTGTTACACTGACTTTTTTGAGGTTTTGGGTTCGTAAATGCTATAAAAACCAAGAAAAACAATCATTTTCATGTAGTCTGGTTCCCTGACTCCATATAAGAAGAAACAGAGCAGTTTACATACATTGGGGAATTGTAAGGTCAAGGAACCAGTCTAGCTGGCTTGTACCCGTTTATAGGTGTGTAATCGATTGCAAACAAGTGCGATGGTCAATTGGGGCCAGTATTTGAAAAAAGCCAGTTTTTTTCCAACGCTGGTCGGCCGACCAGCGTTGGAAATTGATACAAAAATACCACTTTTCTTGAAAATGACAGTATACCAGGTGCCATGATTTTACAGGATGCTTTACACTGTCATTCACTAACAGTCCAGCAAGATATTTCAAAATGATTTGGTAGTTTTATTTTTTGATGTTTGCAAATGTTGTATTTTCCCTTTAAGGCACAACAAACAGGGGTGTGTCCATCAATTGATATACCTCTGTCCTTTTCAGCCCGATGCGGACCTCCGTGCCTGGAGCCACGCCCACACCTAGGGAGTCCACCTGCGGCACGTCACTCTGGTTGTGAACGGCAACAATGAACCCCGCAGAAACCTGGAGTGACTTGGAGGAGTAGTAGTAAAGGTACTGCTGGGCGTCTAGCATCAGACTCAGGCCGTGGCCCTTCCCTGCAAGGAAAAGGTGGACCAGACGACAGCTCATCAATTAATTTGAAATCTCACATCAGCGCCGTTTACATTTAAAAGTTGGCCTTCAAGCAAACATGAGTTTCCCGATGTATTCCCCACAACGCTTCCAAACTCGAATGAAAAGCAAATAGGCCACGTACACCAGTGGGTTCTCATGCGCTTAAGATTGGTTTCAGGAGTGTGCAGTATAACGTCAGTAGCCTAAATAATCACCGCAAAAAATTACACTCATTTGAGGGGCCATATTTTTAATCTGATCGTCTTCATGAGAACGCCGTTTATATAGACCTTTATTAGCTACATTTTTTATACCCCGTTTGCTACCAAAGACTGTAAATCGTCTAAGATTAACAACGGTTTATGAAAAATGATGCAGTTTGAAAAGTTGCAAATTTAAAGAGTACGAAAATGGAAATTGGGGTGTGAAAAAGTCGCACCGCCCGACACGAACGGCAGGGAATACCGATCGCTTTGAATTACCCGCGCTTTGTTCGGGCACTTGTGCAGTCGATAGGGGCCAATGACGGGCATGTTTGGTTACGCTTAGCAATTTCTCCTCGCGTAATCTTTAAATTTGCAACTTTCCAAACTGCATAATTGTTCATAAACTGTTGTTAATCTTGGTCGATTTACAGTCTTTGGTAGCAAACGGGGGTATTAAAATGTAGCTAACAAAATTCCCAAAAGGTCTATATAAATGACGTCATCATAAGACAGTCAGATTCAAAATTATCACCCCTCCAATGAGTGTAAACCTTCTTTTTTTGCGGTGTTTATATTATATGTCAAGTAATACGCATAACGCGTATATATCACATTATTTTTTCTGCTTTTTTTTTCCAAGTTAAATTGGCGTTATTCCCGTACCTGCAACTCTCTGTTTCAAAGGTTCTTCTCCGTCCAACCCAGCATTAAACGTGTGACAAACGCCGAAATCGGTGATGACTCTGGTGAAATTAGCTGGGGTTAGACCCAAGCCGTCCCAGAAAGCTCTGCACAGCGGCACAAAATAGATTAAACGAGAACGAAGATGAAAGACCATCAAAGGAAATAGAAAAGTACCAGGTCATATTTAAGCTGATCTAAACCTTTCGGGATCAAGGTTTCCTGGTCAAAATGACAAAAACAATGATCCAGAGTATAGTGTCATTTTGGACCCTTAAAAGTATCAGGACAAACATGATCCGAATTCCAGATGAAATATACATCACAATTTATGTGTTTTTTTTCTGTATGGTCGTCTGGTTCGTCTAAACAGAAAATAATGTCAATGCGTAACTTTTTGAAAATCCGCTCCAACAAAATGTGGCCGCCATGAAACTGAAGGAAAATTTGATCGCAAATCTTAGCTGTTCTTTCAGTTTAAGACGTAATGTTGTAAAAGGATGTAGACACCAGGAATGTTAATGACAGTTTGATGAGCCGTTTTTAACCAGTCACCAGTCTTCTGACGACTAACAGAGCATACCGTCTGACATACTGAGCTTCTCCTCTTAACAGTCATACATGTTATTATTAACGGAAAGGTAAGACGGCGCCCGTTGTTGAGAAAGGGCGCCCTCCTCTCCTAATGACAGGGAGCAGATTGGTTATTAGTCACAGTGTACGATGTAAATTTATTTCAGGTGGTTCTCTGCTGGCTTCTTTTGATTAAATAATACTTTCTGAGCATTTCTTGTTTTTGTTTTATCACTTTCATACTTACATGATTATACTCACATGATTAACATTTGATTATAGTCCATTTCGTGGGCAAGCTGAAGATACATTTCTGTCGTATTAACCTTAGCCAGAGCCGCTTCGTACGTGGAGTAATTGACTGGTTGATAAAAGTGTGCCGTGTTGGAGTACTCGGTGAGCAGTGAAGCGAATGGATGGTACGTCACGTTACTGTATACAGCTAGGTTTCTGGGGGAAAAGCATTATCAGGAATGAAACAGACGCGATGAATTTTTAGAGCTTAGTGGCAGCAAACACGATCGAGAAGCAACCACGATTGAGAAGGACCGGACCGGTTCGCTCCTTCTCAATCGTTTGCGTCATGTGCGAATGTGCGCATGTTCAAAATGAGTCAAAAAAGGACCAGTGTGTTTGCTGCCACCAAGCGTCTCAAAAGCCCCAAACTGCATAGGTTTCAAATACTAAAAAAGTAGTGCCCCTCTCTTTATTGATATTTGCCAGAGACACTTTCGGAAACTGCACATTCGTAGCCTATTGCCATTTTGAAGTAGGCTGGTTCCGCGCAAACATTACCGTCGTGATTTTGAATTCAGGAGGCGGGATTCAGACCTATGCTCGTCCTACATATAAATTTGCATACATTTGGAGGAAAACCTCCCAAATTACACGGGATTCACTGCTACCTAATATCTATCCCCATATTTCAAGTCCAAAGGACGAGGGAGGGACAGGGCACCAGTCGACCCATTCCTGATCATCAAAAATAAACAAATATATTATTCAAATGCTCATGGGTTTCTAAGAATTGTGCTTAATCTGTTACATGTGTAAAGTGCTAACGACAAATACAGCATGACCCGTTTTGAGGAGAAGAAGTTGGAATTACTGGTCCCGAGGTGTAGGTCAGCTTGACTACCTCTCGACACAAAGCAAAGGGAGGTAGTCAAGCTGACCCACACCCAGTAACTCCAACTATTTTCCAGAAATAAAACATGCTACATTTGTTTTACAACACCTCATAAATATTTTGTAGCCTCACTGTCTTTTTAGTAGCCTCACTGCCTTGTCGATAACGGCCTTCCAAGATTTTGCATATTTATTCAACACAATTCAAGTTCTTTGTCACAGTATGAAATAGTCCGGCGCCACAACTCTTTTAAGTGTTTTTACTGCAGCAGTAACAAGCATTGCAACAACAGACTGGTTCCGCAAAGATTGCATGCCATAGACTACATGCGGAGTTTTTTGGTGCTACCAGACAAAAATCCCGCACGGCAGCAACCTCGTCCCTAGGGTGTCGAGCAGTACGCGCCCACCACTAGCTGCTCTCTCACCCTAGTATTGGATCATTTGCATGTGCAAGATTTTTGAACACATATGCAAATGAGAAATAGTCTGGTGCCTGCCTGTGCGTAACATTTGGGTTTGTTTTTGTATGTGGTGTCTGGGGTAAAAACAGAATCAATTCGTCGCAGCGCGAGCATGGCGTGAGTTACGAAAACACGATTTTATTTTAATTAAACTGTTACGATCTTATCAAGACAACATGCAGTATTACATTTCATATTAATATGAACAAATTGGAAGGAAAATTAATATTTTCGAGAAGGCATGGACGAATGATTGCGAAAACACGTACTGCACGTTGTGAATAACAACACCAAGTACACGATATAAATCCATGTCTGGCCAATTGCGGTATCGAATCAGGATACAGGAAGAAAGTTTCCTTTCCATGCAGGGCTTACTATTGCAAACGATGTTGCAAATAAAGTAAGCACTGGGGACGAGGTTGGCACGGCAGCGAGCTGGATACTCACTGGGATGACGTCACCTGGGCGCGCATTATTTTTAACTTCCCGGACGCGCGGCGGAATTGGCCAATGGCGCGCTCCAATTTGATCATGAATATTTATGAGGTGTACCTGTAGTTGTTGTGGTTGCAGATGGTGACGGCCGGGAACGTCAGAGGACTGATGTACTTGATCTCAAAGTCCACGCTCTTAGGGTTGCTGGCAAAGTATAAAGCCCTGTCGGCAGTCTGATAGCAGGCCGCTGCCACGCCCCCAAGAAGGGCAACCAACCAGACAAGCCTGTGCATTGAGAAGAAAGGCCAAGCTCAAATTCTAGTCTTAGATTCATCATGTCTTGGCGAATAATAAAAGCACATTCTGAGTAATGATGTGCAAACCCGACCCGAAACCGACCCGACCCGAAACCATCTTTTCAGTCGGGTCGGGTCGGTTTGTCCATCTTTTCAGTCGGGTCGGGTCGGTTTCGGTTTTGCATTTTCATTTTCGGGTCGGGTCGGGTCGGATAAGCCATCTTTTGAAAAAACCGAAATAAACCGAAACAGTTGAGAAATTTAGGTGATTTATTGACAGTCACTGTGACCGCAGCCCAGTGTGTGGTGTGGCTACAGAGCGCACTATCAAGTTTTCACGGTATTAATTTCTCCAGTCGGATGGGACTGACAGTGAAATAGATACATTGTAACAGTTTTCATGATACCGCGTGATGATCCCATGCGTTTGTTCAATAAGCGGAGTTACTCTCGATCAACCCACTGAGTATGACAGAGAGAGAGAGAGACAATGGTTTTGCAAAAGAATTCATGCCACGTGGGCCAGGGCAGGCACAAAAAAAGTGATCACTTTGTCCAAGCAAGGTGTTCGGGTTTTTTTTCGGTTTTTGTCGGGTCGGGTCGATTTGGGTCGGTTTAACTTTATTTTTTTGTCGGGTCGGGTCGGGTCGGTTTGAGGGAGTTAAGATCGGTTTCGGTTCGGATTCGGTTTATATCTCTAATGTTTCGGGTCGGTTTGGTAAGTTGGTCAACCCGACCCGATGCACATCATTAATTCTGAGGTGTAAATAAGGAGGCATGGCGATACTCACCCTCAGCTCGATCAAGGCCCAAGGTCCCCTCTTTGAATTTTAGCTATAGGTAAGTGTATGCGTACTGCTCTCAGAAGTGCGATTGTAAGCTCTGGCCGTGTCTTGCATGAAATCTATCAAAATGATCCCTGCCAGGGCTGGAAATAAATGCAATGCCGCAATGTGCGACGCCGATGGCACATACGGGACACCATGCCTCAGAGGCATACCTAGATTTATAGCCATTTGTGATGAATACCACGTGACTTTAACATCACTGCACATTAGTTTGCCTCTATTTACAAACTTTTAATAAACATCCTTCCGAATTGTAACAAACAATTTTTGTTAAGTAATTTAATTGATTTGGTTTGTTTTGTTTTTTTGTGTGAAAATTCAAATCTGGTGGTTATATTTTGTGGGAAACGTATGAGGCTTATTTTGGTCAATTTTCGGGGACAGACATAATATGCAAATTAAATGCGCATCGATCAACAACAACCCGCTGCTCCAAAAACCGTCGTCAATATTGCATATTATGACCACGGATAGCATTTGCTCAATTAGTCAACTATTTTTAATCAATTTTCCGGGGACAGACAGAGCGACCGACCGACCGCCAATTCTGTAGAAGCTCCTACCTGAGCTTAAAAATAATGAGGCCCATAAGTATGCAAACCCCATACCCTTGCACACACCACACAACAAATCGCAATTTTCAAAGCCTTTATATAGCGTACCGTGAAAGAAATAAGTCAAACTGAACGCCTCTGAGATGTCTGCACCAACAGGCGCAGAGAGACCAGGAAGCATTAACTTAAAACCAATAGACCATTATCATGTTGCGGCCATCTTGATTTTTTCCCCATCCAAATCAACCTAACCAAAGTGAGGATGGAAGGAAAAATTAGTCTGGTTCATTTTTGCTAAGAAAAAAACACATTATCATTCAGTACTGTTATTTGATACAGGGAACATGACTGAAATGGTTGCAGCATGATATTAAAGGTAGAGTCCATCATTTGTAATTTGTGCATTTTGTTCGTTTGAAGCAACAAAAGAGTTCAAAATCTAATGAAGGATACTGAGCAACTAACCTGATGAAGTTTCAGCTAAGCTTCAGCTGTACATTCCGAGAAAAACAGCATTCTAAGATCTCAATTTCAAATCAAAAGTTGCTGAATCATGTTTTGAATTGTTTTGAATTGCAACTATACGCGACGTCGCGCACTGATCCGACGAATTATAACAACCGCGCGCGCGTGTGCGTCGTTCGAATACTTGGGCGCGCTGCGCTGAATAACAAAACGAACTACTAATTTAAATTTTCCTACGGTGCTTCTTAAGAATCACCGTTGGAAATGCCTTCTTTCGTTGATTACTTCAAAATGACAGCTTCCCAGAAAGAATAATTTCACAGGGAGTTTAGTCTCCTTACTATCTTTCAACCAAGTTAGTTTTTCAACAATAATTACGCCAGTTACTTTTCGGATGGCTGCAAATGATGGACTCTACCTTTAAGGCCAAAAAAAAGTCTCCGGTTTCTGGTATGCGCGCGCGTCGCCGTAGCCATGCGCGTCGGCAAAAAGAAAAAGGTTTTTTTTTTTTTCAATGAAAGATGATGTCTCAAAACCGCCAAACTCACTGGTTTGACTGGAATCCTGCTGATGCACAATTTTAACGTGTTTTTAGATGGGGTTATGATCGAGAATAAGCTTTATGTGGCCTCTCTGGTCTCCCATAATATTTGCACTAAGTTTAGTCGGGCACCATTTGCACTCATCAGCCGACATTTGAAGAAAAAAAAACAGGTGAAAAAAAAGCCGCGTCGCCGCACCACTTTTTGGGAAAGCTCCATACCAGAAACCGGATACTTTTTTTGGCCTAAATGTCTATTATTCACTGAACGCACCTTCTGAGGAAGTGGTCCTGGTTGGAGACTATGAACTGAATCCCCGTGATTCCGACGGCATCTGGAAGCGTCGAGGTCCATGTTGACAGGTACTTAGACAAACGGGAGCTGCGGTACGTGCGCCCCGTACGAGACCCGTCGCGCCCCGCTGTCTGTTTACCATCCTCTGTGGCTCGTTTAGGCTCTCTCTCAATGTTCACCTCTTCGGTGTTAAACGATACGATGCTAATATCATCTTCGATTGGTCTCACTCTGATAACCATTTGTACTGGGAAGAAGTTCCCTCAGCCGCGAAGACAAGCTGTAGTCTTCAATTATTGAGGAAGAAATAGAAGACAAGTTCAGAAGCCTCCCCTTTATGTACCCTTGAAGTCTATCTGCAGTCGTATTTTTTAGTAAGGCTTTCTCGCAAATAAAGATCAACTGGCGTTTCCTGTGGTGGTAGATACATGCATGCACTGCAGCTACCGAGATGTTTGCTTTGACAACAGACTTAGCCTGCAACTTGAGCTAGCTGTATAATGGCCAAGTACTAAAATAAGTCGCAATCGATTTTTGTGTTTGCAGAGGAGGAAATTTGGTATGACTGTACTCATTAACAGATGTCAGTTCTGCGAATTAGATAGCTATGCATGCCCTCCGGTTGTGGAACTTTCCACCGTAGCCTTGTCAATACTGTTGTCGCCTTAGGCGTTTTCCCAATCAAGTAACGTGGTTTGTATGCAGTTGCATATGGTCTGGTAACACGGAGATCAAACTGTTTTACCATAATGGGACTTTAATGAGGCATTCGGGCCGGAGGCTATAGGGATGGGGTAAGATAATGTATAGGTGTTCTCGTTTACTCTATGTAAACCTCGCCCCCACTTAATTACTGGCAGAATCACTCTCAACACTTAAACCTTGGCTATTCATTACAAAGTTCCAGTTTAAACTTCACACAAATTCGTCATATTCGCCTTAGAAGACTGCGAAACTGCGAGTACTGAACCCCCTCCCCCCCCCCCACGCAAACACAGCTGATTTTTCATCGATTGCTGCCTTATTTTTCTAACCTCTCAGAAACACAAATGCCACAGAAGGCACGCCAGTCGAAGACATATAGGCCCTCCAGCTACTTCTGTGTTTGCTACGTCGCTGGTAAGCTTTAATGCACATTCCTGGACGAGTGGACAACAATAGAAAAGTCAGTGAAAAATCCACTGTGTATTGATTGAGCCATGATTGAGCAGACGCAGATACACGCATTCGGACGAGGACCATTTACTGTATGAGTGGTTAATGTTCGTGACGTAACTCACTCTGTGCACTAATAGCAACATGCGAACGTCTCACGTCAAACGCTAGTCAAAATGTCATCACAGCAATAATTATGTCTTGATTAATGACTCCATGCTGCGTAGATTGGTAATATCCAACGATGAAATCATGCCTCCAGCTCTGGTTCCTTATTGACGAGTGGAGTTGGTCGAACAATAGGTCGACCTGTGGCTACCTATGCTCCTACATACACCAATACCGTTGATTAAAGAACCCCATTAAAGATAGTTATGTCGCCTGTTTGTAGATGGAATTGGAGCAGCCCTGCAAGTCGGGGCTGGCCAGATGGCTTTTTAAACGCTGACAGGAGTTTCTGCATGTCACTTCGTTGTCGGTCTGTCTGTCTGTCCTAGGAATACTGACCAAAATAATTGCCCCAAGTTTCCCACAAAATTTAACAACCAAAAATGAATTTAAAAAAGCTAATATAATCAATTAAATACTTAACAAAAATAACTGTTTGCAACAATTCGGAAAGATGTTTATGAAAAGTTTGTGAATGGAGACAAAATAAGTGCAACAATCTATAGTCAAGTGCATCACAAATCGCTATAAATCTAGGTATCTTAAGTATGGTGTTCCACATGTGTCATTATCAGCGTCGCATTTTTGGGCGTCGCATTTTTAAGCTCTGGCAGGGATCAGCCGATAGATATTTCTTGCAAGGCGTTCATGCAGGACGCCCAAAGCTTAATGTGTGCTCGCACTTGTGTTTCACCCAGATTTTTCAGTGACAAGACGTTTTCTTTCTTTAACTATTTCAGATTCTACTTGGATTTCTTGATTTTTTTATCAAAAAAGTCAGGTACCAAAGTTAGCAGGAAAACGTGGGCGTTGACAGACCAATCTGAATTGTGGGAGGGTGTGACCCAGGGAGTCGTGATGATACCATCCAGTGTTGTAGTACTCGTACTCGGTACTCGTACTCGAGTACTACTGAGTACTTTTTTGGAGTACTCGTACTCGTACTCGTACTCGGACTCGGACTCGAATGTCAAAGTACTCGTACTCGAAATGACGGTGCTCGTACTCGGGCAGCAAAGTACTCGTACTCGACATGTCGAAATTGTACTCAATCATTAAAGTACTCGTACTCGAATAGCAGTACTCGGGGGGATGTTATAGCTTCACTTACCATGGCCTTATTTTATCGATACTTTCGGTTTCAAATGGTTGATTGGCTTGTGGAGAAATCGAGATTTCCTGAGTTTCCTCTGTGCAAATCCGGACAAACACATTTAACAGCTGGCCGTGAGCGGGTCTGTATATCGATCTGAGCTTATCGAAAACAGTTGGGAAAATTCTGAGAAAAAAACAACAGTATGTTGACAATAAGAAAGATGTCCAATGTACTTTCCTTTCGATGTTATCTATTTTGTTAAGACCCTGAGACAGTCCAATTATTCTTAATGGTAGTCGCCGTCCAATTAAGATGCAATTTACGCAAAAATCTCTCCTTCCTGTCATTAAGGGCACTTACGCTAAGACACATACGTTTCATCCGCACTTTCACTGCGCATGTGCAACTCCTAGTGTTATTTGCATTCGTAATGAGGACTCGCCACAAAAATATCGTCTGATAGGTATCTCCCATTATGACGTCATTTCCTACAGACCAGCCATGTGCATCGGCATTTTGAGCGTCAACTTGCATAACGCGCAGTTGCAGTTCTCCTACAGAGATGGCCGTCTTTGAGAAAGACCTCGACCACTTTATTTGGGAGCCGTTGTTGTTGTGTCACGATTTAGTTCATTCATTGCATATTTTGTCGAAGAAATGTTTTCTGAGAACGTTGATACAGTGATTTCATGAAACGACAGTCTTTTGTCGGAGGTTTGTTTACATTTAGGCATATTCTGTTTTCGACAAAAGCACAGTTTCAGAGGTTTCCCCGACAATCCTTCTTGTACATAAAGGTAGAGGGTATAGTCAAGTAATCAGATTTGTGAACACATTTCCACTATTTGTTTTAGCGCTTGGTTGACCGCGTTTAAAAATTGTTCAAAAACTGCTCTCAAAACATATTGAACACGTTAATTACGATCTCAGAAAATGAGTCAGGTTTGTTGCGGTTTGGTACCACGTATCGTAAGCGTTCAAAACACTAAAAGTTCAGTCAGCTTTTAACATTTCTCGTTTTTGGTTGTGCAGATGCTTCTCAGCCTTGACCTCGTGAGTTTCATTTAATTTCAGTCACACATCACAACACAATTGTCAATTGATCGAAACAACAGTGTTGGACACTGTGACCAAGTTCCTTGCCTTATGCAATTTCAGTGCTGTGTTGTGTAAGTTGTATGTTGTTTTCGTGTGCGTTCCATTTTACCATGACGCCACTTTTTAAAGCAAATACGGGAAAGGGGCAAAATTGCACATTGGCCGTAGGCTACTGTATTAATACCTTTTAAATGGTAGGAATCGATAAACGACGTTTTAATTTAATACTTGTGGCAAACTCGTTAATTGAGCCAGTGTTGTGTAAGGCAGTTTCGCCGGTTATTATTTGTATTGGTATTCTGATCTGATCCCATCATTCTACGAATTTGACATCGGAAAGGCGTCTCGGCAAGATGCAACCATGGTGGGGGCGCGGCCGGAAGACAACGGTGTGTCGGTTATACCGCTCGCGGTAACGTCAACCTGGGATAAGAGAACCGTAGGGGGGGGGGGAGGCAGGGGGAAATGCCGTTCAGCGGGCCTGGCAAGACGAATCACGGGAGCCCGCGCGCCGCAGCGGCCGCCATAGCAAAGTTCTTTTCCACGTGGACATCGACAGTGTCAGACGCTGTTGGTATCACGGGAATGAAGTACATATTCAGCAGTAACCATACCACATTACGGAGGTAATACAACATTTTTCTTACAATTTTTTTTATATTTACAGTTCAGAAATCATTATATTTTATTTTTACAGTTAAAAACTGGAAAAAAATCTTTTCCGTGCGTCGACGGACTTCGGGTCAAAACGGTGAATTTTTACTTATATGCTATTCAGCGGCAGCGCCAGACATTTTGCAGATTTGCTCAAAATTCGATGGCTTATACTCTCTTAAAGTGTAAAAAGAGTGAAAAGCCGCTCTATTTAAGAGCCATATGGTAAGTTGTTCACTACAGCCAATAGTGAAAAAAACACTGTAAAAGAGGGAATTAACTTCCACTCTTTCTAACCCTAACTCCCTAGGCATTTTGCTATAAGGCAACCTCAATCCTGCAAAATCCTCCAGCTGCCTCTATGTTAAATTGCACACAGCCTCAATCCTCCAAAATCCTCTCTTTTTTATCCGTGTTGAGGCAGAGCCAGTGACACCAGTGGCGTAGCCACGGGGGGGGGGGGCTTGGGGGGGCGACAGCCCCCCCCCCCCCCCCCCCCCCCCTACTGAAGTGACACCCTGGAGCAGTGATTATTTTAAGTATTAATCAAGTCCTCAGTTTATGCACAGCTGAGCATAAACAACACAAAGTCCGGCCCAAGACCTTAACACAGTGCATCCTCCAAATCAGCTACACATTTAGTCATATCTTCAATCCCGCAAAAATCCGTCGCTTTGCAATTTAGAGGATTTGGGAAGGTTAGCGTTAAAGAGCCTTAATGTTCGATTGGTTTTTTATTCTTTTACTTTAGAATGTTATTCATTCTTGGAAATCCGTTTTGGCAGTAAGGCAAAAATGCTGCCGTGATGTAAACCAACCGGGGGAGGGGTGTCTACAGGTCGTACTTAAGGTTTAGTTTACGGGTTAGAATCTATTATAAGATAATATAGGGTTAAAATCTGGTCAACTGTAGACAAACGTTCTTCAAATTTCAAAATACTTCAAACGAGTACCAACCCCGCCTTCAATTGACATTATACTGATTGTTGCAATTGTAAGAAATAACTTCCAGAGTATCTTGCCAAGCTAAGAACGATGGATCTTCACTGAGATGTTGGTGTATAACGCATGCAGCTCCAGATGGGGCCTGTCATACTTAAGATTGGTCAATCCGTCCGTCTTGACGCGACTTCGCAAAGTCTTGAGAAGCTTTCGACTGTAAAGTGAAACAAAGAAGAAAAAGTGGAGAGAAGAAATTCGTTACAGACGAATCCGACACAAACCCACACATTATACTAATGAGATAGAGAATGACCATCAACATTATGCAACGGCAAATATTAAACGCACATTTTTTCCCGTTATGCGATAGTAATGATGCCTCTATACAGGCTGAGTCAAAAAAGCTGAACCCAAACCCCGAAAAATAGATTTCATATTTAAAAAAAAGCAACAAAAATAATAATAACTGGAAAGCCACTTTCATTAGCTATACCTTTAGATGAAAAAAATTACTGAAATTGCTCAATCCGTTCAAAGGATATCACCATTTAAACGCAATGACACTAAAAGCCTGTTTCGTCCAAAAAGGAAATTTATAGTGTGTTCCGACTGTTTGGAACAACAAAGAAAATGACAGAGCACTTGTTTCACCAACTGCCAACAAGTGTAGTATACACAATGTCTTTATTACCAACCCTTGTTAGGCAAACAAAATGATTAATAACATCTACTCTTTTTTTAAGGACCTTCAAAAGGACTTTGTTGAATATTTTGAACTTCTTAACTGAGGTTTTATCGCTGCTGATGTTTGGAGACAATTGTGACGGCGATTCGTGAATTCGCAATTTTAGACGAAAGAGGTTTTAGGGTCACTGTGTTTAAATGGCTATATATTTTGAACGGATTGAGCAATTCCAGTATTTGTTTCATCTTAACGTAGCTTATAAAATTGGCTTTCCGGTCATTATTATATTAGGTGCTACATATTTTTTTAAATATGAAATATATTTTGGGGGGTTTGAGTTCCACTTTTTTTTTACTCCCTTTTTTAAAACTTGTTTTGAAAGCACCAAGTGAAAGTTTTGGAGCGATCGTTTTGTAGCTTTAAAAATATCAGAAGCCAGTATTTCAATGTTAATTTCTAAAAAAAAATACTCGTCATGAATAATTTAATAACTTAAGTTTTTACGACTACTCACTTTCTTCTTTCAAGTCTTTTCACTCCCTTCTTGATCTTTTCATGATGAATACTGATGGTTTTGTAATACCCGATCGTTCCCTTGTAGCGTGTCCTTTTAAGACGAGCCATGCGCACGCGCACCTTTAGGTCATCGTCCTCGCAACACCATCCCCAGTAGACATTGGCGACACCGTTGATCTGCCAGAACTGTGGGGTGGTGAAGCCACACACCCCACCCATAGAAGCCCAAGGGGGTACCCTGTGTCGAGAGACAAAAAAAGAGAAAACTGCAAGGTGACAACGTAAACGGCAACACCGTAAAGAGAAGATAATACCAGTTATACGAGCATTCCTAGAGGGGCACTCTTATGAGTCCTGAAATCCCCGAAAATTTCATGTTTTGGATTGTTTACTTGGTTACCTATTTTAAACATCTGATTGAAAGGAACGTGACCAACGTAATGTCTTACCGTTCCCCAAAAACGTTTGTTTACATCGGACACGACGGAGTACGAACACGTTTTTGCTGTCGTTTCCGGTCAATGTACGATACACGTTGTGTAGGTCTACACGTATGCACACTTACACGTCCGCAAAAGTGGACCCCGAAAGTTGTTCTCGCATGCATAATACATGAATAATACAAAAACGCCCACTTTTTTAAAGGATAGTTTTGTTGATGCGTATATCCTCCTTTTTGTGTTCTTTCCGATTAACATTTCGTTCAAAGCGCGTTTTGTAGCCCACTTGGGCTGTTCCAGAACGCAGTGTCCTTTTTAGTCGCACCTTACCAAAAACGAAGGACTCAAGTCCCTGACAATATAGTGTCCAGCCCCCTTCCCCCTCCCCCACGGCTTTTTGATTGATGTCAGGGTAGGCTTAAGGATGGGGTGCGTCATCTTCTCCCCCTTCCCAGTCGTCAAGACAGATTTACACCACTGGACGACAGTGGCTCCCTACTATTCCAAACGACGAACTTATTAACACATCATACATACTTATTTAAAATCTTGTTTTGAAAACTGTGAATTCGAGAAATTCCTCAGAAAATCTAACGCTCAACATGCTCTATTATTTTCAACAAATTTGTAGATAATGCACTCAGCACTCATTCTTTCTGGTTGAAATATGGCTGCTTACTTGTATTGCCGGTTGTCGGCCCCGCCAATGAAATGCCTGGGCAGATCCACACACCCGTAAGGGTTAAACTCGCTCAGTGGCAGGTGGTCCACATCATGGAAGACGAAACAGTCCCAGTGAGAGAAATTCAAAGCTTCTAGGAAACCCACATTGAGCAGCATTCCACGGTTGAAGGAATTGTCACTCTCCTGGAATTAGGTGGAATCAGATTTGTCCGTTCAGTTGAAGTTTTCGAACCTACTCATGGAGATATAAGTTTTCCCGGCCAATTTCCTGAAATGTTCATTCACTTCTGAAAATCGGTCATTCGTTTTCCTCTGAATTAGAATGCTCGTCTTTAATCCCAATTCAATTCAACGAAAGTTCAAATTGTTTTCATTATCCGTGCATTCGGTTTTGAGAAACAGAAGGCCAATTACGTTACCTGTGCATTCATTAACGCAAGCATACCTTTCCGTGCAGGGTTCTTGAATTCAATTTCGTGAATGTGCAATCAAAAATACGTTTTCTCATTCAAAATAGCAGATTACATCACACAACATTCAACTAAAAGTTAATTAGAATGGTCAATGTTTGAAATCGTCCTGTAAGAGCGAAAAAGAAGTCTTGTAAACGAATCTGAATGAACCTATTAAGGAAAGGTGCTGCTCAATCACATAATTGATTAAACTGAAATGGAATCGAATGCTCTGGTAGCAAAAATGAAACACGTGTTGAGAGCGATTCTCAAATTCAGACGAAAATGATTGACCGATTTTCAGAAGTGAATGAACGTCAAGGGCGGATCCAGGGGGCAAAGGGGGCCATGCCCCCCCCCCCCCCCCAAAAAAAATCCGAAACCAATTTTTTTTTTATGTGACGTCGCAATAAAGGCAGGCAAAGAGTACACCACCAACTTTTCCTCAAAAAACATTGGTTAAAGCGGTCAGAAATTGCCTCAGATCGCACCACAGAGCATCTTCAATCACAAAAAATTTCTGTAATTTGTTTGACCCACCTTTTGGGGGACCAAAAGAATTTTGCCCCCCCCCCCCCAAAAAAAAAATTGTGTTCTGAATCCGCCCTTGATGAACATTTTAGGAACTTTGGCCAGGAAAACCTATAATAATGTGAATATGGAATTGGTTTTCTGTTCTCTTGATCACTTTCTGGTTTAGTGCAGAAAATAGTGCTATCAGCGATTTTTTTTTTTACTTTTCTTTAAAACAATGTTAAGGCAAACAAACAGCGCCCTCTGGCGTTACCTGGTTCACTATGTAGATGGCGAACTCCAGTTGTTGTTTTTGTAGAAACGGAATCATGTAACGCAAAAATATCGACAACTGGACGGTTCGGTTTCTGAACGGAACAACAATAGCGACCTACGAAAACAGAATGAAAATGAAGGGGGAAAATGGAAGTAGTGTTAAACTTCAATGAAAATTTACCCGAGTTACAAAAACAGTAGCATCATACTGCGCAGTCCTTCCTGGTAGATCTATTTTTCAATTAAACGTTCATTTAATATTGTAATGCAACATTATATGTACATCGAAACCAAGCTTTTTAAAACCTTATACCACTGAGAGACTTACCTTAATGACATTACACTTGCGAAATCGTACAAATGGTGAAACAGGCATAACATTTGGCTTGGTAATTGGTATGTTTTAAATCTGCACCAATTGGCCATTTTTAGGATAATTTGCCATTTCAAGGATAAATGGCGACTATTTTTCACGATGGCTGCCAAATTGACCTTTCGTTTAGTTGATTTACATGTGAATCATGGATTGCTCACTTTGAGAGATCCTGCTGAATCTTAGGGAGCATGATATATACCTTCCATCTTGGTATGCACGAGGCTGGCCGCCAGTGACCACCCGGTAGGTAACGATAGTCTCCGCTGCGGACCTGTAGCGAAGCCAAGCCCTCCATAATGCGTGAGCCGTTGATCAGGGATACGTTGGCGGCCGCGGTGTACACTAGTCTCTGTAACTTCCGGTTGCCTCGGGACACTACATCTCGGATTCGTTCTGGGTGATCAGGGAAGATTGTTCTTTCCAACTCGTACATCGGTATGCCAGCAGTCAAATTCATCGGCCTACTGTCCACTGAAAAGGTCAGTCGCAAGACAAGACGGGAGATTTTGTGAAATTTGTAAATACTTCTGATGGATCACCACATGTCTGGCCACGAATAAATAACAAGGAAGTTCACAAGTTCATCCAAATGAAGTGGATGAAAAAAATAGAGGAGTTGTTCCTGTCCCTGTCCAATTGTCTCTGTCTCTGTCAATATTGTCGCAGTCAACTCACAATAGCCTGTGAGTTAACATGGGACTGACTAACTTGTGATTGACTTGTATTTTTTTTCATGAAACCCGGTGACGTATTGAACGTTACTAGTATTCAAAATAGAAAATGACGCAACGATGACATCATCAACTGACTTGTCTATATTTTTTTCTAATTTGACCTTTTCTCCATTGAAAAAGGTAATACATTAATATAAAGTCAAGGTAAAGGAATTCACTGGAATTCACTGGATACTTCTTTAATAAATATTGGCAGTCAATGATTAATTAATTACAAGTATAACCCTATCAGACCCATGAGTGCCACCTGTGCTCAAAGTGGCATGTAGTCTCTTTACCTGTGTGACTCTTTGTACTACGAATTCAATACTCTCCGGTTGCTAAGAGCTCCAAATGGCACACGGCAATTAACACCTGCAACCGAACTGTAAGTAGCGCCCTCACTCTTGCCATCGGCCTCTGATTGGACGATAACCCACGCGCGCGTGGTTTAGAAAAAAAACACCAGAAAACCAGATACGGTCGACTCTTCGGAAACTCTCGACAAAGTTTTCGCGGATAGCGATTCAGAAATATCCTCTGATGACCATTTCTCATCATCCACATTAGTAACCTCATCAAAGTCAACGGACAAACCGAACTTCAGGTAAAATAGGTTCCTAAACTTTTGCAACACGGGACCTAACTTTTTTAACACGGTTCAAAGAGCCTCCGATATTTTACATAACCACAGGCTAGTACTAGAAAGTGATCATAGCATTAGTAAGTTTCGCTTAAATCCGATTTTGCTATGCAAGGAAAAGAAATGATTAAATTCAGGAATATTTCGCCCATCAAATTTGAGGTATCAGTGCAGAATAAATTGTTATTATTCTGCATGATATGACTTAAATGTTGACAAACATTACCATGGTAACAGGCACTTGGTGTGCTCATCAGGCTGTCATTTTCAATAAATATGGGACTTTTTGTATGAATTTACAATGATCTGGTTGGCCGACCATTAAACGAACACCCTCAAATGCCATGTAATCATCGCAGTCATGCGACACCATCGCAGTCTTGTGATATCATCACAGTCATGTGACATCATCACAGTCATGTGATATCATCACAGTCTTGTGATATCATCACAGTCATGTGACACCATCACAGTCTTGTGATATCATCACAGTCATGTGACATCATCACAGTCATGTGACATCATCACAGTCATGTGACATCATCACAGTCTTGTGATATCATCACAGTCATGTGACATCATCACAGTCTTGTGATATCATCACAGTCATGTGACATCATCACAGTCATGTGACATCCTCACAGTCTTGTGATATCATCACGGTTTTGTGATATCATCACAGTCATGTGACACCACAACAGTTTTGTGATAGTATCACAGTCATGTGACATCATCACAGTCTTGTGACATCATCACAGTCTTGTGATATCATCACAGTCATGTGACACCATCACAGTCTTGTGATATCATCACAGTCATGTGACATCATCACAGTCTTGTGTTATCTTCACAGTCATGTGATTAAATTAATTAGTTAATTCGATTGAGGTCACGTCTTGATGAGCTCTACTTTTTAGAGACCCCCATCCACATTATTGTGATTTTATAATTTCCTCGGTATATGTTTCGCATTATGTGGACAATAAAGTGACGATAAAGTTACAAAAAAGGGGGAGGTAAAGATGTGCGTCGACAAGTGACTTCACAATGTCGCCATCACGTGTCACAAGACGCCATGTGATAAACTTAAAAAAAAACGAGTGGGAAACAAGGTCATGATCCAACTCACTTACCTAGATGAGGTATGTCCTTCAATGCCAGGCATTTCGTCGATTGTTGATTTTGCGGCAATTTATGCACACCCATCGCCACATTGTGAGTTCCTTTGATAAAAGAATACAACGGGTTTGAGTTCAGTGCCCCCCTTTGCGCCTGATTGTACCGTGAATGACACTCCCTAAATTCAAACTACACTTCCTTTTGCTGAGTAATATAAACATGATTTTATTGTCTGCTTCATTTTCGGGCTACTTCACACAAAAAATAGCCGACACCCATCGGTATAACACGAGGAACTCATGGAGGTTGTATTTTTTAAGGACAAAATATATCTCAATTCAATTCGATTCCGTTGGCATTTATCTAGCACTCTCCTACAAACCATTATAAAGTTGGATAATGTAAGTACAATACAGTTATATATTACCAATCGATTACAAATTTGAAGGTAATTACCACCAGAAAAAAATTAATGATTTAATTGAATCTAATCATTTAAATGAAGATTAATAACAAGCGAAGTTGAGACAGAGTATAGAATAGAATACAAGGCTGTTCACATAAGCCAAGGCTTGTTGGTGGAACAGCCTGGACAGACTATACAACGTAATCACACAAAAAACACAAAAAGACGGACACGATCGGACACATAAACAAATGACAAACAAAACCAACGTCAGTCATATTATAAACCAGGCTGATGCAAGATTAAAGAACAACAATGCACAAAGATAACAATGAGAACAAAGGAAAGCCTAAATATTGAATATAGAAAGAAAAAATAAACGGTAAAGAAGGGAAGGCAATGTTAAATACTGGGAGAGAAGAAATCTGTTATATGAAGATTTGAATCGACCCATCGGACGGCATTGCCCTGATGTCATCGGGAATGTAGTTCCATAGACGTGGACCATCGAACTTAACGGTGAGGCTAGCGTATAGGGTGCGAGTAAAGGGAAGGAATAACTCACTGCGTGATCTGGTAGCATGATCGTGTATTTGTTGGACAGATGTGAAATATGCAGAAAAGATGTCAGGAAGGAGATTGTTGACAAATTTATACATGAATATACCAGTTTCATGGGCGTTGCCAGGATTTTTCCGGGGGGGGGGCAAAGCAAATTTTTCCCTAAAATTCCGTAACTTTTTCATTATTTTTTCGATTTATATATCATTTTTCCGAGCGTGAGCAGGGGAGCATTTGCCCTACCCCCCTTCCCCCATCAAATTAACAGCAATATGGTTTCGCACCTCTTTTTCCTTTTTTCGATTTTTTTCGTTTTCCGGGGGGGGGGGCCTGCCCCCCTCGCGACGTCCATGGCCAGTTTGCGGTTTGTTCAGGTCAGTAATTGTCAAAGTGCGTAGGCGAGTGAAAAGGGGCGCCGTGTGGTGTCGATGGCGTGAGAAAGTGCATGTGCATATGGCTCTCTTTTGTGTGATTAGCAGTGCATGAAGTTTACTTGTACTCGTTCGTGCCCACACAATATTACAGTAGTTCAAGTATGGAAGTACGAGAGAATTGTAGAGCATAATCATCGCAGGAGGGGGAAGAAAAGAGTGAAGTTTGGAAAGTACACCGTGTTGCGAGAGATAGTTTTAGTGATGGAAGAGATGTGATCATTCCAGGAAATATTTGGGTCGATAATGACCGCAAGAATTTTTGCAGATGAGACCCTGTTGATAGGGGTATCATCGATCTCCAGAATATCTAAATATCTAAATTTATATTTATAATTCATATCTAAATTTATATCCAAAGTTAAACGTCAAGGACTAACGTTTTGGAATAGCCTCTCTCCACACCATTTTCTTGATTACTTCGGGCGAGGATCCAGCTCTGCCAATTTGATTTTCGTAGAAATGCCATAAAAGTAATGCGAACCCCCCCCCCCCCCCTCCCCGCTCTGACACCCAAAATTTATACTGGTAATAATGTCCGCGTGTTCACAAAATACGGAAAGAGCCAGCTTGATTAGGGGGTATTTGTACACTATTCTGTAATATGGTGTTAATAATCGTCGGATTTAAACAGCGCCCCATTGAAAGTGTGATACGAGCCCCGCCCCTCCCCCACCTATTGATTTTACGGAGCCAAGTGTCCGGACCAAAACAAAAACCAAGTCTACATTTCAGTAATAACCCCTACACTACACGATCGCCCCAGGTGTGGCCTTTAGTACAGAAGTAATCCAGTAAATTGGCCACGTTTATGGGGCTTGTTTACACTATCATTGTTTTCATTTATCTAGTTAAGTCATGTTATGCAAAAAACGTTCAAAAGCTTTCATTTCTTTGATATTAGTAGGACAAGGCACTCGGCAAGTTTAACGTTCGTTAGTCAAGTCTGTGAGGCATTGGTATGAATAGTATGAGTTTTGTTATCTTACTATTAATCTGGAGGCTTGATGTCCAATTATCAGACGTTCTGCCAACAACAGTCCGACGTATGTCACCCAAGGTAAACAACAGTGTAGTCACGACCAGTACGGTAATACAGACGAGGAGGAACAGTAAGTTTTTAATGTTCGCCTGCCTGTAAAACATTCTCGGACGCCGCCTAACAGATATCACTGGCAGCGTTGATTCTGTACCGGTGGAAACGTATACAGCCTTGATGGGTTTTGACGAGGTTTGCCCATTACACTCAGGCTATCAAGATGGCAGCTTTGTAGTGGAATAAAAAGCGTGGAATAACAAAAAAGATGGAATACTTAAGGAGTTGTATGTGGCGTATGAGCCGTGAGCACTGAACTGAGGCATATGACCCGTGGGCAGCGATCCGAGTACAAGGTCGTGTACTATATGGAACGCCGTAGCAGACAAAATCTGGCGACTCGTAGGTGAGTCACGTCCAGATGTGTGATCTCGTTATCCTTTACGATTAAGGACTTGGGACAATGGGGAATTTGCGATAACAATAACCCCGACGACCTGAGCAAAGTCCCCGGGAAATGTTCTTACACTGTATGGGAGTGTTAAAAACAAGTTAAAGTACAAAACAATAGGAACAATAGAGGTCCTCGTATAAGTACATGTTGGTGAGAGATCTTTTAGGACTGTGTTCAGGTCTGTCAAGTTGGTAGAAATTACGTGAAACATGGAAGCCGCCAACAGGGGCGCTATCAACAACCAACGCGGCGGACAATTTCTTTTCAGCAGGAAGTTCAAGACAAAATGATGTCACTTCTTTTGGGATTGAGAAAACTATAACAATCAAATAAGTATATAATTGTGACAACAAACCTTGAAATTCTGTGGCTTCCTTTTCTCTTTTTAAGGCACGTTTCAGTTTCTTGTTGTTTTTTTCCATCAGGTTTTCAATCTCATAAAAGGCTATAATTATCACTGCAACATTATTTTTGCTAATTTGTGACCTGGAGAAAATGTTTTGCAACCTCAGTTTCCCCAAAGATCCGATTCAAATTTTGGACCAAAGCTGAAATGGTATTGTAAGTCGGAAACAAGTTCGTGAACGTGGATGTCTATAGTTGTCCGCGATTAGGGGACAAATTTCTACTAGCTTGAGCAGTTTGGAGTTAACGATCTGGCCAAGTGCTCCCGACTAACAGACTTTTATCATGCTCAGTCATGTTCCCTGTGTCCAATAACAGTACTGAATGGTCATTTTTGTGCAAAAGGGAACCAGAATAGTGTTCCTACCGGCCTCGCTTTGGTTACGTTGATTTGAAGGGGGAAAATTCAAGATGGCCGCTACATGATAATGGTCTACTGCCAATGTCCTTTGTAATCGCCAATGGCCTTTTACATTAAAGTGACACACAAAAATCAGACAGATATTGGACAGACAATTTAAGGATCTTAGACGCTCTGCAATTTTGTTCACAATATGTCAGTTTACCCAGCAACGCAGAAGTGTTTTCTTGAATACCTGAAGGAAAAGGGTGCGGTGCAAAAAAAAGCAAAAAAGAGGGGACATGCCAACGGTACTGTTTACAATTTGATTCATTATTTTGTGTTCCTATGAAAGCCTGATGGCCCTCGTCGTAGAAGTCGTCCCAACATGGTGTGGGGTGATGTGGTCCAATAATTGGGGTGCGGTGGTCCAATGGTTACGATGTTCGACTCGTGTGCCGTGGTACATGGGTTCGAATCCTAACCGTGGGAACATGGTGCTTGTGCTCTTGAGCAAGGCACTTTACCACAATTGCTTCGTCCTTCGGATGGGACGTAAAGTCGTAAATCCCGTGTGTTGTGAAATGAACGTTAAAGAACCCATTCACACTTGTCGCAAGAAAAGGGGGTTGCCCCTGTGTTTCTTGCAGTGGCTGCAATATGCGCCGCAGCTCCATGTAAACCCTTGTAATGATGCTACGTAATTGGTCTCACATTTCTCATAAAAATTTTTTTACCTTTCTTTGATAATAGACATGATTTCCCGGCTAATTTCCTAAAATTTTCATTCACTTCTGAAAATCATGCATAAACAAATGAATGAATATCAACCAGGTTATTAACTCTAACTCTGTAAAGTGTTTATATTTTTGCTTTTCCATTAACATTTTTTCAGTTGATGGCCAAAAAATACTTGGAATATCCGACATAATCTCTCCCCATTAACATGATCCCATTATTGATGTACTTCTTAGTGCAGGCAGTTTTGCAATTATTCATTTTAACTTTACTTACATGCTTGAAGGGCGTGACAAAGCGGGAAAAAATATCTAAAGAACTCAAGACGTTCCATTTGTTTGTTGACGGATTAATATTTGGCAAAACTGAGTCATTATTTGGTTTGGAAAGAGATGTCTGTGGCTCTTAATGGACGTAAGCGCTCTCGTGACTTATGTAATAAAAAAAATCGATATCAAAAAATTAATGGTACAGAAGGTAAACGCAGTAGGCCTGAGTGTAATTTGCTTTCTACTGTGCTTCAAACGATTTCAAGTTAGTTTCGAGCGAGACATCATTCTGAGGCTGGAACGGCCAAACAACGGACCAAGATGGTGATTAAAGTGAAACCCATAGAAGGGGACATCAGTATCGTTTCGTTTGACGATCCCAAGTGGGGGCTCGAGCTAGAGAGCGTGGGACGAGCGAGAACCGCTGTCCGCATAGAGCAGGACGAGGACAATGGCTCAAGGGTCCCCGAGCAGCGCAGGAACCGCCCTTTCGGGTTCTGCTCGACGTGGACATCTACAGTATCGGACGCCGTTGGGATCACAGGAATCAAGTTCATTGTCAGCAGCAATTTTAGCTTATTCCGAAGGTATGCTTGGCTAAACTCTGATTTAGCACTCCATTTACACATTAATTTGTTATGGGGCAATTCAGAATAGTCAATGTTAAAACAACTCGATTTTTTCACATTTTTTGTAGATGGGTCAAAGTAGCCCCATAAATGTGTCCAATTTACTGGACTTCCTCCGTAATAAAGGCCACACTCGGACCATGTACCCAAATATGTAGAACTTTGTCAAATTTGTATTTTCACATTTAGGCTGTTTGTAGGTTTTTTTACGCTTTAGAAGCATACTCACCCTCTTTATAGCGATAGAAAATGTATCCCCCCCTTTTTCAGACATCTACATTTCGTGTAATTCCAAGGTTCGTCTTGGACGCGTTTGCGTATCCAAATCCCAACACGAAATTACACGAATGTTCTTTAAAGGTTAGTCTCCATGCTTAATTGGACTTGTTTGCAGATGTTACAGTTTCCACGAATTCAAGTCCAATTATACTAAGGGAATATCATTGATTGGCGAATTTCTATACGGAACAACCTCCATGTCATATCAGGCTTATTTGGTTAACCCTAAGGAGCCGGGGCGGAATCCGCCCCCTCAACTTTTTCCGCGATATAGCCTAGACTTTTTGTCGCGTTTCGAGCTGCTATGACATTTTAGCCTCGAGCCTTGCGCATCATTTGATACCAAAAACATAAAAATTGGACCATTTTTGTAAAAACTGGATTTCCCCATATACGTAGTGTACACAGAGCAGAATTGCCATGGGTGCATATGAATAATTAATTAGCCATAATTCAAAAACCCTTTAATCTATAGTCATGACATTTCTTGGGTATATTAATGATAAGTTGTTCTATGCATGTACTGAGTTTCATAATTTTTCGTCGCTCGATGGCCGAGATCTTAAGGGGCGGATGCCCCCCCCCCCTCCGGCTGAGAGATAGTCAAAATAGCCCGGCCGTTTTAGGGTTAAGCCAATTGACACTCCATGTCATGTCTACCAGGCTTGTGTGGACCGTAGCGCTGCTCGGCGGGATGACAGCCGCATCTTACCAGATCATCGACCGAGCGGTGTTCTTCGCTGGTAACCCGAAGAGCGTGGACGTTGAGATCGAATACACGGAACCGATGACCTTTCCTGCAGTGACCGTCTGCAACACCAACCAGTTCAGGTAAACTCTTCAACTCTTAAACGTCGTTAAAGGCATACAGGAGAATAGTGTGTATATATATGACTTGTTTTTATATATATATGACTTGAAGCTTTGCATGGCAGATGAGATAAAATCGAAAACAACTGCGGGTGTGCATGTGGAAAGAAATTTCTTCTTGGAAAAAGTGTGGTTCTCCTGACTACGGACAGAGCACACTGTACGAAACGTCAAGTTCTACACATTCAACCAACGGGTTCTTTTCAGAACCACACTTCTTCCAAGAAGAGATCTTTCCACATGGTGTTCCCCGCAAATTTGTTCTTTTTTGTAGGATACATTTCAGGCATTTCGTTAGGTTTAAATAACAACACCACTTAATATAATCCAAAGAAGGGTGTTTGAAAACTAAACTGATGAAGTTTTAGCGCATTGGATATGACACTTATCGAGAAATCAGTAAAATAAGAAAAACACATACGCAAAATAAACCCACGTTTGATCACGAAGCACGATTTCTTCCACAGCTCTTTCAATTTCCAAACAATTGCCTGATCGTTGAAAATCGCCAACATTTCATGATTTCTTCTCAAATGAGAGGAAGGCAAAACGCAGCAGTTTCAGCACCAGTATACGCTCTTTATCCTAGTAATCTTTTTGATCATCAGGAGTCGGTAAGTTAACTTTGGGATAAATGAAAATGACCCTATAAAGCATACATGCAAACACACGCAAGACAAGTTTTGTTTTCTTTTAAATCCTCAACAAATTGAGGCATCCTGTTTCTTAATAGCACACAAACTCTTAAATTCTCAAAATGTCAATAACAATGAAGTAATGCGTGCTCAATCAATAACACAAATAAACATGTACCACGATCCTGTGTTTCAGATTGGGATCTTTCCCTAGCCAGGGACAAGGCTTCCTAAAAAAAAAAAAAACACGAATTTGTTTCCCTGGTCCGACGCAAGTTCCAGTCCAAGAGCTGAAATCGAAGGAAAGGTATAGTTGAGATTCACGCGTTGTGCATTGTAGTACAAGACAGCGCTCTTGTATTGTATTACGCTCGAGGACAGACAACAAAAGGAGCACATAGGGGCCTTTGATCCTCGGACGACGGAACCTATTGTTAAAACCGGTCCTCAATCGTACGGTTATGTGCTTAGTCTATGGGAAAGTGTTATATTAGAGGGACAAAGGGAAACACAATAGGTTGTCCTCAGGCGTATAGTAAAACACGACTGTGTGTACACGTTGATGTGTGAATACCAAGTATCTTCCTTCAGTTAAAGCTAGGAACAGGGGTGGCGGAACCGGGGTTGGGTGACGGGGGCACTTGCCCCCAGATTTTCCCAGGCCAACAAAAGTGTCCCCCCCCCCCCCCCCGCAGTTATAAATGTGCCTCCTCGAGATGAAAACAAAAGTGTCCCTCAAACGCACACAATGAAAGCATAATTATGATCGCGCTACAAATAAAATTGTCTGCTCACTTGTAATGGAAAATTGCCCCCTAAGAAACACAAGTGCCCCTCTAGCATTAACCAGATTGTGAACCTTATCGAGATGGAAAACCGCCCATCGGAAGCACAATTTTATTATAATGCCCCGCTCGCAACATTAAATGTGTGCCCCTCTCATGAAAAACCGGCATTTAAAAATAATAGTGCTCCTCCTCACGCGAATAAAATGGTCACTGAGCTGGCCATCAAAAGTAACAGTGTCCCTCTCGCGATAAAAAAAAGGGTCTTTCTACATAACTAGTCAAATTCATGGGCGGACCCAGGTGGGTTACTGATAGGTTTCAGATAGGTTGTGCCGAAGGCCGAAGGGCGGATCGGGGGGGGGGGAGAGCAAGGGGCCATGCCCCCCCCCCCTCCCCCCAAGAAAAAAATCACGAACCCAAATTGTTTTTATTGTTAGTGACGTTACAAAAAAGGCAGCCACTACGTCCACCACCATCTTGACACCAAAATTGGTTTAAAGTGGTCAGAAATTGTCTCACCGCACCACAGAGCATCTAAAATCCATAGGGGGGGGGCTTAAGCGGGCCCCGAACCCCACGCCGTGAATTTGTGAACCCACTTTTCTGGATCCGCCATTGCGGAGGCAGTAGGGCTCTCCCTACACACCGGCGGAAGGTGCCCCTTTTTCTGGATAAGTGCCCCTTTTTGGTGTTACCCCTCAGTTTGAAAAGCTTTCCGCCGCCTCTGGTTAGGAATATCTGTTTAGGCAGCCACTATACGTCCACCACCATCTTGACACCAAAATTGGTTTAAAGTGGTCAGAAATTGTCTCACCGCACCACAGAGCATCTAAAATCCAGGGGGGGGGGCTTAAGCGGGCCCGAACCCCACGCCGTGAATTTGTGGACCCACTTTTCTGGATCCGCCATTGCGGAGGCAGGAGGGCTCTCACCTCAGCACCGGCGGGAGGTGCCCCTTTTTTCTGGATAAGTGCCCCTTTTTGTGTTACCCCTCAGTTTGAAAAGCGTTCCGCCGCCTCTGGTTCGAAATATCTGTTTCTCACTGGCTGATCTGGATTCTTCCAGGAACAAACTGCCTGGTAACTTACTACAACAACATCCATTCGGTTGTTGATTCTCTTAGGAACCAACAGGGTGCTCTAGAACAACATCCATTCGGTCAATTTTTGTCTGCCTACTACTACGGCGAGAACTTGACCTCGTTCATACCGACACTGCGAGGTGCCAACACTACCGCCTTGTATTACGACTTCGCTCACCCGATGGAATTTACCGGAATGCTCAGTTTGTGAGTACATCGTCACTTTTGTTTTTCATCGGTAACAAGTTATTTTTCTGTTTTGAAGGACGCTGAAACGTCTAAGGCAAAACGAATTCACTGAGCTATCTTGAGTTAATACTCTTAAAGTCAACTCCCAATAATGCACCACATGTACAGGCCCAACTCTATTAATTGGCCCATGTATTATTGTTTAATGCAACCTTGAACATGCACCTTTGTGTCTCATTTAATTTGCAATTTTCATTTTCATAATGTGCAGGCAGAAACCTCAGTGTTACAGCTAGCACCAAAAATTTGCCAGAAATTTGGATATTTTGTTATGTTATCAATTTCTGTTGTTGGTGATTCGTTGTTGTTTCAATACATGACATTAACTCAGTGAGCAAACTTGCGCAGATGTTTCGTACTTCGTACAAAAACATGTTTAGCTTTTTGGAGGCCGCCTCCTTTCATTTTTATAAAAAAACAACAAAATGACCAGCGGGGACATCATTTTGGCCTCTTTGTCTGTTGCGTCTAGTCCATATAAAGCTGGTATGTCATCTCCTGAGTCGAAGTGGCGGTCATTTAAAAAAAAAAGCTCGCGGCCATCTTGAAAAATAGTCCGGCCGGTTGTTTTATAAAATGAGTCGGGATGCCATTTGGGGAAAAAGGCCTCCTCATTCCTTTTTTTCCAAAAAGGCAGGACTCTAAACATTTTGTTTTACTTGGTTTAAGGTGCAGTCGATCACTATTTGTTCCAACCCGAGGCCCGGCCACACGCGAATTTTCTTTTCCCAAACTTTATGCATGGTTTATTAGCGCCCTCTACAATACTTTAACGATACGTACGCAGGTATATTTTATTCCCAGCTAGAGCAGTTCTGTAGCTTATTTGGTAGGCTCAAGATTTTGTATCTCGCGACGTGGGTTCGAATCCCCGTTTTGATCCCGATGGTTTTTTTTTTTTTCAATATTCTGAGGCTTTGGAAGATTTTTACATAGGGAAATAAAGTCCGCATTCCATTACTTTCGAATTCTTTTCTTCTTTTCTAATTTTATTTGTCTTCTTATTATTTAATACAGGAGTCTTAATAATAATAATAATAATACTGGAGTCTTATGATAACGCACGTATATCTCCACCAACAATTAGGTACTCAAGGCGCTGGGGATTATGTGTATTATTAAAGACAGGTATACGAAGTTTATGAGAAATGTGAGACCCATTATGTAGCACCATTATAAGGGTTTACAAGGTGCTGCGGCGCATATTGCAGCCACTGCCCGAAACACCGGGGCCAACCCCTTCTAATAGCGATAAGTGTTACTGGGTTATTTAACGAGCATTACACAACACACGGGACCTACGGGTAAAGTGCCTTGCTCAAGAGCACAAGAACCATGTTCCTACGGTCATGATCCGTGTACCACGGCACACGAGTCGATCACCGTAACCATTGTACCACAGCACCCCACAATTTACACCGACTGGCGATACAGAGGGCAGACTGGCGATACAGAGGGCAGACTAATTTTATGAGGTGATGGAATGTTCCATTGCACTAAGCTTCGCCTCGTGGAATGGAACATTTCATCCGTCGCCTTTTGAAATTATTCTTACCATTGCACTCATAACCATTTATCATTTTGTACATAAGATTCGATAGGAAACTCAACAAAAGCATTTTATTTGGGTAACCGCGATTTTCATGTTGTCGTACAGATCATCTTTTGGCGGTAGAGGACCGTTAGTGCCCGCCAATTTTACGAGTGTTCTGACAAAACATGGCGTTTGCTACACCTTCAATGGTGGACTCAATGGTCAAGAACTGAAGCAACAAAAGGTCGCAGGTAAGTGCGTCTCCGTATCTGAAGGGATCTTCCAACACCTACGCGGGAAACGTATTGCCATGCTCAACGCCAGTCTTGAAAATTAACAACATAAAACCTTCGATTGATATGACGAGAAAACAGTCACACTTGCAACCAGCAGACTGAAGCTGTGATCAACTGGTTGCAAGCTGGACTGTTTTCCAGCCTAGTTAACTATAGAATGTGTTTGAAATAGAAGGCATATGGATGTTTGACGTATTATTGTCCCATTATAAGAAGACAAAACTGATGGTCGGGAATTAATATTATAGTCCAGTAGTTTTGGTTCTCACTTTCCAAAAGGTGCTGCCCACGGACTTGTGTTACAGCTTAGCATCGAGCAATATTACCACTTCTTCTCGAGGACGGCATCGGGGGCCGGAGTCTATGTGGCTGTTCATGGCCAGGATGAGATACCAGATATTGACTCAATGGGCGTAGGCGTCCCAGCAGGCAGAGATGGCAAGATCAGTGTTCGGAAGAAAACGGTAGGCTGTGTTTTGTGTGCGTTTGATCAGCCATAATGATTACATAGACAACAGCTTCTTGTCACAAGGCTAACCCCAGTCTCAAGGAGTTCGCATCCGATTCTTCAAAATGAACGCAAACATTTTTGGCAATGTGCGCTTAGGTAGAACACACTCCAGTTCTTGTGCAAGAACAAATTGACAGTCCAAGCTCAAACCTTCCCTTGAAATTTTACATTTGACATTTTTGTGAAAGGACAGACTAACTAAACAAGATAAAAATCGAAATAATGGAACCTCGATTCTCTGTCTGATCGTTTCGCCATCATAAACATCGGGTTGTCTTCATCGATATTGAAGGGTTTATCATCAAAGACAGTTTCCAAAACCTAGCTCTTTCTCTTCATTTCGGTTCCATGATCTCCCACGAAATCATATGAAACATATAATTCTGGAAACCATTGTCCCTTATTGAAGGCCAGTATACACTCAGGTCAACTCGACCTGAAAATCAGATTTGACCAGACACCCTTCTGGGTCAAAACGAAATATTTGGTGTAACAATGACACTTTTCTTGATTAAATGACATGTTTATGTCAAAATAACACTTTTGCGGGTCAAATGGCCCGTAAAAGTGTCAGTTTGCCCCGGAAAAGGGTCAGGTCAAGTCAAATCTCACCCACATCCGGGTTGGCTCTGAATCGAGACTTTTAAGAATCCGATGCGGGACTTTCTAAGAGTATACGATTGGATGTTCTTAAAGAAAAAAAGATTGAGAAAATATGTGCGGGGGTGCCCTAGCTCAAAGGACTTAAATCTCGTGACGCCAATAGAGACAAAGTCTCGCTTTTGAAGGCTAGGCCCTAGAAGTGTTTCTCCTGTTTCGGGAGGTATTCTCTTGTTCCTTACACGATGACACACCAAGCTGCCGGACATTTTTTCAAACTAGGTAGGTCGACTCTCATGTCAAAGTCGAACCTTTTACTCTCGTGATCTCTTTCAGACCATGAGGAAGGACGACGGGTGCTACGAGAAAGAGCTTAAATACTCCAAGAACTACACGACGAGTATGTGCCACCTGGAATGCCTGATTGAGATTGTTAACAGGATATGTGGATGCGTAGAACCGTACATGGCAGGTACGATTACATCACTTGCATCCTTCTTCGAGCCTATATGTAATTATTCGCTCTGCATTTTCATTCACCACCTTCTTCTCACACTTTTATCGCCAGTTATCAGCCAACTGCGAGTCTGTGATCCCATCGAGACATTCACTTGCGCTCATCACCAAGCAGGTGAAAACCTTGAATTAGTTCTTTGATCCTTAAGATCAAAGGTGAATATTATTGTATTTGTTGTCATTATTATTTGCCACACTTTAAGCCATCAATTTCAACGGTCCAGAAAGCGTCTGAGTCGAGTCCAGTACCCCTCCCTCCCCCTTCCAAAAAAAGTATACCCCAATACGGGGGGAGGGGCAAGCCAGTTCATCAGGAAAAGAAGTAAGAGGACAACAGTCCGAGCAAAACACCCGCATGCACTTTTTCGCTTGGAAATAGCTACCGCTATTAATTAAGGTAATAAACAACATTTGGACATTCCGTATATAGTCCAGCAACGTATAACACATATTGTTATACCTCCCTCTATACTGCATTTTCATTTGTCTAGAACGATCATGTGTTAGGTGTATAAAAAGTCATGTCACTCTCACAGGGCGTGTGCTATTGAAGGTTACGCACGGGCAGTGTGAAAAGCCTGTATGGTTGGTATCCACGCTATTTTCACCATGTGTTTACACATGAGTGGGAGCAGCGAACTAGCAGGCGATCAGCTGTTTCGGGCACGCATGCGAGTTGAGTTCGATTGTCCTGATTGGCGATTGCTGTGTATACGGCTGCTTGTTTTCGTGATTTTTTACATCAAAATCAAAAACATCCAAGACAGATGTCTAACAAAACAATTGTTGTATATTCCGATGACGGGTTTGATATTTTGTGCCCATTACTGTACTGTCAGCCAACCCTAGTAATGTTGGCCAATGTGACTGCCCACTTCCGTGTTCCACGACCAAGTACACTACCAGCGCGTCCTACACGGCATTCCCTGGGAAATTCTACAGTGCGAGGCTGGCTGAAAGATATAGTACTCCCGAGTTCACTTTGCCGGAAAATCTTTACCAGTAAGTTTGGGTTTTAAGGGGGAAATGACTTTTATCCAAATGCATTTTCTTACCTGAAATTTTAGTAGTTCTTTCGGCCTCTGCTTTACATATTGACTTACCACCCACCTCCTAGGGTTGTAACGAGTCACTGATTTTTGTGACTCGAGTCAAGCCATATTAAAGAAGTGACTCGAGTGGAGTCGAGTCATTCAGTAAAGAATGTTGAGTCGAGTCGAGTCGAGTCAAATATTTAGCACGAGTCAATTCGAGTCACGAATATTGAAACACTTGTATAACAAATAAAGACAAGCTGAGAGAAAGTCATTTTTATCACTAACCGTTAACAAGAAGTGACACTTCGGTCTTATATCCGCTCTGTTCACAAGCACCCCCCACCGGCAAAGGAAGTACAGTTGGGAGTGACCGACCGACGCCATCTTGCCTGACTGCAATTCATTTGGCGTGTAAATAGTACAAATCCCCTGGTGTACATACGTCACACACGAGGAACGGTGCGCGTCAACCAGCGAAAAGTCCCGCCCATGGAACGTCGTTGTTAGGTGAAAGGGCGCCCTCTTTTGGTAGCGCACGGAGCTCATAGGCTTACATATCTGGTTTGGCTTCGAGTCTACAGAATTTTGTTTCGCTGATTTCTGACAACATCAAAACAAGTTGCATTCTAATGAACTGGATTATTTATTTAAAACTGGGCACGTATATACTTTTGAAAGAATGGAATATTTTTAGCCGGCGTTCGAATACAAAGAGCTTAATTATGGAAGGCTGAAAGCCAATGATGAAACCACAAATTGGAACATGTATTTGTTTAACATTCGCTTCCGGGATACTACTTTGTACATTCCATAACCATGAGGTGGGAGTCTGTAACACTTGTGTACATGGAAAACAGCCGCTGTAAAGTACTGTTTTTGCAAAGTGACTTGAATATAGATTGAGCACCGTAAGGCACTTCGAATAAATTTGCAATTATTGCTTGTTTTGGGGGGTTAGGGGGAAATAAGTCGAGTCGAGTTGAGTCACTAAAACTTGTGACTCGAGTCGGCCAGACAGTCATATCAACTCTGCACCACCTCCCGAGGTATTTTGGTCCTTAATTATTGCTATAGTATCCCGTGGGTATAAGCATGACTAGACGAAGTGTAGGAATAATCCCGAAATCTGGGCATAAAATAGACTCCTCGTTCAAGAATAACGGTAGTTTTTGTTTATTATACCGCTTGGTAAATTTCCAAGTAACACCCCGCCCGACATGTCTAGGGAAAGACACGTTTGTTTGTTTTTTGGGTGGTTTTTTTTTTTGGGGGGGGGGGGTTGCCTTCAACACCAATATTATCTTTTCCTTTTATACGAATATTTGTTGCGGGTAAAAGATAACGGTTTAAGTGTTCTTTGGCTAATTTTATACCATTTCTTTTGAATTTAAGGGAAAATCTTGTGCAGCTCCATGTGTTCTATGAAGAGTTGAGCACTGAGCATCTGGAACAGCATAGCGCCTATACCTTCTTCGCATTTCTTTGTAAGTTCAAAATCCTTTCAGAACACAAAAAAAATGTTTTGAACAATGTTTCATTATATCGTTACATACAAGGTACGTAAAAGCAGAACCCAAACCCTAAAATGTATATTTTTTTCATATTTAAAAAAAAATGTAGCACCAAACATAATAAGATACTTTTAAATGAAAAAAATTACTGAAATTGCTCAATCCGTTCAAAGAATGTCACCACTTAAACACAATGACCCTAAAACCTCTTTCGTCCAAAATATGTGATTTCAAGAATCGTCGTCACAATTGTCTTCAAACATCACCAGTGATAAAACCTCAGTTCAAAAGTTTAAAAATATTCCACAAAGTCCTTTTGAAGGCCCGTCTCTTAAAAACGAGTGGATTTTATAAATCATACTTTTTGCCTTACCAGGGTTGTTAATGAAAATATTGTGTACTACAGTTGTTGACAGTTGTTGAAACAAGCATTCTGTGTCATTAGGTGTTGGTGCAGGGAACACTCCAAGGTGTTCAAGTTCAAGACACACATCAAATTAAAGCTGATTTCATCATTTTCCTTTTCTTTTCAATTTTTTTTGGGGGGTCAACTGATGAATTTTTGGAGAAATTTCCATCAGAAGACTATCACCCCTTAAAATAGTCCTGAAGCCCATCTCCATTTTGATAACGATGCCTACACTCCATTGCAAAATAGAGCGCTTTTAGGGCCCAGATTTCGTCCAAATTGAACAGAAATACAAGCTCACAGTCCTGTGCATGGCTTCCACCCATATTTCTTTTTACAAACCCTCAAGTTCATGGCCCACAATATGCTCAAATACCGAAGAATTTGAGGGCATGCAAATCGTGATTTGGCCGGCGTAGGCAATTTTGGACCGATTTACTGGCCTGTAACCCTATAGGCTCTGCAGTGCTTCATGCATGTCTATGTGCCCTGTGTTTTATTATGTAGGCGACATTGGGGGCGCGCTTGGACTGTGGCTTGGAGGCAGCATTCTGACCTTCGTAGAGATTCTAGACCATCTGACCCACACCAGCGTTGCCCGTGGTTCATCTCCGTATCGCCATGTGTAAGGCCGGGGATGCCTGCGTCCAGACGTGAAAGACCTTATGCCCAACAGGCCACGGCCATTAGAAGGCATGATCAGCTTGAGACTGACTACACCTGTTTTACCGTGTTTATTCAATTAGCCTTATCGTTTTGAGACTGCTTATATACAATTTGTCTATAATATACTGTGATTTTGGTCTCGTAATTAATATTACAGTAAAGGTTAAGGGTAAAGGGGGACGAACCTGTGTTCACGTGTTGATCATGTTCCTTGTTCCGTGTGCATGGTGTATGTGCGCCGTCCCTGTGGCCGTCCCCGATCATCAGTAGCGCGCCCTCGTGCGCCGTGTCCCGCTATGATCGAGAACTGACATTGATGACATCACACGTTGACGCCGATGTGGCAGGTAATTCTGTCCCCCCTGGTAAATGTGTCCCCCCGGACAGATCTACCGGGTCGTGACCCGGTAAATCTGTCCGGGGGGACACTTTTACCTAGGTAAACCTGTCCCCCTCTAGGTAAATCTGTCCCCCTGCACGACGTTAAATGTGTCCCCCCTGGTAAATGTGTCCCCGTGCAACGTCACAAGTCTAGCACCCAGACTGTATATTAGTGAAGTTATTAACTGTTTTTGCGCGGCGCCTTGCTAAATTCGGGAATGGTGCTTACGTCAAAGCACAACTCCCGTTTTGATGACGACTTCGGGAGCGAACGATTTGCATGGTGGGCGTGCGCGCGATACCGCACCTACGGGCCGCGCCAGGGCCGCGGCCGGGGACGGGGACAACATTGCACCAGCAGCAGGCCTGCGGCGCGGTGACCCGTGTCGCGTATAATTTTGCCAATTCTCCTCATTGAAGTCCGCCATGACAGTCACACGTGTATCGGCGGTGATGCGCGTGCGCGCTAGCGATAGGTTGAGTATTACTACGCGTGCCTTCTTGCAGAAACATAGATCGGTTGATTAACATCTAAACGTTAATTTCATTTTGATAATTATTGATGAAGGGTCAAAAAATCTGAAAATGTATACCTGTGCGCTGAATTTATTATAATAACATCAATATAACAACTTATGCGTGCAAAACCAGGGGGGACAGAATTAACTGGAGGGGACAGAATTACCTGGAGGGGGACACAATTAACGGGACAGGGGGGACACTTTTACCTAGGTAATTCTGTCCCCCGGACACTTTTACCGGGGGACAGAATTACCGTCCACACCGGATCGCGGAACGGCAACTAAACCAGACGAGGGCGCCCTATACAAGCTAAGGCCATTAATATTACGCGTATGGATTGAATTATAACAAAGCATAGTATGCATGCGGATATTGAACAAGTCAGAGTAAGTCCGGCTTGGGTCAAGTCTAGGCAGGGCTCGAACCCACAACCTCACGATAATGAATCCTACTTCACCACCGCTGCCCGTAGTTCATCTTCTTATCGTCATGTGTATCGCCATATGTATTAAATTATTCTGACTTTAAATTGCTTGTTTTTATGCTCAAATATCAATTATTTATTTAAAGAATTTGATTTGATCCGGTTTAAGGAGATTAATATTGATACATTTTGAAACAATGTTCGCTTTTGTATCCTCGAAGTCTATTTAATCTGAATCTGAACAGTGATGTCGCACTTGTTCACTAGCGATAGCTCTTAAAATAAAAAAAAAATGTCAATAGTTTTAACATCATTTTTCTTTTTTCAAAAAGATATGAATCAAGCGACAAAAAAGTGTCGACTCGAGTAAATACTTATATTTGTAGATTTGTGACAAAAATGCTACCATTTGAACTTGTAGTGAATTATTGTTATTGATGTATTATATTAACATTATAATAACCTCACTTAATGCTATAATAGGGCGAATTTTCCAAAACAGAAATGCGATTTCAAGAATCGTCGTCACAATTTTTAAACATCACCAGCGATAAAACCTCAGTTTAAAAGTTACAAATGTTCAACAAAGTCCTTTTGAAGGCCCATCTTTTACAAAAGTTGGATTTTATAAATCATAATGTTTGTCTAACCAGGGTTGTCAAAAAAAGATATTGTGTATTACAATAAATTGTTGACAGTTGTTGGAACAAGTGGTCTGTTTCACTCTCTTTGTTGTTCGAAACAGTCAGCATACACAATTAATTTCCCCCAAAATTAATTTGACAATTAAACGCGGCAAATCTACTGCTTCTGTTGCGTTTTGTTGGTGGTGTACGCAGTCGCTACTTACTTCACAAAAATTTGGTTCGGTTTTAGGGGGAAGGGCATGGCCCCGTACGGTTGCCCCGGTATGGTTGCCCCCCCCCCCCCCCCCATCTGCCGTTGTGAGGGGATCGGCGGAACACCCCTCCTCGCTTTTGAATATTATTGCGAACCCACTTGTTACAGTGATGGCTGCATGTGATCCCGGGCGCCACCAAGAGTTTGCCATGGATAGTCAATTCGATTTTTCAAATAATAAAGCACGGCCCATTGGGTAAAGTGTCAGAAGACAACTTGAGTTCATTTGTTATGAGGGCATAACGTTCTGACGCGTTACAACATTGATTAATGTTTTACGAAGGGATGTTTTCTTTCATTAACTTATTAGCCGTTCCACATGCCCAGAATACTAGTTACCCTTTTGCACAAACTTGGCCCAGTACAGGTTTTGACCCTTGACAGGATAACAGTGAATGCTCAGTCATCTGTGGCTACAGACACACAATCAATGTATCATTGGAAAGAGGACGCATTGGTGTTTCACATGATTTTGAACTTATTTGAAAACATTTATTAATTTTAAATAATTTACATTTACGTCTGGGTTTCCTATTTTTATACACCCTTTCAAGCACGAATCGTCAATCCATGCCAACCAGTATCAAGCTCATAATCATAAATCCAAATAGTATCCAGCCCAAACCTAGCAACTATATTACCGTCGAGCCCGTACCATCCGAATATATAATTCAAATACCATCTATATCAGTATCAAGCCCATACAAACCAACGCTACTAATTTCAAGCCTGTACCATCGAACCATAAACAAATTTTAAGCCATACCGTCCAACTACATGTATATCAGAATCCAGCACAAACCATCCGAACATATATTCCAGTGTATACCATTTATCAAGCCCATACAGTCCAACAATATCAATTTCAAGCCCATATCTACCCAAATCAGGACAAACCCAAACCAACTATGTACAGAACTGTGACTGTTTTAGTGAGTACTATACTAAAATGCACATAGTATACGATACCAAAATTAGAGTAATACAAGCATATATATTGATAATACTAGCATATAGTTTGGCACACAGTCAGAGAAAAAATATTTTGGCTATGGCTCCGTGCACAAGCAAACGGCCAGTAAAGGAGAGTTGGGGAGACCTAGACTGGTTCCTGGTCCATCCACTGCGTACTTCGAATGGACCAAAGTTACTGGGGGCGGGGAGACGCTATGGCTTAGCTTTGTTCACATTCAGGATTAATAAGTGCGCACTTAGCGCTCGAACCTGTACAGCACGCTCACGTTGCGTCGATGTCTTGTCCAAGGAGATCTTAAAAGTGGTAGCATATGGCGTTCTCTTCTGTTGGCGCACGGAGCCAATAGGCCCGTTGCAGCCTGAGTTAGCAATGTATTTTTCGCACGACATACTCTGTGTGCCAAATGCCGTGCTTGTATCATCGAACACACAATTCCACCAAACAAATCCCCTATCTGCACCACAAAAAAATGGAATTGCATAAAAATAGTCTTAAGAAAAAAACTTGACATGAAATTAATGACACCATAGTATACCAATGTCAACTCGTGCTGATCGTGCTATCGTATATGGCGTAAGGCATCAGGTCAGGTCTGTTTTAGCTCTGTCTTGAATACTGTATTTTCATTGGCGTAGAACAATCACGTGTTCAGGTTATAAAAACCACACTTACTGTGGGATATCACGTACGTGAAGTGTGTCTGTACGGTACGTACGGTGTGAAACGCTTGTATCGTTGGTACCCACACTAATTTCACCATGTTTTCACATAAGAGTTGGAGCAGTGAACTATCAGACGATCAGCTGTTTCGAGCACTTGACATGCATATTATGTGAGTTGCCGTTCGATTGTCACGATTGTTGTGTTTACTGCTGTTTGTTTTCGTGATTTTTACATCAAAACCCAAAGACGGAGGTATAACAAAACAATTGTTGACTGTTGTGATGTGGCATTTGCGCTTTGAACACCCTCGGGGCGCATAGCACCAGAGGCAAACCCGTCTGGATTCTTCATCCTGTCTCACACATGGCGATACTAAGATGAACCACGGGCAACGCTGGTGTAGGTCAGATGGTCAAGAATCTCTACGAAGGTCAGAATGCTGCCTCCAAGCCAAAGCCCAAGGGCGCCCCCAATGTCACCTACAAAATAGAGCAAAGGGCACGTAGACATGCATGAAGCACTGCAGAGCCTATGTTAGGCCGTTGTACTAATGATGTAACTTTTTGTTTACGAGGTTGCTTTCCTATGGTGCTTAGTGGACCGTGGGCCCACGCTGGCTTCATTGGAAAGTGCACAACTTACAAAGTGTGACGTCATTAGTACAGAGGCTTTAGTATTATGCAATATGAATCGGTGGAATCATGAAATTAACCTATCGGCTTTAAAAATGTTCCACAGAAGTATAGGTTCCTGGCTCACCACGGTGATGTATTTTTTTGAAATCGGTTTATCATTAAGGTTATAGGTCTGGTTTAGGCGCCTAGTAACGCAGCTCTTTATCATGTTTACGGAGCCTTCTATCTGTGGAGTTGTAGAGTTTCATGTGGTCGGTGGTTGGGAGACCCTGTTACTCTTTAAACGCTTGGTGGCAGCAGACATGCCATACAGTTAGTTACTTATGGTCGTTAGAGGGCACATCAAGGACACATGTGAACAAATGCACAGTGTTTGAAGGGTTTGATTTTTTTTTTGTACGTGTGTTCAGATATGATTTTGAACTTACAAAGAAATGCGAAGAAGGTATAGGCGCTATGGTGTTCCTGATGCTCAGTGCTCAGCTCTTCATAAAACACCTGGAGCAGCACCAAATTTTGCCTGAAAATCGAAAATAATGACAAAAATCAGCCAAAAAAACTTTCTTTTACCCACAACACTTTTGAAATATGCGCATAAACTGACAAAATTGGGGGTTAAAGCAAACAAAAATTTAAAAACACGACTTTCCCTAGTTTTGTCGAGTGCTGTTTAATTTGAAAAAAAAAAAACAATTACAGGGTGCCATAATGGCAACAACCAACAAAAGCTACATGTATTCTAGCTAGCAGAGTCCGTTTTCTGTCAAGATTTAGGGATCTACCGTGCATTTCGGCCGGTCATGTTTATACCACGGAGAACTATTGCAATATAAGTAAAAACAAACTGCCCTATTTCTTGAGGAGGGGGCGGGGGTTAAAATTCAGAATGATAAGCAGACACTAGAGGCCGAAATCACATTGAAAAGATATCGCTATAGATACAAGTCATTTCCCCCCTCAAAAACGCAACTTACTGGAAAAAATCCGTCGCCAAGGGGTACTCGGAAGTACTAGATTCCTCAGCAAACTTCTCACTGTAGAAATTCCCAGGGAATGCTGTGTAGGACGCGCTGGTTGCGTACTTGGTCGTGGAACACGGAAGTGGGCAGTCACATTGGTCAATATTATTGGGGTTGGCTGGCAGTGGAATAATGGATACAATAATGGATACAAAACATGGAACAGGTCAGTAAAACGATATTCGTTATAATACCTTTGCATATCTTGAATACCGGTTGTTGTTGTTTTTTTCATTGGTATAATTATTGACTTGGATTGCCTTCTTTCTTTTTTCTTTTCTTTTTTACCTAATTTCCAAGCTTTTCTTCTCTCTTTTGTTTGATGCTCGAAGACGGGGTGGCAAATTGGGGGAGGAGGGGCACTGCCCCCCCCCCCCTCCCCCCAGCACCGCCACTGCTTCTGGGTGGCAAATAACAATGACAGCATAGCAACAATATTTCATATTTGATCTTAAGGATCGTAAGTGATTTCAGCCATTCCCTCTTAACTTCCTAAACAAAACTCTTTAAAACCAAACTTTAGAGTAATAGCATTTTACCTGATTGGTAGTTAACGCAAGTGAATGTTTCGATGGGATCACAGACTCGCATATCGCTGGAAACTGACGATAAGAAGAAGAAGAAAAAGAAGAAGAAGATATTGAAGAGGCAGAATATTATTGGTATAAATGCCCGAATCATGACAACTTTTGGTGTTGTTTATACCTGCCATGTACGGTGCCACGCATCCGCACATGTCGTACACAATATCAATCAGGCATTCGTGGAGGCACATGCTCTTGGTGTAGTTGTTGAAGTATTTAAGTTCTTTCTCGATGCATCCATCGTCCTTCCTAGCGGTCTGAAAGAGATCGAGAGAGCAAAAAGGTTTGAGTTTCACACTAGGGAGTCCACCTTCCTTTTGTTTGAGAAGTGTTTTGATAGCTTGGTGAGTTTATGTGTAAGGTGCACGGAAAACCCTCCTGAAACCATGGACCCCGTCACAGCAGGCAACAGTTATTTGTTATACAATGTACCACGGTAATGGATGTCTAACGTCTGAAACTGTGGGTCTAGGCTGTTGCGGTACAGAGTTGGCGAACTTTTCTCACAGATTATTCCGTACTTTTCTTCGTGCTGATGCTGTCCTGTTCAAAAATCAAATTTCTGATCTCGTCTCGATCTCTGGAACACTAGGGAAACCTCTTCTTTCCAGCCGATCTATTGTCATCTGCCGACAATATTACGGTGAAATCATTATGGCGAAATGTAAACGACGGTAAACAACAATGGCGGCCATAGCAGCAGAAATAGTGCTTCATTGTCCCCCATGGCACATCTCGTAAAACCATCTCGCAGTATCAGCGTAGCTATACATCCTCGTACCCGAGGTCACACATACAACGCGTTAGAAACGACATTTTCAACAGTGGAAAAGAAAAAGGTATTGTACCCCGAGGGAAACATCACTCATGTACCACGCGCGTGCGGCGTACACGATGCGTGTTTGTGGCATGACACGTGATCTATGACACTTAACCAATACAAATTCACAATCTATTACCGTGGTTTAAAAAATATTGACTATTTTATCTCGTGGTGTAGTAAAACTAGCCTCCGTCGGTGATCCATGGAGCATTCTATTTCCCTCAGCTTCGCCTCGGGAAAAATGGAACGTTTAATGGATCACCTCGGAAGGCTTGTTTACTACATCACTCGAAGCAGTCAATATTTGTATAATATTCGTTTTCAACACCACGACTTTGTCTCTACATAATTATATGTGGCGTCACCACATTTAAGTCCTCTTACCCAGGGCACTCCCGCACAGATTTTCCCAATCGTTTGCCGAAGGAACCCGAAATAGCACTCTTACAAGTCCTGCATGAGATTCTCAAAAAGTCTCGAGTCAGTGTTGACCCAGATCTGGTTCAGACTTTGTCTTTTACAAACGATTGCAGTGAGGGGATGTACACGTCCGGTTTTTTTTTTAGGTTAGTCTTCTGACGAGAAGCTGTTTTATCTAATGGCTGAGCAAACGCACACAGAACACAGCCTACCGTTTTCTTCCGAACACTGATTCTGCCAAATGCGCCTGCTGGGACGCCTACGCCCATTGAGTCTATGTCTGGTATCTCATCCTGGTCATGCACAGCCACATAGATTCCGGCCCCCAATGAGTCTTTGGAGAAGTAGTAGTTATATTGCTCGATGTTAAGCACTAACACAAATCCGTGTTGACCACCTAGTGGAAGGTGAGAAGCAGAATTACTGTGATATTAATTCTCCACTATCGGTTTTGACTTGAATGGACAGCAATACCTTAAACTATTTCGAACACATTCTAGTTTCTAGTCAAAGTTCACCCGGCCGACCCCAGCTCTTGTCTGCTGATTGCAGGTTTGACTGTTTTGTAGTCAAATCAGCCTTTAGGTGTTTTACAATGGTAAATTTTAAATACTGACGGTGAACATGGTTTCTCGCATAAGAGTTTGAAGACCGCTTTAGATAGAGAGACGTATTTACCTGCGAACTTTTGTTGCCTCAATTCTTGACCATTGAGCCCACTGTTGAAGGTGTAGCAAACGCCATGTTTTGTCAGAACGCTCGTAAAATCGGCAGGAGTTAAATGTGCTCCACCAAAAGACGATCTGTACGATTCAACAACACGAAAATCGCAGTTACCCGAAAAAAGGCCTTTTCTGAGTTTCCTATCGAATTTTTATGAAAAAAAACATTGAATGGCTATTATGAGTGCATGCAATGGTAAGAATAATTTCCGTTCCAGGAGGCGAAGAATTTACAATTTTTTTCCAACTATAGTCCACAATTCTGGCAACCTTTAGAGCTTTAACACTGAGGTGTCTGCATGCCTAAAATGACATCACACTTTTGCTCATGAATTTGGAATAATGCACAAGCATAAAAACCAAAGTGGCACCAAAATTTACTTGAAATTTCCAAACTGAAACTTAAAATTAATGTTTAAAGGGACACAAAGGTGGATCTTCAAGGTTGTATTAAAACATTATACATGTATTAAAATGGGCCTTAAATTACTTGAGTCAGGCCTGTACGTGCGGTGCATGGTGAAGCCAGTGAATTCGTTTTGCCTCAAACGATTCAGCGGCCTTCAAAGCGACAGAAAACTTGTTACTGATGAAAACAAAATTAAAGAGGTTGTGGAATGCTCGAAGACATTTCCGTCATTTTTCGGGTATGTGTAGCCTAAGGTGTGATGAAATAAAAACGACTATTGTGTCTGTCATGAAATGAGTACAAAAGGTACTTTTGAGAGCTGTTTTTCAGGTCCTGTTTCGACCCGAACGTGCAATTTGTGTAAAAGCCGCCGTTGGGGGCAGCAAAACATTATACATGTATTAAAATGGGCCTTAAATTACTTGAGTCAGGCCTCTACGTGCGGTGCATGGTGAAGCCAGTGAATTCGTTTTGCCTCAAACGATTCAGCGGCCTTCAAAGCGACAGAAAACTTGTTACTGATGAAAACAAAATTAAAGAGGTTGTGGAATGCTCGAAGACATTTCCGTCATTTTTCGGGTATGTGTAGCCTAAGGTGTGATGAAATAAAAACCACTATTGTGTCTGTCATGAAATGAGTACGAAAGGTACTTTTGAGAGCTGTTTTTCAGGTCCTGTTTCGACCCGAACGTGCAATTTGTGTAAAAGCCGCCGTTGGGGGCAGCAAACAAAACATAGTAAATCGTGACGCAATATACAGGACTCCCTATGCAACGTAGTATAAACGAGTCCTGTTAATTACGTCACGATTTTTCTGATTTTACGAAGAACCCGACGCTGTTGATTTCAATTATGCGCTCGCCGACCAACAAATTACTCGATAAATTTCAGTTTAATAAACATATAAACGCACATTACAAAAGAATGGTAGTTTGTCATTATGATATATAATTTATGGGTCTACTCTACAATAAAAAAAAACATGCATTCCACAACCTCTTTAACGATGCACTTACTCAGAGAGCATTCCGGAATAGTCCATCGGATGAGCGAAGTCGTAATACAAGGCCGTAGTGTTGGCACCTCCCAGTGTCGGTATGAAATCGGTCAAGTTCTCGCCGTAGTAGTAGGCAGACAGAAATTGACCAAATGGATGTTGTTCTAGAGCACGCAGTTGGTTCCTAAGAGAATCAATATCAGCCAGTGAGAAACAGATATTCCTAACGTAAAGAAACTTGTACTTCATGCATTTAAGACCATTGCTGACCACATTATGCAAGTGGATTACCAAACTTAGATTTTCTGGCACCGCGACACACCATCCAGCTTGTGAGATGCGAATCAACCATTTTGCAAGACAATCAAGATCATAGATGTAAATGTAATGGTTCATGAATTTCCCTTGGACAAGTCTCTTCGGACGGGAGTACTTTAAGCCTCTTGAGGGCGCCCTGGGGGCGTGCGGGCGACGCCTGCTCTTCGCTCGTACCCCAGACAGGCGCTGATGGGACGGGCTCATGAGCTTCACAGAATCTTGTGAAGGAAGTGGTGATGGCATTCTCTGGGTAGCTTATCATGACCTATGCATAGAGACGTCTTGCTGCAGATGTTTAAGACCGCTGTTATTAGCCAATGTGCGCAAATGCTATCCGAAACTTTTCTCATAGAAATGCACACATTCCATACCGGATGTGATTTCATTTTCACTGCGGACCATGTGGAAAAACTTTTGAGCGTCGCATAATATGCAGTTTGACCATTCGTGAATTCGAAACGGAAGTGGTGATGGCATTCTCTGGGTAGCTTATCATGACCTATGCATAGAGACGTCTTGCTGCAGATGTTTAAGACCGCTGTTATTAGCCAATGTGCGCAAATGCTATCCGAAACTTTTCTCATAGAAATGCACACATTCCATACCGGATGTGATTTCATTTTCACTGCGGACCATGTGGAAAACTTTTGAGCGTCGCATAATATGCAGTTTGACCATTCGTGAATTCGAAACGGAACAAGAACCTCCCCCCCCCCCCCCCCCCCCCCCCCCCCCCCCCCCCCCCCCGCTGATTCCCATGAGCGACTTTAGTCGACCAGGCAACCACACACAAAACACCCTAAACACAGATGGCCGTGATGACTTGCAGGTCACAACTTACGCAAACTGCTTGCAGGGCGGGGGGTACGAGCGAACGCCTGATCCCAACTACACACAAGAATCAATAGATTTTTTTTCATGGGATCAGTTCCCTTTGTTCAAAATTATTATTAAAAAGCTTACTCGGATTGTCATGCTAGTGCGCTACACACCCCGTAAAATAGAAATAGAATTTATCTAAATTTGTTTTGAGAGCAAGACATTATTTAGCCGGAATTCCAACTAGGCTTAAAAACCCCGTATTATTTTCCTTAGTTCAATATTATTATTAAATAGCTTACACTATAGATATACTAGATCATACTAAACTACACACCCCGTAAAATTGTTCCGTCTCAGGGCTTGTTGTCATTGTAAGGTCAGCTCTTCACCGTCATAAACACTGTATATCGATAAAATTCCACTTTATGAAGAACTTCATTGCGGTACCCGCTGCGACATCAGATTCGAACCAGCCAACCAATCCCGTACGCTGGCGGTGATTGAGTGGTAAGACGACAGCCCTAGAGAGCAGAAGGTCGTGGGTTCGAGTCCCACTGAGTGAGTTTTTTCTCACTTTCACTGGGGGGGGGGGGGTAACGCACACAGTACACAGTGTTTATACGTCGGCGAATGGCAAAACCTAATTTACATCACCCCGACGCAAATTCCATCTTAAAAAAACGTAGATGATTTGATGATTTCAAACTATCAGTCAATTGACTGGTTTTAGCAATAAGGAGTGCTTAATATTGTGTTTCGTGATAGTATAGGTTGTGCATGTTTTCCCAAATGATTTTTTGAAGAGTAAAATATCCACTGAGCTGAAAAATCAACCGGTTAGGTTTTGAAATTGCAGAGCTGTAATGACTCAAAGTGTCTCGAATCGATTCGAGTCCGACTCGAGCCACAATTTTTATCGACTTGACTCGATTCCAGTTCAAACGGGTACCTGATGCGAGCAGATAACTCGACTCGAGTCGAATGCTAATAACCGTCCTTAAACTGTGCCGTACAGTACAAAAGATGTTCGGGTATTTCGCGTTATATCGTCAAGTTGTGGCCGCTTATCGCGTACAAATAAACACCATAACGGACTCCCTCCCAGCAGTTTCATAATGTAGGCCTAGCACACAAACTATTATCCCGGAACCAGGCTTTATTTTTCAATTATTGGTTTTCATACTCAGCTTTGGGCGATTATTAATGGAATTCTGGCTAAATTTATATCCTGCTTTCTATGTAGCTAAACAGTTTCATATGTTGCAATTTTGTTTTGACGTTATGATTACAAATTATTTCAGACCCGAAGCCAAACATGAGATAAGACCGAAGTTTCACGTCTTGTTACCTGCTACGTAGAGCTGTGATAGAAACGTCCAGCAGAAGCTGTCCATTGGGTACCATACAGCATATTTTAAGTCATTGGATCTTCACAATACACTGGTGCCTTGTGTCCTTTCACTGCATTCCGTAATTTATTAGATGGTGTTCCAATATCTATGACTCGAGCTTCAATTTGACTCAACTCGACCACACATCACTCTCACTAGACTCAAATCAACCTTCTTGACCAAATGACTCGACTCGAGTCACTTCCATAAAATGACTCGACTTGACTCGAGTCAAACGAATTCAGTGCCTCCTTCCAACTCTGGAAAAAAATCTTCTTGCGATTCTGAGTGTTGTTATTATTGGAAACGAACAAAATGCTTGTAGAAAGACGAGGGAAGGGTTTACTTTACCTGAACTGGTTGGTGTTGCAGACGGTCACGGCAGGAAAGGTCATCGGTTCCATGTATTCGATCACGACGTCCACGCTTTTCGGGTTACCAACGAAGAACACCGCTCGGTTGATGATCTGGTAAGATGCGGCTGACATCCCGCCGAGCAGCGCTACGGTCCACACAAGCCTGGTAGATATGACATGGAGGTGGGTTCGTCATCTCAATTGGCTTATTTGGTTAAGCAACGATACTCACTTAGCACAATCGGGATTGAATTTCCTAGAACTGTTTATCACACTCCAAAATTACAAGCATTGAATATAATATTATTTGCTCATCAGAAACAGGTCACCAGCCAAAATGCCATGCAACATGTATTGTTTCCCATTTGATTTATGCTAAGCACGTAAATTGTAATGTGTCATTCTAATCTACTGCATGGTATTGGAACCAGCTTACAAAAAACATGTAGAGAGGGGAGTTCTCTTTTACGATGTTTCACTATTTTTACGGAAGTAAGTTTCACCCGAATGGGTGTCGGACTTGACTTTAACATTAAACTAGGCTATTTTATGGGTGGTATTAGGGTTGCCTAACTTACCTTCGGAATAGATTGAAGTTGCTGCTGACGATGTACTTGATTCCCGTGATCCCAACGGCGTCCGATACTGTAGATGTCCACGTCGAGCAGAACCCGAAAGGGCGGTTCCTGCGCTGCTCGGGAACCCTTGAGCCATTGTCCTCGTCCTGTTCTATGCGGACAGCGGTTCTCGCTCGTCCCACGCTCTCTAGCTCAAGCCCCCACTTGGGATCGTCAAACGAAACGATACTGATGTCCCCTTCTAGTTCTAGTGGTTTCTCTTTAATTACCATCGTGGTCCGTTTGTGGCCGCTTTAGCCTCAGAACGAAGATACCGTGATCCTTACTAACACTCGTTTAAAGATTGTGCTTTCGGTAGTGTATGGATAATACACCCTTGCAAGCAGATTCGGTGATTGATTATATGCAAACAAGACTGTGTCTTGACCGCTCACCATTCAGCGGACGCTTTCTATATCTGCATGATCTTCGGTTAAATATCCGTTTCCTTCGCGTCGTATACATCTAAAAATAAAACCTAGACACGACATCTAATATGCTTTTCACGTTGTCAATAGAGCAAACAAAGGCTTCGGTCACTCGCTCTGTATATATGTTACGCAATGCGCTAAGCTTAGAGCCAATGCCGTGTATTGAAGTTTTATAGATCTCCACATCCGGCTGTTGTTACGTTTTATACAAAAACAGTACATACGAATTGACAAATCAACAACTTAGTCCAGAATTCGGAGTGAAATGACGTCACGCGATTTAGTAAAGTCGTCTGCGGTTGGCTGGCACGCGGGGTCGCATACATAGTGCGTGTTTAGATTATCATCAGACGTTAGACCGGAGATAGAGTCGAGTCCATGGACATCGGGTAATACTCAGACCACCTTTTGGGCGAACGGCGTTATAATTATGTTGAACGTTTAATTGATATCGATTTTTGTGCTTACAACTTAAGGGAAGTCTTAAGTCCATGCACTAAAAGGAATTTAACATCCAGAAAGCGCTTATACATTTTGTTCGCAGCTCATTTGCAAAATTGCAATCCTTCTACAAACGATAGAGCCTAAAACGAAGATGACAGACATCTGTGCACTAAGAGCACATGCACCATTTTGTGTAAGACAAGATTCAGTCATCAACCCATTATACGGCATGTAATGTATAAATATTGGCATGCGGAACTCCACGAGACCCCCCAAAAATGTATCAAGTCTTTGTGGTTTGAAGCGTGGGCAGGTCGCCAACACAGTGCTTAAGTGGGAATACCTTGGCCAACATACTGAATCATTCGCTTCCAAATTTAGTTATTGCAGTCTTAGTCTGGAGAATATGAAGCACTAATACGCTTGCGGGAGACCACATCCTACAAAAGTTGTATTAGTTTAACATCAAAATTTCTATACATTTGCAAGTTTTACGAGACAAAACTCATGGTCGCTACAAACAGTTGTATTTGTAGGCCAAAGTAGGTTATGATTTGGCTTAGATGCTCAATTACATGTGGGCTTTTAAATTCAAATGCAAGAGTTAAACACATTAACCTGGCTGCCCATGCCAACAGCGTAACTATTGTCATTAACATGAAGCATTATAGGTAATTTTAATATCAAACATAGGTAAATCATTAATTTTAATAAATGAGGGATTTTAACAAAATATAGGCTAGGATCAGTCCTTTTGAAGAGACAGGGATCGAAAAAATGGCCAATGGTATTGTTGTTTTTTTTATTGTCTTCTTTTTCTTGCGACCCGACAATAATTAAGAAGGATGTCTTATACATTCATGAAGGCGAACAAAGTATAAAACAATTTAAACATTTGTTAAAGAGGCTGAAGAAAAATGGCAAAAAATATAAAACAAAAGTTTGTTTTCTTGTTTCAACAAATACATATTTAAAATCCGTCAAGAGAAATAACATCAAATTTGTTCAAGAGCACGGGGAGAACAGCTTGAATCAAGAAATGTCTTGCCTTCCGGTTGACTGGCCGTAATTGAACGGGCAAATTGATTCCAAGAAAGGGTAGCAAAAAAGACATTCCATGAACGAAATGCGTGGTGAAGATGATGCAATGTTTGCCATCATCATAAGTCTGTTTACTCGGCAGCCGGCGAGGCAACGCATCGGCGAGAATTTCGGCAATTAAAATTGATAAATAAATTAAGTAACACTTAATGACATTTATGGTAATTCTGTTGAGTGCGCCACAGCCCAACAGAGCTGTGAGCTGTTCCTGGCACATAATTAAAATAGAAGTACAGGGGAACAAAGCATAAAGCCGAACCCATTTCGTACAAAGTTAGACAACCATGAAATTGTAAATCGGAAGTACAGTGGATAAAGCACAAAAGCATGTACACCCAAGACATATACAGGGTGAGTAAAAAAAAACGAAACCCAAATAACGGGATTATAGTTTTATTGAAGTTCTGCATGTAGCAATTTCAAAATCTAGCATATGAAAGCCCAATTCATGAGCTTTCTTTTAGTACAAGAATCATTCAAATCATTTATGTACTTTTTAAGTTACGGAATTTTAAACACAACCACCGTTTTAAGGTTCTGTCCACAATTCACACACATTCCTATGTGATTTGTTTTCGTTTTCTCTGAAAGAACACTGAACCTTTTTTGCGATCCGTGGACAGAACCTTAAAACGGTAGTAGTGCTTAAAATTTCGTAACTTAAAAACTACATGAGTGATTTGAATGATTTTTGTACTAAAAGAAAGCTGATGAATTGGGCTTTCACATGTTAGATTTTAAAAATGCTACATGCAGAACTTAGCTAAAACAATGGTCCCAACATTTGAGTTTAGTTTCTTTTGACTCACCATGTATATACACAGGGATACGTGTAACGCATTATTGATAATTGTTCCTCAGTGCAACAAGACAACAGTAATTTTCTGCTTGACGGAATCCATTTTTCGTCACCCCACCGTCCACTCACAAGAATTTATTTCGTAGCAGTAGGGCATGTTAACGGGGTCCGTTGTGGACAGTGTGATTTAAATTGTAGAAAGTTTGGGGGTCGATTTTGATTCCTTACTTTTTATTCCCCGTTTCCTCCCTTAATTTATCACACGGCACTTCAGGGTATATTGGTGTTCCCTATAAACGTGGCGCACTTCCACAACCCCCACTTTCCTCATGCAGTGTTGCCAAACTTCTTTGTTGACAAACAAACTTCAAATTCATTCAGTTAAATACTGGTACTTTAAAGTTTTACACGAATACGGTGGCGTCCGAATACGGTGGCGTTCAGAAACGGTGGCGTCCGGTGATTGGGCACAATCGGCCGAGTGTTCCCTAACTTGGCGCACCGAAATAAATCTCGAAAAATCCTGCGTTAACATTTAAGAAGTTGAAACAAATCTGACAGACCATTGTTACCTCTACCCACGTACCCAACTAGAGGTTTGTCGAAAAATTATTTTCATATTTTTTGGCGCATTTTTATATGCACTTCGAAATAACATTGGAAAATCACGCCAAAATACATTTCTCTGCTAACTTTGTAACGGGTAGATAAACTCACGATTTATGAACGACGATGTTCAGAGCCGCCTCATGAAATTTCACTGTGAAATTTCAGGTAAAACTTTTGCTCTAGCAAGGTGCTAGATGCGAAATCAACAATATTTGTATGGGGTAACATGTAGATCCTGAAAAAGAATGAAATAATAAGAAGTCCACCATTTCCTTTTTTTCACCTCCTTTACTCTGATTTGTTTTCAAATCAATAACAAATTACCTTGTTTCTTAAAACAATACAATTATTTTCGTGCCCAGGCAGGCATAACAGACGCTTTGAATAACAAGAAAAGCATTTAGCATTTAGTACTTGAGTATTCATTATAAAAATGTTGCAGCATTATTATACAAGCAATAATCGTTGTTGGTTTTAAAAGAGCAACCAGTTGCATGAATAATACAATAAATATTGAAAGGCAGCCACACAATAATTATTTGCAAAACTTTCATTTTAAAACTATAAAACCGATATCCCAATTCAATTCAATTCAGTTCTGGCTGGAAAATTTTTTAAAAATCACCAAATATAAAGTCAAATACTGAAATACTTCAGTTTGCAAAAATTACGATCAAAATTACAAGTTTATACACACCCACAACTGCAAAAATAAGTAAAATGAGTAAACTTTGGCGGAAAATAAACTGACCCCTGACTGATAAAGATACGTTTCCTTTACTTAAATCTACATTTAGATTAAAAATGATCAAATTAATAAAAAGAAAAAGAAACTGTTGCAAGCCTTGAAAAAAATCTGCTAAAAAATAAAAGTTTAGGTACTGAGATTACAGATGAGTACTCGGATATTTCTGACAATGGACCACCGTCAGCTGCTATGTCTTCAATTATTACGTACATACATGTACTAAACTATTGTCCATACCAAGTATGCAAAATGCAGCATTTGAAAGTACTTGAAAAATTGAAAAGGACCATTTTATTTGGCACTGGCAAGTCTGTTTGTTGAGCATTATTGTTCTCATTTGAAAGATGTCTGTGGTTGTATGTTATGAAAGCTCTACAGTACCATTTTCTGTTGTAGACTTACCCTTATTGACCTTGTGCAAAGCGGCCATCTTAGAGGCAATGCTAATGTTCTGCTGGTATGAACTATGTACACACAAGTACCCCCTCAACGGTTACAAAAGGAGAGTTGGGAGAGACCACTGGAAGGGACATTTGAACACATTGTCAAAAATGTTGGATCACCCTCAGATGTTCCAAACACTACACGAATTTAGTTCTCTGATACGCCAATCGAAAATTGGGTGAACAGCGAGGTTTACACCGCCCAACAACTGTTCCTGTGCACGCACCTAATACACTTAGTTGCAGTGTCTTGTCTTCAAGACCGAAGGGCGATGGTCAGCTGCTCTTCGGCCTCCTTGGACATCCAGCCCAGGAGGCGGAGGATGTGCGAGATGTAAATGGTCACCAAGTTGCTGATGTATGTCCCGCTGTTCAGAGAATTAAAGATAATCGAAATAAGACTTGAAGGTTTTTGGGGCCTAGTCAAAAGCCAATTAAATATATTTTGTATCCAATTATCTCAGTTTTGTTACATCACCCTCCCCCCCCCCAAAAAAATTTCCCATCTGATGAATATCTCAGTTTTATTCACTTACCAAAGTCTCAGTTCCAACATACCCCGGCGATAGTAACCTATGACCTTTCCCACAATGCTCTGCTGTTGCGATAGGCTCAGCGATGACTGTCCAGCAGCACTACAAGAAGAGTATAAGCCAAACACAATTCACGATACACATCAATGGGATTTGACAATATAAGTGACATAATTCCCTGACTCTTTAAAATTGCCCATGGGAGGGCAGCAGATATTTTGTTGGCTAAACACAGTCTTAAATGGACAATATTTAATCTACAACCTGGTTGAAACTGACTGCAGCATTTGTTCACTTTTTTATGCTATTTTAACTGGATAACTCTATGCAAGTAAAACAGCTAGCCCTCAGAAATGAAAAAGACATGTTACAGACAGTTGAACTTGGTTGCCATTGCACCGATATATTCAGAATAGTCAATGTTATAAAATGTTGATCTTTTTTTTGAAATTGTTTCGAATTAATGTGACCCAGTGCTGGTGTCGGCACACTTGCAATTTTATGAGTGCATATGTGTCACATAGCGTAATCTACTGTAGGCCCACTTAGTTCATATGAAAGTTTCCACAGAGAGCGACAAACACCATGGACCATGGTCAAGCGAGGGTGACAAACATCATGGGCACCATAGTCAACAGTGGGCGACAGACTCTGTGGACCATGGTCTACAGGGCGACAGACACGGTGCACGGCGACAGACACGCCGGCCCATGATCACAGACACCACTGGCCATCATACTTACCATCTAGCCATCACTGTGTATCTATCCACAGACATTCCCAGCTCGACGTTTATTGCGCGGATGGTGTTTAAGTTCCTGCAGATCATAACGGGAAAAAAAATTATTATCTTTTGGCAAGAAAAAGGATGTTTATCCAAAACTCGTAGCACATAGCGCGTGCCACGGTGATACAACGTTTCCGGTTTTATAACAATGTGCCAGGAGAGAGAAAAAAGGCATCACATAAAATTTATTTCAAAACAAGCAGGGCAAAACAGCAAAAGAAAATTATTCATGAAAACAATCTCTTTGAAGAAATAAGTTTCGGAGACCTTCATCTTGGAGTCTTGGTGGAAAAATGTTGACATGTAGTTAAGATAAACAATTCAGGGGTGGATAGCTTTCAGAAAACGAGGGGGGGGGTTCGAAATAAAGGGGGTTCGATATCAAGGTGGGGGTGCGTATGGGGGCATGCCCCCAAAAAACTTTTGAATTCTAGGATGCTTTCTTTTGCTTTCTAAGACATTTTGAGAATGAATTTAGAAATTTAAGCACTCACTTTATAAAATGTTTGGCCCAATCAAACTAGTAAAAGATTGTTCAGCGGCTAAACGTGGGGGAGGGGGGAAGGGAGGGGTGTTGCACCCCCAATCCACCCCCCCCCCCCAGATCCGCTACTGCAATTCTGAATGCAATGACTTTACAGACAAGAACAGACAAAAGTATCAAGCGGAATTCGAGGTCAAGAACAGCACCATCAGTGGCCCTAGTTTTCTGTCAGCCTCACCTGATAACAAGCAGCAATGAGTGAGGCATTTGTCTCAGCACCGTCATGATTTGATCAAAGTCCTGGCTGGCCATGTATTCTTGCTCAGTCAACCTGGAGCTCAGCTTGTACGGCCGCTGCGTCATTATCTCGGCAAAGGTTTTGATATCTGTCAGAGGAGGAAAAGTAGGAATTAAGTCAATATTGAAAGGGTCCGGCCTAAAGCAATTTTTCAGTTGCGTGTAGGCAGCACTGTCACCAGCTCCACATCTTGTGGGGGGGGGGGGGGGGGACTCTGCACGCATAATACAGGCATAACACAAAAACGCCCAGTTTTGAAAGGATAGTTGTGTGGATGTTTATATCCTACTTTTAAATGTTCTTTCCGATTAACATCATCTAGTTCAAAGCGCATTTTGTAGCCCAATTGGGCTGTTCCAGGACCTAGTGTCCCTTTAATGAACTGGTCTGTAGTATCTGCTTGCATGTAAAAGCCATTATGTGAAAATTCATGGGCGAGCCGTCACCGAACTTTCTGCTGTCCCCACAGTGTCTTCGGTCCTCGTACCTAGGGGCAACTTGTGTGTAGTCCCCGTTAACTACCGAGCAAGTATGTGTTTTTATCTCCTTGTGTCAAGGCATCGGTTACGGCATCATTTTACGAGAGACATGTACATTATACCCTACCTTGAACTCCCAGTTTAGCAGCGCTGACTGCCATTCCGTGCTCATCCTGGCCAATCAGGCATCTCCAAAACTCACACAATGCCACTCTATGACTGTTTACGAAAAAAAAAAAATGGCCAGTGTTTAAAAATTTAGATCTTTCTTTAGAAGAGTGATTGATTTAGCACTTTGGATGGCACACTCAATTGTTCTTGTTTGTAGTGTCTTTTAGGAATCTGTGAATTACTGTGAACTTCATATAACTGACTCCATGCATTTTAATACACTTCCTCATGTAAAGATTTATGAACCCTCAGCTGAAATTTCATTGTGCAAATTTGAAGTAGTCTCCAACAGCAACACGTTTACTGTAGTGTTGTGATCGAGTCCATCGGATGTCCGGTCACAAGAAAATCTCAAGTCCATTTAATTAGTAGATGAACAACAAAAGAATTCCCAGCAAAAGAATCTTCATGCTGTCAACAAAAGAATGCCTTGTGAGGATTGTGTGGACTTGTGAAGACTTGATAGGACTTGTGATAAACTTGAGAGGACTTGTTAAGACTTGTGGGTTCTTGTGAGGACGTTTGGGTACTTGTTGGGACTTGTGGGCACTTTTCAGGACTTGTGGGGACGTGAGGGGGTGGGGGCAGAGCTTGTGTGAGGCCTTGTGAGGACTTGTGGGCACTTTTGAGGACTTGTGGGGTCTTGATGGGGTGGGGCGGAGCTTGTGTGTGGCCTTGTGAGGACTTGTGGGCACTTTTGAGGACTTGTGGGGACTTGATGGAGTGAAAGGGGGGTTTGTGTGGCCTTGTGAGGACTTGTGGGGGCTTGTGGCTGCTTGTTTGGATTTGTGGGGTATTCTGAGGATTTAAGGGGACATGTAAGGGCTTGCGGGGACATGTGGCAGCTTGTGGGGACGTGAGGTATTTTCAGGATCTGTGAGGACTTCTCAGGACTCATGGTGGGGCTTGTGTGGGCTTGTGAAAGAGGGGGGAATGGGGACATGTGGCTGCTTGTGGGGACGTGGGTATTCTGAGGATTGAAGGGGACTTGTAAGGGCTTGCGGGGACATGTGGCAGCTTGTGAGGACGTGAGGTATTTTCAGGATATGTGGGGACTTCTCAGGACTCATGGTGGGGTTTGTGTGGGCTTGTGAAGGGGGGGGTGTGGAGACATGTGGCTGCTTGTGGGGACATGTGGGATATTTTGAGGACTTGTGGGGACTTGTGAGGACTTGTATGGACTTATGAGGACTCAACTACAACACTGGTTTATTGATAGACTGGCTGTTTATACCTGTCCTCTAGTTCCTGGTAGAGACCATGGTCCAGGAAAACTAGCTTGGCTTTACCATCAGCACCTTTCTGAACAAAAACTGATGAAGGGGGAGATGTGGGCAAAATATCTCATCAAAAAGAATAAATTGTTGTGCATAGCGAGACCAATGTACAAATTGTTCTTACTGCATGGCGTTGCCGCTCTTGTTGATTTTCTTTATTCACTCAAAAAAATTATTGACGACCATTTCAGACTAGTGTTCCAGAGTCGTGACAAATGAAATTTTCCAAAGATATGAATACAGCAAATTAAAAGTTTGATGTTTGAAAGATCCACTTTCCAGATGTTCAGAAATGACACGAGTCTGCTCAGTGCAAAAATAATACATAAATTTGCCTTTCCAAAACAAAAAATATATTTAGGTTTACATGAAATCAGTGTAAATTGTCAAATCCGTTTTCCTTGTTATTTATTTTTTTTTTATTAAAGATGAATTCCCTCTGCTATTTCGAATTTGTACCCCCCAAATTGGGGGTTTTCTTGAGCTGCTTTTTTCCCAGTAATATAAAAGTTATTAACTTTTGAATGAAACATCAAACGAAAAAAATCCTTCACGAAATTTGAATTACTTGTGGCGGGATAATAATTCAGCTCTCGAAGGGTGGTTTGTTTGTGCCTAAAAAAATGCCTTTTTTCTTAGGGTTTCAGATGCCCAAATTCGGGGGGAAAAAGGACATTTTGTATGATAAAACAAAACAAACAATTTGAAATTTAGTGGGGAGAATTTTTTTAAGAGCATGGGGCATACATCTTTAATAAACAATCAATGTTGTGTTGTCTAGATAAACGTGAAAATAAAATGAAACATGACATTTTATTTCAAGCCAACTGAAGCTTTTCAATGAACATTTACAGATTAGAAAAACGGCGGTTAAAATACTGGCATATTTGGTGGTCGTTTGGGTTAAAAAAAAAATGAGCAAAATATGCCATGCGCAAAATGATTACAATGGAAGTGCTCATGCAAGTTAACATGGTAAACTTTAACGAATGCCAACAAAGCTGCATTATTGCACGATCATATTTCTAGAAACAAAATGTACTGTAAAACCTGCTACAGTAATAAAAATGGTTAAAGTCTGGTAAAAACCATACAGTGTAGGGGCAGGTTTTGGGCAATACAGGGAGTAACATGCAATGCTGTTTGGGGCAGTACAGTAACTAAAGGTGTAAGTTAAACAAAACACCCCCAAATTAAAATCTTTCTGCTTTTTTGCACACTGTGTGTCTTCGTTCGGCTGTTCATCCTCACACTACAGTGGAACGTCGCTATACCGAACACCGCTATACTGAACATTCAGCTATACCGAACATCATCCTTGGCTCTTGATTTTTGTGTACAAAATGTATCGAATATTGCTGTTGAAAAATGTCAACAGAAGAGCGAAAAGTGGTTATTATTTCCCCAAGAAATAGAAGGGGAAAGCCACCCATTGCTGTAGATACTGGTTGTAAGCTCACAATCTGTGTACATAATTGCATTGTTCAATAGTCAACAGGTGTTCAAAGTCATCTTTCGGTAACTAGAAGTACCAGGGCATGCAGCGTGAAGTTCTGAAGGGCGCTATTTATTGAAAAATGAGAACCTGAGCACCGGCAGCTTAAAATTGCTATACCCAATGATCGCTATTACGAACGATTTCTGTGGATCCCGCGATGTTCGTTATAGCGACGTTCCACTGTACTACCACTATTAACGTACCGTTGCCTGGGTGGGGGTCGCCATGCACAAAGCCTGAATGGAATATCTGCTCACAGAAGCCTCGGATGAGCTTTGAATTGACCTACGTGATTTCAAGATGCAAACTCTTTTATTGTGATGCAAGGGCCGACTTGATGGAACTGCTAACCATTACAAATTGCTACAAGAGTTGAGGGACACCACTGGGAGGGACATTCAATTTGATGACGACACCTGATGTTCACGTGAAGAAGCTATAGGTTTCTGCACATTCAGCAAAAAATGAGTCATGCGCTCAAGTCTTACGTGCACAATATGCACACACGCAGTGCGTCCCTCCCTCATAGAGCTAAATTAAATTAATAGAGCGCTAACTCGATGTACAAAGTAATGCCTGATGGGCGCATCCATGTTTGTGCACAAACCTATGGAAAACTCAAAATTTTGTACGGCTTTTGTACGGCTATCTGCATATCTGCGTTTGTATTCCATACCGGTGCGTCATCGAAGCCGATACGCCCAAAACCAAAACCAAAACGCACGATCAGCAAATGAGCGTTTCATTTTGCTCTACGCAAACAGCGCAATGTGTGCGCGTCCCTCCGATGCAGATGCTTTTCGCCGTGACGTTTTTTTGAACCGTCTACTTGCACGTTGCATTTAGAGTACACTTTTTAATTCAATCCATCAATTTTGATTGTGTTCTACAAACACGCACATAAATTCAAAATGTCTGCGCCCAGAGCGGCTTCAAAGCTTCTCCGAGCGCAAGAATGAAGAACCCCCACTCCCCCCATCATAATGAAAAAATAATCAAGCATGAAGAAATGTAACAAATAAGTAAGCATGAGTTGACACTTAACTGTCTAAGGAAATAGCATGAAGAATGCATGGGATGTACGCCTATAAATAAACTGCAAGCTTTTGTATGAGCTACACGAACATGATGGGCAGTATCATGCAGTGGTGGTATTCGTGAGCAAAATGAAAGATTCTTTTCTTCCAAAAAAATATGAAATATGAATTTCTGCAGACTTACATCGGCGGACGACAAGCCCATTTGCATTATTCCTTCCTTGTCGTTGACCTTACAACCGTGCACAAACTCAGCTGTTAAAACCCTCTGCAAAGACAAAACAAAAACAGACAAAGTTGTCACTTAAAAAAAAAGACAAGTCTACAAATTAAAAAGCCCATGCAATGTATTTGTTTACTCTATCCTAAAAATTCACATTTGTGTCCCATTAAACCTCAAGTTTCGTTTTGCTATTTTGAAGGGTATTTTGGGGCATTTTTGGTTTTTATGCCAACGTGAATTTTCATATTCACAAGCAAAACTGTGACGTCATTCCCGGCAGAAACCTCTATGTTACACTTATTTCAGCACAAAAAGTTGCCAGAATTTGGAAATATATTGTCTTTTCTTTTGTGATTCATTGTTGTGTATTACACGGCAGTACGCCAATGAGCAAACTATATGAGCAAATTTGGGGATCACAAATTGAACAGAACACCCCTAAACTGAACAGTGTCTCCCTGAAATAACATCATAGCACAGCGCCCTCAGTTGTCCGGAAAAGCATTAAACATTTTAGATGTTTACAGAAGTGCACTTTTCAATAGAATTAACCAAAAAGGGATGTTTTTGGAACATTTAAGAATCTTGAGTAGAAAGTTGCACAAGATATGTCTTGTTCAATAAACTTAACCAAAAAGGGATGTTAAATGGTTTTCATACATTTACGAGGAGTAAAATGTTAATTGCAGAAAATGTGTTCCTAAGAAAAAGTTATCACATGGCCCTTCAGTTTCCCTGTTTTTAACATTGAACTTTTTACTTTTTCAGTGCAGAGACCTGCATACAGAATGAATTTTAAGGGGAAAAAACCCATTAAATTCAGCTTATTTTAATCAAAACGCGGAATTCATGAGCCTGGAATACCATTGACGGAGGCGAGTTGTTTCAAACTGCGAAATTAATCCTCATCTTTTGAATAATTTGACGACTCTGAAACGCCAGTAAGAAACAGTTGTCAAAAAAATTATCCTGACCATTTTTTTTCCAGGTCAACAAACCTTAGTGGTGTACTCCCACAGAACTCTTGGCACCGATACAAACTTGAGGTGCTCTAGGTCTTGTTGACAACGCTCTCCGTTCCTTCCTTCGTGTTCAAAGTCCAGCTCACACCTCAGGTCATCTTTAAGAACCTGAAGAAGACCAAAACGAAAAATACGCCCTGTCCTTAACTCTGAGATTTGCATATTTTGGGTAAATTCATTTGGTTATTTTCTAAAGGGGCAAAATCGTTAATTTAGGGGTTACAAGAACACACACGCACAGACAACCCCACGTTGTTTATGCTGTAAATCGAGGATGCTTTTTGTTCGTCTCATAGGTACCCATTTACTCCTGGATGGAGAGAAGCAATGAGTGACAAAGTGCCTTGTTCAAGGCACACGCACCATGACCCCGGCTGGACTCGAACCCACAACCCGCAGCTTTACCCCCAGACCACGAATCAGTGTCCTTAACCTCAAGGCCACAGCACTCCACACTTGCAAAGTTGCACAAAAGTTCCTAAGAAAAATGAACTTCATGGATCCTTTAAACCAAACCATGTCTTAATTAAGCCAAGTCTGAATTACTGGCTACGGCTTAACAATTACACATGTGTCTATGGGACAGGCGGCTGCAGCGGCTTCCACAGCCAGGTGTGTTTAATACTGTTAGCCGTAGTCAAGTAATTCGGACGCAGCCTTACCTGAAGGACCCACTTGAAATTGAAGGACGGATGCATCCAGCTAATCAGGTCTAGCAGCAGCTTCAGAGTCCCGATATCACTGTCGTAACGGTCTCTCAGATCAATGTACTGCACCTAATGAAAGACAAGACAACAATTTCCTTGCATCTGTTTGTGGAGAAATGAGCCCTAGGCCTCCCAAATCTTTTGAGAATCCATCAGGAACTTTGCCGCAGTTGGCTCTTTGTAGCAATTCATAGAGGCTGTTTGGCCTTTTCATGAGAGCAACGTGAAGGTAAATAGTCATACTCATCTAGGGCTATAGTCTTTGTCCAAGATTGGATTTGTCTTTTGTTCTAATATGTCACCGGTCCCTGACAAAGTGAAGTCGAACCACTGTAGCAGTAGCGGGTGCAATCAACAAAATAAATTCAATTCATTCTCGGGAACTCTGGCACTGAGATATGAGAAAATTCTGAGCATACATCATGCGTGTTCATTAAAGGGAATATACAACATTTGCAAACATCGAAAAATAAAACTACCAAGTTTTTGCGAAATACCTTAATAGGATGTTGGTAAATGACAGTCTAAAGCATCCTGTAAAATTATGGCACCTGGTATACTGTCATTTTCAAGAAAAGTGGTATTTTTGTATCAATTTCCAACGCTGATCGGCCGATCAGCGTTGGAAACAACTGGCTTTTTTTTCAAATACTGGCCCCAATTGACCATCGCACTTGTTTACAATCGATTACAAACCTATGAACGGGTACGAGCCAGCTAGACTGGTTCCCTAACCTTACAATTCCCCAATGTATGTAAACTGCTCTGTTTCTTCTTATATGGAGTCAGGGAACCAGACTACAGGAAAATGATCGTTTTTCTTGGTTTTTATAGCATTTTCGAACCCAAAACCTCCAAAAAGTCAGTGTAACTATATTTGCTTTATATTTCCAACCCCCCAATTCCAACCATTTCTGAAAATTACAGCAAAAGCAAATGATGTATATTCCCTTTAAAGGTAATAAACAACATTTGCAAATATCAAAAAACAAAACTACCAAATTATTATGAAAAATCTTACTTGACTGTAAGTGAATTATAGTCTCAAGCATCCTGTGAAATAATGGCACCTGTTCTGTTGTTTTCAAGAAAAGTAAAATTTTTGCATCAATTTTCAACGATGGTCAGTCGACCATCGTTGGGAAAAAAACAGGCTTTTTTTCAATACTGCCCCCAATTTAACAAATTTAGTTAGTCCACATTTTGTTTGCAATTGGTTAAACTTCCGTGAAGGGGTACAAGCCAGCTAGTCTGGTTCCCTGACCTAACAATTCCCTCGTGTCTATAAATTGCTCTGTTCATCTGAAGTAGGGTCATGGAACCAGACTACAAGGACAGCAATTTTTTTCTTGGTTTTAAACATGTCAGTGTAACAATATTTGTTACAGAATACTTATCCCCATATCCACCTATTTCTGAAAATTACAGCAAAAGCAAATGTTATATTTTACCTTCAAATTGAATTTAGCATGCATGAGGTATGCCAAGATTTTGTGGGGGGTCCGGGTGCCAAAGTTCCCTAGGCTGGTTTGATTCATCCGGTTGATAGCAACGTCTACAGGTTGACACACTTGCCAGGCACCAGCTACTTTGGGGGGGGGGGGGGGAACAAACCACAAATCTAACTAAGGACATTCAGCACTCACAACTATTTCAGACTTAACGTGCACAACAATAAATCGTCACCGTTTTCACGAACAGCCACATACTATATATATTATGTTGATTTTGAAGAAAAGTGTTTTCAAGATAATCGCAAAAGAAGTTTCTCATATTTTAAAACTGCAAGAAATACTACTTTGCAGCAACTTTGTTCAGCAAGGAAACCATCACACGATTCTACGAGAGCTGAATTTTTACATGAGCCCGGTAATAAGACTTAATACAGCAGTTAATTAGTGAAAATTAATTAGTAAAGATATGTGGCTCTTCGTGAAAATGCAAATTCAGGTTTCCGACATATTGGCCCTTTCTGTTCAACGTGTATTTCCATAGGTGCGTGTGAGTACGTGCGCGCAGCTGAAAATGTAACAAAGATATGTGGCTCTTCGTGAAAATGGAAATCTCATTTGACCTACTTTTATGTATTTCCATGCGATGGGTTTTCTACGCCTTCAAAGGGCCAAAATGTATGTGGCTCTTCGTGAAAACGCAAAATGCATTTATCGAGATTTCTGCCCCTTGCAACATTAATGTAACTTGGAAATTAATGACGTTTTGCTTACAGAAACATGTCAAAATGGTTAAGTACATTGTTTTAATGCAAAATATTGAAGAAAAAAACAAAATCGAGAAAATGGTAATTTTTGACATATGTGGCTCTTCGTGAAAACGGTGACGAAATGTGCCATGTGCAAATTAGTTGTGAACAAATTCACTTCATTTTTTCCAAGGTCTAATTCACCTTCACAGCTACCGTCTGGTTGTCGTGGGTGACTGCCCGGTGCACCTGGGCGAGACTCGCAGCGGCAATAGGCTCCTCCTCAAACTCGGCAAAGAGCTTGTCAGGGGTGGTCCCAAATTCCTCCATGAAGAGCCTGTTCAGCTGTAAGAAAGGCAAACATGCATCAATTATTGGAGAAGGAATACGACACGATGTAGGCAGCATATGAAAATACTGGACTATGGGCGGCAGTAACAGACGTGTCTATGGCGAGTGGGTTCAGCTGCTACTGCCAGGTATCCCTCACCAAAATGACCGATTAATCCATAAATTGCCAATTGGATCGAATTGGTTTGAGTTGGGTCTAGTTGGTTTGAAGTCGATTCAGTTGTGAGATGAGTTGGATCCAATTAGGGGTTGAGTTGGATCCAATTGGTTGAATTGGATTCTATTGGGAGTTGAATTGGATCCAATTGGTTTGAATTGGAATTAGTTGGGAGTCGAGTCGGATCCAATTGGGTGTCGAGTTGGATCCAATAAGTTTGAATTGGATCCAATTGGGGGTTGAGTTGGATCCAATTGGGGGTTGAGTTGGATCCAAGTGGTTGAATTGGATTCTAATGGGAGTTGAATTGGATCCAATTGGTTTGAATCGGAATTAGTTGGGAGTCGAGTCGGATCCAATTGGGAGTCGAGTTGGATCCAATAAGTTTGAATTGGATCCAATTGGGAGTTGAGTTGGATCCAATTGGTTGGTTTTTTTAAAGCGTTTTTGCTAGGATGCAACCTCAATCCTGCGAAATGCTCCATCTGCCTCCATGTACAAATTGCACACAGCCTCAATCCTGCAACCTCATCTGTTATTTCTTAAATGTGGTCCTTGGAGGAGTGACCACTGCCTCAACCCTGCAAAATTCTCCAGCAATCACTGTCAATATGTTGAGGCAGGGCCAGTGACATCCTGGAGCAGTTGGGAAGATTTCAAGTTTAATCCAGGCCTAAATTTATGCACGGCTGAGCATAAGCAAAACAAGGTCCAACCCAAGACCTTGAGACAGTGCATCCTCCAAAATCAGCCACACATTTTTGCCATTCAGCCTCAACCCTGCAAAATCCTCCATTTTGCAAAGAGGATTTTGGAGGATTTGGGAAGGTTAGGGTTAATTATGTGAACCATGAAAAGTATGCATGAAGCAGCAGAGTCAAATTACGTAGTAGTGCTCTTAAAGGGAATATACATCATTTGCTTTTGCTGTAATTTTCAGAAATGGATGGAATTGGGGGGTTGGAAATATATAGCAAATATAGTTACACTGACTTTTTTGAGGTTTTGGGTTCAAAAATGCTATAAAAACCAAGAAAAACAATCATTTTCCTGTAGTCTGGTTCCCTGACTCCATTTAAGAAGAAACAGAGCAGTTCACATACATTGGGGAATTGTAAGGTCAGGGAACCAGTCTAGCTGGCTTGTACCCGTTCATAGGTGTGTAATCGATTGCAAACAAGTGCGATGGTCAACTGGGGCCAGTATTTGAAAAAAAACCCAGTTTTTTCCAACGCTGATTGGCCGATCAGCGTTGGAAATTGATACAAAAATACCACTTTTCTTGAAAATGACAGTATACCAGGTGCCATGATTTTACAGGATGCTTTACACTGTCATTCACTAACAGTCCAGCAAGGTATTTCAAAATGATTTGGTAGTTTTATTTTTTGATGTTTGCAAATGTTGTATTTTCCCTTTAAGAACCTGGGATATCATTGACACTATTTGACAAAAACTCAACCAGATTGATCCCACGTACATGCACTCACCTCATTTGGACGACGCACCAGTGCGCAGTCTTCCAACTTGTGAAGCGTCTCTATGTACGCGGCCGGGAGGATGTGATTGAATGTGGCCAGGCCCTGGCCCAGCTTGACATACAGGCCCCCACACTTGATGCAGCCGTAGAACAGACGGTCGGCCGCGCGTTGGTGACAGGCTGCCCAGAGGGCGCTGTACTCTGGATGCCCCTCGTCCAGCCAACGTGTCGACCACCAGTAGTCCAAAGAGATTGTCAACCCTACTGATGCTGAGCTGCAAATGTGACAAGTTCTAAAAAATGAATCTTAGGCCAAAAAAAAAAAATATTCGGTCTCTGGTCAGACCAAAGTTCCAGAATTGACGCGGCCACGCGGCTTTTTTTTTTTTTTTTCCTTTTTTTTTTTTTCTTCAAGCTTGGATTGTACAGACAAGGTGTGGTACTATTTTGCTTTTTTGGTGTCCTCATGTACATTGGTGTCCTCCATAATTTGCCTTGGTGCTTTCGATCATTTGCCTTGGTGCAATTTCCCATTCCTTGGTGCTCTTTGGTAAAAAAAAAATGAGGAGGTGCGGAAATAGAGGGCACTGTTGGAGCTACCGCGGAACATTTTGGAGAAAAAAAAAGATCGACGCGCATGCTTAAAATCGACGCGCGCGCTGACCAGAGACCGACTTATTTTTTTTTTTGGCCTTACAGACGTTTTTTCTGTTTTCACACATTGGTTTTTTGGAACTGGAATTTAAAACAAGTAACTAAGATTCTTATTTTGCTTACTTAATGGTAGGGTAAATCATTTGTCATTTGTGCATTCTTTTCGTTTGAAGCAAAGAGTGCTCAAAATCTGATGAAGTTTTAGCTCAGTGAATATGAGATATCAATATTCTGGGTTCTCGGTTTCAATTCAAAAGTTGTCGAGTCATGTTTGATTTGTACCCCAAATCAGCGTCCGAGACTAGGTTCTCATTCAGCCGACTGCAGCTACGTGATGTCATGCACAGAATCGACGAATAATAGCAACCGCGTGTGCATGTGCATCGTGTCAACTCTTGTGCATACCAATTCACGGATTCGCCAAATTACAAACCAACTACAAATGGAAATTTCCAAAAATGTGTCTGTAGGTTTGAGTTAGGTTTGCTTTAGGTGGCTGTGTGCTGATGCTGAGGTCAATAAGGTTTGCTGTTGACACTGGAGTACAGGTGTGAGGAACATAACAATGATGCTTACTACAAAAACCTCCCAACACCATTCAGCAGCAGGCCTATCCTCCTACGCTGACCCTGATCAGTGTTCAAATACACCAGACCACCGAGCAAGGCCGAACCCAGTCCAACCAGCCACGACAGTCGAATTCTGGATTCTGATCGTCCGGATACCGCCCCTTGCCTAGGTGACGCCGACGTGCCAAAGTGGTTGATTTGAGGGTATCCCAGCCTCGAGGAAGGAAGGTTTCGTGGGCAGTGATTTGGTAGGAATGGTCGGGTGGTCAGATATGGCCTGGTAGCTGTGTGGTAGTGATGGGGTATTCTAGCATGCCATCGGCAGAGAGCTGTAGGTATTCTGCTGCCAGCCATGGCCTGAGGTGGGGTTAAAGTTCACGACGGCGACACCATCTACATTATACGGACTCCTTAAAACTGCGGACGAAACATAAAAACAGCCTTCAATCAAACTTGGTTGGTGCATTACTGACAATGACTGAGGACCTTTCTTTTGCCCAACTGAACAAGAATGATTTTAACTGTTGAATAGTATTTCCCATTCCCCACGCCCCACGGGCATATGGGACTTTTTGAGCCCCGGCGTGAATGGGATAACGAATCAACATAGGCCCTATGTCACGTGATGTGACTTAATGTGAGCTCCACCATTTGCACCAATCAAATGACAAGATCAATGATTAACAGACATTTAACAGAAATTAATCACTAGTATCAATGATCTATTATCCTTTGTTTTGATAGAATCACTTACAGTCCTTGGAGTTGGATAGAATCATTTATTCAACCCAATCATGCTAAGTTGTTATGTAACTTTGTAAGGAAACTCAGCTGGGCAAGAACTTAGAAGAAGATGCTATTGCTAACTTAGTCTTAGTAACGGTTACTAAGACTAAGTTGGTCATGTCATGCATGTTGGTTGGAGGTTAGGCCGTGTCCGAAACGGGCTTCCAGAGCTACGGCTACGTCTATTGTCAGCGCGTCTCCGCGTATTTCTAATGGAGCGAAGACCTAGACCTAGCTCTAGACAACAGATTCGGATGCAGCCTTAATTTTGGAGTTGGCGGATTTGGTTACAGCGCCCTCTGTTGCTACTGTACTGTGCGTGCAACATGCCAACTTGAAAGATTAACGGCTTGAAGAGAGCCTACGATTACGCGCACGCACAAAAGGTTTTTTAGTGCAACATACGGGTACTTTCCAGCTGGGATTTCGCCGCTTTCTATTGGTCACCTTTTTCCCAGAACGTGGTCCGGCGTAATTCCGACGGCGATTCAGCAAACGTCTTTGATTGGATATGATAATAAAGCAATTGACTTAAGATTTTTTTAATAATTCGGTAAATAAGAAATAAAACAACCAATTTATATATAAATGTTTATTATTCTACACAATTTTGAGTAAATAGTTTTGAAATATTTTCAAAATTAAAAAAGAAATTCATGTTACACCTACAAATTGCCAGTAGAAGTAACCAATCAGACGACATGTAAGATGAAAAGAAGGTGTACATTGAGAATGCGGGACTCGACTTCACATCACATTACATGCGTTATATGGTCTGAAAATTCCAGATTGCGAACAACTTTATTTCGTCATTTTAGGATGAAAATGGTGAGTGTTTCAGTGTCTTAGTTTTAGAAACGCACTATTTGATATCGTGAGATTTTAATATTTGTAAAAAAGTGGAATTATTGGAGACCATGTGAGAGTTTCTCGTCATGACATGATCGTGTGTGTCACTCTGCACGCAATGTGAATGTGAATGTGAATTGTGATTGTCACAATGAATGTGATCAGTGCGTGCACAAAATAAACTTCTATTTTATTTGACGTCGTCGATCGATCGTCAGGATCGTTTTTGGTCGTCGTTTTGTATCCATGTTTGTGCATTATTTTGTCCAGTAAAAAGAAATGGCCATTACAAATTAATAATTCATTTGGGTGATTTCAGTCACGTCACTTCCAAGTTCCATGTCCATGACTTCAACATGTTCAAAAACGAACACATCAATTATCATACTTTTCAAAAAAGGGCATTTCAAATTAGACCACAGTCCACAGTTTAAAAAAAAAAAATGTGGAAAGAATGTTGCAACCCGAAGCCACTTTTTTCTTCATAATGTCTAATGACATGTTATCTCAATGAAGGTCAGTCAATGAGTCATTGCAAAAATGATGAGAAGACATGAATCTGGAATTGAGAAACATTTCCAATAGCAATACTCAATAGGGCTCGTTCAATGACGGCCATCGCTGTAGGAGAACTGTGTATTTTATGCGATGAAGTATTTGCGCAGTGTTGAAATTGTTCCAAACACGTGCGCTTGTTGCTCGTAATGTGTTCGAAATGCGACGCAGCCGATGCGCGTTATGCAAGTTGTGGCTGATCTGTAGGAAATGACGTCATATGAACGAGACCTATTTTGGGAGTAATTGCAGAATACCCTGCCACTCGGAAATACACACCTAAAATCATCTGGCTACGCGGTTGGAATCACTGGAAAAGAAACACTTCAAGTCCAAACCAATTGTTGCCAGCTACGCGGACACTGACATGACTGAGTGGAGGTCCCCTTGAGAACGAAGTAACACAAAAGGAATGGGAGTTGCTGAAAAAAATTCTAAGTCCAAACTAACTACCCTGTTGCCGGCTACGCGGATACGGAGTGGGAGTGCAGTGGAGCATGACACATAGTACATACAGGTAGTGCTAAGAAGGTTTATTGAGGGCAATCAAACGTGAGTCCGTAGCCGGCTACGAGGTGCATAGATCATGTAGATTGAGTGGCGGGGTATTCTGCAATTGTGCCCAAATTTGTTAAGAAATACATCTACTTAAAAAAAATTCTTGACGTTGTACACAATCGCTGTGAAGTGGCGTCAGGTTGCAACATGTGTGCAACATTCTTTCCAAAATATCTCAAGTCAAATCATGATTAGCATGATAAGGCATGTTTAGGAGCCCAATTCTACAGTACCTTGTGACTGTACACGCATGTGTAGCCACACAGCAATGCTTGTTAGGCAATGTTAGGGGCCTGTATCAGATCAGAATGTTGCATTTTTTACAACCTGACACTACTTCAGCAGCTACGTATAAAGTCTATGGAGAGTCAAGAAAATTGTATTTCCTAACGAAATTGGAAATGTTTCTCAGTCCCAGATTCATGTCTTATCATCATTTTTGCAATGACTGACCTTCAGTGAGGTGCTATTTGATGATGAAGAAAAAATCAGCATCAGGTTGCAACATTCTTTCTGAAATTTCCTTCTTTTAGATGTTTGAGTGAACATTTTTAGGAATTTGTCAGAAATGACAGCAGCATTTTTTTTTACACAATAACTAAGGTTAGACATGATTTGGCAGTTGGACATTTTCCTGCATTATTTTGTTTTTCCAATTTTTGAAACTTCTTTAACTCTCAATTGTTTTTGTTTTTTTTTGTCTTTCTTTTCCAGTGACCAACAGTGACCAAACCTAATCAAAATGTGAAAGTAACTTTCCCCCGAAGTTAAGTGCGTAAATAATCGATAACCCCCAATATGAATTCACCCAAAGACGTCAAAGGAGATGTCCCCTCCAATCAAAACCAGATCAAGACGCCGCCTCCGGTTATTGCCGTTGGTGATCCCATGATGCCTCAAATGCAGTCACCAGTGACATCTCCCAGCAAAAAGGCAACGGTAGTACAACAGCAGCAACAGCAGTTGATCCGCATCCAACCGCAGCAACCTGGCGGCCATCAGGTGCTGCAGCAGAATGTTGTCCGCATCTCGCCGCTGACCCAGCCCGCAACCCAGCACCCACAGACCATCGTGGTGATTGGGGGAAGTCCCCAGAGGCTTCAGGCACAACCAAACGCTGCAATTGTACAGGCGGTACAGCCTACCAGCTCGACCACATCCGATGCTAAACAAATACAGGAGCACGGTTACGCAGTGAACGTGGTGAAGACGCCGCTCACGCATCACGACTACGCATTGCCGAAACCTCACACTGCAGCATCTGAAAAGCCACCAGTTTCATTAGATTCAGCTCCAGCGAGCATTCAGCTGGTTCAACAGCCTGCGCAGCAAACCCAGATGCTGGTCACCCAACCGACTGCTGTGCCTCAGCTTCAGCAGCCAGGAGCTGTGCAGCTCATCAGACAAGCCCAGCCGACAGCAGCAGTGCAACAGCTTAAGCCCCTCACCGCTACACTCCAAGGTGGACAGTTGATCATCAATCAGCAACAGCTCATACAAGGTAGTCAGCCTGGACAGCCTGTCACGCTGCGCCTGCAGATGAAAGATATCAGCTCTTTGCAACGGAATGTCGGCAGACTACAGCAGCCAGCACCTGCCAAGACGACCACCGTTGTTCACCAGACCCCGCCAAAACAACAAGCTGTGTCGCTGACCTCCCAACCCCAATACATCATCACCAATGTTGGTAATAGTTCTCAGCTTCAAGGAATGGTTGGCGCTCAACAAATCAAGATTGTGTCGTCTGCACAGCAAGTCCAGCAGCCACAGCAACATGTAGTCAAGCAACTTCCAGGTGGTGGATATGCCTTGACAATAGTTCCAGGAACTACAGCTGCTCAAACCATCACAGTTCCCAGCAGCCCACAGTCAGTCCGGATCATTGGCTCAACCCAATCTGTGCCAAGTCTGTCCACAGCTGGTGGTGTAGCAGTGACTAACACTGCAACAGTCCCTGCATCCTCTAATGTAGGACTGTCCATTGCTCCAACATGCACGATAACCAAAACGATTACCATCCCTGGAATCCCGGCTGGTCAGCAGATAGTTCACCCTGCTGTTCCAAAGCAGTCATTAGGTGTGTCCGTGCTCTCCCAGTCATCAGTTGCAGGAACTACAAAGCTGATTACTAATCCCTCCATACCTCAGAATACACAGGCCATCACCAGTCACGCTGTTACAAAAACTGTCACCATCCCTGCAAACTTCCAAACCGTTCGCGCAGTTGCTGCATCACAGTCTACCACACAGACGGTCACTGCTGCCTCAAGCCTGAAGACTATCTGTACTGCCGTACCAAATCAAACCGTCGCTAAAACCACCAGTATTTCGTCTGCGCAGCAGATAATTAGCATCAACGCCCCAGTCCAATCGACATCCCCACAAGTTGCCGTCCCTGCTTCCTCACAAACCACAAGCACAGTTCAGGCAACCATAACATCATCCCAACCAACTTTCACCATCACAAGTATGGGAAACATTACCATCCAGAGCCCCAGCTCCTCAACCGCTAAAACAGTTGTCACTGCGTCGGCGGCGCTTCAGAAAGCTGCTGCTGCAAGTATTGCCGTGTCTACTGCACAAAACCAAACAGGTGCCACAGCAAAGGCTAGCACGTCACAAGCGAAAAAGCTTCCCATTATCATCCGGAGCACAACCACCACCCAAGCTACCAAAACCGTCAGGCTAACCAAAGCCAAGGCGGCTGCTCAACAGACAACAAAAACCTCGGCCATCAAACCAATCCAGATACCTGGACAAGCGGTCGGTCAACAGTCCGGTCAGATCTTAATCATGGTGAACCCTGGAAGCAACGCATTGGAAGAGGTCAAGAAGATTGCACAAGAGGTCACACAGCTCAAAGGCCAACCTAGGTCGGCAGAAAACTTGAAGAAATTCAAAGAGCTGCAAGCACGTGTACGGGAGCTACAGAACTCAGTGCACACTGTCAGAACAAAGGTATATACATTTTGTAAATATTGTACTCTTGTTATTTGAGCTAACGTTTGTTAGAAGACATTTGAGCGACAAAGTTACTAGTGAATCTGAAATGGTGGTCACAGTGTTTCTGTCTGTTGAGGTGTTTCAATTGGAACACAAAACATGAAATTTCAACAATTGAATGAAATAATGAAATTTTAATCTTGGTGAAATTTCATTCACAATATAAACAAACGGTTAGAGTACTCGAACCTACAGTTAATTAAAAACAGATATCAAGGTTTTTGTTCTTCACATAGGTAGAAACGTTTTTAATTAAAAAAGCAACAGAAATAAAGCAAAGAAATTTAATTGCTGTCGATTACCAAACCAAAATAAATGACTAGTTGACCAGATTATGTCAACCAGGTTTGTGAAAAAATGTTTTACTTATAATAATGAGATATTTTTGGGGGCTTGTTTTAATTAATTTCAGAACAATGCCACAGGAATTCCAATACAACCCTTGGTGTTGACCAGCTCGGGCCAGCAAAGCGGCACCCAGAAGGGCTCCTCTGCATCCTCCCAGTCGGACACAAACAGCGGGGAGCCGGCTGCCGGCAACAGCGGCAGGCGGGAAGGCAAGAAGCACAAACTCCAAGAGAAAGCCAACCGCATCGTCGCAGAAGCCGTGGCGCGAGCCAAGGCCTCGGGGCTCCAGAACATCCCCAAGATAATGGCCGATGTCTCCCTGCCGGAGGTCAACTTGGACAAGGAGAAGAAGGCCAAAGAGAAGAAGAAAGCCAAGCCCAAGGAACCCAAGCCCAGGAGACCGCCCAAGCAACCCAAGGAGAAGCAGCCGCCCAAACCCAAAGCTGCTAAGAAGAGGGCACGGCCCAAGAAAATACCACCAAAGTAAGTTTATTCATGCTATCAAAATTTGAAGTTGACCCTAACCGCCCTGAATCCTACGAAATCAGTAGCGAAATTGCGTAGGATGACTTTGTCATGGTCTTGGGCCAGACCTTGTGTTGTTTTTGCTCAGCCATGCATAAATATAGGCCTAGATCATGCTTGAAATCCTCCGCACTGTTCCAGGATGTCACTGGCTCTGCCCCAACATAATTATTGACAGTCACTGCCGCAGGATTTTGCAGGATTCAGGCAGTGGTCACCCCTCCACAGACCATATTCAACAAATAATGGAGGAAATTGTAGGATTGTGGCTTCATGCTATTTTTCCATGAGGTCAATTGAAGGATTTTGCAGCATTGAGGCTACATCCTAGCAAAAAGGCCTACGGAGTTAGGGTTAAAGTAGCCAGTCGAACATGAACTATTCTGAGAACCAACTGTAAGAGGCAAATGCATTCCGTGCATAATTTGAAATGGATCTGACTCTCTTGAACCGTGACTGTCATTTTAGGAAGATGCCCGCTGCAGCACTGGTGAGACTCAAGAACAAGAGGAAGCATATGAATGACTCGTCATCTTCAGGCTCGGAGGCAGAGGACGCCCTACTGGCGAAAGCTTTGCCAGATAACGACCTTTTGGAGGTGAGCAACGTATGCCTTGAATTCCCATACCCAGATTTTTACAGGGTTAACCCTTGCTTTTTTTAGGTCAAGTTTGAAGTGAATCAGTCTTCCACTCTGTAACATTTGCTGAAATAACGGTTGAAATGGTCTTCAGGTCAATTTTTCATTCATTAACCAGAACCCCCTTACTGGGATCCTTCCTCACTCTTGCAAAATCCAACACCGTATGGTAAATTCTACTTCAAAACTGTTACGACACTGATTGTGGTATGCCTGACCCCATGAAGGCATGATCAGTTTACAAGTGCAGTCCTCACTCCAACATAATCAAAACAGACCAGGCAGTTGGATTTTGAAGGATTGGGAGTGGTTAGGACTAATGAAGAATTTCAAATGCAACAGTAGCTCATTTTCTTTTCTTTGGTTTGTGCATGTGCATAACTCTTATGTTCTTTTAGTTTGTAGAGTTATATTTGATTCAGTATCTTAGAGCCTACAGTGTATGCACATTTATTTTACAAAGAAGAAGCCATTTTTCAGTGCGCAATATTGGATTTTGGAAGATTAAGTTTCCTTGCAAGCACAACTGTAGATTAACCCTAACCCCCTAGGCCCTTGTTGCTTACAACCCATCCTCAATCCTCCAAAATTTTGCAACTCCGCCTAAATTTTTCAAAATTGTCAGACAGTCCTGCCTAAAAATGCATTCATCTCAATCCTCCAAAATCCTCCTCATCCCAAAACTTTGCACTCGTGTTTAAATGAGGGATAAACCAACGCCAAATCCTTCAAAATCATCAGACAGTCCTGCCTCAAAATGCATTCATCCTCAATCCTCCAAAATCCTCTTGTGCTTCAATCACCATTCATCCTCAATCCTCCAAAATCCTCATGTGCTTCAATCACCATTCATCCTCAATCCTCCAGAATCCTCATTTGATTCAATCACCATTCATCCTCAATCCTCTAGAATCCTCCAAAACCGCCAGGAGGATTTTGGAGGAGAGAGGTGGGTTAGGGTAAAGGGTTTTTATTAACCGACGCATTTTATCTCGCATTGAACACACAGAAACGGCGATCCAGTCGAAACACCAAGCGTAAACGGTACGACGTGGCGTACGAATTCAACATCACGGACGAAGACAGCAGTGACAGTGACAAGAAGGAATCGGACAGCAACATGGAGGTGGACGTAGTGACCGTGGCACCGGTCACCACACCAGCACAGAACGAATCGGCCAAATTCTTTGTGGTGAGTTGTGACAAAACCACCGGGGGAAACTGACTAGATAGTTTCAACCAATTTATAATTGAACAAAGCAAATCGAAAAGAATTGGAAATGGATCTGTTACTCGGGATCAAATTTTTGACTGCTTACACGCACCCCCTGAGGAAATGTATTGACAAAATGGAAGACCAACACTCGGCAAGCAACAATTGAGGACAATTTTTTCATTGATTGGATTTCAATTCTTCATTAACCTGCATTTTAAAATGTATGAATTCCATCGACATCATTTCCTTGTTTCATTGTCCCTAACTCCCTAGGCATTTTTGCTAGGATGCAACCTCAATCATGTAAAATCCTCCGACTGACTCCATGTAAAAATTGCCTACAGCCTCAATCCTCCAAAATTATCCGTTATTTCTTGAATGTGGTCCTTGGAGGGGCGACCACTGCCTCAATCCTGCAAAATCCTCCAGCAATCACTGTCAGTATGTTGAGGCAGAGCCAGTGACATCCTGGAGCAGTGCGGGGGATTTCAAGTACAATCTAGGTCTAAATTTGTGCGCGACAATGCAACGGACTCCCAAATTCAGACTTGTTGGTATAGCCCTTTTACCAGGGTCAAAATTAACTTTCTGATACATCACAGAATCATTAAACAAACTTCTCTATGTGGTGCAACTATTTAAAACATTGATTGGACATTGTATGGGTGTGTGTGTGTGAAATGATGAGTTATGTCATGCTAATACTGAGTGCTCACACGTCGGTCTCTATGACGACGTGCTGGAGCTCAATGAGTTGAAACACTTCTCAGAAAGTATAATCTGATCACACACTAGCAGACTAGAGCAAGTTTGCAAAACGCAAAATTCAACGCAGAATTCCATCTTATATGACTGTGGTTAATCGTAGTTTGACTTGAATGCAGGATGGTTGAAAAATCCTCCAACTGCCTCCATGTAAAAATAGCATACAGCCTCAATCCTCCAAAATCATCCATTATTTCTTGAATATGGCCCTTGGAGATGTAACCACTGCTTCAATCCTTCAAACTCCTCCGGCAATCCTGTCATATATGTTGAGGTAGACCCAGTGACGTCCTGGAGCAGTGCGAAGGATTTCAAGTATAATCTACTGATACAAAGGTCCGGCCCAAGACCTTGACACAGTGCACCCTTCAAAATCAGCCACACGTTCTGGCCATATAGCCTCAGTCCTGCAAAATCCTCCATTTTGCAAAGAGGATTTGGGAGGATTCGGGAAGGGTTAGGGGTAGGGGATAATGCGAAATCAAAGAGGTGGTAACTGGAGGTTTACCTCGAGGTTTTACAGGGTTTAATGAGGTACCTCAGGATTCAACTTGCAATCTTCCCTTATTTCAAATTTCACTGTTAATAACCCTTCTGGGCTGTGCTCCAATTTGTGGAATTATAACGTACTATAACGTGACATTGTTCACATTTCGGTTACATTTTCTAGTGAATCAAAGAAATGTTAACAATTTTTTTTTTTCACAGGAAAATCCTGACGAATCTGAAGCCAATCTCGTGGAAAAGATCCTTTCCTCTCGCGTCATCAAGAAACCCCAGCTGCCTGGTGAGGCCCAGGTTGGCGAGACAGAGGAGTTCTTTGTCAAATACAAAAACTTGTAAGTTTTTTTTTCTGAAATAATAAAACCTTTTTTTAAGCACAAGCGTAAACCCTAACCGAACTCAACCCATCAAAGCCCAACAGCAGGTTTTGTTTAAATCTGTTGGGATAGGTACAGTACCCCTAAACAGATGGTCTTTTACATTGGGTTTGGCATATCTCCGGAGAGTGCAACAAAATTTTGTGGTGCAATTTTGGAAAAAGTTACTTTTTCCCAACGATAGGCGGCCGACCATCCTTGGAAATTGATTTCACTTTTCTTGAAAATGACAGCACACCAGGTGCCATGATTTCACAGGATGCTTGAGACTGTTATTCACTTACAGTCAAGTAAGGTATTTCTTAATTAATTTGGTAGTTTGGTTTTTTTTGGTGTTTTTTTTTGCAAAAGTTGTATATTATCTTTAAGTTGTTTTTATTTGTGACTCTCCTTATTTCCAACCCAGTTCCTACCTCCACTGTGAATGGGCCACGTTTGACAAGCTACAGAAAGGCGATCAACGCATCCACCAAAAGATAAAACGGTTCCGCGCCAAGCAACGTATACGACCCAGCTTCTTCTCAGAGGTAAGCCATGAAACTCCCCCGACTGTGTTTTGAACTAAGGTTTGCTGCTTCCATTGTAGGCCCTCTGTCCATTTTTACAACCATCCTTCCACGTAATTTCGGCCGCTGATGTAAATGAAAAAGTTCTGGAAAAAACCTGGAATTTATTGCTATCATGGGAAGTCAATGGAATTTTGTTATTCAACAATGATTCATGGAAAGTTGATATTCCAAGAAAAAAAATCATGGAAATGTCACAGAATCCTGCACAACCCATATGTGATGATGCGTAATATTTGGATACAGCAGTCTTCAAGCTTGCATTCCAGTCCTCTTTAGTCATGTATGCTCTAGACTTGTTGCATGTTCAATGCACCACTGTGGTGCGCAGTGATTTTGTGTCGAACTGGAAGGCTGAAAGGGAGTGGCTGCACTTGCCTCAGTGGGGGGACTGAGGACTTTCCAGTGTATTGTAAATAGGCTCCTAAGATGCGCAACCAGCACCAGGAATCGGTCGTGGAAACTAAACGTCCTAATTTTGTCACAGAAATGTCATAGAAAAGCCATGGAAATTCATCTTTGAGATTTTTGTGGGAACCCTGCTTGATGAGCCTCTCTTTCCCCAAATTTCAGCCGGAGGACGAAATGTTCAACCCAGACTACACCCAAGTGGACCGGATCCTGGATGTGGCCGTGACTGAAGACCCAGACACCAAGGAGAAGGACACCCACTACCTGGTCAAATGGCGCGGCTTGCCTTACGAGGAGAGCACGTGGGAGCTGGAGCAAGACGTAGACGATGACGCCGCCAAGTTCTTCAAGATTACGCTCAAACCCCCGCCTGCCAATGAGCGAGAGGTCAGTGTCGTCTCTAACTTTCACCCATCTGTAACCCTTAAGGCCGGTTTGTGCTTCATTAGAATGGCGAAGGTGAAGCAAATGTATTCACAAAGCATTTGTAGGGGAAGTTGCCCGAGTTGGAATGTGTTTGGCTTTAGTGAATATTTGCTGTGATGTCTCAGAGTCGCGTTCACTTTCATGTTGAGTAGAACTAGCCTCAAAAGATTGCCGTGAGGGGGGGGGGGGGAGAAGGTTGGCAAATGTAAAGCTCAGCCACTGTTTGCATTTAGGCGATTGAACGTAAAGTTTCTTTGGAAGTGGCCTTCTTTTATTGTTTTCTTCAAAATGGCAACATGCAAGAAAGGATCATTTCACAGGGAGTTTAGTGCCACTACTATCTTTAAACCAAGTAAGTTTTTCAACAGTCATTTCGTCACTTACATTTTTAGATAGCTGCAAATGATGTACTTTAACAACTGAGAAGATTTTCTATTTCCCCAATCTTCCCCCCCCCCCCTCCAGGATGTTATGTCAGTCCAGCCTAGGCTACTCCACAGCCAATGTGGGTCCCTATTTTATTTATACTCCTGGCTAGAGAGAGTAACTAGGGGTGAAGTGGCTTGCCCAAGGACACAATATATACCCAGCAGCTGGATTCGAACCCCTGACCCTCTGATCATGAGTCACGAACCCTAGCCACTTGGCCGCACTGTCATAGCCTGAATTCAAACATTCAGTGAAACCACAAGAAAATTGTCCTTTATGAGTTCTGTTTTCAAACATGGAGCCCCGTCGCTGTTTTTGTTGCAGAGATGTGAGAGAGCGGACCCAGACGACTGGACTAAAATAGAGGAATCCCCGGTCTACAAGGGTAACAACACGTTGAGGGATTACCAACTGGAGGGAGTGAACTGGCTCATGTTCAGCTGGTGCAATGGGTGAGTGCTGCATGCAAAACATGAAATCTACTTGCGGGCTTTCTTTTTTTGTTTTTAACTCACTCTGTAGTAGAGTGTGTAAGTTTCGCCAGTCCATGTTCACATCTCGCCCGCTGAGCGGGCAACGGGCGGTGAAGCACAATTTAGGTTAGAGCTTAGAACATTTTTGGATGTGCGTGATACAGCCTCAGAACAAGTACTTATTGAAATGTTTTAACAAATTTTTCGGTTCATAGGCAAAATTGTATCCTGGCTGATGAGATGGGCCTGGGCAAGACCATCCAGGCATTGGCCTTCATACGAGAAGTACAGAAATTTGGAATTCAGGTAAGTTTGCCTAAAGTGAGAAATCGATATTTGATTTTCAGACAAAACAAATTCTTGAGAAAAGTTTGGACGAGCTTGGACAAGGTAAAATTTCCATGTAAAGTCAATAAACTAACCATGTAAAGTCAGTGATTCCTAGTTTTTAAAATTTTGTAGTGTGTTTGTCACTTCATTTTGTCCGATTTCAGCCTTAACGAGTCAAAATGCATTTCTCTGCTTTGTTCCTCTAATAGGGCCCATTCCTCGTCATTGCGCCACTTTCAACCATCGCCAACTGGCAGCGAGAATTTGAGACTTGGACGGACATCAATGCCGTCGTGTACCACGGCAGCGCCCAGAGCAGACACATGATAGCAGAGTACGAGATGTACTACAAAGATAGCAAGGTGAAGCTTCAACTATTGTAATAAAAACTATTGTAATCTTGTGAGACCTGTTAAATCATTTACTTGTGATCGGACTGGCATTGGACAAATTACAAGTTGACTCGATTTAACCGAAACAAGACTGGTTTCGTTTAAATCATGTCAACCTGAAATTGGCTTTTCCGCATAGTTGTGGAAAAGCCTTTGTTTTTGTTCAGATTTGTTTTCTTTCTTCTTCTTCTTGTTCTATCCCAAATTGCATAGATTTTGTGCATGATTTTTTTTCCCCATCCACTTTGGACATTCATCTTTGTCATACATCATTCAAAGTTAGCGTAGGCATAGTCCCTACAGCAAAGATGTGTCCCGAGGAGTGACGTCACGGTGATGTCATCATGTGTCATGTGACGTCATCTTCAAGGTGCATTTTTCAATGCTCTATATCTCTACAGAACGACAAGGCCAATTGGGTTGAGAATTTGTATGTACACATACCGGGATGATAAATGTTTTTAATAAATTTAAAACGTTTTACACTTTTTGGGTACTAGTAAACTTTTACAATTAATGCACTTTGTACATGAAATTGTCATTTACATGACTGCACATCGCCATAAAAAGCATGAACTCATAAAAAAAAAAAATCATAATGCGGAAAAGCCCTTTGTTCTGTTCTTAAACAGACATAGACCTCTAGTTCATAGTTTGTTTTGTGGAGCCAAAAGAAGGAGAAAACAAAGACTTAACTCCTATCATACCACTGGGATCTACCCTTTCTTACAGGGCCGACGTATTCCCAACGTCTACAAATTCAAAGTCCTTATCACCACCTATGAGATTGTCCTCGCCGATTGCCAGGAGCTGAGTGAGATTGAGTGGCGAGTGGTCGTGATCGATGAGGCTCACCGTCTCAAGAACAGGAACTGTAAACTGCTGGAAGGACTCAAGTTTCTCGATATGGTACAGTAGTGCATAGACCAATCCGGGAATGCTATCAATTCTAAGGCCCCCTTCAATGGTTTATTTTGTATATTTATTTTAGTTTTTATTCATAAATACCTAAGACAGTTTACCCATTCCTATTGGTCGAGAGCCGGTCACGTGGCTGGTTTTAAACGGTTGATAAAGACTGGCTGGCAGGTCTTAAACACTTTTCCAGTGTCGTATGAAATTTTGACTCCTATGAAACCCAGTGCCTTTTACCGTTTTGTTGGTTGAAAGTTCACAATCCTCACGTAGGCATGCGCAATACCACCGGTGAGTCAGTATGTCATAGTCCTAAATTCAGAATACACCGGCACAGCTGCGTTCTGCGCCACATCGCGCAGTACGCACGACGTGCGTGCCAATTTCCATACAAGGAGTCATTTAAGATGACGCGCGAGAGGGACATACCATAACATAGCTAGAGGGTGTCCCGAAAAACATCAAGTAAAACTGTTGAACAGAATTGTTGGAAATTTATAATTTTAACTTTTGGACAAAATTTGTTTTTGGTTTTCTTTTGATCGAAAAGATATTTATAAATAGCAATAAATATGTGCTTGGCCGGTATTAAACACTATGTTTAAGACCAGTTGAAGACTGGATGCTGATAATTACCCGAGCCAAATCCAGACTCCAACTGATCTTAAACAGAGTGTTTAAAACCGGCAACACACTTTTATTCCCTTAATCATTAAGTTACTTTGGTGTCTGCACATCTCACAATGAAATGTTATTTAAAAAAAAAAAAAAAAATGCAGAAGGGTGTTTACATGTCTCTCGTGAGCTCACGTTTGCTTCATAACCTAGAGTGATGTGATTCTTCCCTTGTATTCCAACAATCTTGCAGGAGCACAGAGTACTTCTGACCGGCACACCACTGCAGAACAACATCGACGAGCTCTTCAGTTTGCTCAACTTCCTGGAGCCCGGCCGGTTCCGCTCCATCAGCCAGTTCCTGGGTGACTTCGGGGACTTGAAGACCGAGAGTCAGGTGGAAAAACTGCAGCAGGTAGGGAGAGATTTTGATATCAGTGTTTTGCACAAGGGGAATTTGCATCGCCAGAAAAAAATTATGCCGTCCTAATAAACTTTTGCCTCGTTGTTAAAATTATTTACTGCACTGCTATTTCTTTGTATTCTACACTTCACATTATTGTCAAAATGAAATCCTGCTCATGAAAATATGTGTATATTTTGGAGGGAATATAAAAGAACATTTTAACACCCCTGTGTAACATTACTATCTGTCAGTGCTACAGTTATGACTACTACTATACTTGGGTAATAACTAGTCCGAAAATTTGGGACTCTCAATACTGTGTATGAGAGTCCCAAAACTTAAGGTATCCATATTGTGCAAAACTTTGTGCTGCATGATAAAACCAGTGTGAATCAAATTTGCAAGCTTCTTACTCACTACAGTTTCTTCAATAATCCCTGAAACTTCTGCCTAGCAAAGTTGCTGTTGTGAGCATTGCATCACCAAAATTTCAGCTTTTAATTCTAATTTTGCAGAGGGTTATCGAAATCCATACGTGAGACATCACATTGATGTGTACTGCAATGCATTGTGCAAAAAGACTCCTCAGCTATAACATTTTCATCGTGTAGATAAAACAGCGCCCTCTTGTTGATCTGAGTGAATGCAAAATGTTTCATTTTTTAGCAGAGGGCGCTATGTTCATTTGGCCATTGATTAAAAAACAAGTAAGCTGCAAGGCGCTTCCTACACCTACCCAGAATACCTTGGGAATCACACACCCATTTCCAGAGCATGGAGATTGACGTGGGTGGTTTTTGAACTGCCAAAACCTTGCCTTAAAATTGGATTTAAGGTCTCAAATTTTGCAGGTGACATGCTTGCAACTATAGCATTTTGATGTATGTGTTGTGTGGGCATTAATTAGCCTAATGGTGAGTAAAAAAACGTCAGTAGTAATTTTGCACGTTTTTATGCACTCACGGTCCCAGTCTGGGTAATAACTAGTGTAATTGCAGAAATGCGAATTAATGTCTTGCAACAGCGCCCTCGGCACTCACGATCACAATTTTTGCCAAATTATGCCTCCCTTGTAAATGTTGACTATGCGGAAAACATTTGGCATGCTGGGATCTGCTGTTATTGCTTCAGTGACCATTGTGGGTACAGAGCAGTTGCAATCTTCTGTTAGCAGTTGGTATTTTTATAATGTGATTTTATACTGTCAAGATTTAGAGCTTTTGAATCCAATACCACTCTTGTATGGTATCTCCACTGGAAAATTCACAGAAGTTGCCTTGTTAAAAAAATGCTCTGGACATACAGCATGTGATTACTTTTGAAACACCTGAACGATTGTCTGAAATTCCTTTTGTTCCATGTTAATAACAGCTTTTGAAGCCGATGATGCTCCGTCGTTTGAAGGAAGACGTGGAGAAGAATCTTGCCGAGAAAGAGGAGACAATCATTGAGGTCAGTCTGGAAAAGTTGAAAAGGGGAAACAAAGTTCAAGCCCAGTGGGTGTACATTTGAGCATTCATTTCTGAACAGGTCAGCCAGTAACAGACGGATATATTTTCCCCAAACGCATGTTTCTCGCCGTGTGCTTTATAAGTCAGACACACGTTTTTGATACCAAATTTCTGAAAAATGACTTTAGTGTCCCTGCGATGTGCGACATTATTTGAGGCTGTGCACCACGGCAATAAGCCATTTGTGAGTAACCTATACCCTTTGGGATTTACATTTGAAAAACGTCTGGTACAATGACTTGCTCAGAATGCTTGGCACATTTTAACTGTGAATTCTCCAGACCAAAGACGCCATTGCTAATCACATGATTCGGGGCAAGCTCTTGCATAGTTACGTAAGAGACGCTCAGCACCAATACATCGTTCACAATGGGTGAGAATGGCACAAAGACACCAGACCATGCCGGAGCTGGGGGTTGCTAGCTTAAGGCTTGCCCCGAATCACGTGATATAGTAACAGTCTCTTTGGTCGGGAGAATGCTAGGTTAAAACGTGCAAAGCATTGTATTAAGTCAGCGTTCCAGATTTTATTCAAATTTAACACGCAAATGGCTTATTGCATTTATCCATATACAATACATGGATAGTACAGCTTGCTGTGGTAACAGTGTGCAACGTTGCAAATTCAGTAGTTAAAAAACACCTTGTCTTATGAAAATCAAACTCTGTGAATATGTTCTGATTAAATTACTCTACGTGTGTGCCAAATTTCATTCCCCTTCGTCGCTCCACGACCAAGTTCTGAGGGTGGAGGGGAATCCCCCCCCCCCCCCCCCCCCATAAAAAAAGCCAGGCCCTTTTTAGGCCATCAGCCTGGGTGTTTGGCCAGTATCAAATCAGGGCATAAATGATTATAGTGCGCATGCGCAAGGTATACCGCCCCTAGAGTGGTAACAAGCATTTTGATGGCCATTTTGAAAAAAGGGTGATAACACCCAAAAAGCTGCCACCGCTGCAATGCTATCACATATTTTCTAATTCTGGAGGTGTATACCTTGCTAAAAATCGCTATGACGATTATTCCCCTCATTTGGTACCGGCGGCCAAAATTTTGGGCCGAGGCTGATGGCCTATTTAGGGCCCAGATGGTTAACACTGACCCATCGTCTTGGCATGCGCAGGTGGAACTGACCAACATCCAGAAGAAGTACTACCGAGCCATCCTGGAGCGCAATTTCAGTTTCCTGAGCAAGGGCACCAACTCCAGCACCAACCTGCCCAACCTGATGAACACTATGATGGAGCTGCGCAAGTGCTGCAACCACCCGTTCCTCATTAACGGTAAGTTGGCAAGGTTAGAAGCAAAAGATGAAAAGCAGCTCGAGTAAAAAAAAATTCACAAGAGTGCCAGCTCACGTAGGTCAGCCTACAAAATCAGGTCCACTTTTTTTTCCCGTCCCAGTTATATCTGACATGTAGGATGTTGTAACGTATGGATTCACTCGTTAATGCCTTTTTCCATAAAAGTGATTAATGTAAAAAGCAAACTACCTACCCAACATATGAGGATAGTTTGAAGTTATTAAAAATGATACATGAGTGGCAAATTAAAGGGAATGTACATCATTGGCTTTTCCTGTAATTTTCAGAAATGAACTATTTGAGGGGTTAGTATAATAGATCAAATATTGTTACACTGACATTTTTGAAGTTTTGTGTTTGAAAAGGTTGGAAAAACCAAGAAAAACAAAAATGTTCAATTAGTCTGGTTCCCTGACTCCAATGGGTCAATTTATAGAGGATGGAAAATTGAAAGGCAAGGGAACCAGTCTAGCTGGCCTGCACCCGTTCATAAACATGTAACCAATAGCAAACAAAATTTGGACTGAAAAAATGGTAAATTTGGAGCAGTAGTTGAAAAATAGTTAGGTTTTTCCAACACTGGTCGGCCGACCACCGTTGGAAATGTATACAAAAATACCATTTTCTTGAAAATGACTTCACACCAGGTGCCATAATTTTACAAGATGTTTGAGACTGTCATTTACCAACATCCTAGTAAGGTATTTCGTAAAAACTTGGTAGTTTTATTTTTCGATGTTTGCAAATGTTGTATATTCCCTTATTCCCTTTAATAACATTAAAGGTAACCGAAACTGGAAAAATCTCACACTTTGGACCCTTAATTTATAGAACGACCCACTTGCGGGAAACTAGAAGGAAAAAACAAACAGACCCCCAAAAAACATGTTTTTATACAATGAAAACTCAACCTTGACGACAAGAAAAAACGGGGCAAGAAGATGAGTCTGTGTGATTTGTGTATTATTCTCGGTAGATTTCAAGCATGTGCATCATGTATGAACACACTTTTGTACTCGCAAGAGTATAATGGCCATTTTTGAAGTACTGCTAGTTCTGTGTTATATTTTTCTGCATGTCCCACTGAAACCCGTGTGTAAAAGTAAGCTATTACTTCTTGCAATTTACATGGAATCCTGCACAACCCTTTAATGTGTACTATACTTCCTCTTGACGCATGTATGCTCTTTACTTGTTGCTCGTTCAGTGCACCATTGTGATGCTTTTGTGGTGCTCAGTGGTTTTGAGCCCAAACTGGAATGCTGAAAGGGAGTGGTGTCCCTTGCCTCCAGAGAAATACGCTCCTAAGATGCCCAAAACAGTGTAGGAATTGGTTATGGAAAGGCCTTAGTTTGTCCTGGAAAAGTCATGGAATTGCATTGCAAGATTCTGTTGGAACCCTGACCTAGAGATGAAGGAGACATGCACTCCTTGCAAAAATCACCAGCATCATAATTACTACACTTAAAAAAGGAATGGAAGCCGAATTCCGTCAGATTTTCATTTTTGAAATGATAAATTGTCCAAATATTCCACAACCCTCAGGGGCGGAGGAGCAGATCATGGTGGAGCTGGCCCTCCAGCCCATGAACTTGTTGATGACCCAGCACATGAGGGCGCTCATCCAGTCGGCCGGCAAGATGGTGCTGCTGGACAAGCTCCTGCCGCGGCTGCACGAGGGGGGCCACAAGGTGCTCATCTTCAGCCAGATGATACGCTGCTTGGACATCCTGGAGGACTACCTCATCCAGAAAAGGTACACGGACCAAGCAGGGCACGCTGCAGCTCCGTGCGCAAACAAGAGGGGCACTTTTTGATCCACTTTTGAAAGCCCCGACAGGACACAAATCTGCGATGGCCCTATCCGCTCCGTTCACAAGTACTCCCTCACCGGCTAACAGAGTAAAGTTGGGGGTGACCGAACGATGCATCTTGCCTGACTGCAATTTTGCCGCGACGCGCGGCCTTACCACTGCATGTACATAGTACAAATCCCCTGGTGTACGTGCGTCACACACAAAGTACAGGGAACGGTGCGCGTCAACCAGCTAAATGTCCCGCCCATGGGACGTCGCTGCTAGGCAAAAGGGCGCCCTCTTTCGTTGGCGCACGGAGCTCATAGCCAAATATCTTTCTCATGACATACCCTGCTCTGACTATGTGCCAGATTTCACATATCTACCGTACCACTGCCAGCCGTAGATTGTGATGCAGTCGTGACTTAAATTGTCAGCTGACATTTTTTCTCAGCAAGAAATGTTCTTCAATAGTTTAGCACCAAATTTTTTTTTTTCTGGAGCATGAAAATCGATTAAGTAGTATTCTATGCAAAGCTGCTCCATAAATTTGGCGCAGTTTATTAGGTGATATCATTTGTTGTTTTTGTTCAAGATGACCAGACATCTCAATTTGTCCTTAAAGGGAAAATACATCATTTGCTTCTGCTGTAATTTTCAGAAATGGATGGAATTGGGGGGTTGGAAATATATAGCAAATATAGTTACACTGACTTTTTTGAGGTTTTGGGTTCGAAAATGCTATAAAAACCAAGAAAAACAATCATTTTCCTGTAGTCTGGTTCCCTGACTCCATTTAAGAAGAAACAGAGCAGTTTACATACATTGGGGAAATGTAAGGTCAGGGAACCAGTCTAGCTGGCTTGTACCCGTTCATAGGTGTGTAATCGATTGCAAACAAGTGCGATGGTCAACTGGGGCCAGTATTTGAAAAAAGCCAGTTTTTTTCCAACGCTGGTCGGCCGATCAGCGTTGGAAATTGATACAAAAATACCACTTTTCTTGAAAATGACAGTATACCAGGTGCCATGATTTTACAGGATGCTTTACACTGTCATTCACTAACAGTCCAGCAGGGTATTTCAAAATGATTTGGTAGTTTTATTTTTTGATGTTTGCAAATGTTGTATTTTCCCTTTAAACTAGTCTGTCGCCTTTTTATCAGGACCTTTAAGGCCATGCATTCTTGTGTGCCGTTAAAACTGAGTGATCACAAAGGCAAATTTCAGAATAACAGTATATATATTTGGGATACATGTAAATGATGTCTTTTATATTTCAGATACCCGTTTGAGCGAATTGATGGTCGTGTACGTGGTAACATGAGGCAGGCCGCAATCGACCGATTCAGCAAACCAGGTAAGCTAACAAAACACGAAACTTTTTTTGTGGATATTGGTTTTGTCGTGTATTACTCTGATAAATTGTGTGTCTAAGTCATGGACTTATTTAGTCAAGTCATCACATATTCGATCACATTCACGCAATCTCAAGTCAGGTTGATGTAAATTCAATATTAGGTTTTGCCGTTCACCGACATATTTTTTTTGGTTTAATTAACACTGTATACTCAGTGTTGTCCCAAGTGATTGTGAGAAAAAAGTCACTCTGGTGGGACATGAACCCACGACCTTCTGCTTACTAGTGCAGACATCTTACTACTTGACCTCCACTGCTATATCAGATTCAAACCAGCCAGCCGACAACTGCAAGCTCGGTGGTCGAGTGGTTAAGCCGTGTGCAATAGTAAGCATGAGGTCGTTGGTTCGAGTCTCACTCAAGTAATTTTTTTCTCACAATCACTCGGGACAACACTGAGTGTACAATGTTCATTAAAAAAAAATACGTCGGTAAAGGGCATAACCCAATTTGGATTTGATCTGTTGATAGAATGGGATCGATTTGTTAATCAATTTGAAATGATTTGGATTAGTTTGTCTTTCCGAATCTGTTTGCATCCATATCCTAGCCCAGCCACTTGACATTTCTCAAGTGGGAATATTCCCACAATCAGCTTTTTAACATGGCACTGTTTCTTTCCCTACCCTCTTAGATTCGGATCGCTTTGTCTTTCTCCTGTGCACGCGAGCAGGAGGCTTAGGTATCAACCTAACGGCCGCCGATACCTGCATTATCTTTGACTCCGATTGGAATCCACAGAATGATCTACAGGTCTGTATAGAGGGGAAAAAAAATTCACCTTAGTTATTTTGTTACAAAATCTGTCCAAATACTTTAAAAGCCTGCAGTTTAGAAATGATGACGTGACTTTATCCGTGTTTCACCTGATTCCTTGTGATTATTACATCTGAAGTCCTGATCTAAACTGAAGCATTTTTTTCCTGGTGAGTATGTTGACACACAAAAACCCATGTGGTTATACATTTCCTTTCATTCTATTTTTACTGAGGTTTGGCAATGACCAATGTATAACTTCATTACTGCACCAAGGATTTTTAAAGTCTCTAGACCTTGTTCATATCTATGTCCCCTGTAAAAATGCAAAGCATAAATGTCATTGAAGGACACTTGAGCTGCATAGCTCATGTCTGCCCATATTATGGTGTATTTTTGTTTCACAGGCTAATCTTGTGGATTTGTTTGTTAAATTGGGGCTCATACTTTTGGAGACTGATTCCTTTACACAGTGTGTCATTGACTGGCCATTGTGAGGAGGCCACACAAGTATCTGCATTCTTGCATTTAAAACAACATTTTACCTTTGAAGCTTTTGTTTTGACGACTTAACGTCCTGAAAAGTCAAAAAAATGATTTTGTTACATTTTTTTTCCTTTCTTGATAATACAGGCTCAAGCCCGTTGCCACCGAATCGGGCAGACCAAATCGGTGAAGATTTACCGGCTGATCACCCGCAACTCCTACGAGCGGGAGATGTTTGACAAGGCCAGCATGAAGCTGGGCCTTGACAAGGCTGTGCTGCAGTCCATGCGGGGGGACAACCAGTCTGCTAATACCGCAGTAAGCAGTCATCTCATTCAAGCCATATAGGAACATTTGCATTTATCCCCAAAGTAACCTACCAAAGTTTTATCAAAAAGCTTGGATTAAAGATGGTACTGGTACTACTCCGTGAAATGATTCCGTTTGGATTGCTGTCATTTAGAAGAAATCAAGAAATGTAGGTGATTTCCAACGATCAGTCAATTGACTGAATTTTGGAAATAAAAGAGTAGTATGGAGCGTTGCGGTCCAATGGTTACTGTGTTCGACCTACGTGCTGTGGTAGGTGTAAACCCTGAAGGGGAACATGGTGATTGTGTTCTTGGGCAAGACACTTTACTACAATTGCCTCTCTCCATCCAGGAGGATAAATGGGTACTTGTGAAGGTAGAGACTAGAATGCACTGATCTTGAGCTGATGCAAAAACTGGTCTCACTGCCTGATGAACAGGGGTACAAATTGTGAAGCGCTTTGAGACCTTTGGTATAAAGCGCTATATAAGCAAGCACATTATACGTGTAAAGGTACCACTAAGGAGACACGTTATCGTAATTTCCTCGCACGACGGGAGACATCGGTCATTAGGGAGACATTTTCATGTCTCCCTTATGTCACAGCCCCCCTTTAGAGGCACAATTTTGCTGTCGCAATTAGGTTAAAGTAGTTCCTCGTGGTCTAATTAGTAAACATACCGAAATTCTTGGAAAAAGGACAAGGGAATATTGGGTTAGGGCACATTTAAGTTTGAAAATTTTTGTGCACAAGTCAATGGGGATGTCTCCCAAATGTCCGATCCAGGGTAATTATTATCATTATTATTATTATGGACGAAATTGTACGCGCATGTAGTGTGTCCCGTCCACTGGGCTCTCAAAAGTGGTTAAAAAGTGCTCTCTTTTGAACCATAGTACTTGACTCTTGATCTGGCTGTAATCTCAAAGAGCAAGGTTACATGTTAGTTTCATCACTTCTACCCCATCAGCAACAGCAGCCCTTCTCCAAGAAGGAAATCGAGGACCTCCTCCGCAAGGGCGCCTACGGTGCCATCATGGACGATGACGACGCCGCCTCCAAGTTCTGCGAGGAGGACATCGAGATGATCCTGCAGCGCCGGACCCGGGTCATGAAGATCGAGGGGGGACAGAAGGGCTCCACCTTCGCCAAGGCCAGCTTTGCCCTGCCGGACGACCAGCAGTCGGACATCAAGCTGGACGATCCGGACTTCTGGGCCAAGTGGGCCAAGAGGGCGGAGCTGGACGTGGAGGCTCTCAAGAAAAAGGTGAGGGATTTGTCAAAGATTGGGGCCAGTTTCGTGTTTCTTAGCACTTAACCCTTTCCTTAGCATGGACAACATTTGTCGACAAGTAACTACGCCCTGCTGCTTACCACAAGCGACTTTAGTCGACCAGGAAACCACAACCAGAACACCCTCAACACAGATTTATTCACTGCTTTTCAGAAAGCTGGCTCGTTGGTATTTCTGGCCTCCCATACATCAACCATATACCAGCTGAAAGAGTGTTTTCAGATCATTCTAATGGTGTAGTTCATTTATAGTTTTACCATTAAACAATTTAAGAGAAGTGCTTTAGAAGTATCCACACACAATTTGAGGTATGGAGTGCCATTTGGTCATGTGGTGAAATGGCTTGCAGTTTCATAACTGGGACCAGATCATTGGCAGTGAAAATCTGATTTGAAAAAGTGAGTTTTCAGCTTGTGGTCCATTTTTCACGCTTTAGTGATTACCACATGACTGAGCAAACAATTGGGGAGAGCCAAGTCAATAAAGTGTGGTAATGAAGGGTTCAACATGGTCAGCGAAAATCAGTTCAGAACCACTACATTGCATGACACGTTGTTCAGCAATTATTTTCTATGCTTGGAAAATCTTGGACTGAAAACCACTTGGACCTTATTTTTAAAAACACTTTTCCTTTACAGGAGAGCCACGTTATCAATGAGCCTCGCAAGCGCAAGCAGACCAGGCGCTTCGGCAACATGGACGAGATGGTGGAGTTCACCAGCAACGATGACGACAGCGACGACGAGACGCCCGCGGCCCCGCCCAAGAAATCCACACAGCACAAGGGCCATAAAGGGGCGTCGACCTCGGGCGGGCCCTCCTCGGGCGGGCCCGCGCCCGTAGTGGCAATGAAACCTATGAAGCCATGTAAAAGCCAGCTGCAGTCCGGCTGGACGCGGCTGGAATGCTTCCGGGTGGAGAAGGGACTGCTGACATATGGGTAAGAAGACGTTCACGTGATCCTTCATCATGCTTCAGCTCAATATGGAGCAAACTCCTTTGAAACAACAAATGTCATATATGCTGGCAGAAAAAAATGGCCTTCAGCAGTGTGTGACTTTTCACTTGACACTTCTTGCCAACCACAGTGCAGGAAGTCGATGCCAATGGGTGATTTTTTGAATGCCGACTTACACAAAGGAATTTGTTGTGCTATTCATGGAAAGGGGACCAAGAATAACACGACGACTTGAGCGAAATGGTGACTTATAAAAGCCGACTTTAAATTTAAAAATTCAATGAAAATGCATTACAGACAATCGGGACTTTAGTAAGACTTGAGCAATTTGACGAGTTGTACGATGGCGACTTGGCCGGAGTTTACTGTGTACTGAAAAATCAGTCCAGAAAAGCATGTTAGCTGGATTATGTGTGCCCAAGTGCCCCATGTTGTAGATAATTGACTTTCTCGTGTGTTCTTGTTATATTTGCTTGATGGGTCTTTTCTTTGTTTCATTAGGTGGGGCCGTTGGGAGGACGTGCTGCTTACCACGCGGTTCAAGAGACCTCTGGGAGAAAAGGATGTTGAGGCCATCTCTAGAACAATGGTGAGATATTATGCTCTAGATCTTTACTCAAGACGTCTTGAAACCTTGTTTTTGAGAGACTGTCATCAGGCAGACTGGCAGGTGAGGTAAGAGAAAACTTATGTCATGCAGAAGAGGTATACTGCTTTGACTCGTGAAGAAATCCAGTTTGGATGACGACAAAGATTAGAATGCTAGAAGGTGATAAAATTCCTTTCTTTTCATTCATTCATTCATTCATTTTGGTTTTATTGTTTAACAATGGTGACCAAAGAAAAAGTCCAAGTACTAAAAATATTTGGTTTACAGTAAAAGTTAATATTTACAGTGATTGCTAAGCATTATATACATGTAAACAGTAAACTTGAAAAAAAAAAAACAATAACAGTGACTATCATTGCAGGTAAAAATTAAGTAATGAAAACAAAATGAAATAGGAGAAACTATTATATGAACACCTAAAAACCACAACTCCTGAGAATTAATTAATCTAATCACAGAGGGGACAGGAGATTGTTTATATCTCTGAGTACTGATACGAGGCATGGTAAGGTGGTTGGAGTTCCTGAGATTTCATGTGGTGAGAGACAGGCATGACTTGGGAATCATGTGACGGTGTTTTTCAGAAGCAAGCAAGTTTTTTGGCAGATTGAGTGGCAAAGTCAACATGTCTGTCTGAAAGCAATTGGATGATTAAGGAAATTGAGAACATCGTTATATGGCAAGACATTTGGGTAAAGGATTATACGGAGTGCACGCTTTTGAACTTTTTCAATACTCTGAGCTTGATTGGGTATAAACCCAATTTCTTTTTATTTCTGTGTCGCAGCTGATCTTTTGTCTCAAGTTCTACAAAGGCGACGAGAACATCAAGAGTTTCATCTGGGACCTGGTCACCCCAGCCCCGGACGGTTCAGTCAAGGATTACAGGAACCATAAAGGTATTGCAAACGTAACCTCTGAAGCTATCATAAGCAAATATGATTGTAGTATGACAAATAATGTAGGATGAGAGCTTTAGTTTGTCGGAAATATAATGTAAAATAAGACACATTCAATTTAAAAAGTTCAAAGTTCATAAGACAGTTTGAAAGTTTGTCCGAATTTTTAATACAATTTCAAATAATTTTTAATGCTGACATGAAATGTTTTTGTTCCAAACTATAGTTTGAGCCAAAAACTCTATCACTTGTCCCACGCGGTGTTGCATCAACCTGCACGCAATAGAGGGAATTTACATTGTAAAATTGTCACTGTTTCATTTTTCTCTTGAAATGATGATCACCAAAACAACACACTTTATCGCTGATGGGAGGTTGTGTTAACAGCGCTCACTGATGCAGATGTTCTGCAATGCTGATCAAGAGAAATTAAACCAAAAAGTTGTTTCAGTGTTCATGAGACTAACCTATCTTTGAGGTTGCTGCATAAATGGTAGTAGTATTTTGGTAGTTTGTGATATAATTTTGTTAAATAAAGGTACAGTCTATCATTTGTAATTTGTGAATTTTTTTCGCTTGAAGCAACAAACGTGCTTAAAATTTAAAGAAGGGTGCTGAACAACTAACCTGATGACGTTTCAGCTCAGCTTCAGCTGTATATTCGGAGAAAAACAACATTCTCAATTTCAAATCAAAAGTTGCTGAATCATGTTTTGAATTGGACCTGAATTTAGCGTCCCAGACACGTTTTCAATGAACCGACTGTAGCTACGCGATGTTGCGCACCGATCCGACGATATTTTAGCAACCGCGTGCGCGTGTGTGTCGTGTCAACGATTGCGCGTGCTTCCCCGAAAAAAAAAGAAAAAAACTACTTACGGAAATTTCCAATGAAATGTCTTAAATGCATCATTGGAAAGGCCTTCTTTCATTGATTTCTTGAAAATGACAGCATTCCAGAAAGAATAATTTCACAGTGAGTTTAGTCCCTTTACTATCTTTCAACCAAGTATTTTTTTTCAACAATAATTACGTCAGTTGCTTTTTGGATAGCTGCAGTTGATGTACTGTAGCTTTAAATTGTTCATTTATTTTTTACTTCATCCATTCAGAAGATAATTGATTCGTCAAACCATTAAAATATAACTCCAAGACGACTTCCCCCTCCCCCTCCCTCTGATACTAGGGTTGTCGGCTCCCGTCCCACGTGGCCGCAAGTCCAAGAAACCCAAGAAGGAGGAGGACGTGGTACCTGCCATCCTGGAGTATGACTTCAACGCCAAAGACCAGGACCCAGAGGCTCTACTGACGGACCAGGGCTACAAGAACCACCTCAAGAGACACTGCAACAAGTGAGTCTATCACAGCAGGGAGTGTTGTAAAAATGGTGTAATAAACCTGCTTAGGCCGAGTACAATAAAAAAATAGTTTCTCGTCCAGGGTTTTTGAAAAAGGGAGGAAGCGGGGCTTTTTTTTTTTTTTTTTTTTTTTTTTTTCTCAAGATGACCGCTTTTCAAAATTTCCTGCAACCGTTGGTGTTCCACTGTTCAAAGACACTTTTAAAGATGAAAGACAAGTTGGACAAGAGAACTGAACATATTTACAGTGTCATTTAGAGTTGTATTGGTATTGGTATTTAGTTTCCGATGAATTTGTAGACTTTTTCGGTGTTTTTCTACTACATTTTTCAAAAATAAAAAATAATAAAAAAATCCAGGCGGCCTCCAAAAAGGAAGCGGGCGGGGACGAGAAACTTGGTTTTTTTTTTACTTCGCCTTATATGTCAACATACAACATTTAACAGCGGGCCATACCTGACTTGGCCATGAGCCCTACCAACCTTCGTTTGTGTACATTTCTCGCAGTGTTTTTGACCCAGTCTGATCGAGCTGCTGAGGTCACCCAAGGGCAGGACCACAGTGTCGGACGTTCATTTTGGACAATTCAACAGTGTACATAATACTAATATCCATAAAGTGAATTTTATTTCCGATAAAACATGTCGGCTAGATATTATAATGATTTTAAAAAAGAAGTTATTTGTCCAAGTTTTTGGCTGTAGTAGAAATTGGCTTGAAACAATCATGGTGTCTGATATACTCAGGCAAATAAAAATATCAGTTAAAAAGCAACAGCTGAACTGTTGAACATTGTTAGAAATAAACTGTATTTCAATTAAAGGGAATATACAACATTTGCAAACATCGAAGAAAAAAAACTACCAAATTTTTACGAAATACCGTACCAGGGTGTTGGTAAATGACAGTCTAAAGCATCCTATAAAATTACGGCACCTGGTGTGAAGTCATTTTCAAGAAAATGGTATTTTTGTAAAAATTTCCAACGGTGGTCGGCCGACCACCGTTGGAAAGACCTAACTATTTTTCAAGTACTGCTCCAAACTTACCATTTTTTTTTTCAGTCCAAATTTTGTTTGCTTTTGGTTACATGTTCATGAACGGGTGCAGGCCAGCTAGACTGGTTCCCTTACCTTACAATTTTCCGGCATCTGTAAATTGATCCATTTTACATTTAGTGGAGTCGGGGAACCAGACTACTTGAACATTTTTGTTTTCCTTGGTTTTTCCAGCATTTTCGAACACAAAACTTCAAACATGTCAATGTAACAATATCTGATCTATTATACTCACCCCTCAAATAGTTCATTTCTGAAAATCACAGCCAAAGCCAATGATGTATATTCCCTTTAAATACAGATATTATTAAAGCTTCTTAGTTTCATACGTTTCATTGGTGGCATTTGGATATTTCTTTTAGTTTGTTGAAGTTTTGGCATGGAGGTTTATAATTCCGTGGAGTTGCCCCTGACCAAATGTTGTGATCGAATTGGTCAATTTTTTTGTTTGACTGACATTACTTGGGCAATTCCACGGTTACTCATGTTACATTTTTGATGTACTTTTGAGTTTCCTTGGGCTGTAATTACCTTACTGAAAAAGTTTAGTAACTGTTATCCCCATGGTAGATAGAGTAGACCTAGACCTACCTAAGCACCAAAGATGACATCCAGAAAAATGTGTTATGCATGATAAACAAGACGCAAAAAATCGGTTACTCACGTTACGAAAATGTAACGTGAGTAACCGTGGAACTGCCCACTTTCATTTGATGTTTTCTTTATTGTTCGTCTTGCCAGGGTGCTACTACGTGTCCGATTGTTGTACTACCTGAAGCAGGAGGTTATCGGAGACATGCTGGAAAAGATTGCAGCTGGTGCTGATGCTAGGTATGTAGCTTCAGATCATAGGTTTCATGCCTAACAGCACCCTCGGGGACTCTCTCTGAAAGGCCTGCAATCATTTTTTTTTGGTGATTTAGTTAATGAGAGATGAAGACGTTATATGGTTTTAATTTAAATTAATTGAAAACCACTTTGGGAAAATGAAGCGTCCCTTTCAGAAGACAAAGAAGATGCAAGATCAAATGCAAAACATTTCTATACCCCAGAATGTAAATATTCCATGTGCAAAACACCCACAAGGAATTGGGATAAACACAAAAGACATATGACATAATTTATTTTTGACACAAAACTTATTCAGCGGTTTGATTTATTGAAACCGTAAGGAAAGGATTGATAAAATAATCATATCAGGGGTGAGATTTGTCAGGATTTTTCATGATTTCAGGATTTTTTTTGGTCAAGATTTTTCCCGATTTCAGGAGTTTTGTTGGCGGGATTTTCTAGATTTCTGAATTTTTGACAGGATTTTTCTTGATTTCTGGATTTTTGTCAGGATTTTTGTCAGATTTCTTAATTTTTGTCAGGATTTTTGCCGATTTCAAGATTTTTAGAGAATCCCTCTTGAAATCTGGAGCTCTTGAGATTGGATGATTTTACGCATGAAGTTTATATACAACCAAAGAAATGGGTATTTGAAGGGGTGCCTTGAGGCAAATTCAAACATATGTCATAGACCCTACATTACTCTGGGGCCCTCCGTGATCTTCAAACCCTCAATTTCTCAATCTCACCACTGGGCTATACTTTTCTACCAAATTGTGTGTTATGTCCACAATTGCACGTCGTGAGTTCTCACGTTGGTGTTTATTTTCCTTTGTAGTGAGTTACCATTGGTCATGGTGCAGCCTGAGGGAGATCCACCCATCGCTTGGTGGGACGAGGAGGCCGACAGGTCCTTACTAGTCGGCGTCTTCAAACATGGTCAGTATCTCTTCAGAGAGTTACACCTGCTTCAGACTGGTGTTCTAGAGTGCAGCTTTATACCGAACTGTTTTAACCCTAACAATCCCCATCCAGTCAAACTCCAACACCAGGGTTTGTTGGAGTCTGTTGGAGTGAGTACTGCACGAGTAAACTGACTATGCTTTACATGGGGTCAGGCATACCGCCAATAATCAGAGTCCAACAGTTTGGGTGTTGAGTTTACCACATGATGTTGGAATTTGCAAGAGTGAGGAAGGTTCTTAGTAAATCACTCAATGGGGTTAGGGTTAAAGATCTGAGTTAAAGTTTGATGTTAATCTGCATGTCTTCTGCACTTCACAACCCCTTCAAGTTTTGCTCCCACACTTCAGATTCCTTTGAGGTAATCTTCTGTGGAGTACGGATAACACTTCTAATCCCTGCAGAGTTCTTTGGTGTGGTTAAGCTCAGGGCAAGCAGGCAGATTTGGTCTTGTGTTACTGCTCTCCGCAGTGCTTTTTTTTTGTACAGCGACTCTCTGTGTAACGCAGTTTCTTCAATGCTTCATATCCCCTCACCTGAAACTGACCTGCAGATTAAAGGGTTTTACATATTGCCGTGAATACTGACTTCCTACTAGGTGGGTTTTATAGATCAGTCTCTTAAACCCTCTGTGTCATGTCTTCTATCATGTGTGTTTTGAACACCTGCAGGTTATGAGCGGTACGCAGCTATAAGGACAGATCCAACACTCTGCTTCCTGGCCAGGTGTGGTGCTCCGGATAAAAGAGAGATTGCTAGAGAAAATGCTGACAATGATGAAAGGTAAAGTGCAAACACTCTTGATGTTCTAACCTCGTCGCTTTAAAAACAATTCATGGATTCAAAAGTTTTTAAGAGACTCCCAAATACAGACTTATTTAAAAAACAGAACTTCTCTACCAGAGTCAAAAGTGACATTTTGAAACAGTGCAGAATCAATTAAAAGACTTCTCCACGTTGAAAAGAAGGGAACATGTTTGATCCTAACTCCTTACTGTCTTTTACTAAGTGTTGGACCAAGTCCACCAAAATCCACCAATCACACTGCTTCCAATGCATGCTTTGCTTTAAGCCTCCAGGCCAAAGTCCATCATACTCCTTCAATATTTAGTCAAACCAAGCCTACAGGACTTAGTCCCCCAAAATCCACCAAATGAGGGGATTGAATTTTGATGGAGTTGGAGAGGTTAGGGTTAAAGTGATAGATTGTAATTAAATCATAGAAGTCTGAAGCCACGATTCTGAGAAACTTGAGTCAGAAAAAAAAATGGTCAACCAAATTTTATACAGGAGTAGTTGTACTCACTCATTTCACTTTGCCACAACCTGAAATAACAAAGTGATTTTTCACATTTTAGGGAGTTTCAGATGAGTCCAATCAGTGAAGTGAATTAAAATTTTTCTTTATCTTGTGTTGGAAGTTGTATGGGTGTGAAATGTGTGAAATGATGAGTTATGTCATGCTAATACTGAGTGCTCACACGTCGGTCTCTATGACGACGTGCTGGAGCTCAATGAGTTGAAACTCTTCTCACAAAGTGCTATCTGATCACACACACTGGCAGCCTCCCTTGTACCCTCCTAAAATCCACCCCTGTGCAAAATCTTGTTGACATTAATTCTATCAACTTGCAACCGAAAGCAACTGATGAGGATTATTAAATTCATTTGTTCCTTCTCTTTGACTCTCTTGCAGTCAACTTGATGTTGAATCGATGGAGACCGGTGCGGAGCTGGACCCAGGCACGGAATTGGACATCAAACCGGTCATCAAGCAGCTGAAGGAAGACTATCTAGAGGTATGTCATAGAGGTTGAGTCAGGTCAATCACAAATCAAATCATTGTCATTAGTAAGTTACGAGTCAAATCACAAGACAATCGTAAGTCACAAGTCAGTAACAAGTGAAATCACAAGTCGGTCAAAAGTCAAATTATAAGGCAATCATTAGTTAGTTACAAGTCAAATCACAAGTCAGGCACAAGTCAAATCACAAGTCAGTCACAAGTCAAATCACAAGTCAGTCACAAGTCAATCACAAGTCAGTCACAAGTCAAATCACAAGTCAAATCACAAGTCAAATCACAAGTCAGTCACAAGTCAGTCACAAGTCAAATCACAAAGTTGGAAAAATTTTGTTGTACGACCCCATGGGGATGTCTCGCTAAGGTACCATTTCCTGTACTTAAAATAAGAAGTAAGGTCACATTGGAAAATTAAAAAAAAAACAACAGAGGTTGAACAATGGAGTATTTCTTGTTAACGTTTCATATGACTAGCCTGTCACTTGCGACCGGATAAATTGCAACTGAAACCTGGGGACTTGGCTTCAACTCAAGCAGTTCGTAATAATTTGAGGATTTGACCCAATTCCCTCTATTGCGTTGCATCAACCTGCCTGCAATATGGCAATTTTCGTTGTAAAATTGTCAGCGTTTCTATTTTTCTCTTGAAATGATGATCACCAAAACAACACACTTTATCGCTGATGGGAGGTTGTGTTAACAGCACTCATTGATGCAAATGTTCTGCAATGCTGATCAAGAGAAATTAAACCAAAACTCATGTCAGTAATCATGAGACTAACTTATCTTTGAGGCTTCTGCATAAATGGTAGTAATTTTTTGGTTAGTTGTGATATAATTGCATTAAACATTCCATATTTTGTTTGAATATTTTGTTTAGGATGGATCTCTGTCGCCCTCAAGTACCCGGACATCTTCTCCGGCGCCTGTGAAACCAAAGACGGAACCAGAACCTACAACAATGCCAGGTATAAGCTAAGCTTCCCCGAAACTTCTCTTCTTCTCTGAACCTGATTTCTATTTCTCTTGAAGTGATGATCAACAAACAACACACTTGGCTGAGTTGAGTGATGCACAAGTTCTGCAATGCTGATCAAGAGAAATAAATATCAAAATCTCTTCCTTTATTCCGGAAATATCCACCGAAAATCTCCTGAAAAAAAAAATTGCAAGATTTGGCACATTAAAGCTGGTGTATACATGATTTTTAGATATGGCACCCTGAAAAATAGATTTCAAATTGCAATGATAATTTTCAAGCATTAAGATTAGTTATGTGAGCTTTCCAATGAGACATCGAATAAAAAAAATCGGCCCACGATAAGTAATTAATAAATACATTTTCAATTTTTGAATTTGGAGCATCCCGCTCCTAATTCAGTTCTGAAGCACAAGCCAACAAGATCTAGTGTGAGCATGCGCTTTTGCGACAGTAATAATCTCAACAGCAACATTACAAGTATACATACCTGCATGTACAGACTAACTGTACATGTACATGTACATGTGTGTATGTACACAGTCGTACCATATAGCAACCATGGAAGGACCACGTAAAGCGAGACTTAGAAAACCACGGGTTTTGCAATCCAGTGAGAGGAAAAGACGCAAAAGTAGCAGAGATTGTGATAGAACGTAGGAATATGGTGCAGCCAGGCTGGCCTGGCTTAACGTAGGCCTACCATGATCGTGGAGCAGTGTCACAGACAGGCCCCGATCCTCGTGTAGCTAGGATTAACCAGGCGAATAAAAAACAGTTGATTCCAAAATTAACATACATGTATGAGCTGATACGTTCAGAAATGGGGCGCGCCATTTATAAAACCACTGTTTAAAACTGTATAAAGGTATGCAAATGAACAAATTTATTTTTCACTTGAGATTATATTCCTTTAAATTTCATTCCGAAAAGAAAATCAAAATTTTAAAAAGCACGTAATAGTATATACCAGCTTAAAGGCGAAAGAAAGAAAAAGTGACATTAGTTTGCTGTTAGCAGCTTCTGGGTGTCATAGTCCATACTATTCATGCTTTTATCATTTATTATTAACCCCACAGTGATTCCTGGCAAGTTGCCCTTTCCCCTTGCTCCCGACGTGAACACACGGCTAAGACGACTAGTAGCAGCCTACCAAAGAAACCACAAAAGACAGCAGCAAAAGCAAGCCAAGCGAGCAAGGGTGGGTCCAATCAAACTCTGAATGATAGTCATATTTTTTTTTAAATTGTAAGAGCAATAAAGAAATGTTCAGTTTTAGAGGTGAGAACCAACCTTAAAAAAAAGTGATTCACAGAAACCCACAGTTGTATTTGTTTTATCAATTTTTTTTTCGGGGGGGGGGGGGGTTTCGAGTTCATAAAAAAGGAGTATAATCTGTTAGGGCCAATATTGGGTTTGCCCTTCATCGACGTGTTTTATAAACATTGCACACTCGAAGTTCCCCCTGGGTGATTGTGAGAAAAGAATCACTCAGCTGGGGCTCGAACCCACGACCTCTGTTAGGTCATTAAGTAGCAAGAAACAGGGAATCTTTAAGTTTTAAGATTATAAATGCTCAATATTTCTTCTTTTTTAATTTTACTTTAACAGCGTGAGTTGATGAAGCAAGTAAGATTTGAGATTCTCATGGGAGGGGATGTGATTGTCTGAGTTTATCAGAAAGAGCATAGACTCTTAGGTTATGAAGTAGTACAAAGTGTTGTATTGTTAGAATTAAATGGCTCATTGTTTGTGCTTTTGTTAACTTTTAACAGCGTGAGATGGTGAAGCAAGTACGATTTGAGGAGCAGGTGAGACAGCGGCAGCTCAAGAAACAAGAAAATGCTCAAAAGTAAGCTGTCAAATCTCATATCCTTGACTATTCTAAAAAAAAGAAAGAAAAGGGGGTAGAAACTTAAAAGTTGGACTTGGTTGTTGAAAAAAATAAACACTTCATCTTGTGTCCATCATGCAGTTTTTTTAAAAACTTGTAACTTAATTGTAGTAGCTCTGGCAAATTCAGACTCATTCTTGCTTGCCTGGTCATGTATTTGCAGGAAGTCAACCATGAAGTTGACAAGAATGAGGCACCGCCATTGTGTTAAATGTACATGTAACTTTTCCTCGGACCCGCCTGATTTCTTAGTTTGTTAGTTCTCATGAATGCCAATACAAATTGAAAAACGCTGTACAAAGTCTTGTGCGGTTTTGAATTTCCTCGTTTTTTTTTCTAAATTCCCAGTTGCATGCATGGTTAAATGAGACATAAAAATAACTAACCCAGTAAATTCAGTTTCTGGTATTCATTTGCACTTACAATGCAATAACACACCAAAATTTGTTGCGCCAAAAATATGGTAAATGGTCAGTAAATATCAGATGCCTGACCTGAATTTCTCCCTCCATGAACCCCCGCCTATTCGCAGGTGGTCGCGGCGCGAGGAGGCCGACTACTACCGGGTCCTGGCCACCTTCGGCGTGGAGCAGGACCCCAAGACGGGCAAGTACGACTGGTCCAACTTCCGCAAAGTGGCCAAGTTGGAACGGAAGTACGACCACCGCCTGCTGGAGTACTACCGACACTTCCGGGCCATGTGCCTGAGAAAATGCAAGAGGGAGGAGGAGGTACCGGAAGAATTTGGTAGGTTATCCCCTCGACTCTTACGCATCTGGAACATAGAGTCCCTCAGCTCAAAACAAGCCTTGATGTAGCCTTTTTTAGTTTGTGACTGTGTCTTAGACCTGTTTCAGGCTGACATTCCAAAGTTTCAATGGCTCAAAAAGTATCAGGAGAAACTCGGAATGACCACACTAGATTTAGTTTATATACCCTAACTACCTAGGTATTTTTTTGCTAAGATGCAACCTCAATCCTGCAAAATCCTCCAACTGCCTCCGTGTAAAAATCGCATACAGCCTCAATCCTCCAAAATCATCAGTTCTTTCTTGAATGTGGTCCTCGGAGGGGTGTCCACTGCCTCAATCCTGCAAAATCCTACAGCAATCCAGTAAGGGGATTTTAAGTATAATATAGGCCTAAGGATCAAGCAATTTAGAAGCATTCAGCTTTGTTACGGCTAAGGGGAGAATGTGAAATTCAATAGACGGTAACTCAAGGTTTACCAGGAGGTTTTTTGAGGTTCTACAGGGTAACTTGGGTTGGGGTTTAACGTCAGGTAAGCACTTATTATAAAGGCAGTAACTTGAGGGTTTCCTGGAGGTTTACTGATTTACTGAGGTTCTACAGGGTAACTCGGGGGGTTTAACCTCAAGTTACCACTTATTAAAAAGGTGGTAACTCAAGGTCTACCTGGAGGTTTACTGTGGTTCTACAGAGTAACTTGGGTTTAACCTCAAGTTTCAGCATATTAAAAAGGTGGCAACTTGAGGTTTACCTGGAGGTTTATTGAGGTTCTACAGGATAACTCGAGGTTTAACCACAAGTTAGCGTTCTTCCACTACACCTCACGCCATGACCTTGATAGCTTTTATCTCTTCTCTCAATCCCCCATAAAACAGCCTCCCTACCTCCTCCGGACTTCACCATCGAGGAGATCTCGGAGGAGCGTGCCAACAAGGTGCTGCACCGCATCGACCTGCTGCTCAAGATCCGCAACGAGGTCCTCCCGCATCCGGAGATGGCGGCCCGCATGCGGCACTGTCGCAAGAGCCTGGAGCTGCCTGACTGGTGGGAGCTGGGAGTACACGACCGGGATTTGGTCATTGGTGTGGCAAGGTACATAGCCAGTCAGATTCCTATTTGGAATGCTGGATTGGAGGAGTGATATTGGGAACTTCTGATTCGTTTTTTTTTGGGGGGGGGGAGGCATACTTGCCATTTCTGTATATAGGTACACACCAGTTTTGTTTTGGTTATGTGTGGATCTGATCAGGTTTTGAAGTGCTATGTGTGGTTATGTGTGATTTGGGCGCTTTTTTTTTTTTTTTTTTTTTTTTTTAAATCAATTGTTTTTGGGTGGATAATGCGGATACGTTTGGTACATTTGCAAATTGGTGTATTTCGATGAAGCTTAATTAAGTGAGGTAACCTTTCCTTTCCCCAACATTGTTGTATTTGTCTAAACAAAATTCAATGGTAGCATCTATGATTTGAAAAAACGAACCCATGGGAAATCGTAAGTTGTTCAGTGAGGATAGAATTGTCCCTCTAAAACCAGTAGCGTTCGGCCTAGCACTGTTGGGCTTTTGCTGTGAGTACTGACATGTTTCTGAGAACAACTTGAGTGGACGTAATTGAGGAAACAAGAATGGAATGAACAGTTTTTAAAAATTCATTGACCAAAACCGTATAGAATGAGGAATGAGTGTTATTTGTAGTTACGGTGATGTTAACAAATTTTATTGACAAAATTGTTTGGTGTCACAAAGGGTTTTTCTTTGCCTTGATTTCTGCATAGATACGGCATCAACCGCATGGAATCTCAACAACAAATGCTGGCCGATCCCGAGCTGTCTTTCAAGGACCTCAAAGAGAAATACCCCCTCATGGTTCCAGTGCCTGTGCCTCTGCCTCCCCCCGTCAAGGCCTCGGCCGAACACGGGTCGCCCCAAAAGGGAGGCCAAAGAACTAGCAACGCCAGTCCCAGACCGGAGTACGATGAGTTCAGAACTAGTGGGGAACCCTTGGCAGAGTCGCAGGGGGAAGGTGGCGACGAGAACTCTGAGATGGTGAACGGTCCGGAGAGTGTTGCAAATTCTCAGGAGGGGGCGGAGGTGAACAGCGAGGTGACGACTGAAGCAAAACAAGCAGAATCGGACGAATCTGGTATCGAGGATAGCGGAAACGACGATACAGTTGTGGAGACTAGCCAGGAGAACGCGTCACTGACAATAGATGAGAGCGCCCTCGCATCCTCGCAGGAAACGGGGACGACAGTGCGCGGTGACGATTCCAAGGAAGACGGAGGAGAAGGATCTCAGGATAACGATGAAATGAGAACTGAGAGGGAGGAAGTCGGCGCAATGGACGAACCTGACTGGGCAATTGGTAAATCGGCTGACTCCTCGAACATTGAGAACCTGGAAAATGAGGATGAAAGAACTAGTCTCCAGAACAGCAGTCAATCCGCAGACGGCAAAGAGGTCGACTTAGGCCAGGATATGGAATGCGGTAGTCCGAGGTCAGCTGCGGCTGGTGAGGAGTCCAGCCAGGGTCAGGCGTCAGAGGCTGCCAGTGTGGCAACCAACATGACGTACGCCTTCCTCATGAAATGGCCCAAGGTAGGTGTTTTTGATTTTGCACTGACAGCTTTTGCACAGATAGCTTTCCTGATTGTCTCCATAAAAAGTGACTTAGTGCTTCTTTCAACACTACTTTCAACAATTTTAATGAAATAAAAATGTGTGATTTGTCCCAGGACCGAGTCATCGTGCACCGCTTGGAGAACATCTGCCACTGCGTCTTGAAGAACTGCTGGCCCGGCCGGCGGAACCACCAGCAACACCAAGAAGCCAAGGCCCAGCTGGCTGCCCTGGCCAAGCAGCAGTACGACGCGGATCAGCTGTCTCAGCTCCTACCAGGGGAGTTGCCCTGGGACCCGTCCTTCGTGGCCCCAGAGCACAACTATGCCGGTATGGCTGACGGGCTGCTGGCGCTGGTCCACCAGAGAAAACGCAAGAGGAAACGCAAGTTGGAGCCAGGTATTGAGAGAGAGTTCACCCTTATTTTTCTTTTTACTCTAACCCCCGCGTAGTTCCCCAGGACTAACTTGCTAAAATCCAACAGAGTCCGACGGTTACTCATATGAGTTTCCTGCTCAATCCAGCACAGGCCCACACAACCCAACTTGCCAAGTTGTTGGGTACCTGAAAATATAAAATGACTGGCCTGCTCAATCCAACAGACTCCAACTGTGCCTTATTTTTCTGTTTGCTGCTGGATCCGGCAGAGTCTAACTTGGGGGTTATTTACCAGTACCCAACAGAATCCGACTCTGAATATTTTGAGTTGTTTGCTGAATCCGACAGATTTCACCAAGAATATATACAAGGGGTTTACTGCCTGATTCAATGGGACCTAGTGGATATGTAAAATAGTTGGATCCTGTTGGATTGAGCTTGGTAAGGGTTAATGCCTTTTTTTTTAATTCATTTTATTTTTGTGCTTGTCCTTTCTTGAAAACAGTGGAAATGTGTGTCCCACATTATAGAAACTCTCTCTTCATTCATGCCTACTTAAACAAAATCCACCAGTCCTGTAGGTAGACCTTAGACTGTGGTGTCACAGTTTCAGTAGTCTTCAGCCAGTTCAGCAATTTTAAGTATTTGTTAAGATGCAATGTTTTATGACATAATGAAATTATTCACTGTTCAAGTTTAGATCTGTCCTGGTGTTCCCAATATCATTAAGGGCAATTCCAGTGATGTAATGCCTGTTCGGAATTTTTTTAGAGCTGAGTGAATGAACGTGAACATGTATTTTGCTAATCTGATACATCCATCATCTAGTACTTCAGTCAAGGATATTATAGAGTAGGTGTTTTGGATCGTTTTTCTGAATCATTAAATTAGATATCATGGTTAATTGGCTCTGTCACGGACATTACACTTCCTTTGACAATGCTGGAATTACCCTGAACAGCACAGCTGACGTCTGTTTCTCCTGACCCACCCCCCACTCCATTCCTACCCACCCCTCCACTATACAGATGCCCATCTTCCTCCCACAGCTGACAAGACGGCGTCCGAGTCGCCCCTAGATCTCTCCCAGGGCTCGTCCCGCTACCAGCACCAGCAGTCTGCTGAGACAGATCTCAACCAGCCCAGCTTAATAGACGGAGAGGGAGGCAGGCCAAGCCACCGGCCCCTGGATCCCACACGGAGGCCCTCGGTTGACGAGATCAGGCGCAGGAAGAAGAAATCTTATCTGAAGGTGAAGCTGAAGGCCATGCACGGTGTATCAGGAATTAAAACTGAGGTGAGTACATACTTCAAGACAAAAAGAAGGACACTCCTGCTTTGTGAAACTTTACATTTTCATGATAAAAAGTTAAAATGTTTGGTAGGGAATTTTATCTCTTACTCTACCTATTTTTAAAGGGTTAATGCAATGTATTTATGTAATGCGATCCTTGAAAATGTACCTTTGTGTCCCATTGAAGCCTATTTTCAACTTTCAGTTTGCAATTTTTAAAGGGTATTTTGGTGTTTGTTTGGATTTTACGCAAATGAAAATTTGCATATGCATGAGCAAATGTGTTAGCTCACTTCAGGCAGAAACCTCCATGTTACAGCTGTTTCAGCAGCAAAGTTGCCAGATATTGTAGATATTTTGCTGTCATAAATGTTCTTTTCTTTTGGTGATTCTTTGTTGTTTCAGTACATGATAGTAGGCCAGTGAGCAAAGTTTTCTCACAGGTGTGTCCAACGAGCAAATTTTGGGTTCACAATTTAAACAGAAAACCCCTAAAAAGAATGGTGTCTTCCTGAAATGACAAAAAAAATCTGGTTGCAGATATTGGCCCGAGCCAAATGAGGCTCAAGGGATGTTTAACCCTAACCGAACTCAACCCATCAAAGCCCAACAGCAGGTGTTGTTAAAAATCTGTTAGAATGGGTACAGTACCCCTAAACTGATGGTCTTTTACATTGGGTTTGGCATACCTCCAGAAACTAAGTCCAACAGTGTGTGTGCGCGATTTCCCATACATGTGGGTGTTGGAATTTGCGAGGTTGGGTACGGCTCCTAGTAAATTATGCTAGGGAGTTGGGGTAAATAGTAAATTTGCAATCCTGCTGTTCTTAATGTCACATAACATATTGGTGCCCACATTCCAAATTTTCCATTGCAATTTCTTCTACCATTCAAAGGGTGAACACATGCATCCCGTCACCCAGAAGAGAAAGAAGAAAGTCAGACGCTTGAACCTGGCCAACTTCAACGACGGTAAGTAATTGATCAACCGAACACCTGTCCAGTTATTTTTAAGCACATTTGATGATGTACACGGAAATTCAAGAACCATAGATGTGACGTTTCAATATTTAAAGTCATAATCCATATACAGATTTCTTGAAATGTTTAAACAGAACCCAAACTCAAAAACATATCCTGTGACTGTTTTCAGTTTTATTTTACAGAAATGTCAGTACTGCTCATTTTACAAAGCATCAGATGCTCCTTAGTTCTTGATCAAATCCTGGACAGTTTAAACATTTTCTTAGTCCTATCACAGGAATCATGTGCCAGACAGATTTGCTGTGATCTTGTCCAAAATGAATCAAATCCAAACTTCATCTTGTCGAAAGCGCCTTCTATTGTCACACATGCTTAAATGCACTTGTTAGGGATTGGGACCGGTTGCATTAGGGGGAACAAAACCTAAATCCAGCTTAGAACCAAGACTTCAGTTTTGTCTTCGCCTTCTGAAGAATAATCTTTGCCCTCCTTGTTTTCAGATGACCACGTTCCGGTAATCAACCGCAAGACCGGGGCGAAGCTGTCTGGGGAAGCAGCGCCACTCAAGAAGCACCTGTTTCCATGGTTGGAAGCCAACCCGGACTTTGCCATCCAGCATCAGGCGCACTGGTCTCTCACCGCTCCGGACAATCCAGCCACAAACCTCACCGCCTCAGAGGTAAGTTTGCGAGCTTGGAATCATTTGTGACTCCCCTAGGCTCTTTCTTGTTTACAGATATTCACCGATTAGTCTCTGTACTGCCCTAAACTGCCCTGCCTGTTTCTCCCTGTATCGCCCCAAACCGCCCAGCACAGTACAATTTAACTTCGAATTCAAGTACTGAAATGGGTTACGTTTTTTTACTTCACCCATTACATATGGTCTGAAACTTAGTAAGTCTAAGGAATCATATACAGGATTTAGATGGGATCAAAGTGTTGACATTGTGACAGTTCCTTTAAAAACCGTAACCAACCTCAATCCTTTAAAATCCTCCTGGCAGTTTTTGAGGATTTTGGAGGATTGAGGATGAATGGTGTTGAAGCACATGAGGATTTTGGAGGATTGAGGATGAATGATGTTTGAAGCACATGAGGATTTTGGAGGATTGAGGATGAATGGTGTTTGAGAAACATGAGGATTTTGGAGGATTGAGGATAAATGGTGTTTGAGAAACATGGGGATTTTGGAGGATTGAGGATGAATGGTGTTGAAGCACATGAGGATTTTGGACGATTGAGGATGAATGATATTTGAGAAACATGAGGATTTTGGAGGATTGAGGATGAATGGTGTTGAAGCACATGAGGATTTTGGAGGATTGAGGATGAATGCTGTTGAAGCACATGAGGATTTTGGAGGATTGAGGATGAATGGTGTTAAAGCACATGAGGATTTTGGAGGATTGAGGATGCCTGATGTTTGAAGAGGAGGATTTTGGAGGATTATGGATGAATGCATTATGAGACTGTCGCACGATTTTGAAGGATTGAGGCGCTTAGTGTCCTACATTTGAACTAAAGTGGAGGATTTTGGAGGATTAAGATGGTTCCTAGCAACAAAAAAAGGCCCAGGGGGTTAAGGTTTTCAGGTTCTGTGATTCCGGATTCAAACCAATTCACTCCTTCACATGAACCACACGCCTTTGTTTAAAAATAATTGGTTCACCCTTTTCTATTCCTGTCTGGATTGGAACCCCTGCTCATGAATCAGACACTGCATCTATTGATTACAGCACATAACTACTTCCCCTTTCTTCGATCATAACTCCAGGACTCGCAAGAGGAGCTTCCAGGCAGCAGCAGCAGCACCGTCGCCCCCACCGTTGACTCCGCGACCCACGGCGAGCTGAAGCCCAAGCGGCGACGTCTGAGGAACCCGGCCAAGCTGGACCCGGCCAAGGTCAGCGCAGAGGAGAGGGTCGGGATCATCGAGGGGGAGAGCGGCCGCAAGCTGTCGGCCAAGCTGGTCCCCATGCTCAAGAACCTGGCTGAGTGGCTGGAGAAGCATCCTGGGTACTACGTGGCCTCGGAGTGGGCGGAGATTGTCAGGTCAAAGGTCAGTATATGGGCGGGGGGGGGGGTGTGCAGGATTTGGGGAATGGTGTCTGATTGTAAATGGCTCTGTCTTCGTTGCACAGTTGAATGTGGAAGCTTACATGTTTTTCCAAATACTAAAAAAAATATTTTAAAATTGTGAACAATATGCAGATCAGGATCTGCTTGACACCTATCTCTCCAACTTAATCCCTGCAGCACTTACATACTTGTACACACAGTCATTTACTCACGTTTGCGATTTGAGAATACTGATCAAAACATCAATTTAAAACCTGTGGTACTTTTGAGATCCACAGTGCTCTTTTAATCAAGATCTCCAAAGTGATTTTGTATTCATCAATGTTGCAGAAAAATTTGGAATTCGAGACAGAGACACCTTTTTTTTTTTTAAACGAAGACAATTTTCACTGTCTTATCTTGTGTGCTATTAATGGCTTAGCACCATGGAATTGAACCCAGGCCATCAGAGAGACTGCACTGTCGGGACCAACAGAGCAGATATCCACAAATGATGTAGTTAGACTGTACTTTGTTGCTTTCTGTTATCTTGCAGGGTATTCTACCAGCTGAGCTACACAGCCGGATCATGCCATCACCTGCCAAATCGGCCTCCCCTCTGATCCAGCCCGCCCTGTACCCCTCAGTACTCACCGCCGCCGGCCACCCGTACCAACCAAACCACCTAGCAGCCTCCACGGACCTCAGCAACAAAGTCTCCATGCAGATAGGCCGCGGCACCCTAGGGGGGTTGGCCCTGTCGGGTTACCCCCAGACCTTGGGCTTAGGAGCTCTGCCCATCGGGGTGGCTCCCATAGCGAGCCTGGCCGGGCTGGAACCTCAAGTCCAACAGCCCAGGGGGAACTCCAAGGAGAAGACAAGAAAACGTAAGAGTGGATCCCCTAGGAAGATCCTATCAGCCGACCAGCCTGTCATGTCCATCAGCAACCCTGGAACCCTGGCCGGGATCTCTCCCTTCCTGCTCCCCAGTACGGCGGGGATGTACTACTCCCCGTTCCTGGCGACGCAGGGCCTTGTCCCCACCAGCCTACCCCCAGAGTTGACTAACGTGAACGGGGCTGAGCAGAGCTCCAAGCCCCAGGAGGAGAATGCAGGCCTTGAGGAGAATGAGATGGAGGGTGAGAAAGATGAGGAGGAGGCAGCAACCGAGGTGAAAGCAGATGGTGAGGAGAATGAATTGGGGGATAGTGATGTTGAATAAGCCTTGTCCTTGTAGTGAATTATGCTGGTGACACAAGTGGTTTTGTCGCGGACCATCCTAGGCCCACCGCGCTGGCTTGCCAACAAAGCAAAGGGGTTGCAGTCTTGAACATCTTGAATAAAAGTAAAGATCACATAAGCCAAATCTCTGAATGCCCCATACTGTAGTAACTGCCTCTCAATTGGCAGTACTTCAAAATACCACAATGCAATAAATAAACTCCTCCTCGAAATAAATCCGAGGGGTTAAAGGGCCCATGCAATGTAATTTTTTATGTTATCCTTGAAAATGCACCTTTGTGTCCCCTTTAACCTTATTTTCAATTTCCGTTTTGCCACTTTCAAGGGTACTTTGGCGCCTGTTTTGTTTGGATGCTAAATGCGAATTTCCATATTCATGAGCAAAACTGTGATGTCATCTCACCAGAAAGATCGATGTTACATTATTTCAGCACAAAAAGTTGCTGGCATTTTGGATATTTCGCTGTCATAAATTTTCTTTTTTTTGGTGATTCGTTGTTGTGTCAGTGCATGGCAGTAAGCCAATGAGCAACCCTTTTCTCACATGTTTTCAGTGAGCAAATTTTTGGGTTTACAAGTTCAACAGAAACACCCTAAACTGACCGGTGTCTCCCTGAAATGTCATCACAGCTACAGCGCCCTCAGTTGTCTGGAAAAGCTTGGAAATGTTTTGTAAAATTTTTTAAGAATTGCACCTTTCAATAAAATTAACCAAAAAGGGATGTCAGATAGTTTTCACACATTTAAGAGGAGTAAAAAGTTGCACAAAATGCGTTCCTAAGAAAATTTCATTGTATGGACCCTATAAGGAGGATTTTGCAGGAATGGGGAAGGTAGGGTCTGGTAGGCACATGCCGCTGCTGCTTAATGTGGGGCATGATTCCCCTGAGAGCTTAAAGGTACAGTCCATCATTTGTAATTTGTGCATTTTGTTCGTTTGAAGCAACAAAAGTGCTCAAAATCTATAGAAGGGTGCTGAACAACTAACCTGATGAAGTTTCAGCTCAGCTTCAGCTGTATATTTTCGAGAAAAACAACATTCTAGGATCTCGATTTCAAATCAAAAGTTGCTTTTGTTTTGAATTGGGCCTGAATTCAGTGTCTGAGACACGTTCTCACTGAGCCGATTGCAGCTACGCGATCTCGCGCACTGATCCGACGAATTATAGCAACCGTGCGCGCGTGTGCGTTGTGTCAACGCTTGCTCCAGCCCCCCGCCGAATAAAAAAACCGAACTACTAACAGAAATTACCAATGATGCATCTTTAGACGCATCGTTGGAAAGGCCGCCTTCCGTTGATTTCTTCAAAGTGACAGCTTGCCAGAAAGAATAATTTCACAGGGACTTTAGTCCCCTTACTATCTATCAACCGAGTATGTTTTTCAACAATAATTTCGTCAGTTACTTTTTGGATAGCTGCAGATGATGGACTGTAGCTTTAAGAACAAGGAAAGTGCCAATGTGTTCCAGCATTGTCATCAATAGGGTGCCCATTAGAAGTGGTGCGGATATGGGATACATATGTGGCTTGGGAAAAAAAAACTAGCTGCTTACATTACCATTTTGTGTGGTAAAACCAAACCCATATGAATACATCTTCACAGTTTGATGTGGAATGCGCACACCCAACAGTGTGCCAAATGAAATAACCGCTCACAAAAATGGTGATTTATAAACAAGCAATTTTTTCCGAGCTTCATACAAATCCCGTAGACGCACCATTTCTTACGGTCCCTATTTGCTGTCCGGCTGTCTCGCAGGCGACTGCAGATTTCGTCTGTCGGTTTGGAGGATTAGGAAGTTTCCTATCGAAATAGCCCATGGAGTTATAATTCAAATTGGAATGAATTTTTATGTGTGCTGCCCCTTAAAATTTCTCGAAGTTGTGTCAGTGGCCGAAGTTTTCTGACGCAATGCCATTTTCGGCCAGCCTACAATCATGACAGCAATGTTAATTAAAATAATAAATAAAAATGTTCATTGATGCAGAACATTTTTTTCCAGAAGTTTTTTTTTCTACAAAAATATTTATTTGTGTGAACTTTAAAAGCCATCAGGAATTTGAAGAAAGGTGACTCGTTTAAAAAGCAATTTGGTGTATTTATTTGTACAGAATGTTGAAGTATGATAACATTGAAATTGCAGGGTGTTCACGATAAAGAGCCATTAGACGTTACATCTTGTGAGTTGTTGTTTTTTTCGAACTAAAGCACCTTAAATGCGATTGTGATGTGAGAAATATTTTGCCTCGCAAAAGAAAATGAAATTGACTTGTCCTTTACTTTGATTTTAAGTTTTGTGTGCCATTTTTGTTCTTTTTCTTGTAGATACTGTACATAAGAAATGGAAATGTTTAAGGAGTTTTTTTGTTTGGGAAATAAATTTATTGATGACATTTTGTTAAGTAAACTAAATACAGTACGTTTAAAAAAAAAAAAGGAAACTTTTGGTTATAATGGAATCAGATTAAATTTGCGATTACCAGAATACTAGTTTCACTTTTGTATCTGTTGTCTACAACTGTTATTTATTTATTTATTTGTTTTGAAGAACAATTTTTTTGTAACCTTTAAGTAACGGATCATTATTATTTTATATTTTTAATCGAGTGTAACTGCACCACAATTTTTGATATGCTTTAACCGTAACTCCCTACTGTCTCCCTGGACCATGTCCGCCAAAATCCATCAATCACACTGTTTCCAATGCATGCTTCAATGCATCAATATTTAGTCAAACCAGGCCTGCAGGACCAACTCCCCAAAAATGGGGAGAAGGATTATGATGGAATTTGGGAGGTTAGGGTTAAATTTAAAAACAAAAAAATTTGACACGTGACAATTTTGTGTTCCTCTTATATTTCAATTTTATTTTTTTTTCCCATTTGTGGCAAGATCAATTGCCCTAAAACAACCAACACCAACTGCAAAATAAATCACATGACTACACTGTTTATATTACATCTTTCTTGTCCCTCCGGTTCCAATTAAGGTGAATTCAATTAATACTACCTTGCGAGTATTCAAATGGGCAGAAGCATTATAGGTTCAGTGACCGAGTAATACTTTTGTTTAAAACGCCTCAAAAACAAAATGAACACTTCTACATTTGTCAAAGTTGCACAGGGTCATACGGACAAATGATGGTGCAGTTCAAAATTTTCATACATTAATTTCATTCTACATTGCACCAAGCAAAGCAGTGTATGTGGGTCATTCTAGAAATTTGGGGTCCACTTTTGTTCCCCCGTTTATGTTACAAGGTGTGACATCTATGAGTTCATAATTCTGATACACTCCTTAATGCATTCATTGATAATGAATAGCAAACAACCTACCCCAAAAAACAACAACATAATTTGAAGTCATTCTTAATGACACTTGAATGGCAAATTATTAAATGTCCAAGGTAACAGGGACAAGACATATGTCACACTCTGGACCCTCAATTCTATAGAATGACCCATGTTCTTTTAGTTTCTTTGAATCAATATGGCTTCCAAATATTAACAGATTTACTGAAGCAACAAGCGAAAGGTGTAGCTTTAAATACATCTCCGATTTACCACTTTTGACATGACTATTACCACCCAGTACTAACTCTATTAGTTCAAATTTTTGCCAAAAAAAAATAATAATAAAAGACAGAATAAATACATCAAGGGCAAAAACTAGTATCCAACTATCACAGGAATATTATTAGGAAATATTACAAAGTTTTGACTCGTCAGGCAGTTATCAAGGCTGAAGTTTTATATGAAACAAGTGGGGTTTACATGTTTGATTAATTCTTGTCTCGGACTATTACTTTTTCTACATTAAATTCAAGAAACCAATGGTTTTTTTCTTCTGTTATACTTCTTGCGATTAGTTCCAAAATATTTTCTTATCGTTATAGGTCGAGTGCACTGACAGGTCTAGCCAGAGACTCATCAGAAAAATATCGGCTAAAACCGCTGAAGGAATTTGAAAAGCAGGCCCACAACCAACGAATGTGAAGTCATGTCATACAGTGTAACAATCACCAACCATATTACACTTGAAGTAACTCTTTTCTTATTTGATGAGCTTCTTTTTAAATTTACAAGAATATCTGCATTGAGGAAAGCTTACGATTGGTGAACAGTACAATACAACCTCAACATTTTAGGCATAATACACCAATTTGTTTCTCGCTGTTATCTTTTATTTTTTTCGGCTAACCCTTCTACAGGCCAATTTACATGACGAATACTGGACGCTTGTCACAAAAGCAATAACTTTTCATTATGCACAAAAGCATTTTATACTTTTTAATGTATATTTGTATATACATTTTTGTCTTCTCTCAATTTGGTTAATAGATAGCCTAGGGACAAGTTAGTGGCCGATTTACACCCCAAAGGTGCATGCACCAGAATATTCACTGACGGTATGGCCTCCAGGCTATCGCTGCTATTCATAACGTGGTAGCTTGGAAAACACACCACATGCATAATAATATTCATGGTAGACAAATAATAACCGTGTGTTACATAAGATTTCTGGTGACGAGCAAAACAAAAGTTGGACTCGAAAACAAGACTAGCAACTGCTCTTTTGTTATCTCCCATTTTTTTTAAAAGACTTTGTTTTAAACTAATACCGATACATTAAGAATATAGATACATCCAAAGTACTAGCAGATACAAATGTGAGTTCGATTATTGTTCATGGTGTGTAGAACGAGATTATATTTTTAATCATGCAGTATTTTGGCCAAAAAGCAAGCAATGGTATTATGAGGCTCCAGATTTTTGAATAACTTGGCTATGAAAATGCGAGTAATCATATGCGTGTTTTTTAATAATCAATGAGACCTGTAGATATAATATACTGTGTGCTTTTAACTTCACAAATCATCATTCAATATAAATATTCAACAGTTATATTGACAGCAATTCTATGGTATTTTAGAAGAGGTTTTTGGGTCAAAACATTTTTTCAAATTATTTCCACAAAAAAAGTCACCACAACAAATCCCTTATATATATTTTTTTTCAAAACATGCTTCCTCCTAGAAAGCCAATCTAAAACCCCACATATCACCTGCAGTTTCAACCAGCGCTTAGCGCTAATCTTCAACCCAGGTTTGCCGTGCATGGTAAACCAATTAACCATGGTAAACCGATTAACCATGGTGAACCGATTACCCATGGTAAAGCGATTAACCATGGTAAACCGATTAACAATGGTAAAGCGATTAACCATGGTAAACCGATTAACCATGGTAAACCGATTACCCATGGTAAAGCGATTACCCATGGTGAACCGGTTAACCATGGTAAACCGATTAACCATGTGGTAAACTGATTAATCACACGTTAACCAGGTGAATTAAACCGAGTAGGTGTCTAAAATACCACGGAACAGCCCAAACACAAGACAATCTACAACAATTGAACAGCACAAGTTACAGGCGATATACACATATGTACGTGTACATATCAAAGGCATTTAAGTTTGCTATGTTCTACAGCTACGTTGTATGTTACAGATTCCCCATTTTAAAGTCTACAAATTTAAGACTTGAAAAACGTCAAAATCATAAGACAGCATCTATCTCAATTTTATAAATTTGTTTCTATTTTTTTCTCCTCATTTTTCAACTCCGTGTTCATTAGTTATTACCAATGTGGATCTAAAATAAGTGGTGGTGACATTATATGACGTGGTTCAAGTTTTAGGTTCAGATATTTCATATTCCAATTTAACCTTTCATAAAAGATTTGCAAGAAGCAGAATGCCAAAAGAGGTTTTGCAATATCATTTTGAGCTCTGAGAATTCAGTGGGAACGGCAGCCCAACCAATCACCATGAAACCTTTTATTTTTTTGCCCATGGGCAGCTTTCATTTCTTGTGTTATATGTACATGTAAATGAAAATGTCATTTCTCATTTCACACTTGGTGCACATGTTTACAGCGCTATTAATTATTTTCATATTGTGTTTCAGATTTTAAGGGCATGCAAAGCGCTTCTATTTAACATAGCACACTCATCGACATCACAATTAGAAGATCACCCATCGTTAGTGATTCCCGTTCTCACGTGCTACGGTCACGAATTCAAAATGCACGCGGCACTGGTTACTAGGAGCTTATTTTTTGAGATCAACATCACTGATATCATCAACAGCTGAACAGTCTCGAGCAAGGAATTCTCATTGATTTTTCACACTGTCAGATATACCACACTGCACTCTCAAAATATGGATGTAATGCACTGGTGAGACACATTTTGTTTTTCTGAGTCTGCATTCTAAAAACGGAACGGAGATAATTCCATCATGAAGCGCTGAGTGTATACACATGGTCCAGAAATTTGAGGAAAAAAAGAAAAAAACTTCTCAAATGGCTTAGACAAAGAGAGAAAAATCCTAAACAGCAAGATCCTAGGATTAACCAAACTCTTGCATGGCTGAATACACACCCCAAATTTCTACAAGTATCACGACAAGTTTACACAAATTTTTTTTTTGTTTAAATTTATTTTCCTTTGCACATAAAAGTCTAAAAACCAAAATAAAGAACTATGTGTTTCTCCTGCCGGGTGTTTTTCTCCAGCAGATGATTGTTTTGTTTCCCCTTTCGTTTTCCCTGATTGGATGAAATGTTTTTCGAAGTTATCTAGCAGCAGCCCCCTCCGCCCTGTTGGCCACCTCCTTGCGACGGTAGCGTGGGGTTCGTGGGTGAGTGTTGAGGGCCGAGCTTGATACCGTTGGCCTACGATAAGAACACAAGGAAGATATCAAAACAATGCAATGATAATTATGTATTGGATAGTTTTGAGGGGAGCACTATACAAATAATGACTGTTTATGAGTGCAATGGTGAGAATATTTTCATGAGTTGAAAGATTGAATGTTCCATTCAACGAGGCGAAGCCGAGTTGAATGGAACATTCCATCTTTCAACGAATGAAAATATTCTCACCATTGCACGAATGCAAAACATTCATTGTTTGTTCTAAATAACACCAAGTAGTTCTTTGTCATTCGATTGGAGGATAAAACTAAAAGAACTAACAAAATGTATTATATCCACTACTTTTTGTTCAGCTCATTCAAGGCTACAAAGGTTTAAAAGTCAAACCATTAACAATATGAACCTTAATATTGTAAGTTCTTGAAACAATGCCAGAACAAAAATCAGCAAGGCAAGTTCAGTTTGTAACTGCATCCACTTTAATAGGCAAGTTTTGTACTGATGATGTGGTCAAAATAGCGCAAAGATCGTATAGCGCCACTGCACTGCGCGTCTTTGCGCGGCACTACACTATCTAGCATGCGCGTGCAATACATCAAAAGGATGGAACAAAATTGCGCACCGATGTACCGTAGGCCATGCAATGGTTTGAGTAATGAATGTTGCATGACCTACAATCCTCCAATAAAATGAAAAGGATTTACTTGGGTGTTTTATAAAAGAATATAATGCACAAGCAATAACAATAAGTGTGCACTATTTCCAAAGCAAGTGCAATATATTCTTATGGCACGAAGTACGCATAATTTAAACTGAATCCTGCATCATCTTCCCAAGAGCATCAGGCGTCCCTCCCAGTTGTCCCCCGGACTCTCTCCTTTGTAACTGTAGAGGGGCTACTTGCGCACGTACAATGTAGTCCATACTGTCAACTTCACTGCCATGTCCGATTAAGCTGATCATATTTTGTAGAATTAGACACCATCAAATTGTTTAGATTTGTGAATATCAATTGTAGAACTTGGTATTTTCAAAAGGCTTTACCTCATTGTTAATATCAAATACGCCTTCCTGGATCTTCTGGTAGATCTCTTTAGCTGTGTTGATGAAGGCTTCTTCTACGTTGGCTGCCGTCTTGGCCGATGTCTCCATGAAGATCAGGCCGTGCTCCCTGGCAAACGCTTCACCTTCTTCCTTCTTGACGTCCCGACGGGCCTCAAGATCACTGGGGGGAAAAAAACACACACACAGACACACAGTAGTGAATTTCTACATGCCCGAGGACAATGCTTTGTGTTTCCCTTTGTCCCTGTAATATAATAACACTCCCATAGACTAAGCACATAACCGTATAATCAAGGACCTTTTCAACAAAAGACCCAACGCTCCAGGACTGAAAGGATCGTTTGTTCTCCTTTTTGTGTCTGTCCTCTATGTACACATAGTTCTTTTGAAAATATTCTTCTTTTCAATATCAAGTTTTGCTTGTCACTGATGTAGTATACGAACACTTTATACTCGGTGTTGTTCGAGTGCTAGTGAGAAACATTTCACAATCTACTTGGGTGGGACTCGAACCCATGACCTCCTGGCCACTGGGGCAGATGTCTAACCACTCGACCACTGAGCTTGCCAGGGTCGGCTGGCTGGTTCGAATCCGATATAGCAGCAGGTACAGCAACTAAACTATTCACAAGATGAACTTTTGCACCGGAGTGATGTAAATTCAATATTTGGTTTAGCCCGTCACCAGCATATTTATAGACACTGCATACTCAGTGTTGTCTGGATACTTGTGAGAAAAGATTTACAAACCACTCATAACTTTCATAAAATCCTGCAAAACCCTTGAACTTTCCAGTAGATTTTTAAGAATCTCGGGTTAGAATTTTTAACAAATTACTCAATTTTGCAAAGTGGTCAGCTTGCAAGGTATACCATGGAATTAATCTTTTCTATTAATGAGTGAGTGCTCTTTACGTTTCGGACACTGACTCTGTCTGAATGCCACTGCGGACTGAATTTTCAAAAAAATCTTGATCATCTTGTTGACACTGTAAGCATTCTTACCTCTTATTTCCAATGAGCATGATGACCATATTGGAGCTGGAATGCTGGCGGGCATCTTCTAACCAGGTCGTCAGGTGATTGAATGTGTCCCTCCTGTCCAGGATGACAAAACAAAACCAGAGGAAGTGAAGAAGTGAAAGTAGATTATCCATATACAGTAAACAGATTACATGGACTCGCCTAAATTGAATGTGTCTGTCAAAAATTGGCAGTGAGGTTCTTAAAATAATAACTAGAACGGCGAAGCCGCCATGGCTCGCTGTCCAAGGCAGGAAGGGAGGCTGAAGGTAGGGTTGGGGATGGGCATGATGGAAGGGGATCAGGATTCTTGTTGATGTGCCTAGGTGTAGGGGTCAGTTTTTAAATGTCAACATAAAAAGTCAACAGATTACCTAATAAATACATGTGTATATAGGTTAGCCGTCACTGTATTATGGGGGAGTTTTCCATTGTTAGGGTAATTAGGACCCAGTTGTGGATTTTTGCAGCCCCAACAGTGTTTTCTGCTCCCCATACTTGTATTACCATGGGAAAAATCTTGTGTAGTCGCCACAAATGCAGAACAAGAATGGGTATACATGTACATGTAGACACAGCACCATCACCACCTCCCCCAAACCTTACCCCATCCAAAAACCTTACCCCATCCCCAACCCGCCCCCTCCCCCTCCCAACCCCCTACCCACACCCATTCCATCCTCCCCTAACCATCCCCACCCTATCACCTACACATCCCAACCCCACCCAAACTCCAATCCCTATCTCCTTCCCCCTCCCCTGACCCGTACCCTCCCCTACCCCAACCCCCTACACCCACCTACCCTATCTTCCCCTATCTGTCCTTACCCACCCTACACATCCCCACCCTAACCCTTACTCAAATTCCAATATCCCGCCCACCCCATTCCCCCACCCATACATCCCCACCTGACCCCATGCAACCCTACTCTGATCCCTATATATTGCCCCCTCCCCTTATCCAACCCCTACAACAACCCATCCCTACACATCCCCAACCCAACCCCTACTCCGATCCTATATCCCGCCCCCTGCCCAACCCCCTCCTAACCCAACCCCTACATCCATGCCCATCCTCTCCCTACCTGTCCCACCCCACCCCTACAAGTTCCCACCCCACCCCTACAAATCCCCACCTCACCCAAACCCAGTATTCCAACCCCTCTCCCCACCCCACCCCAACCCACCCCACCCCACCCATCCTAGCTCCCCTACTCATCCTACTCACACAAACCCTAACTCCAACCCCTATCCCCCAACCCACCCCACCCTCCCCTACCCCATCCCTACTCCAATCCCATAAAACTAAAAGATCAAACCAGAAGCTCATGCACATCCCCAAAATGCATAGTGTACATGTACATGTTATACCGGTATACACACATGTACATGTTATACCAGTATACATGTACATGTAACAATTAAAAACTTTAACATTTCCTTGAATTAAAGTTCCTCAATAAAATCATAAAATTTACTGCAATGATATGAACCTAACTGAAGTTATAGGCCTAGAGATGATACATGACAACTGCATTTAATTTTTTTCCCCAAGTTAACTAAAACCAAAAACTTCAACATTTTTATCTGAACGCGGACGGCCGGACAGACGGACGGACGGACAGACGGACGGACGGACGGACAGACGGGCGCCCGGACAGACGGACGGAAATTGGTATTACATAGGCTCGCATCTGCTTCGCAGCTCGCCAAAAATGTCATGTGTACATCGATATACATTTTTTTTTTTTTTTGGAGGTAGCTGACCGGATTTTAAATATGTAATTAGAGCGTATATTCCTCACAGCTCTTAAATTGTGGGTACAAAGTGACGGTCGACCAAAACGTAGCATTTGACAAAAACAATATGACCATGTAACTTATGCCATTGAAAAATAACATGATGGATGTTTTTCGAGACATCTCATGATTTTTTTAATATTAAACTTGGAAATAAATGCTATTGGGATGTTTGCTGGACAATTGAATATTACAATATTCAGTATACATGTATGCGACACAACCCTACACAAGTGTAGTTTATACATCTACTCCATTTGCATATATAATTATTTCCCATTGATGATTGAGAAACGACCATTTGGTAAGGTCAACAGGATTTACAATACAAAAAGGCTAATTTGGAGGGCAACACATGTATACATGCTTCCATACATGCTAGTACAATATCAAAGCCCACAGTGGCATCTGAGTCAAATACACTCATGCAAACTATCCACCCAACACGTTAAATCACGAAAGCTTAAATGGCCCATGCATGCAATTTTGTATAATGCAATCATTGTGCATGCACCTTTGTGCCCCATGTACATTTGTGTTTTTAATTTTCGTTTTGCCATTTTGAAGGGTGTTTTGGTGCCTTTTGGGTTTTTATGCTAATGCACATTTCCATATTCATGAGCAAAACTGTGATGTCATTTCAGGCAGAAACCTCAATGTTGCAGCTATTTCAGCACCAAAAGTTGCCAGAATTTTGGATATTTTGCCGTTGTAAATTGTCTTTTCTTTGGTGATTCGTTGTCATGTCATGTACTGGTATATGGCACATAATTTGAACAGAAAACCCCCTAAACTGAACAGTGTCTTCTTGAAATGACATCACAGCAAAAATGCCCTCAGTGGTCAGGAAAAGCGTGGAAGAGGAGTAGAAAGTTGCACAAAACGTGTTCCTAAGGAAATTCATCTCAGTAATGGCCCCTTTAACTGCTGGCCGTGCTGATCAATAGACCACACCACACTTCTAGCAAGTTGCAAGTGGATAAACAGGGTTTAGACGATTTTAAAAACACGTCTGTGCATTAAATATCAAGTGCAGGCTGTGCAGAATGATCTGCCTGTATCTCCATTACACGGTTGAGTGATAAGGCATAGAAAGGATTTGTGCTTTAAAGCTGAACCTTCCTGCATTGGCATTAAAGGGGAGATACAACATTTGCAAACATAAAAAAAAAAAAAAAATTATCAAATTATCACGCAATATCTTACTGGATTGTTAGGGAATGACAGTCTAAAGTATCCTGTACAATCGTGGCGCCTGGTGTGCTGACATTTTCAAGAAAACTTGTATTTTTCCAACGCTGGTCGGCCGACCAGCGTTGGAGAAAACTGGCTCTTTTTAAAAACTTCTCGTAATTATTCACATTCAGTTATTCCGCATTTTCTTTGCAATTGATTACACACCTGTGAAGGGGTACAAGCCTGCTAGACTTGTATTCTCTGACCTTACAATTCCCCAAAGTCTATGAATTGCTCCGTTTCATCTTAAGTGGGGTCAGGGAACCAGACTACAAACACATGGTTGGTTTTCTTGGATTTCCCAGCATCTCCGAACCCAAAACGTGAAGCAAGTCAGTTTAACAATATTTGCTATAACATACTACTAATCCTCCAAATCCATTTATTTCTGAAAATTGCAGCAAAAGCAAATGTTGTACATTCCCTTTAAAGGCCCAACCACTTATGTTTATGTACATGTGACACACTAGTTGTCCAGGCATGGCATCTTTGTATTGGAAAACAAATTGGTAATTATAACAAGCGCATGGCATAATTGCAATGACCTAGAAAGAGTTAAGCTAATATTTACCCTTGCCTTCGACAAAAAAAATCCTCATACAGTATTGTACTAAAAAAAATCCTTCCCTACTTCCTCATAACAATTTTTAAAGCAATATTTTTTTTTATTTTTTTTTTTTATTTTTATTTTTTTTTTTACATTTCACAAATCTCAACACAGATATCGTGTAATATGCCACATCCAATCACAGACATGCTTATATTATGCACCCATCGGCCAATCACAAGCCTCGTTAGATCACCCATCTTTCCAATCACCTACCTTGTTATATCGTACACCAGCAACGCGCCTGCAGCGCCTCTGTAGTAGGACCGTGTGATGGACCGGAAGGACTCTTGCCCAGCCTGGGGGGGAAAGACACAGAAACACGCACAAATAATCTCATTGGAAAAAAAAAATCAATTACACACTATTCACACTTGGTTGTGGATATCAGCTGTTTACAACATGTAGTACATTATCAATCAGGACATGATAGTATGCTAATTACGAGTATAGGGTAAGAAATTTACAACACATCAGTTACAAAAACTTAAAGGGAATGGACAACATTTGCTTTTGAGGCAATTTTCGGAAATAAATGGATTTGGAGGATTAGTATGTTATAGTATACAAATATTGAGTGGCTCAGCGTGGAATGGGAGGAATATTATCGCAAGGTAAAATCTGGACTTTTCCGAGTGAACTGGAAAAGTCCAGATTTTACCGAGCGATAATATTCCTCCCATTTCACAATTTAAAGCCACTCAATATTTGTTTTATATATAACTGACATATAGATCCTTGTCATTTGATATATTTGAACTTTTATTTCAATACAAAACTGGAGGAAAATGTATTTCTCTCTTCCAAACCACCCCTTAGCGAAAATGTTTGAACCCAACGCTAGCGCTGGCTCTTTGGAACAGTACGCGCTACGCGCAACGCTGAACGCGCACACCAGCATGCATTTGCACACAAATACCGCGTCATAATCCTAACTGTTCAATAGTATTTCCCATTCCCCATGGGCGGATAGTACTTTTTGAGCCGTGGCGTGAATGGGAGCAATAAGGAATGTCACGTGATGTGAGTTCCACCAATCAAATGACAAGGATCTGTATGTCGGTTATATAACAAATATTGTTAACATGACTTGTTTCACGTTTTGGGCTTGTAGATGCTGGAAAAACCAAGAAAACCAATCATGTTCTTTGAGTCTGGTTCCCTGACCCCACTTAAGATGAAACGGAGCAATTTACAGACTTCGGTGAATTGTAAGGTCAAAGAATACAGTCTAGCAGGCCTGTACCCCTTCACAGGTGTGTAATCAATTGCAAAGAAAACTAATTATGAAAAATTAGGAGCATTTTTGGAAAAAAGCCAGTTTTCTCCAATGCTGGTCGGCCGACCAACGATGGAAAAATCCCATTTTTCTTGAAAATGACAGCACACCAGGCGCCACGATTTTACAGGATGCTTAAGACTGTCATTTCCTAACAATCCACTGAGGTATTTCGTGATAATTTGATCATTTCCTTTTATGATGTTTGCAAATGTTGTATCTTCCCTTTAATTAAAAGCCAGCTTATTATATTCAGTACTGGTCAATAAAATTTCTTTTTTTGTTAATACTGATTTTTATATTCATCCATGAAGGTATAATCTACATCTTTACATGAAGGCCTAAACTGATCAGAGTGATATCTGAGGGTGCATTCGAAACCCTGTTCTTCGAGTGACCTGCGAACGTGCTCTCGAGTTACCGAGTACGAACGCCCAAGTGTGTGTGGAGTGCAGCTAGCCGGTCATTCAAGATGGCAGCTGCCGTATAAACACAGAATGAAGAGAGGGGAAATCAAATACTCTTATGAAAATAATATTTAATCCCGGAACAGCTTTAAACATTGGCAAAGACAAACCAACTCTATGCTCACGTACAATTTTTTTTTTTTATCATAACTGCTCCCGCAATGAATGAGTGTTTTTAGTTTTATCCACAAAACACGTACGCAATCGCGGAAAGTCCACAATCTTCATATATGACTTTCTCCATCTACTTCCCGGTAGGTGGAAAGTGAAAATCCTGTTCGCAAACACCATTCATGTGTTGGTCAGCGTCGTTCGAGACCCTATTCTAGTGTTAAATTACACATCATAAATTATATTCTTCTACAATATATGCTAGTGTCATACTCATAACCTAGAAATCTAATATAGTAGTTTTGCAGTTGTGCACAAACATGACAAGTATACATTCAACTCCATTTCCCTTGTACTGAACATTTCCATCATTTTTACGGAATTGTCTTCAACAATAACAATTTATCGCATTTATAATAAAAAGTAAGACAATTAAATTGATACACAATAATTATGTGCATGTCAAAGAGCAATATGCACACATGGTCCGCGCTCATGACACAGCAATGTGTGCCACACGAAGCGATCCAAATTAGCAATTCCGGTAGTCCATTGATTTTATTCACTAGTCACTGCAGTGAACACACACACACACACACACTAAACATGTGGTCGCTGCAGATGGTTGTAATAGCATGAATTTTGGTCGTAGTAAGAAACAGGAATGCTAAATTGGATTGTGCGTGGCAATGCTGGACTCAAACACGTGTGTGTACTGCGGGGCATCAGGTTTAATTGTATTACTGGCGGTTTGATCCACCATCATGACCATGGTTATTTTCAGAAGGAATGTTTGCGCTACATGAAGTACCTTTAATTAATTGTGCGTTTCATGTAAATAGGCTGCATAACTGATTTTCCTTATTACATTTTTGCAAGTAAAGTTATGAGGTATTGTACCTTGTACAATGTATGGTGCAATGATGTCAATCATTTGCAAAGTACAAACTCAAATGTACATACATACATCCAATGCTTCAGAATACATGCAATTTTATTCATAAATGTTGTTGGATTACGAACCCGACGAATTTGACAATTTTAGAAAACATGAAACGAGAACAATATGGTTATTTTATTCCCGAAGCGGGATTGTTCAAATCTGAAAAAAAATGTAATCTACATGTACATGTACATGTATTTATTTTCCCCCAACACAGTATTTTGAGTAAATTGGAAAAAAAAAAAAACTTTATGTTTCCTATTTTGTTTTTTCAGTCAAAAGCACAGCATAGCCCATATTCCTGACGTCCCTGGTATCCGACCCAATTGCATGCACGCAGAAATTTCATGTTATGTTCGTTTAAATCCAATAGGAATGCTGGCCTAAATAACTATGTGCAGATAAAATACATGTTTACGTACTTGTATATGAATGTTGCGACCTACAAAATTCATCTCAGAAAAATGAATACTCAGAGATGCATTACAATGTACAAATGTATCCAGATATATACCACTTTAGATTATGAGGACACTGTAGTACCAGGTATGCCATACATGCATACATGTACATTGTACTATGCACTGGCCAAGGTACAACAGTCACATGGGGTGATGCACATTTAATGACACTTCACAGTGTAATGGAACACAAGTGAATGCCAAGTACAATGTACATGTGTACATGTATACATACAAGTACCGGTACATGTTTAAAATGTACATGTACATGCGCTTTTTACCATGTGCTCAAATGCATGTACTGTACATGTACATGTATCAACAATAAAGTAATAAATCTGCTCTAGACATACACACCCCCACTTCAATTAAGTTTTATGTTATCAATGGTAAATGCAGTGGATAAACAAATGTAGTTTTGCAAGAGAGGTTTCTGATACGAGAGAAACGTGCTTTGTGATTGCAGTCAAGTCTTGTTAATACAAACTCGTTCGGACCTAGCCAAATTGTTTGTTATATCAGAATTTTGTATTAAGAGGAACATCAGTCCTATTCATTGTGCACATAAATGCACAGTCGGGACTAAGGCTTTATGTTTGTTATAACCAAAAATTTGTATTAATTAACAGAGTTTGTACTAAAGAGATTCGACTGTACATGTATGTACCATAGCAACTGCACGTGTGATATTTTCTATTTGTGACGGACAATTTTCAGCAAATATTTATCATCAGTATTTAACTAATTATGCCAACAAAAAATACTAAACATGTCCTTTACCCCAAGGCCATCCCCTCCCAATATATTCTCAATCCCTTCCGCTCAAATTAATATGCACTATCAGTGAAAACACGTTCCATCAATGTGGATGATGAGAATTTTCCTAAATAAAGCCAAGGATTTTCTGCTTCGGCAGACAAACAGATGAAATTTAATAAATAAAAGAATTCTACACAACAAAATTTCAAAATCCAAGCACTGTGTGCATGTACAACTAATGATGGTTCAAGCATTGTATGAAAGAAATGTCTGTTTAGTCATTTTCTTGGACATCCACTGGTGCAAGACACACACGACTAATCTTGCTGCTATCTGAACAGTCAAAGACAGTCAAAGAGTCAATCCTCTTCCCCTGCCATGCCAAGTTATACACAGGCTAGTCACCAACAGTCAGATCATATTTCAAGCAAGCACTGTGACTAGTCAAATTCAGTCACTGTACACACAAGTGTGTACAGTGAGCTTCATAGAGCTGTATGGTTAAAAAACTGCAACTTTTGTGAGCATCATAATCGTGAAGTATGTTTTGTTTTTCCATGTAGACTGGTTTTCATTCCCACAAAGGACATTGAAAACCTTTCTTCCTCATTGTCTGAGAAGTTACTAAACACTTTGTAAAGTTGGTTACGGGTACTCGATCCCATAATCTGGAACCGCTTCCTGACATCAGCGGTCGGGAACTTGTTCCGATGCACAGCCCTTGCACTGAAACAGAAAATCACTGGCCCAATCTACAGCTAACACGCGTTTCTAATGTAATATTATTTTCACTCATACATTTGTAACCAAGCACTGCTAAGCACAAATGTTTCAAATGGGAAGAGCTATGGGCCCAATTTCATGGCGCTGCTCAGCACAAAAATTTGCTTAGCACAAAAAAAGTCTGGCTTATAAAAGCAGGTTACCAGCCAAAACTCCACGTGATGTACATGTATGTTGCTCGTGATTAGTATTCAGCTGTTGTTTGCTTAGCATGAAAATCACATGGAGTTTTGGCTGGTAACCTGCTTTTATAAAGCCAAAAAAAAAAGTCTCCGGTTTCTGGTATGCGCGCACGTCGCCGTAGCCATGCGCGTCGGCAAAATGAAAAAGGTTTTTTTTCAATACAAGATGATGTTTCAAAACCGCCAAACTCACTGGTTTGACTGAAATTCTGCTGCTGCACAATTTTAACGTGTTTTTAGATGGGGTTATGATCAAGAATAAGATTTATGTGGCCTCTCTGGACTCCCATATATTTGCACTAAGTTTAGTCGGGCACCATTTGCAGTCATAAGCCGACATTTGAAGCCAAAAAAAAAAAAAAACAGGTAAAAAAAAAAAAAAGCCGCGTCACCGCACCACTTTTGGGGCAAGCTCCATACCAGAAACCGGAGACTTTTTTTTTTGGCCTAAGCCAGACTTTTTTTGTGCTAAGCAAATTTTTGTGCTTAGCAGCGCCGTGAAATTGGGCCATTAAAATTATAATTCCAAGTTTCCCTACTAAATATGTTACATACATGTATACATATTTACACTACATCTTGAGGTAAAGCATCCAGCTCAAGAACACAAACTATATTCTTGTTTCTGTATACAACCCAATGACTATTGCTGTCATTGCCTACTGGTAGATGTGCAATCAGAACAGATTCTGTTTGCGAAAGAATAACAGTGGCAAGTGTGCTTACCGTATCCCAAATCTGCAATTTAATCTGTTTGCCGTCAATATTTATCATCCGCGCTCCAAATTCAACACCTGTAAAAAAAAAAAAGGAAAAAAAACAGCCAAAACATAAGACATTAGCATAAGAAAGTCATGCAAATGTTTCAGCATCAAACGTGATTGAAATTATACTACATGCTGGGATTCCATCTGTCCAAACAGTGAACGCCATACTACACATCCAAAGAGCGGTTGACTAACGCTTGTTTAGGCAGTCACTGTCACATGTAATACAAAAGAAAGCGTTGGCATTTCCAAATAAAACGATTAAAATGTAAACTGAGATTTGTTGCAAATTCCAGGTTTTATCTGCTTAATATGCTGATTTAGAACTCTTTTCAAATGACAGATGTATATATCCTACACTTTATGTTGCAAAAGAAACTTCTATTATTAAAAGTTAAACAATTAAAAATATAAACATCATATGACAACGTGCGGTGTGAGCTGTACATGTATTATGGTGTGGAATTCATTAAGTACCCCCTCAACGTTGCCAAAAAAAATGAGAGTTATCCAGATTCTTAGCTGCTACATGCTTAGCTGCTACATGGGGAAGTGTGGCCTAGCGGTAAGGGTTCGTGACTCATGATCAGAGGGTCAGGGGTTAGAATCCGGCTGCTGGCCATACGTTGTGTCCTTGGGCAAGGCACTTTATCCCCACTTGCCTCTCTCCACCCAGGAGTATAAATGGGTACCAGCATTAGCTGGGGAGTAACCTGCGATGGACTGGCATCCTGTCCAGGGGGAATAGAAATATTCTCAGTCGTTTCATGCCACTGAAACCGGAGATAAACGCCGGCCTGATGGGCCATATAGGCTCGGGACAGACTTTACTTTACTTTTTTTACATGCCAAGCACCCACGTGGAGACGTCATGGGTGTGTGCAAATTACTGATGAAAAATTAATCATGCGTACTTCGCACCTCGCACATAAACAGTGCGTGCAGGGGTGCGTATCGTACAATGTCCCGCATGCTCCAACTCTCATCATGCTCATGAGTGTTCACACAGCTTCACCTACTGTTGGTACACAGAGCCCATAGACAAGATTCTAGCTGACTGTTCAACCTTGAAGGTTACAGACCACAGCAACCCAATCCATGCACTATTCGTGAATGGTAAGGTTATGCATGGAGCGGGGCCGTATCATAAGTACGACGCCTCATAGGTCCGACGCCTCGTAAGTCCGAAATTTCGGACTTATGAAGCGTCGGACTTATGAGGCATAAATCCCCCTCATAGGTCCGATGCCTCATAAGTCCGACGCCTCATAAGTCCGACAATGGACAAACACTGTTTCGGACTTATGAGGCGTCAGAGCTATGAGGCATCGGACTTATGAGGCGGCGGACCTATGAGGCGGAATAAATAAATAGTATGCCTCATAACTCCGACACCTCATAAGTCCGACCTGTGAGGCGTCGGACTTATGAGCGGACCCCCATGGAGCTACATGTATAGCTGATAGCGCCATGGGTAATGTACTGGTATGTGTGTTTAAACTGATCCCCTAGAAACACACTAGTAATTATCTACATCCACAGCTAGCAATGCATGATGAACGCCGCTTTAAAAGGTCATATCACTCTTTGGATGAAGTAACTTGCAGGTACCCTCTTGATATTGAATGGACAAAGGCAAACCCGGCAAAAATGTCTGGATGACTTATGATGTTTGCTTCACACTGAATGGTTCAGGTGTCAAGAGCACTAGTTAATAATACACTGCCAACCAGGGAAATTCTGTTATTTCTGTTATTCTGTATGCACAATTCAGGCGATTCACAATGCAGTATGCCACAAAGAGTTTGCCACGGAGAGTTCATTTTCCCCAGTGCATTGTGGGAGATGGTCGACAAATTCGCAGCGCGGGACATTTGAAATTGTTCGTTTGTCCCGTCAGGAGTTTTGTAAGCTTTTGATTGGAGTATCTGTTTACACTTTTCTTTTCTCTTTATCAATAATGGTGTTTTTTGTAAGTCGGCAGAATGCTATGCCCCAATCTATAAAAAAATTAGCTCAAATTGTCTGCAGACACTAATTCAAATGGGCCATGTTTTGTCGACCGTAAACTTGAAAAATTGACTCTCTTGGCAAACTCTTGGTGGCGCACTGCATTGTAAATCGCCCGAATTGGAGTCAATAGTCTTTGTATTGTCTCTCCAAAAAGTGTGTCTCTTGTTAGCCTTAGGGCAAGACTATGTCCCTTCATCCATCCATAGATCCTTTAAGGTCAAGTAAAAGAAATAAAATAATTTCTCATCCGCACTTTTTGAAAAAATGAAGGAGACGCTCCCCCCTTTTTTCCCCAAGATAGCGGATTTTCCAAGATGGCAGATAAATTCTTCCATTTTCTCGACTCTTTTGCTGATACAAAATTGTGTCCAAAAGGAGCCGTCACCCTTTCTACATATAACTACAATTTTGTTGGAAACAAATAAAGAACCAAAATATTGACAAAATTTGCAAAATATGTTGCAAGTGTACCAATTTTTTTAAAAAAGGGGGGCGGCGGACGGAAAAAGACGGCGGGCGGAAAAAGGAAGCATGTGGGGACGAGAAACGGGTTTATTTGTTTTACTTGGCTTTTACGGATAGCCACCAGACCGGACATACAGTGAAGGTATACACGAAGCGCTGCATTATGGGACAGTTTGCGTTGCACATTATTCTCATTCGTCACGCAAGCTGTCCCAGGATGCAAAGAGTAGCCAAGCTACCGCAGCGATAGAAGGCGCCATCAAACAAGACGAGTCAAATCTAGTCTTTGGAATCTCGGCACTCTCACCCGAGAAATTCTGAGCATTCACCCGAGAAAGATTCTTTGGCTCTTGCTGTTTCCACCCCAAGCATGGTGGCACGGCTAAGTTTGCCAGGGAGGGTCTGGCTGTGTTAGGGGTAGCCGAATCAATTCTTGAACCAAGACTTCTCTCCTGTCACTTTCAACTTACCTATCGTTAGATCGTGAACAGGCTGAAACCTCTTGTCTGTGAATTGTAGGAGGAGGCATGACTTCCCAACACCTGGAAATGGAGCAAAACTAAGTAATGAAGTTTCTGATATGGTTCAGTTCAATTATGAACAATCAACTTATCCAAGTAGAGAACATTTTTTTTTTTTTTACAAACGGTCCCAAACTGGTTCCACGTTCCTTATACAAACTGTACGATAAACAATGATTAGTCATGAGTGCCATGTCCAAAATCAGCAGATCTCAAATTTGCGGCGGTCATTATGATAGGCCCAGAAATGGCATCCCTAATTTTAAGTATTTCATTAACCCTAACACCTTGGGTATTTTTACTAGAAAGTATTCCTGAATCTGCCAAAATCCATCAATTTTGCCATGCAAAAAAAATGTTGGTGGCCAGTGAGTCCATCAGAATCCACCAGTTAGCCGGTCTCCTCCAACGTAAAACTAACTTATAATAATAAAACACCCATTCTGGACAAACTCTCAGTGCTGAGATTTGGGTGATCGTGTAGTGTAGGGCCCCTGTTGTGTTTGATCAAATTAGAGTAAACAAATGGGGTCTTTTATTGCTCAAAAATCACCTTTACAATCAAAAGCAGACTTTTCTCAATTCTAAGGACACCCATTTTGCAATTTTGAACAGTTTTATTGTTAGAAATCACGATTTTCCTGCGCGGTTTTCGCCTAGCGATTCAGCGCGCCGTGCGTGCTCACGGTACATCGCGCGGTGATCACCATCTTTATTTTCCGGGTTGCGTGTTGTTGCCGCGCTGTCATCGTCATTTTATCCCAAATTTCCTCAATAAAAATCAAAACCCTGCCCTCTTTCTGTGACACACCTGTTTATTGAGAATGTCGCCAACTAGTTCGGTCGGTCTAATAATTTTAAAGTGGAATTTGTTCTCTTATAGGAACCGGGCCCTACACTACTACACGATCGCCGAGATTTGATTGAAAAAGTTTGAGCAATATGCTCCAGAGAAAGTCATGGGAAATTGGGACTTACCATTTTCATGATTTTGGGGGTTTTTTTAATCAAAGTGTCATCTTTATGGTATTTAACGTTTACATGGGATAATCGTTATATCGAACCATGGAAACATTCTCGATATTGGATTTCCGATATATCGATTATTGAAAATTCTGATATCAACACGACAACATTAACACTCAACAGACAAGTGCTTAATTAAGCGGCTGATAAACATGATAGACAATAAAACATACAGTTTCATAGACTGAAAAATGAAATGGAACAGTTAAGAAGGTTACGTTACTCACGGTAATAATTTCACTACAAATACATTGCTACAAAATACTAAATATACAGTAGCACAAAGCAGCCATTTTGACGGGATCCAAATAATGAATGGCACTACGGCGGTAGTGGCCTATGCGCTTCCCCATGCACTATGCACAAACCACGTCGACACTACGGTATGGTGTCACTGTTTACACATGTGGAAAGCAGACGAGCACTAACACGGGCGTGGCAAATTTAAAGGCTGAACATAAACGTCGACATTCTGAATAAGAAAATCTCACCTGTGTCTCCTATAATGATATATTTGAAGAGATATGCGTACGACATTGTGCCTTGTTTTTAGCAATGTACACAAGATATCAATTATGATTCGGACACTGACTTCGGACAGCTGGTGCACTGCTCGTCATAAACTGAATACAACGGCCGATAATACGATGTTGCCGGGCACCACTGAGAGAAACCTGCGATGTTGATGACGACACGATTTAGAAGTTGACGTCATTAATTGAATCGCGCAGGCGTAAAACTCATTGTAAAACTTTTGGGAGCTCTGCATGCACGGAGCGCAAACATCATTTAGTAGGTCCTAATCGATGGTATTGAATGATACCGACAAAAAGGTGATCGGCGTAGCTTGTTAAACGAACAAACCCTTTTTAAAGGATCAATTCACGGTGCAACTGTTGAGCTCACACACTCTGACCATGGGGGGGGGGGGGGGGGGGTATGCGTGGGCCCAAAAACAAAAAACTTGGTCCCCCAAAAAGTGGGTCAAAAAATATTACGGCTCGGGTTTCGGGGCCCACTTAAGGGCCCCGATTTTTTTTGGATTCTAGATGCTCTGTGGTACGTACGATCTGAGGCACTTTCTGACCACTTCAACCAATTTTATTTTAGAAGAAGATGGTGATGTACTCATTGCCTGCCTTTATTGCAACGTCACATAAACAAAATTGGGTTCCTTTTTTATGTGTGGGGGGCATGACGCAAGAGCGTTCAAAAATGGAAAACAATGTATTATGCCACGTTTTGAAACTTAAAGGCATATAGGATCATTTGCATTTATCCCAAAAGTAATCTACCAAATTATTTTCGAAAAGCTTTTTTTGATTTGGGATCGTACTGGTATACTAAAACACCCTGTCAATTATTTCGTCTGGCCAGTGCTGTCATTTTGAACAAATCCCAAAATGTACCTTTCCAATTTTTTGAATAAACGAGTGATGTCATTGACAAAATCGTGTTTCGTGATCAAAAGGTTGTGCAATGGTTTTTTTTTTCTCAGAAAGTGAAAAATCTAATGAGCTGAAACTTCAACAGTTTAAGTTTTCAATATTCTTTTGGGATTTTGAATGGTGTTATTGGAAACGAACAAAATGCCTGAAAGGCAAATGGTCATATATTGCCTTTAAATACAGATGCAAAAACAAACAGATGTTCAACAGAAAACCAATAGAACAAGATTGTATTATGTTTTTTTTTATATAATAACAATGAACGATTTGAACAATGAAAATTGAATTTACAAGCAACTCTCCACGTTTGTCCCCTTTTCTGGAATTCTAAATGCTATAAGTTACTTGGTAAACCTTTTTCTCTTTATTAGGTTTTTTTGTGAAATGGTAGGGTGTTTGTTGAGAAATAGAACAAAATATTTCTTTAAAGGATGTGAAGAAGAAAGAACCAATAAAAAGAAAATATATATCTGACTAGATATGACCACATTACATTGAAGTTACATTAATACAGTCAGGTCTCTATTCAAGGTCACTATGTTCCCTACTTCCAAATAGTCCCAGATATCTATGCTACATGCTACTTATATCATGCCAAACTCAAACCAAATGAAATGACTAATTTTAAACTAAATCAGGCCTACTCTTTTTTTTTAAATAATGAGGAAACAACAAAAGGCAATGATTGTTTTTTTTAATTTTTCATAAAATGTCATCTAGAATTAGTCTGTCCAAATAATATCTCTGCAACGGTATTCAGGTCTTGACTAGTTATTATTGGAAGAGTTACATAAAATCTAAAGAAATTTAAATTAATATAATTACTTACATGTTTTCAAATTTTTTTTTACAACACCTTGTTGGAAAATTAAAATCATATTAAAACTATTTTAAAAAAATAAAATGATATTCATTTAAATACAAGTTAACAAGTTAAATCCTCAAAGATGAAAAACATATCTCTTGTAGGGTGGATATTTTTGCATCTTTCAACTCTCTTGAAATTTAACTGCTTAAGTTGCAGACAATGAAGGCACTTTGTTATTGTTGATATTAGACAAAGCTCCGATGCTTCCACAACTGGCTGTGATGGGAAGGGTTGTCGCCACTTTGTTGGCCAGCTGAGGTAGAAAAGAGAGAAATGAACCTTCAATTTTACCAGTGTTGTGTTCAGGGTGGATCATAAGTTGTATGTCCATCACAAGTCATCCAATCCCATGCCAACCCGCAAGCTATTCAAGTAACTGTGACATGCAACAGCATTTCTTTGTTATTGCTTGTTACTTGTGACTGGACTTCTGAATGGACTTGTAGTTAATTACCTTTGATTGGACTTGTGATGTACTTGTGATCCATCCAAAGTATTTAGACTACAACAAATCTCAAAATTGTAATAAATGTGGGACCTGTTTCCTCACTACAGTATGTCCCCCAAAAAGGTGTCCGTCTGACTATTTTTTAAATAAGTACAAAACCATGAAGTCATTTTTGAAAATTGGTGATTGTGCAGATACTCCTTATGCTTGGCCTAAACCCCAATTATTGTGAAAAAATGATTATGTAGTTAATTGGAATTGAAATCATTTGCCCTTGAACATTTAACTGAGGTCTTGTCATGATCAATGACTGATGATAGCCAGGCAATTCCAATCTCAATAGCAGCCTTTTTCGGATTTTACACAGCTTACATAACACAGCACTGAAATTCATTAAGGCAAGGAACTTGGTCACAGTGTCCAAAAATCATTTGTGATCAATTGACAATTGTGTCGTGATGCATGACTGAAATTAAATTGGGTTTCCACTTCTATAAGTCTACAGGCCTACCAGATTCGAATCACACTTCTTGGCAGATGTCATAGGCAATAGCTCAGTGTAGACCTTCGGTGATGATCTCTCATCAGGAGGTGGCACCCCTTGGCAAGAAGCAATTTGTGGAGGAGTAGATTGGAAGGCTGGTCCCGATGTTCCTGGGTACTGGGTCAGCACCTGGCTCTGCAGCGCTTGTGGTGGGGAGAGAATGAAGGTTTGAGGAGGTGCCTGTTGAGGTGGGCTGGGTTGGGGAACAGCACACATCATAGGGTCACAGCTGTTGGACAGCAACAGGTTGTCTCTTCTTGGCAGTGAAAAGCCTGCTGTGGGAAAATATAAGAAATTAACACAGGCACTTATTACAAACACTAGGTGCAGAATAAGATCAATTTAATTAAGGCTCTCATAAGTTCTTTTGGCCTTAGAGTTAGCATATGAACAGGGCCTAACAATAGTGGTGTTGAATGTATCCAAATGTCATTTTAGGTCAATATGCAAGAGCCACTTTGAAAGATTCTTTTTGATCTGCAAGCGGTTGGTCACTATGCTATGGTCAGGCTAAATTTGTAGGCCTAGTGTAGGCATGGCCTAAACTGAGTTTGATGAGCCAATGCAATGGAATTGTACAAATGTTGGCCTAGGCCAAGAATTAAAGCTGGCGGTTAGCCTGTGATTCTGAACAATCTGGGGAAGGAACTAGGCCTAGGCCCTATACGTTATGACTTAATCTTCAGAAACTGCACTCCATCTTAATTAGCCTAAAAGGGACTAAGCCAAACTCACCTCCATTTGACCCCTGAAAGACGTGGCCAATGTCTTCCTGTATCACAACAAATTTCCTCAGCTGTCCTTGTTGGTTGTACAAGGATGGGAAATCGACAAGCCGAGGTTCTGATGGGCAAGTAGCTGTGAGTGAACCGCTGGCTGTGTTGGCTACCAGCGTGAGCCCCTGCACACCTCCGCCGGCTCCCCACCCACGGCTGAAGCACTGCTGGCCCGCTGGACCGAAGCCAAAGGAGTTCGGTCGGTAGTACGGATTGAAACGATTGTTGATATCCTGGAGAGGTTCAGAGTGCGAGGCATGCTTGATTGGAGCATAGGTGACCCCTTGATGGTGGAACAGAGTCTGCGGATAACCCTTGGAAGAACAGCCTGGACCGAAGCGATACGGTGTTGTCGTGTAGTAGGAGTTCTCGGCGTTCTCGCTGCCGCCTCGACGGCGGCTACTTGCCCGACGAACGTGGCCCAACAACTCTGGTCGATTGCGGTTGAAGTACGGATTCTGGAAGTGATGAATGTCCTCTCCGGACATGCTGTCCTTTGAGGACACCGCAGCCAGTTTACGGAACCCATAGAGATTGAGCTGTCGTACAAAACTAGAAAAGTTCTGAGTTTTGAAGACGCTGAATTCGTCGTTGTAAAGAACCTCATTTTTGAAGGTTGTGCCGTTTATTGCTATGCAGCTTCCGCCATTGCTCCAACCAATGGACTGAAACCGTCCGCCATTCACAAGCTTCCACAACTTTCCAGGGAAAGTGTTCGAGTTTATTGGACACGAAACAGTGCCCATGCTCGAAGAATTAGAACAACTCATGACAGTCGATAAGAATTTCTGAGTGAAACGCAAGAACACACAGTACGTGTGTACGCCACAAAACGTTCTGAAAATTCAAACCCAAACTACGCTGTGTATGTGATGATTATGATGACTTGATCGCGCCGCGCCCTGCACACACTTACGTACGTACGCACGCGCACGTACGCAACTGGAGTTAATGGACGCGCGTCTAGGTGCACGCCGTACATACGTCCGTACGTACCGCGCGCTGTGTGCCGCGCGCCTCGACGTGCCTGATGAGCTGCACCGTCCTCTGCGCGACCGTAGAGTGAAGTGTGGAACGCGTACATACGCCGCACGCAGCTACTGCATTCGTACACGATCCGGTGCATTTTATGTACACAATGTATACCCCATGCTCTTTTCAAAAAAATACAAATTTTTCCTAACATTTTGAAAGTCTGTATTTTTTGTTTTGACGAAAAAAAATACTTTATTACGATTTTGGTCGGCTGCAACCAGCCTATTGAAAAGGGGCTTGCTTACATTCTGTGCACCAATAACGTGCCCTGCGGAGAGTTGACTAAACGAAGGCGTGTTTTCTATGTACTTTGTCTCATTTGCATTCAATACATTTTTATATTGCTAGGAAAATAGCAAATAAAAAAACTAATTAAGGGAAGCAACTAACTTTCCGAGGTGAAACTCGAAAAATAGCACGGGGGAATACGTCTTTAAATTATATTCATAGGCGATGCCAGCGGGAAGGTTCCCCCCCCCCTATATTTTGTAAAGACTGCCCTGTTCCATTGAAATGCCCTTTTTTTCACAAGCGTTTTACCCCCCCCCCCCCCCCCCATATTTTGTAAAGAGTGTCTTTTTGGTGAGACGTGGCTTTTTTTTCTGAACATGTGCCCTTTTAAAAAAGAAGTGGTGCCTTTTTTGTGCCATCGGCCGTTCCAGGCTCCTCCTTTTAAATTCACGCATGTATTGACCTAAAAAAGCGCCGGGCTCTGCGCACAAAAGGAGAGTTAGGCCGGGTGACCTATTGGTTACCAGTTCATCAACTGCTCCGTATTTCGAATGATCCAAAGTTATTGGTGGCGGGGATTTAGTCTGAGAACATCGGAGGAATACCGGGAGGGGGGGGGGGGGGTTGATACCATCTGTCGATGGGGGCGCTGTTCAAAACCGACGATTATCTACACTGACCATAAACGCAATGGAAAATACATGTTGCTTTTCAGGGCGACACATGCATGAAATTAAAAAAAGGCACCCGGATCGGAGCAGCCGATGGCACAAAATAATTGTGCACGACTTCTTTTTAAAAAGGGCACTTGTTCAGAAAAAAGGGCACTTGTTAAAAAAGGCACGGGGAGGGGGGGGGGGGTAAGCGCATTTAAATGGAAAACGCCTATGGGATGGCGATAATGATGCAGGCGCGGATCGAGGGGGGGGGGGTATCATCATGAGGAATCGGCGAGAGGACGTTCGTAAACAAAACTTAACTACTCGCTTTGAATGAACTGTATCTCGAAAAAGAGAAAAGCTTTTGCTGAAGAAAAAAAAAACATACACAGCCCGGTCGGGCGGCCATACAAAAGGGCCTCCTCCTTCCTTTTTTTTTAATTTGAGGGGGGAAAAGATTTTTTTATTTGGCCCAACTACTCAGCTCCCCGACCCGACCTCGGCCCCCCCCAAAAAAAAAAAACCCGCCCCCCCCCCCAAAAAATGGCACGACCGGCCACGTACAACAATGTCTTACTCGAAAGTAAACAAGAGCACTAACCATCAACGTGTACGCCACGTGTTTTCCCATGTATCTCCACATGTGGTTTGTATTGTCCAAAATGAGCATTCGTGTCTATGATGTTTTGTTGCACTCCCAATATATCGATCTATCACTAACTTTGAGGAAGAGTGGATCCCGAAAGGAATACTCACTCAGGAGGTTTTTTTTTTTACATGGGCCGGGTCAACATTCCTCCAGCCAAAACACTTTCCAGTTTCGGGAAAAACTTTGTATTGCAGAACATTATGTTTAGAGCAAACGAACATGAATTTGCGGATTTGAAGTGACCGATCGGGTCTTTTTTAATATTTCTCTATTTATACATTTTTTCAAAGCCATAAGAAGAAACAAAAACCTCCACCAACACTTTAGAACCAAGCAAACAAAGTGAATTCGAACAAAACTTGGGGTTTATTGTTATTATTTTATAATTTTAAAGGTCCAAAGAATCAGGAAACGCCACATGACACCACCGGTGTTGCGGTTTCAGCAACAGACGGAATGGCGCGAAATTCGTAGGCAACCCGGAAGTGCTTTACACACTGAAGCCGTGGCCCATCCCAGCCACTGAATCACTAGCAGCAGATTGGCTTACTGCCAGAAAGCCGTGGTTGTGTCTCCGCCCACAAAATGACGAGCAAGACGTCATCTATTTTTCGTGCGTATTACTCCGCGTTGTTTTACCATGGATTACTTAGCCATCCTTGAGAAATATAACATGATTACAATACATATTTGTGTTTAAGTATTTCAAATTATGTATTTGTCTTCAATAATTGGCATCCATTGAAGAAATGAATATTTGAACGTTAAAATATTTGGACTATTTTACTGCATCGACTACATTTTACAGAAGTGATGCGGATTTCCCGCCATTTTCAGCTTGGGTACCCCGAACGCGTACTTTTGATGATCAATGTGAAAAACACGTATGCGAAGTGGGATTTAAACCGAAGATGGCGGCACCAAATGGTGAGGAATTAGACATAAAACAACGGTTCGAGGAACTTTGCCTTGGCCTAAATCTAGACGATGTATCCGGTAGAGAGGCGTGGGACACGTATGAGAGAATTAGCGTCAATTATACGCTTGAGGTGAGTTGTAAATCAAACAATCTTAGATGTACAATGTTTGCGTTCTGCTTGTTTACGCTGTGCATGTGATGCATGAGCTTTAAAGATGACCTGCTTTCGAAGTGAGTGCCCAGATTCCGGACTGATACCTGGAATTTTAATGTTACCTTATTCATTTTATTCATTTCAAACTTTGCTTTCTGGGTTTATTATATTTATTACTTATTCCAGACTTACATAAGGATGACGTTCTGTTGTTTTACTTGTTTAAAATCTTTTGTCAATGTCATGTTTGTGTGGCAAATTCAATGTGGTTTTTTTTTTGGGGGGGGGAGGGGTAATGTACATCTATTTTCTATTATTAATATTAGCACAGGAACTGTTAGTGTTATACTGTTATGATAGCAAACCTTTTCACAGATTTTTCTCACTGTAATTTGGAGTCACATGGTGTCTCGTGAACTCAGAGAGGCTATTTATTTGTGACCTTTTCTGCAGGGGGACAATCTTCACTGGCTTGTGTGTGCCCTGTACGTCGCTTGTCGGAGATCCACCATTCCAACCGTCGGAAATGGCACCGTGGAAGGAAACTGCGTATCACTGACTCGTCTGCTGAGATCCTCAAGACTAAGGTGAGGCGAGACGAGACGATTTGATAAAATGAGGACAATCAATGCTCTCGCATTTCCTGAAGGCTCTTGGACACTATCCAAAAGTTCTGTGTTCGACTTTGGTGAAATTTCAGGAAACCCTTTCGCACTAGCAAGAATCCAACATGGCTTTTATATGGGTTGAGCCTACGTGAAGGGTTAAGTTCAGCCCTGGTCGGGACCAGGGTTGAAAGGCTCTTTCCGCGTTTAATCGGACACAGTTCTGCTTATGATGGATCCGTGTTGATTTCAAATTCGGGTAAGCGAGTTGGGCACGTGTGGAGCATAGGATTCATGAGCGTGAGATTGTGGGTTCGAGTCCCGCCGTGGCCATGCCTGTTGTGCCCTTGAGTAAGGCGCTTTACCTCAATTACTCCTCTCAACCCACGTGTTAAATGGGTACGGGCATTATTCAATGCTGGGAAGGTAACAGACTGGCTGTGGAGGAGGTGTGGCGATCCCCCACAGCACCATTTCGTGGACTCGAGTCTGGTCCAATCGCTTTGAAAGACATACAGGCACTCCGTTCCTGTGAACACAGGTTTGTCCCCTTTACTTTACCTTTTTAAGCGAGGTGGTCGTTTAAAAAGGCTGTAAACAGGTTATTGTGCACTGCACATGACCATGGTGAAATAGATGTACTAAGGACCTTTTCTTTGCCCAGTGGAATTTTGGAGACATTTGCTGGCTAAAGAGTGAGTAAAGTTGGCCTGATTTAGTTTTGAACGTTTCAGAGCAATCCAGGTCCCAGTCTGGGTCGACCCGAGTCGGCTTGGTCTAAGATACCCAAAGATTTCTTCCCCATGAGAAGATTAAACAAAAAAAATCTTTTTCTCATTTGGCAGTGTGATCCAGTTTTTCAACAAGATGAAAAAATGGGAGGATATGGCCAACCTGCCCCAGCAGTTCCGAGACAAAGTGGAGCGTCTGGAGCGCAACTTCAACGTCTCCACCGTCATTTTCAAGAAGTACCAACCCATATTTCAGGACATATTCATATTCAAGGACGCATCGGGCGAACAGCCTCGAGTACCAAGGGGACGCAAACAAAGGTAACAGTTAGATTTTTGAAAGCAACAAACTCTTAAAAATAATATTTTGTTACAGAAGATAAAACCACAGAGCTTAAAAAGGTCAAGGCTATAATTGGCCGAGTACTTACGCAAAACAATACTGCGTCTTGACCTCAAGATTCTGACCTTTCAGTTTTGGCCTCGTGTCGGGTCTTCCGTAACCCATTGTTGTATTACAAACACATGTCAACCAAATTGACCAACCAACAGCTTAGTCTGTTGGCTTGACTTAGACAAGCTGGCTTGCACTTGTTCACTGATGTGTAACCGATGGCGAACAAAATGTGGACTAACTAAAGTTGGTAAATCGGGGACAGTGTTTGAAGGGAAAAAAAGCCAACCATCGTTGGAAATCGATACAAAATGAGATAAATATCAAAACAAGTTGATATAAAATAAGAGCACAGCACCGTGATTTCACAGGATGCTTGAGACTTATTCACTTACAGTCAAGTAAGGTACATCATAATAATTTGGTAGTTTTGTGTTTTGATGTTTGAAAATGTGGTTTATTATTGCCTTTAACGGTGTGATTGATTTGCTTTTTAGGAGGCAGCCTTGCAATTATTCAGACCTTTTCTCCATCTGCTGGACACTGTTCATCCTCATCAAAGGTAAGCCAATTTATTTTAAACATGGAATTGCACTTATGCATACTGCACAAGAGCGCTGCAATATTTACATTTAAGAAATATGACCATTGTAGTAAAAGAGGTTAAAACGTATAGTAAATTGCAAAATGTCAAGACCAAAGGATGTTATAATGCATTTTTGCTGTATTTATGTGTTAGGCCAAAAAAAAAAATAGTCGGTCTCTGCTCAGCGCGCGCGTCGATTTTAATCATGCGCGTCAACCTTTTTTTTCTTCAAATTGTCTGCGGTAGCTACAACAGCGCCCTCTATTGCCGCAACTTCTCAATTTTTTTATACCAAGGAATGGGGAAACCGCACCAAGGCAAATGATGGAGGGCACCAAGGCAAATTATGGAGGACACCAATGTATATGAGGACACAAAAAAGCAAAAAATAGTACCCACCTTGTCTGTACAATCCATGCTAAAAAAAAAAAACGTTTCCGCATCAATTCCGAAACTTTGGTCTGACCAGAGACCGACTATTTTTTTTTTTGGCCTTACATGTAAAAAAACAAAACATGTCCTACATTTGATCCTAAATTACTCTGTTGTATACCAATGGAATTAAACCAAAATTTCAGATCATGCCCACAAGGCATGACAAATTGTATGGAGCGAGTTTCATCAACTTTGTGCAAGAGAGTGGATTTAAACGTCATATACAATAAAATACTCACCTTCAGAATGTCGATACAGCGCTGGAGACGGCGGTGGAAGGTGCATGCTGCGGCTGAAAGCTTCTGAAGGAATGCAGGATCACCCCTGATGTCATTGCACACCTCCTCGATCGTGTGTTGCGCCAAACGATCGAGGAGGTGTGCAATGACATCGGGGGTGATCCTGCATTCCTTCAGAAGCAATCTGCCGCAGCACACGCCTTCCACCACCGTCCTCATCGCTGTATCAACATGCAGGACACCAAGTCAAATGTGACATATTCTGAAAGTGAGTATTTTTTTCGTATGGCATTTAAATCTCACCCTCTTTCACAAAGCTGATGAAATTCGCTCCATAAAATTTCTCATGCCTTGTTTACATGATCTATTCCATCGGTGAACAACAGAGTTTATTATTTCAGGATTAAAAGTAGGACATGGTTTTTTTTACATGTAGTAGAAGTTCAATTCAGCACCAAGTTTTTGTTGAGTGCCGTTATTAAATCTGATAGTTCTAGAATTGCATAGCCGTACAGTAAAAATCTTCAATGCATGTCATTGTAAAGTGAAATATTTATTTTATTTTTTTAAAGATGATTAGTTTACTGTTCTGTGATGTCATTTATTTGCATTAAAAGTCACCCCTGGAATTTATACCACGAATTATGCAACTTTTTATTTATCAATCATTTGCATACAGGTACTTCTTTTATCACATTGCATTAAAATCAGCTGATATTTTTTAAGAATGTGTGCATGTACATGTACTGTACATGTATCGCTTTTTTTGGTTGCAGAAACTCATATTTCCTCAAAATCAACAGCAGACCTAGTCCTGTATGTAAATTTCCCACTGTTTTCATAAAATTTAGTGTTTTTTCCCCTTAAAATCCCTTTAGAGGTACATGGATTTTTGTGAAGGACGATCCTATGTCGACGTCTGACAAAACTTAAGGTTTATGATTGACGCGAGCTCAGTCATGAATAATTCATATTATTGACCCAAGCTGAGCCCTGGGCGTGTCTGTCAGCTAGCCATATTATGTGCTGTGCACTTGATGCACATGCAGAGTTTCAGGGGTCACTATTGTATATAGGCTTTGTGTGGGATAGGCCATTGATATGCTAATGAGGCTTTTGTGTGGCATAGGCCATTGATATGCTAATGATGTTTGTGACTTTTTTTGGCGGTACCTGGCAGGTCTCAACTTGTCTGGAAGTTTTATTTTACATTGAAGCTTCCAATGTTGGGTTGAATAGGGTAACGTGTAGATCAAGTTTTTTTTTTTTAAGTATCAGGGAATATGCAAGTAGTGAAGATTTATTTTCGTGGTGCACATGGCAATGCACATGCCATTCGTGCAGACGTAATTTTGGATTATAGGAGTATGCTGATGGTAAGATGGTATTTTTGAATGCAAAGTTATATTTTCATGTCAACTTCAACATGTCGTAAATCATTGTATGGCATTATAGGGCCTAGTGGTTATGATGCTAATTTGGCATTTAAACTGTTTTTTTTTTCACTTTGATATTTTTGGGGGGGGGGGTGTATTATAGGGACTGCTGATTTGAAAAGCCATTTGAGCATGATTTGAGTTTAAGTTTTTGGACTTTTTTTGTGATGAAAAAGTTAGTTTTTGGATGACATGGCTCACAGTTTACAGATTTGTAGAGTTGCAGATTTAGCAAATGTTTGTACAATTTGGTTAACAAGACTGGAACTTAAAAATAGCTGTGACTGGTTTCTGACTCATGTTGTGGGTTGGGTCTGAAATATCCTTGGTCACTGAGTCTAGACAGATCAATTACCAATGGTGTGAGATTTAGTGTACTAAGTTTTGGCCATGGGTGCTCATCTTTCAATGAGGTGCAAATTGACTTGGGTAGTTAATCTCTTGAGCTGTATTGACACTAGTCAAAATGTCTTGAGGACACTGATTGTCCTGCTCTGCCCCCCCCCCTCCTCTTTGTTTTCTTTTGGGGGTTTGGTCTCTTTGTTGACAGATGTACATACATTATGTAAATACATAGAAAAGAAGGCATTTGTTCCTGCAGTAAAGTTAGATGTATAGAGATGTATTCAGAGCACGTTCATGTGTGATAAGATGGTATAGAAATCGTTGGTTTAAATTAACAAGTAATTTTTGGGTAACCCTTTCTAAACCTCTTTGAAGTTTATTCTGCGACTAAAAATTCTGAGGCTGAAATATAGCACATTTAAACTTTCTAGTATTGACTGGATGTCATCAAAGGAATTCAGAAGTGTTGAATTTCCCAACTGAAAAAAAATTCCAAATTAGTTCAAGCAAAAAAGTTTGGCTCGTATGTTTACTCATGGAGCTATTGCTCCATGGTTTTTTTTAGAGCTCCGTGGCTAGAATTGTGCATGCATATTTTACTAACACTGTTTTTAAAGAATCATAGCTTGCTTTTCAAAATTGATTTCGTATCTTATGTTTCCTCACTAATGTTTTTTTTTTTACAATGCACTTTCAAAAGTAACACTTATAATTGTTTTCCACTTAGGTTTCTTAGATGAGAATACTGTTTCTTTTTGTCTCAAAAGAAAATTGTATTAACCAGAGTATATTGGAGGATTGAGGATGAATGGTGTTGAAGCACATGATGATTTTGGAGAATTGAGAATGAATGCATTTTGAGAGGCAGGACTGTCTGACGATTTTGAAATTGAAGGATTGATGCGCTGGGAATCCTTCATTTGAACATAAGTGTAACATTTTGGAGGATTTGGGAGGAATTAAGGATGGTTCCTAGCAAAAAGGGCCCAGGGTTTTAGGGTTCATTTAACCTAAAAAACACTCCCATTTATTTCCTTGCCAATTTTTTTTTTTTAAGAACTAAACTATACATAATTTTATTTTGTCGAATAGCTTTCAATCATAAACTGAAAAAAAATGGAAAAGTGTAAACAAATTTGAAACTAGGAACACATTTTCATTTTTATTCTTTGCATCTCTAAAGGCAATTTCCCCGCAATCAGCGACGACCTAGTCAACTCCTATCACTTGCTGCTGTGTTGCCTGGATCTCATATACTCCAACGTCCTGTTGGCCAACAGACGCGACCTTTTGAACCCTGAGTTCACAGGTGAGTTCTGGTTGTGTGTAGTCGTGGGATGATCTCTCCACTTCTCTCTGTAGTAGCGTCAGGGAGACACGCTATTCTGATGTGATAGTCCTGTGTATTTTAGGTGTTTGTCTTCTGTTGGAATCACTTAATTGCAAAATTAATCGCCTTTTTTCTGATGGATATTAACTCTTTTTAATAAAAACTTTGTGTCAGACTTTTTTTGTTCGGTAAGTTCTGACAGAGCAGTTTAATCTTGTTGTTTCTGGTAAGAACATTATAATGTTGTTGAGATTTTTAAATAGTTATTTGATATATTTTGCACTGTACATAAGAGAAACTTGGTATCTCATATTTTGTTAACTTGGAGTTGAAGATTGGGATTTTACAACGTGAGTGAAGGTTATTGGGGGTTTTTTGGTGGCTTTTGAAATTGTTTGTTAAATGTGAAGGAATTCCTGTGTAAAATTTGGGAAATGCTTAGTTAATTATTTCAAGTAATATTTTAATTGATTTATACACATTTATAAGTAGATGCATCTTCTTATTTGTTGAATTGCAGAATCTTGTCATGTAAATTTCTATCATTGCCTCCCAATTTATTGATTTTGTCTAAAGGCACTTGGAATAAGACTTCATTTTAAAAATTATTTTGCTTACATCTCATTTAAATTTCGATAATTTTAACTACAAGTCAGTGTTTTTTTAGTCATAAAAAAATCCAGTGAGTAGTATTTAATTTCCAAAATATATGCACAGATGAGGAAATAAGCTTCGTTGGCAAATAATTTTTGGCAAATAATTTGTGAGGTTTTTAAAAGATACTACAGTAAGTGTCCACAATATTGCGGTATTTCCCCTGGTTATTGCACAATTGCGTTTACTCATTCTGGTTCCATGAATAGAAATCTGCCCACACACAAAAAAAGTTGATGGCCACACAAGGTATTGTGTTCACCTGCAGTGATATTCATAGAATCAAAGTCTAACTTCACACTACAATTTCCTCTGCAATATCCAGTAAAACTTTCGACCATTGAACTTTTTCTCACGGTGTAGCATTAGTTGTCCGAATAAGAACTGAGAGTGCATCACTGTTAAGCCCGTGAACTTATGCACACTTTGTTCTCTCTCTCTTTTTTTTTTTCTTCAAATTGATGTGACCAGGTCTCCCAGAGAATTTCTCGAGTCGTAACTATGCCGTGCCGCCCGATCCCCCCTGCATCATTGAGAGGCTGTGTGATCTCCACGACGGTCTGGTGCTAGAAGCTAAAGGCATCAAGGAACACTGGTGGAAGCCACACATACGCAAGCTCATCGAAGATCGGGTAAATTATGAGATTCTTTTAAAAAAAAAAAATTACCCTGCTAGATCCATCTTTGCAACACTTCTCTCTAGAAATTTTCATTTGGAAAGAATTAGTAGTATCATGACCCCCCGATTGTGTACGATGTCTGTGAGCGGTGGAAATTCTTTAAATATTTCTTACAATTGATGATTAAGATTTGAGGCTTTGCATGGTGGAGATACTAATGAATGAAAGGAAAACACCATGTGGGAATAATTTCTCAAACTAAGAGAATAGTTTATACCTCTGGTTCTTTTTAGAACCATTCTCTTAGTTTTGAGAAATAATTCCTACATTGTGTTTCGGCAAACCTTTCATTCATTCTTACAATCAGAATCATATTCCTGTTTCTCCAAATGTATATGCGATAAATGACCATCATTGAGGTAATTTATGGTGGAAAAAACATGGCATCAGGGTAATACGTTATACCCATTCTGTTAAACTCTGTTTTGAACGAGACATCGTTTAAACAAACCTTTTTATTTTCATATTTTTTAACATTTCCACTCGTTAGATTCTGCGAGGCAGCTTGGACAAACTGGTCGGCCTGCTCGATGTCACAAGCTTCGAGTTGAACAGGTCAGTAAAACAGGCAAAACAAACAAGTAAATCAAGGGATCTGTTTATAGTTGTTAACAAGCAAATCTTACCACATAGTAGAAGGTTCAGGCAGTGCTGTGCTACATGACCAGTGATTTATTTCATAAATTGTCTACACTTTGGGCTACAAGTTTGTAAACGTGAAAGTTGTGAAGCCAGTGTAACTATTGATTCTCATGGACATTTGTTTTAGTTCCATCTGAAGAAAAAAAACCAGCTTGTTGTAAAATTTTCAGCTTGAGGACACAAGTACATAAGATATTTCTGGTTATCTCGAGCATCACAATCTTGTATTTTTTTCTTTGCAGTAAGAGCATCAACAAAGAGTACGAGGAGTACGTCTTGACCAAGGGAGACTTTGACGAGCGCATCTTCCTGAGCGACGATGCCGATGAGGAGATAGGAACGCCGGCCAAGTCCCCGGCCGTGAAACACGCCACCAGTCTGAGTGATAAGATGCAGGCCAAACGCAAGATGCCACAGTACATAGAGAAGGTAGGATACCATGCGACTATGTCCGCTGCTCGGGCTGTGTCCAAATTACTGTGCTATCCGCTCCGTTCACAAGTACCCCCTCACCGGCAAAGGAAGTACAGTTGGGGGTGACCGACCGACGCCATCTTGCCTGACTGCAATTCATTTGTCGCGAAGCACGGCCACTGCGTGTACATAGTACAAATCCCCTGGTGTACGTGCGTCACCACAAGAAACGGTGCGCGTCAACCAGCAAAATGTCCCGCCCATGGGACATCGTTGCTAGGTAAAAGGGCGCCCTCTTTTGTCGGCGCACGGTGTACTGCATTTTACTACATTGTATTGCATTGTACTACATTGTATTTATTCCGTAGCCCTCCTATGCAAACATACATTCTGTGCCAAGTTGTCAAAATCAATCAAGTGACAGTTTTTAACAGTTAAAAACTCCCAGCCTACTTAAAGCAGAATTGACTGGCTGTGACTGTTGATGTAGCTCGACACAGCTGTGCTTTGACTGTAGGTGATTGATAAGCCAGCTGTGCCTACCGCTTGTCTGCTTTTGAATGTTGACTGAATATGACTAGCCACAGTGCTTGCTTGAAATATGGTGTGACTGTTGGTGACTAGCCTGTTTAAAAGGCATGGCAGAGGAGAATTTTTTTTTTGACTGTCTGTGACTGTTCAGACAGCAGGAGGGCTAAAGTATCCGTAGATAAGTTAGGGCGGTTGTAGGGCGGTACAGGAAATAACAAACAGGGCGGTTTGGGGCAGTACAGATGCCGACTGGTTTCATGATACTTAAAATGTAACTTTGACAAACATTCTACATGTTTAAAATAAAAATTCATTGTTTGTAATTGCACTAACCAATCAGAATAAAGAAACAATGACCTTCCCCGAGTCTACTGTTGATACCAGGGTTGAGAATAGACCCATGGAACAAGGTTGTAAGGAGTAATAGTTTTTTCAATCAAAATTTCTAAAACCCAGCATTATAGACTTTGGAATGGGGTTGTGAGGACAAATTTATTTTCAAATAGGTGCCCCAGAATTTTGAAGTTTTAAACGTTATTAGGCCATGGGATGAACATGAAAAAGGCATTCAAATTAACAATATCGTATTTTGTATTTTACTGTATGGTTCAGGTGAAAACCCTGTGTCCCCAGACCCCTTTGACGGGTCGTCACTACCTGAAGGAGAAGGATCCCAGCATCACCCCGGTCTCCACGGCAACGCAGACAGTCAGCCGTCTCCAGGCGATGCTGTCCGGATGCAAGGCGGGGCCCAGCGAGGAACTGCAGACGGTGTTCAAAGAATGCAGCCATGATGTGACCGAGTCCATTGTCGGTCGCATCAAGGCCATGGGAGAGACCTTCTGCCAACGCTACACGCAGGTAAACATCGTTCGGTCCTGTTTAAGAGGGGTGCGCATCGGAACTGGGTACCCGAGTACCCGACCGCTGATGTCAGGAACCAGTTCCAGACTATGGAACCGGGAACCCAACTTTACTAATTACTTAGTAACTTCGCAGACTGTAGACAAAGAAAGGTTTTGAACACGATTTGTGGAGAATTTTCAGACAACTTCCGGTATTTGAATATTTGGGTTGGGTTTCTTTTACAGGTACCCGGGTTTTACCTCAGTAGGTTACCTGGGTACCCAGGTTTTACCTCAGTAGGTTACCTGGGTTTTACCTCAGTAGGTTACCTGGGTACCCGGGTTTTACCTCGGAAGGTTACCTGGGTACCCGGGTTTTACCACAGTAGGTTACCTGGGTACCCAGGTTTTTACCTCAGTATGTTACCTGGGTACCCGGGTTTTACCTCAGTATGTTACCTGGGTACCCGGGTTTTACCTCAGTAGGTTACCTAGGTACCCGGGTTTTACCTCAGTAGGTTACCTGGGTACCCGAGTTTTACCTCGGTAGGTTACCTGGGTACCCGGGTTTTACCTAGGTAGGTTACCTGGGTACCCGGGTTTTACCTAGGTAGGTTACCTGGGTACCCGGGTTTTACCTCGGTAGGTTACCTGGGTACCCGGGTTTTACCTCAGTAGGTTACCTGGGTACCCAGGTTTTACCTCAGTAGGTTACCCAGTTCCCGTCCTACTCCTAATTGTACACCACCACTCTTAACCCTCCTACTGGAAAGTCAATATCCAGAGCAATTTGTATAACTCTTTAATACACTGCAGGTCAGTTTCAAGGGAAGGGATTTGAAGTGGTAAAGTAACTTTGTCACACAGAGAGTCACTGCACAGAAAAACAGCACTGTGGAGAGCAGTGAAAATTGCCTTTTGAAAGTTTTTGACACGTTGGAATTGTTTGGTTTTAATTTTCAGCAGGAGGATGGGACAGGACCCCCGCTGGACTTTGCCAAGCGACGACTAACGCTGGCCATCAAGATGTACTACAAGGCGCTGGAGAACATCATCATCAGCGAGAAGAAACGGGTCGAACAGAAAGGCAAGACGGACTTATCGGTAAGGAAATCATCAAGTGTTGGTACTGTTACAAGTTTTACTTTATATAAAGCATTAGAGAATTAGCACGTGTTCTGTTTAACCCTTAACTCTCAGAGCCCTCAAAATTCACTGGGGCCTGATTTCATGGCTCTGCTTACCGTTAGCAGACAATCCCTGCTTACTGTAGCTGAAAATGTCCTTGCTTTATGGGTAAGCGTATTTCACGGGTTAGCGAGGAATTTTGATATCCCATAACTAAGGATTCTGTGCTTAGTAGATTAAAGGTATAGTCCATCGTTTGTAATTTGTGCATTTTGTATCATGTTCAAAATCTAAAGGAGGGTGCTGAACAACTAACCTGATGAAGTTTCAGCTCAGTGAATGCTGTATATTTGGAGAAAAACATCATGCTAGGATCTCGATTTCAAATCAAAAGTTGCTGAATCATGTTTTGAATTGGGCCTGCATTCAGCATCCGAGACACGTTCTCACTGAGCTGATTGCATCTACGCGATGTCCAAACTGATCTGACGAATTATAGCAACCACTAACGGAAATTTCCAACGGTGTTTCTTAAGACGCACCGTTGGAAATGCATTCTTTTGTTGATTTCTTCAAAATGACAGCTTGCCAGAAAGAATAATTTCACAGGGAGTTTAGTCCCCTTATTATCTTTCAACCAAGTATGTTTTTCAACAATAATTACGTCAGTTACTTTTTGGATAGCTGCAAACGATGGACTCTGGCTTTAAGGCAGAATTTTTCTGCTAGCGCTGTTATCACAGAATGGTGAGCGTAAGTGTGGATTTTTGTGGTTAGCAGCGCCTTGAAATTGGGCCCTGATGATTTTGGATGACTTTGTAGGATTGAGGAAGGTAGAGCACATCGACTACGACATTCGTGATGCTTGATACCCCCTTGGGAGTACACAAGAGTATGCTGTTAGTTTTCTGCACAATGTAGGATTTTGTAGGAATAAGGAACGATCCATGGTTTGATGGAATGTTTCATGTTTTTTTTTGTTGTTTTTTTTCCCTGATCTGTTTGCAGTCGTTATTGGAGCACGATATCTTTCACCGGTCGTTGCTGGCCTGCTGTCTGGAAGTCATCATCTTTGCTTATAATTCACAGAAGTAAGTTGCTGAACTTCACTCGGATCCCTGCAGTGAGAAACTGTCCCTTTTTTTTTCAGTGCCTGCATTTTCACTTCTCCCCCCTCTGCAATCTGGGATTCTGTTTAAGGAGTGACTTCCTCTCAAGAAGCTAATTGGATCCGTCTCAGACTTTTTTTCCCAGTGATTAAATGAAGCCAAAATAATAAAAAGGCTTTTTCTCCAGTAACCTGACCAACCCTTAAATGTTGAATGTACATAAGGTTGCCAATCATTAAACTTCTTTATTTATGTTTTCTCAAGTGTCATCTTTCTGGTCTTTAACTTTAACACGGGATAATCGATATATCGAATATTCTCGGTATTGGATTTCAGATATATATCGATTATTGAAAATTTTGATATTGATGGTGCTTAGTATTGGTACCTTTGTACAAAAAAATATATATATAATAAAGAATTAAAATAACCTACCTACAGACATGTCTTTTTTGTTTTTGGCAGTGTTCATGAAATATGAAAACTTTTTTTTGGCCGTAATTGCTCTGTGATCCTAGTACCATGGATGACACGTACGCAAGTGGGTTTATCAATCCAAAGTCTATCATTCAGTTCTTCAATCACTTTAGATTTTATTTTGCGTATCGGATTTTTTAATTGACCTTGTTGCCTCGGAAAGAACTGTGAGAGGGTGTCAGGATTGTGAAATTTCCCCCAACAAACGGGTTTTGGCTGGAGCAAGATCAAGCACAGATCTTGTGAATTCTCGTTTATGCTTAAAGTGACTTGACAAGCATCTTGACCTTTAACCCTTGCAGGACGTTTCCGTGGATACTTGAAATCTTCGATCTTCCAGCGTTCCATTTCTACAAGGTCATTGAGCTGTTACTGAGAGCCGAAGACGTTTTGTCGAGAGACATTGTCAAACATCTGAACCATGTAAGTAGAACTCGTTTTGAATTGAAGAGCTGCAGAAACCTTCCGGAGGGTTTTGAGTATTTTGCTACTGTTGCTCATTCAATTGGGAAGGTCGTCATATCTCAATGTGCACATGTGCAGCTGGAATACTGAACTGGTATATGAAGTACGAAAAATCCGCTCATAGTTTGTCTGCTAAGTGGAGGATTTTTGGAGACTTCAAGAAGGTTCCTAGAAAGACTGCCGCAGGTGTTAATGAATTTCTCCAAGCAAACACAATTTTGGAGGATTGTGGAGGATTGAGGGCACATGGCCATTCAGTATCGGTTGATTTTGGAGGATTCTGGATGAATGGTGTTGGAAGAAGAGGAGGATTTTGGAGGATTGAGGCTGAATACATTTTGAGAGGCAGGTTTGTTGGAGGATTGTGAAGGATTGAGGCAGTGGGTATCCTTCATTTGAACATAAGTGCAAAAGTTTGGAGGATTATGATTTATATACAATGATTACGTGTACATCAAGATGTTGGTGGATCAAATCTGAACTTGGTGGTTGTTTTTTTTATCTTTAGGTTGAGGAAGAGATACTGCAAGACCGTGCCTGGCGAAGCGACTCCCCGATTTGGGACGCCCTGCGGGACTCCAAGGACGGCCCGCCGTCCTGCGAAGATGTCTCTGTCACCACGCAGACCGACGCGAATGCCCGGACCAACGGGGGCGCATCTCAGCCCTACCGCTCGCCCGTCATGCACCAGCGCGTCCGCATGCTCATGGAGACTGACCCCGCTGCTAAGAAAGGTGAGTTCAAAGCCCAGCAGTTGAGACATCGGCAGGAGTTTTAACTGGAGATTCCCAAAGTCGTGGACAAATCCTGATATTCAGAAGCATGTGACATAGAGTACTGTAAGTGTGACGTGAGCTTTCATTGTTCTGGTTCACTCTGGTTTGCGTGCTGATATCTTCACACACTTAAGCTGTGTGCGTGGAATAGAATACGACGTGACTTCGGTACTCTAGACTTATTTCCTCAGGATTTCAAAGATTACTTAATGGAGTCTCTTCCTTTGTTGTATTTTTAAGATGCCCTTCTTCAGTCCCCGACATCAGCTCGTGATCGTTTCAGCTCCCCCTCACCGGGAAGCGCCAAGCGACGCCTGTTTGCCGTTGCGGTGCCGGCCGAAGAGTCATCACCCACTGCGACTTCATCATCATCGTCGTCACCCGACGGTGGTAAGACAGCCAGCAGAGCCAACGGCTCTGTCGCTGGCCAGAAATCCCTGGCCGAGACCACGCTGGAGAGCGGGGTGACGGTCAGCGTCAAGCCTAAGTCCATCACCCTGACGCAACCCAAGGCCAAGACGGCGATGCAACCCCAGACGGTCACGGTGACAATACAGGGTAAGAACAGGCAAAATCTTGGATACAAGACTCATACAAACGTGTACGGATCAAGTTGTGCGTCGTCTAGTGTCCTGAAAAGTTGGGACGACACTGTTTATTAAGAAAATTGTACAAGTTAAAGGTAGAGCGGACCATTTGCAGATATCCAAAAAGTAACCGACCAAATTATTGTTAAAAATCTTACTTGGTTTAAAGATAGTAATGGTACTAAACTCCCTGTGAAATTATTCCTTATGGCATGCTGTCACTTTGAAGAAAACAATAAAAGAAGGTCATTTCCAAAGATGAGTCAAGAGACACATTTTTGGAAATTTCCAATTTCTGTCAGCGCAGTAGTTGGTTTGTAATTGGGCAAATCCCTGAATGGGTGCGCGCAAGCGTTGACACGACGCACAATTCTTCATCAGTTCAGTGCATGACAGGGCGTAGCTGCAATCGGCTCAATGAGAACCTGTTCCGGAAGCTGATTTCAGACGCAATTCAAAATGTGACTCGGCAGCTTTTGAATTGAAATCAAGATCCTAGAATGTTGTTTTCTCGGAATACACAGCATTCGCAGAGCTTAAACTTCATCAGGTTAGTTGTTGAGCACCCTTCTTGAGATTTTGAGCACTTTTGTTGCTTCAAACGAAAAAAAATGCAGCAATTACAAATGAACTACTCTACCTGTAATCAACTAGATGTTTTATTTTCATCATGTAGGCAATTCCAGAGTGACTGACATTACATTTTTACAACCTCTAGGCAGTGAATTCTGGTCCAGAAATGAAACCATTACATCCAACTTAAGTTAGTTTTGCATGAGCAATAGTCTGACCTAAACACATCTTGTGATACAAACACTTCAATCTTTCCAATCTTTTCTAGTAAAACAATACTGTGCAAAATATTCAGAAAGGACTCAATTGCAGTGGAATTTTAGACTCGACAAAATCCTAATTTTCAGGGGTTTCAGGTGGTATGAACTCCTAAAGTTATAAAACACAGCTTTCTATTTTTTTTTTTTTGGATTTTTTTTTTTTTTTTCTTCAAGCTTGGATTGTACAGACAAGGTGGGGTATTATTTTGCTTTTTTGGTGTCCTCATGTACATTGGTGTCCTCCATAATTTGCCTTGGTGCTTTCGATCATTTGCCTTGGTGCAATTTCCCATTCCTTGGTGCTCTTTGTTAAAAAAAAATGGAGGAGGTGCGGAAATAGAGGGCGCTGTTGGAGCTACCACGGAACATTTTGGGGGAAAAAAAGATCGACGCGCATGATTAAAATCGACGCGCGCTGACCAGAGACCGACTTATTTTTTTTTTTGGCCTTAACACCAGGAAATCCAGACTAGTTCACTACATGTGGGGGGTGGTCTGGTTGATTGGCTTCCAAAAATACACTCAAAGAACAAGGCTTAAATCTTAAATTTCTCAACAGGTATCAAAGACAAAGACGGTAACATCAAGTTTGTCTCCAGCCCCATCAAGGTCACCACCATGCCCACAGTCCCTCAACGGGCCCAAGCCACACCCCCGAACGCCTCCCCTTCACCCCTGAAATCATCGCCCTCGACGGAGGCTAAAACGTCGCCGATCAAAGTGGAGCCGGGTACCAGGACCACGCCTACCGGGCAAGGTGCGGAAGGGGAGCAGCTGGCGGTGGCAGTCAATAAGCCTAAGCGGACCGGTTCGGTGGGACTGTTCTTCCGGAAGGTATTTTAAGAATTATATGCCTAAACCACTAATCTCTATATACGTGTACTGACTGGGTAGTGCATAGAGAAACACAGGTTGAAGTTTTTGAAACCATGTTGGGAAGACCGCATGGTGTCCTGAAAAGGATGAGTTACGTCTTAGATCTGTTATCAAACATTGTGATTCCTTTTTTTTTTGATGCTGCAGTTCATTTTTACGACGCAATCACTGTGGAAACTTGCCCTTTTTTATCATACGTGTAAGTCAACAAACCGTGCGTCAAATACCAAAATGTATTCAAATATATTTGGGTCGACCAAAATAGAATTTGGTTTCAGAAGGCAAACTTTACCAAATTTCCAATTTAGTGGACTCCAGAGTCATTTAAATGACTGCAATAGTTCATCTTTCACAAGTTTTGTAAATTTAATATATGGGTTTTGCCCTTTACCACTGTGATTTTTACAAACATTGTACACTCAGTTGTACCCGAAGGCCTTAACTCAGGTGGGACTCGAACCAAGAACCTCCTGCTTACTAGTGCAGACATCTTTCACAGTAGTTGCTCCTGATAGACCGATCTAATAAGCTCACCCACAGCGCATTTAGACAAATAACGCTTGCGCCTCTCACATACCATGCTGCACGCTCCAGCCGTGCGCGCAATTTTTGCACATGCGCATATGTCGGACATACGCGCGTACGTCGCATGGTCAAACACTCGGTTCTTATCTCCAGAATTTTATTTTCAAAGCTCATTGCAGTTTATTTTTTCTTTTGCTGTCGTTCCCAGGTCTTCCACTTGGTCAACGTCCGCCTGCTAGACCTCGCCCACAAGCTGAACCTGACGGACGACCTGCGGCGTAAGACGTGGACCTGCATCGAGCACTCGCTGACCAAGCACGTGGATCTGATGAAGGATCGGCACCTGGATCAGCTCATCATGTGTGCAATATATCTCATGTGCAAGGTTGGTGGTTTTTTTGAGTGGCCGGGCACAACCCGACTACTGTTTAGAATTGTTCTGATCAATCTTCTTTCTTTCTTTCTTTATTTTCTGGACAATACTGCCTGCGTGCTACTAGCAACGTGCAAATGTCTCTCTAGGCAAACAGTGGTCAAAGTATCGTCACAGAACTTCCTGGTCTTGGCTCCCCGCTGTGCATTATGATTCACGCAGCTATTGTAACCAGTGATGTGACCAACCGAGTCGCAAACGTAAATCAGAATGAGTCGAATACATTCAATCATTCTTGTGGGGAGTTTGTCTTAACCCTACCTCCCTACTGTTATTTACTAAGTACTGGACCAAGTCCGCCAAAATCTATCAATCACGCTGCTTCCAATCCATGCTTTGCTTTAGGCCTCCAGGCCCAAGTCCATCATACTCCATCAATATTTTTTTCAAATCAGGCCTGCAGGACCAAGTCATCCAAAATCCAGCAAAATAGGGGATGGATCTTGAAGGAGTTGGGATGTTAGCGTTAAGCCATGGACCATATTGCATAGAAAAGTTTTGCTGAAGTCAGGTTACCTGAAAGGAAACCTTCAATTGCTGAGTTTGGCGGAGGGCAGTTTGATAAATGAACCAAGCTAATCAGAATCTCCTCAGTGTTTTCTCTTGGTCTTTGGATGCTAAACTGCTGGTCTTTTTTGTTGCGACACGATAGGTGACCAAGGAAGACAAGAAGTTTCAGGACATCATGAAGGCCTACCGTCGGCAGCCTCAGGCCCAGAGCAGCGTCTACCGCAGCGTCCTTCTGCAGGATCGCCGTCAGAACTCTGCCAATGGCAGCAACGGGTCTCGCCAGAGCTCGCCGGATGCCGACAAGCAAAAAGGTACGAAATGTTGAAAAGTGGGTTCTCGCGTTTACAGTGTGTTAAGTTTATCCTGTTCACCAAAAAGTACACGCCTCAAAGATGGTTGCAACAAAATATACATAGTGGTCCCAAACAATTTTTTTACACTTTCTCAGACGCAGATTTCTCAAAATTGGGGAGACATGTTGAAATTGTTTTTAAGATATTCCTAAACTACAAGATCTTGGTGGTATATGGTGAAAACGGCGTTGAAAATAAAGCCTAAATTAAGAAATCGCGGCCATTTACAGAAAAATGGTCAAAAACAAGTTTGTCCACACGCATGTACGAGACATGGTCAATGTTATTGCCGTTCTTTGTGCACGCAGTGGTGTTGTTTTGACCGTATCTCATAGACTTGTATGGAGACGAACTGGTTTTTGACCCATTGTTCTGTACATGTGGAAATGGCCGCCATTTCTTAATTTAGGCTTTATTTTCAACGCTGCTTTCACCATATACCACAAAGATCTTATACTCTAGGAATAATTAAAAACAATTTCAACATGTCTCCCCAATTTTGAGAAACCTAAATAAAGCCTAAATTAAGAAATGGCGGCCATTTCCACATGTACAGAACAATGGGTCAAAAACCAGTTTGTCCACACGCAAGTCTATGAGACATGGCCAAAACAACAACACTGCATGCATAAAGAACTGCAATAACATTGACAATGTCTCGTACATGCGTGTGGACAAACTAGTTTTTTACCATTTTTCTGTAAATGTCCGCCATTTCTTAATTTAGGCTTATTTTCAACGCTGCTTTCACCATATACCACAAAGATCTTATACTTAAGGAATATTTTAAAACAATTTCAACATGTCTCCCCAATTTTGAGGAACCTGCAGCTGAGAAAGCGTAAACCTTTTTTGGGGGGACCAACCTGTATAGTCGCACTCATCGGGATAAAAAATCTTCGAACAAAGAAACCGTGGATGACAATTGACGCTACCAATAGATCTACAGCATTTCCCAAGTTCAGTTTATAATAGAGATTAATTACTTGTATTTTCCCCTCTTTTTCTGGATCTCTCCAGTCGAAACAAACCCCAATCCCTTATAATAGAGATTAATTATTTGTATTTTCCCCTCGTTTTCTTGATTTCTCCAGTCGAAACAAACCCCAATCCCCATACCCTGAGAATGCGGTCAGCCAGCACCCTGCCCGCCCCTCATCCCGGTAGTGCCCCGCCCACCCCTACACGTATGGCCGGCACCAGCTCATCGTTTGAAGACGAGGATAGGGGGGACCTGATCACCTTCTATAACTCCGTAAGTTGGAGAATTTAAAATGGATTTAAAGCTATAGTCCATCATTTGCAGCCATCCGAAAAGTAACTGGCGTAATTATTGTAGAAAAACAAACTTGGTTGAAAGATAGTAAGGGAACTAAACTCCATGTGAAATTATTCTTTCTGGGAAGCTGTCATTTTGAAGTAATCAACGAAAGAAGGCCTTTCCAACGGTACGTCTTAAGACGCACCGTAGGAAACTTTAAATTAGTAGTTCGTTTGTTATTCGGCGAAGCGCGCGCAAGCATTGGCACGACGCACACGCGCGTGCGGTTGCTATAATTCGTGGGATCAGTGTGCGACATAGCGTTTAGCTGCAATTCAAAACATGATTCAGTAACTTTTGATTTGAAATTGAGATCCTAGAATGCTGTTTTTCTCGGAATATACAGCTGAAGCTTAGCTGAAACTTAATCAGGTTAGTTGTTCAGTATCCCTCATTAGATTTTGAACACTTTTGTTGCTTCAAACGAACAAAAAGCACAAATTACAAATGATGGACTATATCTATTTTCACTGGAGTAGGTGTAGGCAATACCAGTAATTTTGGGATGAATTTCATTGCTGTTCTGTTCAGAAACTACTCGATTCAAAAACACAACAAAAAGGGGGGGGACCTAGAAAACTCCATGAAAGAACTGGTGTAATGAATCACTTGTATGAGCTTTTTTGTAGATTGATCTGTTAAACATGATTCATAAATACCTAAGACAGTTTAACCATTCCTATTGGTCGAGAGCCGGTCAGGTGGTCGGTCTTAAACGGTTGATGAAACACCGGCTGGCTGGTCTGACACACTTTTTCAGTGTCACATGAAATTTTGACTCATACGAAATCTGGTCCCTTTTTCTTTATACCCTTTTATTGGTGGAACGTTCACAATTCTCACTCAGGCATGTGCAATAATACCATTGAGTCGGTATTTTGTAGCCCTAAATTCACACTACAGCAGCACAGCTGCGTTCTGCGCCACTTCGCACAGTACGCACCAATCTCCATATAAGTTGTTAAGGACTACAGTCGGCTCCCGTTATAGCGAAAACGGCTAGAACAAAATTCCGGTTATTACAAACAAATACCTTCGGTCCCGGCAAAATTGTGCACATGTCTATGGGGAAAATTTCGGTTAAGACGAAAACGGACAGTATGAAATTCCTGTTAAAGCGAAAGGTTTTGGCGACCCGGTTGCGTAAAAATGCATTGTTAGCGACCCATTTATAACGAAAGGTAATCCTGGCTCACGGCTTTTTTCGTTCAATTTGAAAGCAGTACAATGTATTAGTAATCAGCAGGTGTCCGTCTTGTGTGAGTAGTTTCATGTTGCCGACGTAGATGTATTCAGATGGAGGTGCTAATCGGTTTGCCGGCGCACAGTCAAGTTAATCCCGCGCTGCGGTTAGGCCTGTCATCGCAGTGTTGCAAAGACGCGTGCCAGTCACCCGAGCCACTTGCACATCGCCATTGTGCCATTAATCAAAGACGTACTTCGACCTTTGTGAATGGGCTTTCCCAATGTGTACCTAATTCTGCCGCGGTTAACAACAAAGGCCCATCATCAAAGTGTTCCGATGACGAGTGCCAGTCACCCGCACCACTTGCACATCGCCATTGTGACATTCATCCAAGACGTGACCTTCGTGAATGGAGCCGCCAACGGAGGAACAACGGCCAAGAAATGTCACCGACTGCCTGAGCCTAATGCACCAGGGACTATCTCTGCAGCCAGCCCAACATGGACGACGATGTCTATGATCACGCTGCTGCAATCCTGCAGTACCTCTCCAGTAGGCAGCAAGACAAGATGTCACAGCGGAAGATAACGGACTTCTTCAGGGTGTAACATCACCTTCCAGATAAATCAAACCAAACGGCTCTTTTCAGAGCCACCACATTTTCAACAAAGGGATTTGAATCCCGACTCAAATAAAAATAATGAACCCCCACCCTATTACCCGGAGCAAATAAAAATAATCCCCCTCCCCCAAATAGAACCCCTTATAAAAAATTGGAAATTAAATAAAACATAATTTACCCTCTCCCTCCCCGGCACAGATTGATATGATTTAAAAACAAAAAAATGTAAGGTTAAACAAAAATTACAAAGCACCCCATTTCAAATCCAAAATAAAATAAACAATCTTAGACTATCCCAAAATTCTCCAAAATGTAGTTTCATTCAAAATTATTCACAACCTCCCGTAAATTACTCCCCCACTCCCAAAAAAAATATTTTCTTAAATTATTTATTAAATTATAACCAAAATTGTCTTATTAAAAAACTTATTCATTTGAGCACCAGTACAAAATACGTTAAGCTATTTCGTAACTTTTAAAAAAGGAAACCTGCTGGGACGATACGAAACTGATCACCATCAACGCTGTACATTATGCATACATATGCAAAGCTATGAATAAATGAACTAGTGCACGCCAATGAGCTCGTCCGCTTGCGTGACGTTGAAATCGTCAGACGTTAATATCCAATCACGATGTAAGATTATGACATCATCACTCATTAGGACACTGACTCATGAGGGCGCTCTACCAAGTTGTAAAATCTACTCAGATCACGGACGGACCGGAAAATCTGGAACGTAAATGACAAAGGTTTCTCGGCCATGTGCTTGAAAACGCTTATCACATTGTCACATTGAAATCTGCAAGACGAAAGGACAATACAATTTAAATGTCTCTCCATGACACAATTTGTGCTGGGGAGATAACTTACTTTGAACATCGAAGTGATCCAGGTCATCCGCCGTTGACTTCTTCCTCATCGATGATCAAGCAATGAAACGTCAGATCTTCGTAATGTTTATTTTATTTTCGTTTCGTACATTAACATTTTGTTTTCACTTGACACAATGATACATTTTAAACATTATTTTTTATTTGACAAATCACATCATAGAGAGCATGTTCTTAATTGCTTTCAAACAGAAAAAGTCATTGGGTACATTACGTACGTTCACAAGCGTGCACAATAGGGCCAATTCAAGGTGAACAATGGACGGGAAACATTGTATCGGATAATACGAAATTCGGATACAACGAACATTTTGGCCGGTCCCGTGGTTTTCGCTATAACGGGAGCCGACTGTACTCGAGAGAGGCAAATACCACAACATAGCTAGAGGGGTGTTTAAAAAAAACATGAAGTAAAATTGTTGAACAAAATTGTTGGAAATTTATATATTTTTGACTTTTAGACAGAAAAGGTATTTATGAATGGGAATAAAGATACACTTGGCCAGTTTTAAACAAGTCCGTTTAAGACCGACTGGGTGTCTTGCTGCCTATTATAGCCCAAGCCAAATATCAGCCTCCATTTCCCCAGCCGATCTTAAAAGGACTTGTTTAAAACTGGCCAAGCACATATTTATTTCCTTATTATTACCACTTGCCAAAGTCGCAGCCGTCACAGAAAAAACAAAACAGATCAGTTTAATCTGGCATGTAGTGTATGGTATTCAAAAGTTCTACAGAAACATTTGTTTCAGTATCGCCTATTGTTGAACTCATGGGGAGTCACCTTCACAATTTCAAAAACTTCCAGTTTCTTTCAAGATATTCAAGAAGTTGTTTCGACATCTGAAACGGATACGGTAGAATTTGTTTAGTCAAAACCCTAAAATGCTAATTTGTGGATCTGCCTGCAGGTTTACGTCAGGAGAATTCAGGCCTTTGCCCTTCGCTTCGCGCCAAGCGAGGGCAGTCAGGAGAACCTAGAAGCACCCTCGTTGTCGCCCATGCCAGTGATCAGGGCGCACCCGGCCTCGCCGCGCCGGGTGTCTAGTCGCCACGAGCTGTACATCAGCCCGCACGCCAACTCCATCCCTACTAGTCCCAACAAGGGCATGCTGTATTACATCAACAAGAGCCCTGCCAAGGTTAGGCATTACTCTCCAATTTTTAAGACACAAAGGGGAAATTTGGGCGATTCACAATGCAGTGCGCCACCAAGAGTTTGCCACGGAGAGTTCATTTTTCCCAGTGCCTTGTGGGAGATGGTCGACAAATTCGCAGCGCGGGACATTCGAAATTGTTTTTTTCCGGTCAGTAGTTTCGTAAGCGTATGATTCGAGTATTTGTTTGCCCTTTTTTTTCTTTCTTTTTATCAATACTGTTTTTTTTTTTGTAAGGCGGCAGAACGCTATGCCCCAATCTACAACAAATTAGCTCAAGTTGTTAACTGACACTCAAATTGTTCATGTTTTGTCGACCGTAAACTTGAAAAATAGACTCTCCATGGCAAACTCTTGGTGGCGCACTGTATTGTTAATCGCCCGAATTGATTTGAATTGGAGTATGTTCTCCATGCATAAAAAGTAGACAGTGCTTTTTGACTACTTTTAAAGGACCCATAACATGAATTTTACTTTGGCTCATATTTTGTGCAACTTTCTACTCCTCTTATTAAAATGTATGAAAACTATTTGACATCCCTTGTTGACCAGTGCATTTTATTGAAAAGCGCAATTTTTTTAACATTTCAAATTTTCCATGCTTTTCTTGACAACTGAGGGCGCTGTTGCTGTGATGTCATTTCAGGAAGACACTGCGCAGTTTAGGGGTTTTCTGTTAAAACTGTTAACTTCAAATTTGCTCATTGAAAACATTTGTGGGAAAACTTTGCTCATTGGCCTGTCATGACATCACACTTTTGCTCATGAATATGCAAATTTTTGTTACCACAAAAACAAAATTATTTTTCATATTTTTCAAAAATGAAAAAGGCACAAAAAGGCATTTAAAAAATGGCAAAATGAAAATTGAAAATAAAATTACATGGGAAACAAAGGTGCATTTCCAAGGATTGCATTGCATTGTTTCAACAAATCCACAATCTCTTTTTTTCCCAAGAATCAGCAGTCAAAAAAAGATAAAAAGGAACAAAGAAATTTTCCATCTGGGACACTCCAACGATTTGCTGTCCTACTCTCACATGTAGGTTTGTTACTCTCATACCAAGAGACTATCCGTTAAAAACTTGTTCAGTTGTACAAATGTGTTGTACATTCGAAAGGGCACCCAGTGTGCACATTGGCTCTTGTGAATCCGCACACGTTCACAAGTGATTCTACGCTCTGTTGCGCGCGCTCTCTTGTGCTAATGAAGAACTTCCAATACCCTCTTTGTCTACAGAACCTGCGAGAAATCAACAACATGATCCGGCGGGGCGGTGAGCGACAGACCCCCAAGCGCGTCCTGCCCCTGGGCGAGGGCATGGACAGCTCGCCCAAGCGTATGTGCCTGGAGCCTAACCCGCTGGCCCAGCGACTGAACAGCCTGAAATCTGACCGATGAGGATGGAAGACCCAACCCCAATCGACTTGACAGCATTGCATCCCTGGCTCAGAAAGAAGGAAAGTGAGCAACTTTTCTTGTGGGTTCTTCTTTAAATTAATTTAGTGTCCAAAGTGCGATATTTTTCCTGTTCCTATTACCTCCGAAACTTGTCAGTTTGCCATTAAGAATGACTTCAAACGATGTTTTATTTGTCGTTCGCTGTGAATAACGACCGAGGACAGCTGGATTAACCCTAACTCCCTAGGCATTTTGCTAGGATGCAACCTCAATCCTGCAAAATCCTCCAACTGCCTCCATGTAAAAATTGCATTAGCATCAATCCTCCAAAATCCTCTGTTATTTCTTGAATGTGGTCCTTGGAGGGGCGACCACTGCCTCAATCCTGCAAAATCCTCCATGATCACTGTCAAATGCGTTGAGGCAGAGCCAGTGACATTCTGGAGCAGTGCGGAGGATGTCAAGCATAATCTAGGCCTACATTTTTGCACGGCTGAGCATAAACAACACAAGGTCCGGCCCAAGACCGTGAAACAGTGCATTCTCCCAAATCAGCTGCACATTTTTGCCATGTAGCCTTAATCTTTTGAAATCCTTCACTTATGCAAGGAGGATTTTGGAGGATTTGGGAAGGTTAGGATTAAGGAGTGCATCAAAATTTTAAAATCATAGATGTCAGGTGTAACAAGGACGGGGGAAAAAGTGGACCCCAGATTTACAATGTATAGAACAACCCATAAATCTGAGATACAAACTTTTGCAGTGGCAAGGAGTTCAACTTATATCTCCAAAAAAATCACATTGTGGGATTGTGAAATTTCGGCAACTAATTGACACTTGATATGTAACATTTCTGAGACTACAGTGGGCAAGGAATTGCTGATGTAGGACATTGGATTCATTTTCTGATTCCAATTCCAACCAAGTTTGATTTCTAGACGACTACGATTCAATAAATGTAAAATTCCTGAGCTCACTTTTTCCTTGTGGGTAGCATTTTTGTTTTTAATCATGGGGAATAACTTTTTTTTTTTAATTTGTTTGTTACTTTGCCTATGAAGAAATTCAACCTCTTTTTTTCTTCTCATGTCCATGATCGGAGTACTCATTTATCAAAATGTGGGGAAAATTATGTACATAACCTTGTTGTGTGTGAATCTTAAAAAGACATGGTTTTAGGCGGTGCTACAAGAACACGTGTAGATGAAAAATTGAAAACCTGCATTTTTCTGTACCGTGTATAAAGAGAACCCTTGAAACATTTCATTTTTAACGAGCAAGTTGTCTGTATTTTGATGATTTTTGTTTAAATTGTTTCAACAAAAACTTTTTTGTTGTTGATTTTAATCAGTTGCCAGTATGCAGTTTTGCAGTATTTTACAAATTGTTTTTAAATGTTTGTCCAGACAAAAATGTCCAAATTTTTGTGGATATTTGAAGTTGATTTGCGCATATTACGCAGCTGTTGAAATACATGTAAGAACTAAAGCATTGTTTTGAGGTTGCCTTCGTTGTATTATACTTTTCCCATTGAATGGGTAATAATTTGTTTTCAGTGAACGGAAGCAAGTTTTACCTTTGACATTCTGTTTTTCTGTACAGTTTCTGCAAAACATTTTAATTTTTTTAAACATCGGCCAGTATAAGAAGAGTCTTGCTTTTTGAGAAATGTTCTGGCTTTTGATAGCGAAAAAAAAATCAGTGAAATATTTGTTGGCCATTTTGTTTGCATTTCATGCACTCTTGCTGTCGCAAGAGTTCAGACGTGTTCTTGGTGTAAAAATATTGTAATTAAAACTTCCTATACAAAATCTTTTTGTAGAAAGAAAAAAAAATCTCTTTTCAGATATCTAGGTATTTTTGTAGTTGGCTAGGACTTTTTGCAAATTTGGAGTCCAGTATTTTTTTTAAGCCTTTCCTTAAAAAGTATTGAAAGTATCTAATGATCATGAACTTTGAATTCTTTAGTTTGCATTTCACGGAGTGTAGTCATCTTTTGTAAAAGCTGCCCTGTAATATTTCCTAACCACAACTGTATGTATTCTAGAAGCTATCAGAAGCTGACAATGTATTAAACTATGCTCTTTGAATAAAAAGGATAGAGGACAGGGTGAATGCATTCATTATTCATCCGTGTTGTGAAATCACTGGTATTCAACTTCCGTTTGTATTTATGTTGCTTTTGGTCGATTTAAATTACAAGATATAAAAATCTGTGAACGTGCAGCATCGGACATCACTAAGTATTTTCATGAACATTCATAGAATATCTTAGTGATGACACAGCTGGAATTTTCCAGATGTAAGGGTGGAATTCAATGACCTGCCATTAAACCTGGCGTCAAGCATCAACGTGCAAGCTGTACCAGGAGATATACGCAAAAAGCTATTGTCTTTGAATACATTTGATCTGAACCATTAAACATAAGTAGCTAGTAAAAGTAAGGGACGGTCAAACGTAAAAAAAAAAAAAATCAGTAAAAGAATCATTCCTTGATCTACAAGTAGTCGAAGCATGTCAAAAGCTTTCACGTGATACCTGGATTTACAAGCACTTGGGTGGGGCAATGTTTTCATATGATTTTAGCATTTTTTTTATTACTTATACCGACAAAAATCAATGGTGCACACTTTGATTTTGAGGTCTTGATACCATCGTCTTAAAATCAGAAACAAGTGTGAATAAATGTTTTGAAGTATGAATCATGCATAGCATTTGTGATTCATGCATTTGTCTGTAAGGCCAACAAAAAAAAATACTCAGTCTCTGGTCAGCGCGCGCGTCGTTTTTAGTCATGCGCGTCAACCTTTTTTTTCTTCAAATTAACACGAAGCTACAACAGCGAGAAAAGTAAATTTTTGAACAAATTTCACTAAAAAAGTAAGGCTAACCCCCTTGCATTTTTCTCCAATTTTGGCCAAAAAATGAAATTGTTTCAAACTGCTACGAAAGATTCTTAATGGACCTGAGAACACATTCCAATTCAATTTCTGGATGGATGGACACTTCAAAGGAATTTCTGTATTGTTTGGAGAAAAGTTAATTTTTGAAAAAAATTCAACTAAAAAAGTAAGGTTTACCCCTTGCATTTTTTTCAATTTTGGCCAAAAAATTAAATTGCTTCAAACTTCTAGGAAAGATGCTTAATGGACCTGAGAACACATTCCAATTCAATTTCTGGATGGATGGACACTTCAAATGAATTTCTGTATTGTTTGGAGAAAAATTAATTTTTGAAAAAAATTTCACTAAAAAAGTAAGGCTAACCCCTTGCATTTTTTTCAATTTTGGCCAACAAATTCAATTGCTTCAAACTTCTAGGAATGATGCCTAATGGACCTTAGAGCACATTCCAATTCGATTTCTGGATGGATGGACACTTCAAAGGAATTTCTGTATTGTTTGGAGAAAAGTAAATTTTTGAACAAATTTCACTAAAAAAGTAAGGTTAACCCCCTTGCATTTTTTGGAATTTTAGCCAAAAAAATAAAATTGCTTCAAACTTGCAGGAATAATGCCTAATGGACCTTAGAACACATTCCAATTCAATTTCTGGATGTATGGACACTTCGAAGGAATTTCTGTATTGTTTGGAGAAAAATTAATTTTTTAACAAATTTCACTAAAAAAGTAAGGCTAACCCCTTGCATTTTTTTCAATTTTGGCCAACAAATTCAATTGCTTCAAACTTCTAGGAAAGATGCCTAATGGACCTTAGAGCACATTCCAATTCGATTTCTGGATGGATGGACACTTCAAAGGAATTTCTGTATTGTTTGGAGAAAAGTAAATTTTTGAACAAATTTCACTAAAAAAGTAAGGCTAACCCCTTGCATTTTTTGGAATTTTGGCCAAAAAAATGAAATTGCTTCAAACTTGCAGGAATAATGCCTAATGGACTTTAAAACACATTCCAGTTCGATTAGTGGATGGATGGACACTTCAAAGGAATTTCTGTATTATTTGGAGAAAAGTTAATTTTTGAACAAATTTTACTAAAAAAGTAAGGCTAACCCCTTGCATTTTTTCCAATTTCGGCCAAAAAATGAAATTGTTTCAAACTGCTAGGAAAGATTCTTAATGGACCTGAGAACACATTCCAATTCAATTTCTGGATGGATGGACACTTCAAATGAATTTCTGTATTGTTTGGAGAAAAATTAATTTTTGAAAAAAATTTCACTAAAAAAGTAAGGCTAACCCCTTGCATTTTTTTGAATTTTGGCCAACAAATTCAATTGCTTCAAACTTCTAGGAAAGATGCCTAATGGACCTTAGAGCACATTCCAATCCGATTTCTGGATGGATGGACACTTCAAATGAATTTCTGTATTGTTTGGAGAAAAGTTAATTTTTGAACAAATTTCACTAAAAAAGTAAGGCTAACCCCTTGTATTTTTTCCAATTTTGGCCAAAAAATTAAATTGCTTCAAACTTGCAGGAATAATAACTAATGGACCTAAGAACACATTTCAATTCGATTTCTGGATGGATGGACACTTCAAAGGAATTTCTGTATTGTTAGAGAAAAGTTAATTTTTGAACAAATTTCACTAAAAAAGTAAGGCTAACCCCTTGCATTTTTTCCAATTTTGGCCAAAAAATTAAATTGCTTCAAACTTCTAGGAAAGATGCTTAATGGACCTGAGAACACATTCCAATTCAATTTCTGGATGGATGGACACTTCAAATGAATTTCTGTATTGTTTGGAGAAAAGTTAATATTTGAACAAATTTCACTAAAAAAGTAAGGCTAACCCCTTGCATTTTTTTCAATTTTGGCCAACAAATTCAATTGCTTCAAACTTCTAGGAATGATGCCTAATGGACCTTAGAGCACATTCCAATTCGATTTCTGGATGGATGGACACTTCAAAGGAATTTCTGTATTGTTTGGAGAAAAGTAAATTTTTGAACAAATTTCACTAAAAAAGTAAGGTTAACCCCCTTGCATTTTTTGGAATTTTAGCCAAAAAAATAAAATTGCTTCAAACTTGCAGGAATAATGCCTAATGGACCTTAGAACACATTCCAATTCAATTTCTGGATGTATGGACACTTCGAAGGAATTTCTGTATTGTTTGGAGAAAAATTAATTTTTTAACAAATTTCACTAAAAAAGTAAGGCTAACCCCTTGCATTTTTTTCAATTTTGGCCAACAAATTCAATTGCTTCAAACTTCTAGGAAAGATGCCTAATGGACCTTAGAGCACATTCCAATTCGATTTCTGGATGGATGGACACTTCAAAGGAATTTCTGTATTGTTTGGAGAAAAGTAAATTTTTGAACAAATTTCACTAAAAAAGTAAGGCTAACCCCTTGCATTTTTTGGAATTTTGGCCAAAAAAATGAAATTGCTTCAAACTTGCAGGAATAATGCCTAATGGACTTTAGAACACATTCCAGTTCGATTAGTGGATGGATGGACACTTCAAAGGAATTTCTGTATTATTTGGAGAAAAGTTAATTTTTGAACAAATTTTACTAAAAAAGTAAGGCTAACCCCTTGCATTTTTTCCAATTTCGGCCAAAAAATGAAATTGTTTCAAACTGCTAGGAAAGATTCTTAATGGACCTGAGAACACATTCCAATTCAATTTCTGGATGGATGGACACTTCAAATGAATTTCTGTATTGTTTGGAGAAAAATTAATTTTTGAAAAAAATTTCACTAAAAAAGTAAGGCTAACCCCTTGCATTTTTTTGAATTTTGGCCAACAAATTCAATTGCTTCAAACTTCTAGGAAAGATGCCTAATGGACTTTAGAACACATTCCAGTTCGATTAGTGGATGGATGGACACTTCAAAGGAATTTCTGTATTATTTGGAGAAAAGTTAATTTTTGAACAAATTTTACTAAAAAAGTAAGGCTAACCCCTTGTATTTTTTCCAATTTTGGCCAAAAAATTAAATTGCTTCAAACTTGCAGGAATAATAACTAATGGACCTAAGAACACATTTCAATTCGATTTCTGGATGGATGGACACTTCAAAGGAATTTCTGTATTGTTAGAGAAAAGTTAATTTTTGAACAAATTTCACTAAAAAAGTAAGGCTAACCCCTTGCATTTTTTCCAATTTTGGCCAAAAAATTAAATTGCTTCAAACTTCTAGGAAAGATGCTTAATGGACCTTAGAACACATTCCAATTCGATTTCTGGATGGATGGACACTTCAAAGGAATTTCTGTATTGTTAGAGAAAAGTAAATTTTTGAACAAATTTCACTAAAAAAGTAAGGCTAACCCCTTGCATTTTTTCCAATTTTGGCCAAAAAATAAAATTGCTTCAAACTTGCAGGAATAATAACTTATGGACCTTAGAACACATTTCAATTCGATTTCTGGATGGATGGACACTTCAAAGGAATTTCTGTATTGTTAGAGAAAAGTTAATTTTTGAACAAATTTCACTAAAAAAGTAAGGCTAACCCCTTGCATTTTTTCCAATTTTGGCCACCAAAATAAAATTGCTTCAGACTTCTAGGAAAGATGCCTACTGGACCTGAGAACACATTCCAATTCGATTTCTGGATGGATGGACACTTCAAAGTTATTTCTGTATTGTCTGGAGAAAAATTAATTTTTGAACAAATTTCACTAAAAAAAGTAAGTCTAAACCCTTGCATTTTTTGGAATTTTGGCCAAAAAAATAAAATTGCTTCGAACTTGCAGGAATAATGCCTAATGGACCTTAGAACACATTCCAATTCGATTTCTGGATGTATGAACACTTCGAAGGAATTTCTGTATTGTTTGGAGAAAAATTATTTTTTAAACAAATTTCACTAAAAAAAGTAAGGCTAACCCCTTGCATTTTTTTAAATTTTGGCCAAAAAATTAAATTGCTTCAAACTTCTAGGAAAGATGCTTAATCGATTTGAGGCAAATGGAATTGCAGCTTCAAATAATTTATCACCGCTGGACCGTTGACAGGGCTGGTTGGAAGGTTAGCCATTCCAGGTCACTCCCCTTGCGGCCACAATGATTTAAGTGCTTGAACTACTGTAATTGAACTGTAACTGAAAGTTCGAGCACACGGTCACTTTTGCTTGAGCAGCCACGCAGTTAGGTCTGGCAAGAAAGTTTTGACTTGCTGAAAAAATTCCCTCTTCCTCCCCGTTCGTAGCCACCTAATTGCACATATTCTGCATAAACATTGCCATGGTAAAAATGGATGTTTTCGTATTGCACGATATGTTTGAGTGATAATTTGCCGATTCTAGAGTGTTTGACGCAGTGATCATGAACTTGCAGTACTCGGTTGCCATTTATTAGCGGAGCCAGAAAGGAATTTCCCCCCTTTTTTCCCTCTGTGGTTTTTGAGGGGGTTTTCGCCTTTCTTAGAATCGGCAATATCACCGACGGAGTAAAGTTTGGCGGGATTTGCATTCCAAGACCGCAAATAGGCCTCAGATATTGGCCACTTTATTCATTATTTATGATGCTTCTGGGATTTGGGGGGCAAAGCCCTTGACCCCTGCCTTTGTCGGTAATTCAGGCACAAGATGTTTAAGGGATTAATCGCAAAAGGCATGCAGTCTGTATTCTCTTACCTATTTTGCTGATTGATATATTCAAAGGTTACACTTGAAGTTTATCTGTCATTATTTGAGCAATATCGCTAGCAAGCTTAGGCCGAAACACGGCCACATAAATATTGCTGTTGGTATTAAGATATTGCTTTTAATAGTTGGCCCTTGCGATATGGTATAATGGACTATTAATTGCTTCTTATTATATTGCTCGTGGTAATTGTATACCTAATGACGGTTGCATTGTGTATCATTATTGATGATGGTATTTGCATATTAATTATGTTGCTCATGGCTAATTGCAGAGTTCCGCGTCACCAGCTTTGGACCGGAACTAACAGTGTCAGTACTGTTTTGCTTATAATTGCGGTTCTGCTATCAAGCTTTGGAGGGGAGCAGACTTTGACAAGATTGTTTTAACTATACTTGCTAAGTATAATTGCAGTTCTGCGCTATCAGCTTCGGGCGGGAACAATCTTTGATACTATTGCTAATTGCAGTTCTGCGCTATCAGCTTCGGGCGGGAACATTCTGTGATAATATTGCTGAACAATCTGTGATAATATTGCTGAACAATCTGTGTTAATATTGCTAAGTATTGCAGTTCTGCGCTATCAGCTTCGGGCGGGAACAAGATGTTTGGCATATTGAATAAACGGCTGCTCAGGCCACAGGTTACAAAAGATTGGCGAGTGCGCAGCCTCTGATTCCGGTCTCTCGAGTCTTTGGTAGCATGCGGGGATAATGGATAAATCGATTTCTGGATGGATGGACACTTCAAAGGAATTTCTGTATTGTTTGGAGAAAAGTTAATTTTTGAAAAAGATTTCACTAAAAAAGTAAGGCTAATTAACCCCTTGCATTTTTTGGAACTTTCCTCTATTGCCGCGCCTCCTCAAATGTTTGTACCAAGGAGCACCAAGGAATGGGGAAATTGCACCAAGGCAAATGATAAAGGGCACCAAGGCAAATTATGGAGGACACCAATGTATAATGAGGACACAAAAAAGCAAAATAGTACCCACCTTGTCTGTACAATACAAGCTTGGAAAGAAAAAAAAACCACAAAAAAAAACACCGTGTCGCCGCATCAATTCCGGAACTTCGGTCTGACCAGAGACCGACTATTTTATTTTTTTGGCCTAACTGAACACTAGGTAAAAGGATGTCTTCCAGTTATAAATGGAATCAGGCAGAACAAATCATCCACTTCACATAATTTTAGTTTCTGCCTGGGCAAAAAAAGCTGTTGGAAAGAGACAAGCATCGGATTCGGGGGGGGGGGGACAAATATTGATTTAAATTATAAGAGAAGTAGCTCATTGGTGACTAACACCAGTGTCGTTAACCTTCAGAGCTCGACCACCCAACTTAGGACGTGCACTCTTGGTGTTATTCCCTTGGTGTTATTCCCTTGGTGTTATTCCCTTGGAAGGCAACCGGGATGTCATTACATTCTATTTGCTTGACCGACCAAGCTCCTGAGGTCCCTGGGCTGCTGTGGTTTAAATTGGTTTTATATGGCCACAACCGTCCCCCTCCCCTTGGAACTGTATACATTTGGGGAAAAAAATCAGTTCAAACAGTCCTTTTGTACAAGCTCTGATACAGCAAGCGAGGTTTCTTTCTTTGGTAAATATTTGAGAGAACACTGTGCTATTCATTATAAGAAGCTCACAGAGCAACTTACAATCGCCACAGTTTTAAATGTTTAACTTGATCATATAAATTCCACCTTGGACAGATATTCACTGCATGTGGGAGCTGAACATGTGTGTAGTTGCACTGAATATTAAAGACGAAAGACTGAAGGTTTACATGTTCAGCTGTCAGCAAACGACACTAGAAAACGGCCCCTTGATGCTCCCCACCAAACACCTTACCCAGACACGGTAGGATTTGCTGTCTTCATACCCCTCGGAGAATGTATACCCCTCGAGTTGTAAGATGTAAGCCTTGTAATCGTCTCCGTCTGTCTCCTGTGTCCAAAGCTCATACCTGACCTCATTTGTATTCATGTATTCGATATTCCAAGGTCGTTGCCATGATACACGAAGCCCTTTAACTCGGTCACAATGTATGCCGCCCACCTTGCTAGGAAAGACAGGGAAGTGAGGTGCTATCTCGGTTCTCGATTGTTGGCACTCTTGAAGACCTTCTGAAAGCAGGTTCAAAATAGATGGAATGTCGACGGCAGTGTCTTGGTAGATTCTGTAGAGCCAGTCGGGGTTCGAGCAGCAGAGGTGCTGGGGAACCTCTTGCGATGTCAAAATCTGTTTCTGCTCCTGCCGACTTAGGTGTCGTATCCCACCGTGTGCTGGTAGTGCATCGGGATGCCCAACAGACCGATCCGGGCTCCAGTTCCTCCAGGACCTGTAAGCAACTCCCATACCGGGGAGCTGAACAAGCGTCTTGTACGGGGTGTAATAGTCTGGGTTGATGGCATACGGGAAGAGCTCTAACAGCATGGAGCCTACTGGGAGGAACATGGAGAGGATCAACAGGGAACCGTGCATTCCTATCAAAACCTTGGAGCAAGACACCAACTCTATCAGATCTTTGATGGGGTAGTCTTCAAGTCCTGCCGTCAAGACACGCAGGCCGGTGCCCTGTGCAACAAGGGTAACTAAATCCATCTCATTCAGAATCAGTCTCGTTGATTCTCTCTTGATCAGCACAATGTAATCATCTGATGCTTCGCACCTCCTAGCACCCATCTGGTTACGGACAAAGGAAGTAAAGACCCTCACCTCCCTGGCTGTCAAGAGGGTGTTTGGAACCGGTCCCTGGGGAACCTGAAAGCCATACTGGTACCAAGTTGTCACGTTTGATAACCCGACAAAGGCCTCCTCGAAGCACACCAAACTGTCCTGGTCAGCACTGTCAGAGTCGCTCGTGATTTCATCTCTAAGAATCGGCCGGTAGTTGAACAGAGAGGCATACAAGTCCATGAATTCACCGGCCGGATATCCATCCAGGAATACTAGTCTAGCGGTGGGTTTGAAGTCTCCCTTTGCCATCAGTCCACTCTGAAGCATGGTGTAAAACAGCGGGAGGAGGTCATCGTGGAACACGTGCATGATGTTACTCGGGTTGAATCGATTCATGAGAAGGTGCTTTCCTCTGAAAACAGCCACGGTGTTCGTGTCTTCCAACGCCGCCACTGGCAGATGACTGAATCCAAAATACTGTGTGTTATGGTTGGGCACTGAAGACAAGTCCACCAGCGCAGGATCGAAGGGGTTCTCAGGAAGCCCGAAAGCGATTGACTTAGAACCACTTAAGAAGACAAACTCCTTATGTTTCTGAGAGAAGCACAGGTTGTGAAACTGACACATCCTGTCTGTGTTGTTAGAACCTGAGCACCAAACGGATGATCCACCTGCCAACAATCTTCTGTCCACGATTTGAGGGTCCTCTTCACCATCATCTAAATGTTCCTGAATTTCTGATTGCGACACCACTTTATTACCCAACTCCTCTTTCTCCGAGCAACGGGAGAGTTCCTCTTGGAGAAAGTAGCATCTGTATTGGCTCCAGGCTGCTATGGCCATGACTATCAGAGCCAGGTAGTCTGACACAGCCATTTCACTGGTGTGGAAGCTTCGGACACAAGGGTATGAATGTCTTATCAATCATCTGCAGTGCAGCAACTTCGGAGATTCCACGAAGAAGCACGGGTTATTAAAAGTCCATTGTCTTGCTTCCAAGATGAGTATCTCGGCGACCACAGCCGCACCCACTACATCTGCAACTCAGTTCTGTCCACAAAAAAACGAAAACAATACATGTAACGATTAATTGTTTGACAAAATAAGAAGTCCCTCCATGTACAAAAAAAACCCACCATCACCTTTGATTGTAAGCCAGACAAAGGTGTACCGACTGGTATATACATCAAAGCCATGAATACCAATCGTGTGTTTATCAATGAATAATGCAAAATGATTGATCTCCATATTTTAGTATTGCATGAATATTACAGTTTAGTATGACAATAATATTGATTAATTATCTGATGAAAGTATATCTGGCGGATTTCTTAGATTAAACACTTCTTGATTCTTGAATCGATTACCTAAAAGAGAATCTAGAACAAGTGCACTGTTGCAACATGGATTAAAGATATCATGAAATAACGTAATCAAACAATTTGAACTACTTAGACTAGGGCGTTACATTTCTTGGCGGGAAGTGAAGTTTCATTTAAAAGTCAACAGCTGGGGGGAAAATGGGTATAAGGATGCAGTGATAGAGAAACGATGGTAAAAAAAAAATAATAAACCAGCACAAGTGAACACAAACACAGTTAGCATTTTACACCTACAAATGTTTAAATATATACACTTTTGAAAAAAAGAAATTGTGCAATAACTCTCGAGCATATCGCCCCAGGGTACTCATCCCGTGGGCGTCCTAGAGAGTAGAGACGAATGCACTCGTTCTCTTATAACCATATTCCGATCGATGGATGGAGGCAGCTAGCGGATACATGACAACGAACTTGATGATTCCGTTATACAACACTGGCTGCTTCAGTTATGCAACACTCAACTTTGGTAGGGTAAATTCGGATACCATTTCTTAATATTTCAAGACGGCTGTCCGGCCTGTGCAAAGACGACAACATTATGATAACAATCTGGACCAAACATTGAAACCCTGAAGGCACAAGATGAAAAAGAAAGAAAGAAATATAAACAAACAACCCAACATGCTTGTCACAGCACATACCAAGCTCCTCGTAGAACTGACAAGTATGTCGTGTACAGGGATGGTACCAACATTCGATTGTATGCCTTTATATAACTCTCTGGAGAAGTCGTGTATTTGGCCTTTGGAGTCATGAACTCTAAATCCACAACTGCTCATCAAACCAAGGGAATCATTTGACTTACATTGTATGCATAGCGAGTATCAACCGCAGACGTTCGTCATGAATCTGTTTTTCAGTTCATCAGTTGCTAATAATTAACTAATGGTACTACAAGCAGCTTGGAATTCCTAAGCGAATGCAGTGTCACAGATCTTCCGTCCCCTGACGTCCATGCTCAAGTGGGGAACTGCCATAACATAACACCGCGCTGTCTGCACAACACTCGATTCGTCTAGCTGCATTTTTTTGCAACGGGGTAGCACTTAAGCCGCGCCCGTGTTATTATGGATGCATTCCGCCCGGGCATCTGCCGCCCACGCGCCCGCCAAAAGCATGCCATAATTCCCGCCGAATTTGTGCGGCGCGCGTGAATAATTGGATTTCAGCAACGCAGTCATAATGCATAAAGCCATAATGGTAACACGAAACAAAAAAACAGCTGGGGCCTCGTTGTGGGTAATTGTAACTTGGGAAATTTTTAGGCAAGTAAATGTCATGTCGCACTAATAAGCAAATAAAGACGATCAAATAGGCCTACTTAGTCTAGGTATAAGTGAAAACAAGAGCAAGAGGCTAATAGGCTCTTAATGCATTCGTTTATTGGTAGTTTTATAATGTGAATATTCAAGATTCTTAACCGGAATATTGACAGTGCAACTTCAAAAATATTCAAGCCTAAAGCGGTGCTCCGTATAGATGGACATTTCTTGTGATTAATGTTTACGAGAGGAAGTGCACGTCTCCCACCAAAAATCAATCCCAGCACTCGAGCAGACGTATCTTCAACACACAGAGACCTCCGCGCGAAGGTGAATTTAATTAAAGTTCTAACTCCCTGCTCTGGCCTCGACTCGTGCACGACACGACGCCAATCCATATCCCTCCGCGGCCGTTTTCTCCTATGTGCGCTTGGTGGTTGCTGATCATACCCGCACATAGGCACAGCGCTGGACAGACGATGACCGCCCGTGCAGTGTGTGCATAAACCTAATCGCCCGAGCCGACAGTACAATCAGCCGAGCTGCGCGCGTGCATACCCGTTGGCGCTGATTAGAACTACCTTGCTATCAGCAGTAGATAGCACTCGTTGGACGGTCTACCTGCCCAAGACAAAGAAGGGAAGAGGGAGAACATGGCGACCACCGAGGCGAATACCGAGCAGACGACAGGTTCAGGCGAGCCGGCAGACCAGACAGCCGCTGCCGATGCCACCACCAAGGGAACCGAGCCTGAGATGCGAGCTGTGGTGCTGCAGTCCTTCGGGGGTGCCAACCGCGTGAAGGTGATGAAGAAGACCGTCCCGACGCCTAAGGATGGTGAGGTCCTAGTCCGAGTCAAGGCCTGGTGAGTTCGGGTTTCCGCTTTTAAGGATGGCTAGCTGACTTTGATTGTTTTGAGTCTCATCATTATTTATGCATGTCATCTTTCAAGGTGATGTGACATTGGGTTTTGCCGATGTCGATATGAATCTTCCAATACCTCTTGACTCAAAGGAAGAGAATGACATGTTACCAAAATGTCAGACTGACTGTAAGAAATAGTTAATGCACGACAAAATATTGAAGGTCTGCAAGACACAATCCCGGTAGCTAAGAGTACGATATAATCCAAAATCATGATGTTCACTTGTCCGTGAATAGGAAAGTTTACAATGTTGTTTTCCCAAAATGTAAGGTACTTTTTTTGTTAAAAAAAACACGACATCACTACATCATTTTGGAACGATCAGTTGAACTTGCTTGACTATCATCACAGGTCTCCGTCAAACATTATTTTTACCCAATAAACTATTGACACTCCTCCTCACCAACGTTATCACATCCTCAAGAGATTGCCGTGATGTACAACGAAGTGTTTGGTAAAGAATTACTTTCTATCGCGTGAGAACGGGAGAAACGCAAGTAAGCCCTAATGAGTCCATCCGCTGTTGAAAAAACACATCAGTGGAAATCGATTTAAAAAAAAAAGCAGAGGCACATCGTGTAGGAAATTATAAGAAATTGTATAAGATGCGGTTGTTTTGATGCACTGCGTGTCAATTCGTGATGCCAGTGATGGTTTATTTATTTTAGTTTAATGCATCAATGCAACTTGTTAAAGACTAATTATTTCTTAATGTGATGTAAAGCTTTGCATGGTGTAAAGGTAGAATAAAGGATGAAATTTGCGGGTATACCCACTTTAATTATCTCAGCAGTGAAGAAGTGTGGTTCTGAAAAGAACCGGAGGTGATCTTTTTTTTTTTTACGTTTCGGACAGTGTACTCTGTCCGTCCTCAGGAGAATGTTGGACAATAATATTGATACTTATAAAAGCTATATAAACGGTATACCATGGTGAACTGGGGAAAAAAAACATTTATTATTTTTTCTCACGAATGTTTCTGTCAAAGAAAACCCAATTGGCACCAAACTGTGCAGTTATTACTTTGGAATACCAACTACATCATTTTGTGCAGTTGAAACATTGTTCCCCCTTCGCATATGCAACACCTCGCACAGAAAATGTGCAGGCTGATCTGAGTGAACCATTAATCTAATGAGCTGCTTCCAAGCGGAGACAATATTTGCTTGATTCAAGATTTCAGCAAAGAAATTGACTGGAGCGGGGCTTGAACCAGCGACCAACGGATAACCGTTCCGGTGCTCTACCAACTGAGCTATTCAGCCCTTATGTCGGCGTTTTCCAATAATGTGTCAATGTCTTTGTTCAAGGGGTGCTAGACAGAAGTTATAAACCCGCATATGCCTTGTAGCCAGGGAGTACGTCCTAAGTCACGATGCTAGTAACACTTATATCTATGTTGCAAAACTGGGAAAAAGCATTGTGGTTCATTTTTTTTTGCCGGTGGGAATTGCTAAGTACTAGAACATGTTATATAGACCATTATCATGTTGCGGCCATCTTGATTTTTCTCCATTCAAAATCAACGTAACCAAAGCGAGGCTGGAAGGAAAAATAGTCTTGTTCCTTTTTGCACAAAAAAATATTATCATTCGGTACTGTTATTGGATACGGGGAACATGACTGAAATGGTGGCAGCCTGATAAAGGTCTATTGATACTACTCGTGCATGCTGCTTCTCGGCTGATTTTGATACTTCGCTAATTAATTCCATCTACCATGAGCAATGTATTATTCTGAGCAGTTCCTTGAAATTGAGTGCAGCTTTGCACAAACGGATTGATAAATTACTTTGTTATTTACCTTAAAATAGGAAAACCAAATTGCCCCAGACTTTTTCTGGTCCCTGGGAGGGGGCGTGGCGCAAGTTGCGTGCTTTACAAAAAGCTCGGCTAGCCAGCATAGATTTCCAGTACCAGCATTTTATACAAACCATAAACTGTAAAGGGTACCATCGACCAATCTAGGGGTTTTATTATTAACAAAACAGAACTAAATAAGGACTTGTAGACTGTAATAGATCGATTGTGCTCGGCAGCCATCTTTGATGTGTGTTTTGTAATGTTAATTCGTTAACAATGAACGCACAAGAGGTCTGCGCATGCGTAGAGGTCTGCTCATGCGCGTTGATCAAAACCACACACCTCAAATATGGCTGTAGTGCAAACGATCGATACCTTTTGTTGGTAGCCTATACCTTTATTTTTCATTTACTCGTGGTATCTTTGTACAGAGCTCTTAACATTGTAGGTAATGCTAACATAAAATCAAATGGTATACATTTTGCCACGCTCAAAAAGCATGGACACACCATTTAAAAATCAATCACCTGTACGAACGAGCAGCGTGCATGATCGCCAACACCTCAAGGGTAGGCTTAGGCCCCCTACTAATTTGGTACAAGTTGGCCTATAGTGCTCAGTTACAACCGATAGAACAGTAACATTAAATGCAACATCAACGCTAGAATAGTATTTCTATACCACACGCGTATTGGCAAGTTGCGTATTTAGAATAAACAGATTGCTTCCAGAGTACAGCATTTTGTTGATTGCGATGAAGGAATCAATCTTGGGGAATACTGTGCACAAACTGCACATGCTATAATCTGAAGCAAAACCCTGAGACCTATAGTGCTTAAAAAAGAAATGGCTTCTGGCAAGAATCAACAAAACTAGACCTCCAAGTCCAACACTACATTAGGCAAAAATCTTCTTTGTGTTATGTATCTGGGATGCTTTGCAGGATACTAAACGTGGGAGAGCACACGATATACTGCGCGAACCCTCCTCCGCGCAATTAATTGGCAATGGTAAAGCTGTACCAATGCAGATTGGAAATTTAAAACTGATTGCGCGACAGTGTCTGGCTGCGCGACAGTGTCTGGCTGGATTGTGTTCTGCGTGAAGGATTTTAATGAGCTGCCTCCAGTTGAATTACCAGGGTCCCTGGATCATAAATCTAAATCATCAACCTCTTCTTTTTCTTTTCTTTTTATTTATTTATCTGAATTCGATAGGTTCCAGTTTGGAGACACTGTTAACGAATCCGGACTCTGGGTGCACTTTATAACGTTTGACATGCATTTCGCTTTGCGTCCTTGTCATATTCGAGTGCAACGTGCAATGTGTACAGTCGCGTCTCAAATTACCTTAATTCGCAGGGCTGGTCAAATTCAATTATAACCGTGTTTCTGCCGTTTCGTGAATCGGACGATAATTAAGCTCTGCCCCAACGTACTATAGTACTTTCAGGACTACATAATTTGATTTAATATCAACACACTCAATATTCCATATTTAATCTACCATTTTCATGACTTCATTTGAAGAATAAAAAGGTAATACGGTTTTCGCAGGGAGAACAATATTATTCTCACTGCGAGAGAGATGGCGAGCAAACTGTTTGGTCCGTTTAAATTACATTGTGATCTAGTCAGGTATAAGCAGCCGTATTTAATATTGCTCTTCTAATATTTGTTTTCCATAATCGAAATTAACCGTCAAAACAGTGTTTAACCTGTGGCAATTTGGTAAACATATTTTCAAACCAATTCCATATCGTCACACTTTTGAGCTACATTAATTTGAGGTTTACAAATTACACATATATCCGAGTTTAATGCTAAAGAGTCTTGTACGTTCCGCTGAAAGAGAAGTCAAAATAGGTATTATGTGTATCGTTCTGCTTGAAATTTGGAGTGAAAAGCTCACCATATGGTCGATGAATACTCAAGAGAGAGGCAGAAAAAAGTCGGATTGTCCAGCAGACCTCATTATGCGTTCATGTTATGACGTAAGTCGGAGGCGATTTGCCGCCTAAACGTCCCCACGCTTCTTTTGCATGTGCAGGACTAGTCTTGATTCGTGGAGCTGCTGGCAGGCGAATGCACAACGCGTGGTCTTTGGATGAAGCTCAATTAAGTATTACAAAAATAATAATAAACTGTACATAAGCAGTGCCTCGCGGATTTTCATAGAGTAGGCCTATGATGTGTAAAAAGAAAACTGCTTAATTCATAACATTTCATATGCAAAGGAATCTGTTAAGTATACTCATGAGATGCAATTATAAAAAGATAGTTTCATATCGGCGTTTTTTGCTGAGACCTTTTTGAAAGCAAAGAGAAAAATGTCATTATACTTTGCAGAAAATAACGCGTTTGTGCCATTGTAATAATTGCTTTGAGATGGTTTTTATCACTGGAAAAACAAAATGCACTCATGAACTGGTGATAAATCTGCGATGTATCTCAACCTACTGGTTTTGGCTTTTTAATGTGCAACACTGATCAAATTTCACTAGTACTTAAAGAGTTTAATCAGTTAATGATTGTGAAGAAGAAAATTTGTAGATATTTCGTTCAATCAAAACATTTCGTCCTTCTGTTGTCCAACTTTCCGTCTTTCTATAAAACGTATAACCCACATTTTCCCCAACGGGCCCTGTAGTGAATCCATAGGCTTCAATTTGTTGTTGAAATTTTGAGGGGGAGGGTTGGAGGGGGCAGGGTTGCCAGGGTGGGGGTGTCGCGGGGGTGGGGGAAGAAGCTTGGGAAGGTTGGGGACGCAATTTGAAGCTATAGGCCAGAGTTTAAACATCTACCGTATCTAAAGGTTGGCAGACTGGCAATGTCTTATTGTTGCACTTTTTGGTAATAATACAGTGCAAATTTAGTTAAAATCCATATCAACTTGGATAAATTATTGTTCTTCACCCCTCCCCCTGCCCACCCCTCCTCCTGCATCGCCACCCATGGGTGAATGAATTCATTAATTTATTAAAATTATAACAAAAAAGGGTCAGATAATCTAAACCTGTCGGTCTGTCCATCCATTTGTAAATTTAATTCGTCAATTCAGTCACACAACCACACTTTGAGTGTAGATGAGCTGCACAATACGTGTCGGTACCTGCATCAGTATCGGTTTACACACCAT